GGAGTCCATGAGTTCAATATATTCAACGTTAAATAAATTCAAGATAACAGGAATTCCATTATCTGTGGCCTCTGATTGAAAGATGCAAAAAAAATTCTGGTATCCAGAAAGAGAATTCTACGTGAAAAGTTTTGACAATCTCCCTGTCTCTTTTTAGTGGAGGTTGAATATAGGGAAGAAAAACTAACACATTTAAAACAAATTTGAAGTTTAAATACTATGATTGTAAAGAACTTCATGTCGTTAAAAAAATAAGAACAGATTAGAGTAGATATTAGAGTCTATTAAGAGAAAAATTTCGCGCAGCCGCCTTATAAATGTATCGTGGTTCGCTAAGAATTGTCATGGCGGCGGCCGCCTTCAGGATTTGTCTTACACTGCCCTGCTTGATATAAGCCACTCGTTATTACATTTCACTTCGAAATTTGATTTTTGCATTCAACAAAGAAGAACATGAACACTGTGTTTTTCTCAAAACAGCATTTAAAAGTGCATTACTTACCTTGGGAAAAGTCGTGACAAAATAACTTCCATCGATCCTCGACTTTGAAGTAAAACGAGTCGGTTTAACAACCTCTAAGAAAAACGCGTCGGCCTTGACTGAATGGACAACGTTTAGTTGAGCTAAAAGTGTTTAAATGCTGTATCTTTTTGCCTCAAAGCCATTGGAAAAAGACGTCGAAGTTTGCTGAAGCCCGTAAGCTCTTTCCACGTGCAAGACTAAACGAAAACATGAATATTAATTTCAAAGATTATTTGCAATTCATATTAGTTTTACGACCTTGGTAGACGCCCTGAATATCTTTAAAATACGAAATGGGATGACTTGCTAAAAAACTAAGTTTCATGAAGAGTTACCAACTATCTTATCATTTAAGTTATAAAAAAAATTGATCCAAACTTAACTGCAGAGGACCTTTCACCTCCCTCTGCATTTCAAGCCAACGGAGTTCTAATACTGTTTACTCTATACCCGTGTCGACGCATAACGTAGGGACGGTCTAAGGCTGTATTCTAAACTTTCCGTCCAGAATATGTAATTATTGACTGAGTGGGAGGACCGGAAGCGATAATAATTGGCTCGAGTTCATGACGTACGGACCGAGCGCTCCGTCCGGCCCGACCTATCTCAGTCAATAAGTATTTACGTCAACCCACGCGGCTCAACACACGTCAGCTTTCACTCTTGTTTTCTATGGAATTGCGTGAGCGGGGCCGAACGGGTCATATGATCTAAAGTGATTATAGTGATTTTATACTTTTCAGTGAGCCCCTCTGGGTGTTTTAATAAACTCTGGGGTTTGATCCTTCCTTTTTAAATTTTGCGTATTCAGGCGAGTTGTGGCAAGCGAGAGGAGAACGCGGAGAACGAGGAACATACAAAGGGAGAGGCGCACATTACTAATAAATCACGCCTCTTCTGCAGGTTATGTATGCCTGCCTCTGTTGTTATTTCTGTAGAATTGAAGGATTTCATTAATTTACCACTACATCCTGTAATGTTTCCAAAGCATACATAACTGTTTCGAACTAGGTATTTGCATGTATTGACGGCGCGGGAGGACCGGACGGGAAAATATTTGGCCCACGGCAATTACAGGTCGCGCACAGCGAGGTCCGTACGTCATGACCGAGAGCAAATATAACAGCGTCGCGCGCACCTTTTATTGTAAAACATTATCTAAATCCCCATGTGAGGGCCGTATGCGATGGAGCGAGGAGGGCCGGAAAAAGCTGCCACGGCTCCGCAAGAGTAGGAAGAAAGAAGAGAAAAAGAAAGAAAATGAGCAAAGGTCACAAGATAAAATGTTCATCACATAAGGTTGAAGCGGACTAGAAATGCTTTGCTCTCTGTCATGAAGCAACAACGTCGCTGCGCTCGGTCCGTACGTCATGACCTCGAGCCATCCGTCTGGCCCTCTTAGTCAAGAAGTACATATTATATTAATATTGATGAATACCGAAGTTTCTCTCGTTTTGTAAACGTTATATCTTCATAGCAAGCAGTGAACATACCATTTAAATTATCTAGGGATAAGAAATCAATCTCGTTATGCTAACCAAAAAGGCTACTTTTCACTTTTAAGTATCTCGTGCCCCTTTAGTTATCTCGTTAGTTGAACTGATTAGTTTGTTCAGTTCTCGCGCGCTCTTGCATGATGCTATATACTTGCTGTCTTGCGCACTTTTAGATTTCTCTTTGGTCTAACGAAATAATCGGACAAAATAGAATTCTAAAAGTGCGCGAGATAATAACAAAACAATCGGACAAAATAGAATTTTAAGGGTGCGCGAGATAATAACGCAATAAGCGGAATATAGAGTATCTTTAGAGTGTGCAAAATACCCACGAAAAAAATCGTGAGATACCAATGAAACAAACCGGCCAGAGATGATCCTCAGATAGGGAAAGATATTAAAGAAACAATCAAAAGAAAGGGAATTTTAAGGGTGCACGGGATCCTCAAGAAACAATCGTAATGAAAAGAATCCTCTGAGTGACCGAGATTTGAAACAATCGGACAAAGGAGAATTCTCAGTGTTTGCAAGATACTGACGAAACGACCAGAGTGTGGAGAATTTTAAAAGTGAGCAAGATACTCACAAAAAAGAAGAACTAAAGAAATAATTATAACTGCTCGAGATACTAAAGAAACAATCAGAAGTGCGCGAAATAGTAACAAAACAAGCGAACAAAAGATAATTGTGAGAATGAGAGAGATACTAACAAAGTAATTAAACAAAAGAGATTACAAACAGTGCTCGAGATACTAACGGAACAATCGAACGAAGGAGAATTCGAAATAATCCAAGTAAAAAGAATTCTAGTAGTTGTTGAGTAGTTGGCGAGATACTAGAGAATCAGTCCAACTTAAGACTCTATGAAGAGTGCACCCGGATAATAAAAAACAATCAAACCTACGAAAATTCTACGAATGCACCAGATACTGATGCAACAATTGCATTAAAGAGACTACGAAGAGTGCGCGAAAAGCTAACGAAATAATGGAACTTAAGCGACTTCAAATATGCGTGAGATACTAACGAAACAATCGAACTAAAGGGAAGTCGAGTAATGCACAAGATACTAACAAAATAATCGAACCAAAGACACTACGAAGGGGGCACAAGATACTAGTGAAACTATTTAACCAAAGATACTTCGAAGAATGCACGAGACAATATCAAAAGAATACTGATAAAAAACATTCCCAGAATGCGCGAGATATTGACGCAACAATTAAACTTAATAGGCTATGGAGGGTTTAAAAGATACTAAAGAAGCATTCTAACTAGAAAGAATTCTATGTGTGAGCCAGATACTAGCGCAACGATCCCAATAAAGGGGAGTCTAAGCGTGCGCGATATGCTCATGTAATGATCCAACTAGAAAGGATTTTAAGAGTACGCAAGATACTAGCGCAACAATCCTACTAAAGACACTACGAAAGAGTGCAAGATATGATAGCAAAACAATTGAACTAAAGAGAATTCTATGCGTTCGTAAGAAACAATCTACCAAAAACAATCTACCAAATAGAGTACAAAAAGTGCAATAGATACGAACGCAACAACCCAGGTAAGGAGATCTCCAAGAGAGCACGAGATACTAACTGAATAATCCAACCCAAGGAAATCCTAAGAGTGCGCGAGATACGAACAAAACGATCCAACAAAACCGAATTCAAAGAAAAAGCAAGACACTAACAGAAAAATTCAACCAAAAGGAATAAAAGGAGTGCGCAAGAAGCTAACGCAACAATGTGATTAAACTGATAACCCTAAAAATAGGCGAGATGTTAAGGAAACAATCGAACCAAACATAATTCTTAGAGTGAGTGATAATAACGAAACAATCGGATTTAAAGCGACGAAACGAGTAACATTTTTACTCTCAATGATTGAGGTATGGATGCACGCGATAATGTTAAGCAATAATTGGATGAGGTTGAACATGACATTAGGAATAAGCGTAATTGCTCCGCTAATTATAAAGATTGATTGGTCGAGGATTGCGTCATATTTCGCTATTATCACCTCGCGCAAGGTATTTATAGCACGGGCTCTAAAGTTCAAAATGGCTGTCTCGCGTTTGGCAACGTTCATGACTGGACGGAAAACTTTTCAGAGGATTTCTAGGGGAAATCGGGAAGTACTTAAAGAGAGCGCGGTTTCCGTCCGAGGAGAACCCGAGCTGCGTATTTTTTCGAGTTGTGCAGTATTTTAACAAGCTCGTGAGGTGAGTCAAAATACAAACAACGGGTAAATGTACTCAACAATACTACACAGCAACACGTCCAATAAGTTATTTATCATACAGCTGCTTTATTTTGTCTGCATTTCTTTCGAGGCGGGAGAAGAGAAACAGATAGAGAATCGTAGGACAAGCAGCCAACCGGTCAAACAGGTTTTTTTCTTTACAGAAAAAATAACCAACTTTCCAAATATCGCGTGATATTCAGTTGGTATTCGAGTCGTGGGTTATTTGTACTCTACTTAGTGCAGTTGGATAATAAGTTTGGAGAACACGAGAAAAGCGTAAAAGTTACTCGTGACGCAGCCGAGAGCAATTGTTACTTCTCAAGTGCTCCCAGAACTTCCCATGGCCAAATGCATTGACACATCGATATACTCACGGCTAAAAGCACGGGTGATCAATTCTTTTATGGAGCGCAAGATGAATCTTACATATCTATACCCATCGTTGTACTTTTCTAAGCAATACTAATGGTAGTTCAAACTCCTTCGAAAACAGCAAGCGAAGGTTTTCTCTTTTAATGAAACTTCCGTTTTTTTAATCATTATTTTTGCATTCGTTTCGCTGTTACAAACATCAAGAGAACTAAACGGTAGATTTTAAAAGTCGGCTGTCACGGTCGTCGTCATACAACACATAATTAATTATTGTTTTATAAATGAGCTACCTCCGGTTTATTGTACTCAAAAAAGCTGGATGCTATTTTACATTTTAAAGCTCTTGTTTAGATTAAGAGGACTTACTAGTATGACTTTAAATCATTGGATTGATAAGGAAACTCGATAGTTGGAAAATTGCGGCAATGCGCAAACAGCGGAATACCCGCCCACATGATCGAAATCCAATGGAAAAACTTGGGTTTACGGCAAAGATGCTCAAATGGTTTGTAAAACTTTGAAAAAACAGCCGTATAAACTGTGTTAAGACCAGTTTCTGCGACTTAACAGATCAGCTCTGACCTGGTCCTCACCAGGAAGTATTTTGCAGCTAAATTCCCTGGTACATCAACAAGACGATAGACCAGATCCTTGATCGTTACGCGAAAGAGCATGAAATCAGACACTTGTTTTTTAAAGAAGCTCGCGAAAAACGTTCATGTTAGCGAGGACTCCAAGGATCACGAGTCTCACTGGAGAGAAGGAAACGAGAAGAACCCAGATTAGATGGGAGAGCGTTTAATTCAAAGAATGAATTTGTAGTTCAACAGGAGAGGAATAAGTCATAAATCACTTGAAGGCTGAAAAATGCACTCATCTTTAACTTTGAGTTAACGACCTTGCGTTGTAATTTTGCATGTTTCAGGCAAACATTATTTGACAGAGACAGGAATTGAAACACCAAGCCAATCATATCCAAGTAGATAGCTAATTAATTAAAAAATTTATAAGACTTCCCGTGAGATATTAGTCGATCTTGCTGTTATTTTTGCTAACTTATTAGCATGACTTGTGTAAATAATAAGGTTATTGAGATGAAATCTTCATTATGCGAGTTCATTTGTTATCTTGATGCTCAATTCGACAGTCCGTTATTCCATGATGAACTATGTGTAGAGCTGGAAACTATTTTCCATTTTTAAGCCCATGTTTAAACTCAGAGGAGTAATGACTGTAAATTATTGGATTTATAAGGGAACTCGACAGTTGAAAAATCAAAACAGTGATGGCGACAGCTGCGTTAACCTGAACAACACCTAACGACTCCATCAGTTCTTTTAATTGTGGCGTTCCCAGGCAAATCACAAAACCAAGAACTATCAGCACAAGCATTTGAAACGCTCTTCTTCTTGATTTAAATGCGGCTTGATTCAACACACGATCACGACTTTTTCTCCAAAGAAAAAGTGCGATTTTAGAGTAGGCACTACTTATTAACACTAGAGGCACAAGAAAACCTGAAATAAAATAAAATATTGCCAATATTTTTTTACTAGCACCGTCTTTTGTGGTGATGCAGATCTGAAAAACGTAAGTTGAGTTGGAATAATCGGCAAGATTAAAAGTAAAAGTACCAATTCCATCGTTGAAAAACTGTGGCAATGCGCAAACAGTGGAATATCCCCAAACAACCAAAATCCAACGAAAAAACTTGGGTTTACGGCAAAGATGTTGAAATGGTTTTGTGATGCTCTGGTGCCTGTCAAATGCAATGACAACCAAACTTGAAAAAACAGCAGTGTAGACTGTGTAAAGACATGTATCTGCGAATTTACAAAACAGCTCTGACCTGTTCCCCACAGGGAAGTATTTTGCAGCTAAATACCCTGGAACAACAACTAGACGATAGATCAGATCCGTGATCGACAAGTGAAAGAACATGAAGTTTGACAAGTGTTTTTTAAAGCGACGACCTCGAACCAGTACGCGGCAGACTTTAACAATAGCGATGACTCCACAGATCACGAGTCCCAAAAAAGAGAAGCAAATGAGAAGAACCAAGGTCAAATTATAAAGCGCTGAATTCAAAGATTGGATTTGTGGCTGAAAAATAGAGAAATTGGCCATAATTCATTGGAAAGGCTGAAAAATACACTCGCCTTTAACTTTGAGTCAATGACCCTGCATGTTTCAGGCGAGCATTATTTGACAGAGTCAGCAGATGAAAAGTCAAAGCAGTCACATCTTAGTAAAACGTTCATAAAAATAACTAGTTGAAAGACTTTCCGTGATATATAGTTGATCCTGCTGGTGTCCTTTCTGGCCTAAAATATAATCAAGACATGTAAACAAAAGGTCATTTAATTAAAAGCATTAGCTGAGTACATTTTAATCCTGATGTTCTATTCGACAATCCGTTAATCAATAAAAAACTTTATCAAGGACTGTATCCGGTATGAAAATGGAGTTTATAAATTTTTTTTCGACAAATCTGATAAGATTTTTAAATTCTATGGACGAAAGATCAAATTAAGTTATTCATAGCATTGAAAGCGATAATAAAAAATCTTCAGCTGTATCAACTCATCTGTGGGTCTCTATCGATCGGTGCTGGATACTGATCAAAAAATCCATTAGGATTTTTATGGGCTGTGTACTTTATACTACATGGAACCAAAAAAACACCAACAACAATAATTTCAACAAAAACAAAGCAAGGTCGCTTCTCTAAGCAGAATCTTATCTAATCTACGTTTTAACGGAGAGGTCTCAGTCGCAGTAAAGTGTTGTAGGCGAAGGGATGGCCTGTAATTCAGGCGTCTTATCAGATCAAGAGTGAGTGAGCTCTGTACCGGGCATAAGCAAAACTCTCCCGCCCCCTCCGCCCTCCGTTCCTCCGTTCCGGCTGCGAGTTTCTAGTGAGAGCTAACTCAGTAAAAACCTGGCAGTGTCAAAACGACAAATCGCACTCTTGCACACTTTACCAGTTATGGGCGTTTATTTCTGAATATAAAATTATAGCAACATAACAAGTACAAAATTAAAAGCGTTTAACAGGTTTGTCAGAAACTGAATACATCATGGTATAAAACCGGTCGTATATTAAAAAAGGGCGAATGAATAGTACTAAATTAGTGTAACGATAATAATAATAACATAATAATAATAATAATAATAATAATAATAATAATTATGGTGATGATAGAAGATAACAATCTCAACGTTTCCATAATAATAATGCTATAGATAAGTTACGTGCGTAAAGAAATGGCACCTGTACAGCGAGAGAATGATCCTCTCATAAATTTCCGAATTCTTAGTTTAACTCATTTGATAGAGTACGTCATTACAGGCTATATTTTGAATCATTAGACGTACGTCAGGCTTGGTTTAGGCAGTTATTGCGTTCTCAAAGGTCTCACAAACGAGAGACATAAAAACGTACAATCATTTATTTATGTTGCATGTCCTTCACGATTGTTTTGGAATGGTTCTATGATCTGTTGTTTGACCAATAAGCACTAAGAAGTAACTTCTGCTACGCTAGATAGCAAATAACGCACTGCAAAAAGCAAAAAAAGGTTCGACTTTTCTGTACGTTACTGGCACTGCCACGGCAGACAATCTATCATGTGATCTCTAGGGGCCTATCAGCTAATGTCGTATGGAGCAATCAGGAATTTCCTGACGACCAGGTCCATTTTAAGGAGCTTACATATAATTATAGCAGGTGATCGATATTGGCTTGTATTTACACAATTTTGCGAGCAACTTCACTTTGAGATTCAATAAAAAATAATGTAGCTATTCCTAATGACCCTCGGAACAATGCTCACTTCAAAAATTTAATGACATACGATACGCCCCTAATCAAACCCAGCTGTCTTTTGAGACGTTTATGATTCGTTTCAAATAGGAACACGATAACAAGAGTGGTTCGTTTAAAACCTCTCAATTCCGGGAACTGTTTTCCGCAGACGTCGACGTGCTCATCATACTAAGGAATTTTTTTTTTCGAATGTAGCAATCTTCGGTAATTCTCGGGCACCCGTCAGTTTCAATAGGGGATTTAAAATAAAGCAGATTCATTCAGCCTACGTCCGCCAAGATCTTCACATACAACAGCTCCTGACCATACTAGATCTCTTGACAACTGTCTCTTTCATCACAGGCATGTGAAGACTCTGGGTAGTCACTTGCCCGCGTGAAATCAGCGCGGTTGCGCAGCACACACCCATCTGACCAACAGGAGTGAAGCCATTTTCTGATCCCGGTAATCTCATCACGAACACTCCCACGTCAGCTTCGTGATTTTCCGTTGGTTGGATAGCAATAGCCGATAGTGGTTTCTGTACCAAAAATAAAGACATATTAATTTGAGAACATGGCGAAAAGAGGCGGCACTCTTCAAAAGGTGACCAAGCAAGTATTAGTATGTATCGCGCACAAGAAATAGTCGGTTGATGCCTTTGGGAGTGCCTGTGCCAGTTACAGGAACGACGGAACAACACTTGGAAACAATGAGATGTCGATATAAAGCGCAGCTTCCGTTATGCGCCGTGACCAGTTGACGAAAAGAGGAAAACAAAACAATGAGAATTCGAAGGTAATAGCCATGATCAACACCAAAAGAGAGAAGAACCAAATTAGGATTGTGTATTTGAGCTCGCATATAATTGGTGGAGTAAATGGTAACCGTAAATCAAAGGGTGACGTGAAGTAAACCAAAACAGTCCTGAATTACTTTAGCGACAAGTCAACCATAGCCAAAGGAACATCTGTCTCCATGACAAACGCTTTTAATCAAAACTATAACAAAATTCTCGAACGTGCTTGGTTATCACCAGCCCTATTTGAGCACTAATAGGACAGTGTACGCGTCATGCTTGTAATTGGACACTGCAATAGGACAATTGTGGGGACAGTTAATACGTCAAGCCTGTGTAAGTGGACAAAACGCGTCATGTGTGCGCGCTGTTGTCTCGCATTTCGCCGAGTTAACTGTTGTATTTTTATGAAAACGTATAACCGATGACAAGTTCCTTTCTCAAATTTTGTCATAGTTTTGATTAATTGGTAACAGGAATTTGTGTTGTCCAATTGTCTGTAATCATACTCGTGATGAACAAATCTGACTCCCGCTTCGCGCTCGTCCGATTTTGTTTATCACTTGTATGATTACAGACAGAATTGGACTCCACTCGGTCCTATTACCATCATTAATCTCAAGACCACAGGAGAAATTACCGATAAATTGCTAGGTAATTGGGGTGATAATCTTCAGCAAAACTTCACAAACAACAAACATAGAACGTGCTAATGAAACCTACCTTCTTTGTTTCTAGTTGAACTGGCTCTGTGAGAGCCAAGCCCACTTTGGCAAATGGTCGGCTGGCCATTAGTTTCATCTCTTCATGACGATGCTGCGAGTAAAAAATGCGTTCATCAGTCAACTGATTGGAATTAAACTTAGTGTGGTCAGAGAAAACATTAAAAAAGTAGGTTTATCTCGCACAATTTCGTAAGTGCAACGACAAACCTCGGTACAACTGGTCAGGGTTGGGTCTTTATTTAGCACGAAAGGCAGAAACATTGGTTTTAAATTGTTTTCTCTCGCTTCATAACCTTCGTGTTTAAGGAGATCCCGATAGGTTTGGAACTGAAGTTAAATTAAATCGAAAGAACTGGATGGTAAGAGCAAAAAAAAAAACGGTTCTAACAGTTCGGCTCGATACAATAATTGGTAGCATTATTTTTCAAGAAACCGTAAACTTTCAAGAGTACGCGCGCCGGAAGGTTTCTTACCCGAGCCATGACATAGTTTGAATATCTGACTTTAATCTTCCACGCAAGGGCCACCACGAACAGAAGGGAAAAGAAACAGCTGCAATAAAAAAGGAAAAATGACCATCTCGAAAAAAAAACACCCCAAACTTGTTTATAGGATAAAGGAAGAATTCCCACCCCTCACATCCCCTTCAGAAATTCTCTCTTCTTTAACAACGCAGGAAATTTGAAGCAATAGTCGACAAACTAATAAGGAGCTAACTTCGAAACGATGTCCTAACTTCTCCCTATAATTTGTTATCAATACACTGTCCAGCAAACAGGTAATATGAATATTCACATTCACATTTAAGTAGTTATCTTGATCTAAGACCAAATTCCCGTAACTATTTTACAAGGAAATGAGTAGCAGCTAGAAGGGATGATAAAACAACAAGAATTGTACAGTATCCTAAAAAAACAAGCGCTAGAAAGAGTTCTACTTACGCGAAAAACGTAATAAAGAAGTTGAGAATCAGGAACTTACGACTCTGGAGGAACGCAATCTAAAAAACATTTTCCAAACGCATAAAATTAGTTAGCATACCCAGTGGCATATAAAAGAAAAGATGAAGGATGAGGGTGTGACAGTAAAGGATAAGAAGAAATAAAACTACATGACAAAGTAACTTTGACACACGGAACCTAAAAAGCAGATCTCTTTGAGAAGTTAATCCAAGTGAGTTTATCAGGACATACCTCAAGGGTAATGAATCCTTTGATGTCAAAAATGTGAACCTTAAAGGTGAATTTGTCCCGGCGGCCAAACGGAAAGACGCCATATGAGAAGGTTTGCTGGTAGGACCCTATTTCCCGAGATTGCACGAGCGTTTCTTCCTCCAAAGCATCTGTGAGAGAAAGAGAGCATTCTATAAGTCAAACTCATTGAACGTTGATCAAAATAACAAGAGAGCTCCAATGCTGACATACATGTAGCTAAGCTTTTTGCTTTCAAATGCAGACAAAAACACAAACAATCATAAACAAATATAAGATCAATCTTACTGCAAAGATTGCAAAAAGGTATGTCTTTTTAATAAAAATGTCGGTAGCATCAAGATGATATTGAACAGCTTCAGTCAATTCAACTTAGAGCGACGTGATTGCACTTGGGGGCGAAATCAAGCAGCTTGAAGGCGACGTGACTTGGGCCGACATGGCGAGAGCAGCATTGGAGCTAGTTCGTCTTCTTTTCTCAGGGTCGAAACTTTCGACTGAAACTGAAACTTACTTTTATTCTCGCTGCCGTCGAGTAACTCAGCCATTGTAGAAGCATATATTGACACTGATACCCTCCCTTGCTAGCTAAGCACTAAAGAACGCCGTCGTATGTTTAACTATAATACTTGTGATAGTATTGGGCGATTCTCTATCAGCTAACCTGAGCTGTACGACAAATTCATTAGTGCAGACTTGCCCTCTTTGACTCTCACAGTAATTTCCACATCGATGTCGTCCTGTAAGGAAGTTAACTTGCTGTTTTAAAGAATTTTTAACAAATTAAACTGATAACCGTGAAAACTAATCTAATCTTTTACCGGTTGAGAAGTTCAAGAAACCGCCAATTGGAAATTTATTTTGCTTAGACAACGTCCCTCAACGTAATACAAGGTTTAACTCTCATTTTTCTTCGGAAAAATATTAATCTCTATATTCTCATTATGAAAAGTGAGGAAATATTTTCGCATTTTTCTGCAAAGTCCATTTACAATGATAACTTAAACTCCCAATACCTCATTCAAAATTCTCCTTTAAGCTATTGTTCACTCCTTTGTAGATACCTTCACAAAAAGTTTTTTTAATCTATTACACCATCTGGCTTGTATAGGTTGGCAATTCTCATCATATAAAAACTGCTAAATTTTTGCAAGAAAATCCATTTTTACCACTTTAAAGGAGTTTCAAAAGGGTTTAACAGTCTCCTAGTTGAAAGGAGAATGGTTCGAGAGCAGCAACGCCACAGATTACCTATAGATTTTTAATGTCATCCCTCTAAAATTAACAGATCAAAAGGTTTTTTTGTGGAACCGAAATGTTAGAAGCAACTGCAGAGATCAGCTCACCTTTTCAGGAATGTTGAGGAAGCTTATTCTTGTCTTGTTGGACACATTGTACGTGTATTCATAATTACTGTTGAGTTTATCTACCAAACAAATATGCAGTGGTGTTTCTATTAAGCGCATTAACTTACCAGTGAGTTTACAATTTTATGAGAGTAATACCTCAGCTCAAGAGATTATAACCTCAGTTTACATTCTCTTGTTCAGCTTTAGTCTCCAGTGCAGATGGCTTGGAGGGAACTTCGTTTGAATTTAAGGGGAGAGGTGTTGAATAAAATACTTTTTAACATCACTTTTTTTCCGAGTGAATTTCTTCCTTTCCAAAGTCTTCCTCTGCTTTTACAATCCAGCCAGGCAGGCTTACTCAGCATGCAAGATGCACACAAGATGGACTGCAATCTGATTTAAATACTCCCAGTGAAATAAGGATAAAAACTATATTTCTCTCACAGACTCGTTACTGTTATGAAGGAAAAAAGTGTTTTTGCTTGCTTTTGTTTTTGGCTCGTCAAGCAGTCGTTGCCTCTGCCTTTGAACTGAGAAGAGCGTTACAAACACGAATAGATTGGTCTAGCATGACCGCTAAGTAAGTTAGGAATTAGAAGGAAATCTTTCTTTAATAAAATTAAATAACTTACTGTAACAGTGACCGCCATTTGTTGCGTTACCAACGATCACCGTGGAACGAACTCCGTCGTCACATCTGTGAAAGAGTAAATCAGGTTACAATCTTTCAATTCCACAGCGAGAAATGCTTGGTAAAATTGCTTTGGTACGAAGAATTTCAAGCGCAAGGAGACATTTTGTAAGCAACGACTGAACTTACCTTTCGCAGTTATCCCCAGTCACATAACGGTCAAAACAATCACAGACTCCAGTCTTATCATCACATGTGTCCGCGTGACCGTTACATTGGCAAGCTAGAGACAAGATGAACAAGACAATCACGCTTTTTTCACTATTGTGTTACATGGAACTTTTGCAGGTACCAATATTTTCCGATTTCATAAATTGTTCTCGATCCGTAAAAATTAACTATAGCAAAAGCAAAAATTCCGTCTAAATTTTGACATCTTCAGTAACCTGAAAAACTCCGCATGCGAACCAAGTGTTGAGGTTAACGCGCGTCTCCGAGTCACTATAAATTTTCCCTGAGATCTCAAACCCCAGTGTCTCGAACATTTGTGGCACGCTCCTTAGCGTGTTTTTGGATAAGTGTGTCATTTCACCGATGAGTCTCCCCAATATCTGCCCCCACCCCTGTTAGTTTCTCGAACTTGAGGCGCGACCCTGAACGAATAGTTGTGTCAGGGTCACATTTTAATCTCACCCAGATATCCTAGACCTCACTGCGTCCCATTTTCGCTGTTCCTCCTCGAGAATGTCGGAAGAATAGATCTTAAATCTACACGTTGTTGTATTGTGAGATCACGATTCATCTGCTTTTCTCTCAATCATCTTTGAGGAAGAAGGTTGCAGTTCTTCAACTATTAATAACTACAATGAACTAGAAACGATTTACAGTACCTTCACACTTTCCACCATTCTTTGCATCACCGAAATAACCAGCCGCACACACCTCACAATGAGGCCCTGCAAAACAGTAAAACGGCAACAATTTAAGTTATACAAAATATAAAAAAAATACTAAATCTAGTGACGTAAAATTAAAAGAAAACAATATATATAAGGTTGATAATACAAAAAAAAAAAAAAAAAAAAAAAAAAAGAGAGCAGGACAAGCCAAAAAGGGAATTGCCAAGATCGAACTAAAAAAATTTGGGCTCAGTTTTTCGCGACACCCAATCCGTAAGTATCTAATTAAAGAAACTGTGTTGCTGCTTCGATGAAGTATCATAGGATAATTTGGTTTAATAAACTGGGATGATGTAATTTGGCCACCGTAAAGAGTTTCTAAAGCTTTAGGAATTCTTTTCAGCGGCCATTTCACATTATCAATCCAGTTAATAGAACAAAATTAATAAGATTAACAATCTGGCGTAACTGACAACTTGAGTTTAAAAAAAGGAAAACGTTTTTCCGTGGCTTCAAGAGGCAGTTTTAACTCACCGTCCGTCTGATGCTCGCACTTTTTACAGATGTTCTTATTGATGCATTCGCTGTGTCCATTACACTGGCAATCTATACAAGAATACAAAGGGCTCTTGTTTAGTAAGGAATCAATCAACAAACTTATAACTTGGAGAGGAGAAGAGCATTTTGGATTCAAACATAACTCGTGCTCTTCAACATGACGCATTCACACAGTCCACCAGTGTGAGTAAGTTGGAGCTTACTGTAATACAAAAATAAGTGGAGTTTTATTTCGTGCAGCAGCCGAGAACGTGGACCACTTAGTGTTATAAATACTGAAAAAATGCGAAGGGCACACTCAGGGGAATGACGTTCAGAACAAGGCAACCGTTTCTTAACCCTTTGACCCCTTAAAGTGATGATCATCTAGTTTCGCCTCACAATAAAACCCCGAATCACACATTATGGTCACGAGAATAAAGGAAATGATCACCAACTCAGTCAAGAGGTTCTTGATTATTAAACAAATTCTCCTTAACAGCACCTTAGGAAATGTATAGGGAACAGTATAAAGAATATGCATCCTAATGTTAAGGTGTCAAGGTTAAATCTACCTGGACACTTCATAAAGTACCAGCGGTCTGCTAGGCATTGGTTCATTGAAGAGTTTGTTGGTTTAGTAAAAGGGCCATCATCTCCTCCGTCCATACACTGCCCCAACCCAGTCCCTGATCCGTCATCACACCAGCCACAACCAGGAAGGGTGTGGCAGTCAGCACAGGTCTTCATGCCGGAACAGCGCACAGCTTTATAGAAGCAAACACAAATGCAAAGGATGACAAAAGTAAAGTAAAATGGACCTTATTCTGAAGAGAAATGTTTGTGATCAAGGATCTCAAGAAGAAGGTACTAAAAATCACCACATAACACAACGTAGTTTTAAATGTTTAAATATGGCCATCTGAAATTTAGTAAAAAAAAGTTAAAATTCAGCTAAGGCTAATCAGTGGTGTCTTTCAGTTGACAGGGCTTTAGGGAAATACTGTGCGCCTTTGTTTTGATCGTTTCTTGTTTGCTTGCTTTTTAAAATCTTCAAAAGGGCCCTGTTTGTTGAACCAGCCATAAAATTTAAAACTTGTCTAAAAACTTTGGCGCTTCTTCACCAGCTTCACAAGTAAAACAAGATAAAGGCAAGTGCACAGTATCATACAATAAAACTTCTCTTACCACCCCTCAAAATCAATTTTCACTCTGCATTCTCCCATTTAGCCAATAATGAGAACTTTGATCTATCCAGCACAAGCTTATGTTCAGTTTAATTTGTATTTGCGGCAAAATGTCTCCTTATTGTTCTACAAACTGCCTAATGTCAGAATTTATTAGCTTAATTCAATACTTCACTTGAGAGTTAACAAAGTCAATAATAGTAGCTAGCCCTCTCAGATATAACTGTTAGTGCATACTAACTTGAACACTTCCCTTGGACCCAACCACGACACTGGCCAAAAGGGAAATTCACAGTGTAGGCATTGTTAGCCACACAGAGCTTCTGTGACTCACACCACATACAACCTAATGCACATTCTTCACAAGATGTCGATTTGTGGCAAGACTTCTCTTTACAATTTGAACCTGTAAGAATTATATTTTTGAACGTGAGACTCTACCGTGTATCCACTGCCCTGTGTGGAAAAGTATGAACCAAATATGATCCCTTGTGTTTTATCCCAGTGTAAGGCTACATGTACATTAGACAACCCTGTTAGCTTAGTAATTTTGTTTCCATGCCCTAACACAAGACTCTTCAAGGGAAAAAAGCTGAACAACCAGGTAACTGTGTCCAGTTTCCTTGTCATTCATCCTCTCCCCAACAGAATAGCCTGGTCCCTCACTGGTTGCCCTACCTCGAATTATTGTTCCATGGTGAAATTTTTAACTACCCTCCCTTTTGGTGGAAGTTAATGATATTAAATCCGCCTTTCTCTTTGGTAAACACAATACTTTCCATATCAGCAAAGACAATTATTGCAAACAAGAAAACCATACCAAAAAAAATAAATACAAATTTGACTAAGAAAGATAGACTAGAATTAATCACAAACCTTCACATTTCTTGTATGATGTTTGCTTTTTATCACACTTTGCTGGAGAATCAATTTTTTTCTATTAAAGAGAAGAAAAAACATTTAAGGGATTTAAAACAGGAAATCAAATCATCACAAGGTCATTGATTAATTTCAAAACATCATTAACCCTTTAACCCGTGCGAGTGACTAACATCATTCTGTACTTTCTCCTTACAATAACACTGCTGAATTATTCATTTGAGATCATGAAAGTAGCAGAAATGATCACCAACGAAAGAAGCTCTTGATTGTTAAACAAATTCTGGAGAATAGCTTTACTAATGTTAGGTTGTAAAGAGTTAAGTACAAACCTGACCATCAGGACATGCTCCTTTCACACATATTCCTTCGCAATATGAACAGCCATGTAAACTGGAAGTACATCTACTACAACTGTCATTCACTTCTGAGCACTTTTTTTCCACTAAATTTAAACAAGGAAAAATTCAATTCCCACACACATAATAATTGTTTGGGAGTCCACTGGGGGTAACAGACCTTTAATGGAAAACTGATCTGTGCAACAAAATTCTCACGTATTCAATTTACTGGGTGATCATAACCCCTACCTTAATCTTGGTAAATTTTAAACAATTATAGTGCACTACAAAAAATATCTCTTATCTCTTTGGGTGTGAGGTTTTGTTGGGCATTCTTACAAGTCCAGAAATATTTTGACAAGCCCACAGGGCGAGTCAAAATACAAAAAATGAGTGGAATATTCAGCAATACTAACCACCATGCTTTTCTTATCAGGAGGGAAAAGATTACACCAGATTGGCTATTTACAGTAGAAAATAACCATACAATATAGCGCAGGATTTTTGTACTCAATTTGTGTAACTATTTGTACTCCTCTTGGTGCAGTTGGATGATAAAAGAATGTATTGCACAATGCACATATTGCACTCTACCAGAATGAAAAGTTTTAAGTTGAAAAATACAATTCATTCTCCTTTGATGTGAATTACAAATGGATGAATTCATGTTTATGCAAGTTTCTAGACAGTCATACTGTCAGTTACTGCTGCTAAATGCACAAGAGATTACTTCACTAAAAACCATTTCTTAATTACATGTTTGATTAAAATTAAGCCTTGGAGGAGATCAAACTAATGAAAAAAAAAAAAAACAAAGTACAAGTACTGTTGCTGGGTTTTTATTCAAGGTTAGAGTCAAGAAAATATTCTCCTTAACTGAATTTAAGGGTAGGTCAGGCCGTTCAAATTGATATTTCAGTGAAGGAGTTACCTGTGACCTCTGGCTGTACACAACTCTCTGGTCCAATGCACAAAGAGGTGGAGTCATTCCATACGCACTCAGATGTGTTTAAGTGGTTTTGGCACGTTTCTTTATCCTTAATCAAATCACAAGGTCCTAAAACAAAATTAATAATCATAACATGTACATCTCTCAGTCATTTAGTATGGTGTCATTAGTCATAGCAAGGAAAAAACCTATCAAAGTCAACACCTGTTTCTGTTCCCAGAATTCTCTATTCACTAATTGCCATTGATTCTTATCTCTTGTGAACAAAATTAATGAAGGTCTGATTATTCAGTTTTCTTTTAAATTGTGTTTTCAGACTTATGTGCCAATAACTAATCAATATTGATGACCATCGCTATTCCATAACCATCACTCATCTGATACTGTTATGGATCTTAGTTTGCACATGGGTCATAAATCCAAGGGCAAAAAACTTGTTCCATAACTCACAGCACAGGCCTTGAGTAAGTGGCACATGCATGTTTATGTACTTAAAATGAAGAACTTTATTACATCAAAAAATTCACATGTACAAGCATACACTTTGTAGATGCTTTACAAATAGTAAGTTGAACTTCATTGCACTATTTGTAGGGCCTTGCTTATTAAGTCAAATGACAAATTATTCAACAAAACTTTTTTTGTTATTAATACTGAAATGATCTGACTTTGCACCCAGGTGCTTATTTGCTCACTGCAGCTCCAGAGAGGACACTTTTTATGGTCAGGGTGCCTATTTCTATTTTGAGAAACAGTAGTGTTTGCAAAGAAGAGCTTTGATGTTTATTAAAAGGAACAGAAGCTGAAACTGTTGAATAACAAATCTGTAGTGAATATTTTCATAGTAATGGTAGGGAATGTACTCTAGCAGTGCTATCACAGTACTGAAACAGAATAGGAGCTCTTACTGGATTAAGAGTACATGAAATATGGGCACTTTTTAGCTTAGGGGTGCTTTTTAACAAATACAAATTCCAGGGGGGCTCACAAGAGAAGGGGTGCTTACTGGAACAAGGGCACCAAATCAAATCATTTTGGTGAGCTCAATTGCACTTTTAATCAAAATTTGTATTTCATTATTGTTTACACTTTTTAAAATTGACTTCACATAACACTGGATGTGAGTTACACTTAACTACCTGGAGTGAATGATAAAATGGCACTAAAGACAACCCCTTGAAATCCTCCAAAAACATACATGGTTCTGTAATCAGAGAGAAAATAATTTTTTAATGATGGTGTACAGCTAGAATAATGAACTTTTTATAACAAGGTAAATTTTCATAATTATTGTAATTCAATGAAAACGTTTCCTTTAATTTTGAGTCAACTAATGTCATTTCATGGCCATGGGTGAACACGATAAAATTGAAACATAAAACCTACAGACATGAATTCAGCCTCCAAATTGAAAATTTACCATTGATGCAACATTAAAAAAAATATACCAAAGGCATTCTTTGGTCATGATAAAAATTATAAATGATAGGATTATCAAAGACTCCATCTTTTAACATCATACATGAACACAATTTCCCACTGCCAAAAAGTCATTGCCAGTTTGTTCTATACAATCCTGTTTTACCTGTTGACTTGCACAGCAGTGTGTCCATAACGTCCAGCAGATTTTAAAAGTCCTGACTCAGGCATCCTCTTCCACTCATCACAGGCTGAAACATCACACAGTATCAATAATATGTTGAATATTATGTGAGCAATTCAAATTTGTTTTCATTTTCCAGGTTAACTGGAAGTTAAATTGTCTGCCCTGCACAGAAAAATACATTGAAAAACACCCTGACAAATAAAACATCGTGGGTCAGGGTAATTTAAATGAAATTCAACAATCTTATAGAGACACTGCCCAGCAACAAAACTTTTTTCAGCTCAGAAAAGAGAAACTTCAGAACTCTTTCCCTTTTCCTCATTGCCTTATATACATTTTTGGACATTTCAAGGTCTTTAAATTTGGCCAGCAGATTTCCATTTTCTTTCTTTTGGTCATTCAAGACCTGATATGAACCCTGATAGATGTAAAAGGGATCATAAGATACATAACTGTATAAGTTTACCTGGTACATATAATTGACTCAACTTACTCAAGCTGTATGCAACAAAGTCCATGGAAAAGCACGGAAAGTTAGACTGCCCCTGTGATGTACCATTGTGTGAACTACCACCAAATACTAACATCAGGTCACCCAGTAAAACAGCAGAATGCAGAAAGCGAGGAAAACTGCTGTTTCTGAGAGATTTCCTACAATAGGGTTTCACAAAAAAATTAACTCTTTAATCTCTAGGAGTGACAAGCATCCAATTTCCCCTTACAATATCAACTCTGAATCAAAGATTTTGGTCACAGGAATAAAGGATATGATCACAAACCTAGAACCTACAGTAGCTAGGAAGCCTTGATCAACAATGATATTCTCCTAAAATGTATAGAGAAGAGTATGGAGAATATGGATACTGATGTTAAGGTGTAAAGGGTTAGTATAAAACGTTCAATGGTACATTAATTACTCTACTGAGCTCTGCCATTGAATAATTTATTACTGAACTCTCGAGGAAAAAAGAAAAAACGTTTTAAGACTCCCCTAATAAGTACATGTACATGGCACATGATTCTGTTCAAATCCTCTTACAGGAACATACCATATCCTTGCTTTTGGATCATAAGATGTCAGTGCAGTAGAGAGCTTATCAGAACCCACTGAGGCAATCCCACCGTAAACGTAGATTAATTTCCCCACTGGATCATAAACACTGCTGTGTCCATATGATGGGGCAATAATCTCTGTGGGAGTCCTGTATATGCTCCATTTTCCAGTCTCTGTAAATAGAATTAAAAAGAAAAGTAACATGTTGGCAGCACAATTATAACACTATTTTTATGATCATGTTAGAATTATTACAACTTAAAAATCAGTATTAATCCAACAAGATTGTGTGCTTGCTACATGTAATGGATTTCACTTTTGTCTGCGAGCCCTTAGTTCAAATAATGTCCCCATAACCAGCACATACATTGGGACATACATTGGGCCATACACCTCAAAGCAGGGGAACAGGCTGGCAATTTAATCACATTTAATTATCACTGGAAAGACAAAAAACAAACAAACAAACAAACAATTTGAGTACAAAGCAGAATTCAGTTTAGGCAACAGTTTTCAAGGCTTCTGTTGTATGTACATGCTGTTTTGGATAGAAAGTTCAATTTACATGTGGTGGCTTCACCAACAAAATTAACTGTGCATGATAATAATGCTTCTGAAACAGCTATGTAAAGGAGCTTAAAATGACTCCACTTGTCTGTAATTGGCTATAATTTCTAGGTATGGGCAAAATTGACTGATGCACAATTGAAAGTATTTTACCCAAGTCAAATTCTTGAACTCTGTCTGTATAGCCTCTATTGGGTCCAAAACCAAACAGGACAATCATTGTGGAGTCAACCAGAGTAGCTGTGTGTCCAGCGACGTAAAGAGGGGAATCACCATCACTGGTTACCAAGTCCCACTCTAGCTTTTCAGTATCGAAAGACCATAGTTGATTGGTTGCTTTTTTTCCTATTCTACCACCGAATATATACAGGGTTGACTGTGAAAATAAAATAATTATACAGAACATCAGAATGACTGTAAATTAGAAACTCATAGGGTTAGGTTGGTTAAACAATGGTCACACTCTCAAATAAATGATAAATGAATGAATGAGAGAAAAATAAATGAACAGACAGACAAACATAAAAAAGTAAAAATAATGGATTGAATAATTGACTGACTGAAACCTGAACAGGCATTAAGTAAAACACGACTATCAACCTTTGGCCTATGCAAAATATCATTAAATTTAAACTTAGAGGGAAATACTAAGGAGAGAAGGGTGGATTGTATGAAGTAAATTAAATGGCGAGGGAACACAAATTAATAAATATAAAATATCTTAAATGATTACAAATGTTATAGTATCTTATCTTATAATATGATTATTTGTAGACATCTTTGCATGTGCATACCAATATTCTGTGACCATTTATTTTGATGTTATCCATGATCAATAAACTGGAGTGTGATTTATTGTGAGACTAGAAATCTACTTGTTTGAATAAAAAATTCTTTTTCAAAGCAATATACAATAAATAACCACTGGCACTTACATTATAAGCAATCATTGAGTGACCATAACGCCTGGATGGACCCCTGGTTGAATTGACAGCTGGCAATATTACTTGCCAACTGTCACTAGGAATGTGATATCTGGAAAATGCAAATATTGGATAATGATACATTTAACATTCAGCTTTATCCAAGGTAGCCTACAGAACAAGCAAATTAGCGGGGCTGAAGTGTGATACACAAGTGTACGCAAAGCACAAGAATGAGTGTAATGCATTCTTGCCCTTCAGTATGCCAATCCACCTGTTCTGCAGGGTATATCTAAAGAGAATTCAGAAACTTATTTCTTAATCTCATTTTTTGATTGGCTCCATCAATGCCACTTTGAAGTACAGTTGTACATTCTAGTTCTGCTCCCTGACCATTCTCATTTTCAGGAGGTAACCAGTAAAAATTTGCTGCCCTTGAAGCACATGTACTTCTTGAGACCACCTAACATGCTTACAATTCTTGAAAATTCAACAGGTAAAAGGATTGCTCTACCAGTGTGAAAATTTCTTCAGGTTATGCCTATCAAAAAGGAGAAAATTGTTCTCTAACTTCTACTTATGTTGACTCAACAGATCAAGACCCATCTCATAAACTTTCTCCCTTCAACCCTAATGCACAGTCATCACTAAAAACAATTCAGCCATCCTTTAGCGACACAACTCCACCTTGATCTAGGTGTGACAACATGACGCATCAGTATTAACAAAAAAGAGTACTCTACCTGATAAGGTTCTCAAATGGCTCTGAGGTTAATGAATAGCCACCAAAGACCCACATGTAGTCACCCAGAAGAGCAGAAGCATGAGATGCTCGGCCTTGAATTAGGTCTGTATATCAAATGCGAAAAAAAAAAAAAAAAAAAAAAAAAAAAAAAGGCTATGAGAAATAATTTAAAGTGAACAAATGTACCACTGTTGACTTCCTATCCACTAGGTAAGCTGATTATATCTGAATACACTTCAAAACCTTACCTTGGCCTGTTGATGAATGGTGTATCCAGTACCCTCTGTCTCCTGTAATATTGCAAGAGGCACCTGTATGACCAGTAAAATATATTCAAGTTATTGTTTCCCAAGGTTTACATAATATGTGTTGCATTGAGTAGACAACAAGTAAAGTGGAGCTGTGATTGTAAGATGGGTTTGTTAAGAAAACTTTTTTCATGGTTTTGTAGCCAAGTGGCTCATAACTGCTGATATTTGTCTCCCATTTCTGTAAAAGGCAATTGAGAGGATCTCTCTCCCCTCTGCCTGACCCTGTGGCCTTTAACCCAGTTCCCTTACCTGTACTTTTAATTAGTATGCATTTGTACCTATAGATAGAGAGAAGTAGTGGCACTGCAATGTGTTTTGATCTTGAACACAACACAGTGATCCCCTCAGGGCTTGAATGGAGATCACCAGATCTGCAGTCCAATGTGCTAATCATTATGCTCCTGCCTCTCTACATGAACAAACTGGAGAGGGGGGTAGGGTTTTGTTTATGGGGGTCAGTGGATGCATGTGACTCCCTTGTTTTTTGATAAACAACATACAAATAGTGAAGAAGCGTTAATCTGAAAAACCTTCACAGCATGCATAACTCAATGCACATCTGACAACCTAGCACTTAAAGGCCCATTTCCAACCTTGATAAAACGTGCACCGTGATCCAATTTCCTGTAAAACGAATTCACAGATCATTGTAATCGAGAGCCATCCTGGACTTATAGTCAACTTGTTTACAGTAAATACATTTGCCATTCGTCATTTTACAGTTTCCTTACTGCATTTTGAATTTTGTCCAGAAGAATCTGGAGAAAATTTTTTTTAAGTGTCACGCTTGGATCTCTTCGTATTCTGAGAACAGAGTCAGCAAAAAGGACAACATTCAAATTTTTTCACTTTCTAGAAGCTCTTGAGGATTCTAAATGAAGATAAAATAATTCCGATAGAAATTGGTATTTTTCAAAGAGAAATATGGAAAAATATCAGACTGCCGGACGTTTAGTAATTCGAAGACCATGTCCAGTGAAAATTTTCTAAGTGTCATGTTTGGATCTCTTTGCACTCTGTGTACAAGGTGAGCGAAACGGACAACGTTGAAATTTTTTCACTTTCTAGAAGCACTCGAGGATTGTAAATGAAGGTAGAATATTTTCCAACGAAAAATTGGTATAGTTCAAAGAGAAATATGGAGTTATTTGAGGACCGTGTCCTGCCATGGCATTGAAAAGTTTTTAAGTGTCAAGTGTTTGGATGGCTTTGTACTCTGTATACAGGGTTAGCGAAAAACATCAAGTTCGAAATTGTAGGCTGCCTGGAAGCACTTGAGGATCATAAATAAAGAAAGAACATTTTCGTATTAATATTTTTTGGATTTTGAAGAGAAATATGGACAAATATTGGACAGCCAGATGTTTAATTATTTTAAGTTTGGTCACTTCATTTCAGGAATGTCAGTGACACTGACAGTTTGCATTACAATTCTTATTTCCTGCTTTGCATGGACAACGACCTCGACCACTCTTTCAAGCGCAAGCTCCTCTCCATGGGCAGGAAACTTCAACTGACCCTTGGCCCTTGGTCTTATTTAACAAGGATGGCAAACTTCAATTTAAAAAAAATTGATGAATGGATGAAAACATGGTGGATCAACATTTTCACCTTCTTCGAAATACTCGCAAGGATTTTTGTGTTCCTCTTTAGAACAACCGATCCATAAGCATTTACTGCCTCAGAATCTACAAAATTAATGGATTCATCCAATTCCATGCCGGATTAAAATGTATAGAACTGTTTTAAACAGAATCATTTTGACAAGCTCTTCAATTCATCGTTTTAAGACAACGTGACAAGGTAAAAATAACTGACCAATCAGAGGCACTATTGAAACAAAAGTGGTGGTTCAAAACAAACGACTGTGTTGCATCAAGGTTGGAAATGGGCCTTTAAATAAAACACAGAGTAGATGTTGACAGAGCAGATTGGTAAAAATCATATTCCTTTGAACAAGTGCTCATGCTCTAATAAGTGCCCTTCCCCAAATATGCGCTCATTCCCACTGTATTTAATTAATGTCAACTAAGCACCCCCTTCTCCCTCACAATCTTAAATTATGGTAGGGATACATGTATAAGGAAAACCTGTTTCTAATTAAAACTTTTTGAGCTTTGACTTCAGCAGAATGGGTTATGGAGAATAATAAGCACCCCCCTTAATTAAGCACTCTCCTTCCAATAATGCCTCTCTTTTTAGCCAAAATTTTTAAATATTAAAAAGCAACAGGGCATTTATTCAAGGGAATACCTTAACCCAGGAGTAGCATGGTGTAAATGCCCTCGGAAAAATCTTAGCTATGCCCATGATACATACCCACCAAAGTTACTGTAGTACATTGCAACAGTTTGGAAACCAGAAATTAAGACAGAAAGTTGCCAACTTGAAACCAGTTGACGAAAGTGAAAGAAAGAGGACTGACCGTGCAATTGAACAGGGCTCGAAATTAAAGCTCGCAAACTGGCAAAATGCGAGTGATTTTGTTAATCTGCGAATGAGAAAAATTTCCACTAGCAAACATTTGTTAGTTAGAATCATCCATGTCTCCCAAACATGCAGTAGAGAGGTGGTGGTTGTCAGGACAATGACAAAGGAGACCAAACATTTAACACCTTTTTTATAAAACTTTTCAGCTCATTAATAGCCTGTGCGAAATATCAATTCTAATCTTTATATCAGATATGGTCATTAATATTTCAAAGGGAAATAATTTGCTTGTGGTCTCACCAGTTTGCTAGTGGAAAAAAATCTTACCAGCAAAACTTTGCAAGTCGACTATAAAGTTAACTTCGAGCCCTGATTGAAAACAATTGATTTAGGAGAAAATAAAAACACATGTAGGAAAATTACACACTCAGAAAAATGTTGAACAGACAGCGAAAATGGAGGTGTTATAAAAATTCAAACTTACCAGTGAATCCCGAGTCACACACACACAGTCTTGTGCTGTTATCACAGTATCCATTGACACACTCAGTTATACAGGTCTGAATATCACAACTGGGACCAGTCCATCCTGCATCACAGACACATAGTTCATTTGAATCACAGTGGCCATGGAAACTGCATCTTGCTGAACAATCTTTGGTGATGCTAAAAAGAGAAAATAAGATGAGAAAATTGATGACATCTCAAACATATTGCCAAGTCTATGCAACCCTGATATCAGCCACCTGCCAGAAGGGAAAGAGCACAGGTACTGACCCATTACACTAGTGAAACTGACAAAACCTAAAGGGAAAAAAAGCAGGGCACCCTATTAGCAGCACCCCCACATTCAACTTCAAGCACCAGCAAAAGCTAACTGAATGCCAAATGCCATGTACTGTCTGCTTAGTTCTGAAAAAAAGTGCATACCCCAGAGCTACTGAGGGTATGATCTTTGTTGAGTGTATGTGACCTGTGCAGTTCAGACAGCTATACTTCAACTAAAATAATGAAGCAACACCAAAGCTTACCTATATCTTATCCTGAATCCATCTTCAACATAGTATTTATCACTATAAAAATAGAGAAATGCTGCCCCTGATTTGGCTTCAAACTGTAGCACCGGACCATCAGCGAATCTGTCTTTTGATGCATCTCTAATAATTCCACTGTATAATGGTATAAATAACATGTAGAAAACCTTTCATGCCTAACAACTTGAAGTATGAATGCTTAAGAGCCATAACAATATCCACATAAAAGGTCAGTTTTAAAGGTTCTCTGTTGGCAAGAATTATGACATAATTAAATAGGGTCTAAGAAGGGTAATCGAATGGTGAGTCTTAAAGGTGGGGTAGACAGCCAGTTCTGTTAAAAAATACTGAACCATGCACAGAGAACATATGTATGCTATGAAAAGGCAAATCTTAAAGTTCAGCTGGGGAATAGTCAACAGTTTACAAAGCCATGCTTGCAATACTTGACAATAACATTTTGACAGTGAAAAATTTATGCAGAACAGATTAGTCAAGAGTGTCCAAAGAGTTGTGCTGAAGGTCATTGTATTGCAGACACCTTACTTTCCATCCACATGCTACAAGGGAGTTTAGTTTTGTTCTCACTCCTGACCCAAAGAGCACAAATGCAATTTCCAATCAATATGATGAATGGGTCATGATCTGTCTGGTAAAAGAACTTTGCCATATGTGTGTATTATATCAGTTAACATTGCTCAATACCTTATCACGGCTATTAAAGGACTTTTGACAGATTTTCCATCATAAATATACAAATTATCCCAAATACACTCAGTTGCAACTTCTTCCAAATTCAATTGAATAGTGCTATTTGGCCTGCAAATTTTAAAAATAAATTCTAAATTAGTTTCTATAAACAGTCACTGTCAGTGCAAAATAGATCTTGGTTCTCTAGGTGTATAAATAGTGCAAATAAAAACAACTTGGGCATCACCACAGGAGTGCTACCAATAAAATGCAGTATTACAGCAAAGTCAGTGTACAACCTCTCCCCCACCTCCTCTTATGAATTATTCTGACATGCAAGTTTAGAAACATGTCACAACCAGTTATAAATTATAATTTAATTATAACACAAGGAAATAAGGAAACTACAAAGACAGAACAAGGCAGAAGGCAGAAGACTTGAGCATAAATTAAAGAGGAGGTTTTGAACATCAGATACCGTATTTACCCGTGTATAAGTCAACCTTATACTGCCTAAAAATCGGTCCAAAAAATCACCCTCGACTTCTACATGGGTCAAAATCTGAGATAAAAAAACTTTCAGGACAAATAAGCATAATAATTGTCTGATATGTAAACAAACAATCCACAATCACCAAGAACTGATAGTTGCAGCCAATAAAGAGGTAAGTCTGCTTGACGAAAGCCACATTTCACGCTTCGAAGTTTTGCTGCTTAGTAACCTAGCTTTGTATCGTGCAAGCGCGAGGACTTTGTTTAGCACGTGTTCCAATAAAATGCTTGTTGGCAGGGTTTTTGTTTTGGTTGTTACGCGCCTTTACACAATGATAAAGGTTCATTAGAAAGTAGTATGTTTGATTTTGTAAGCTAATTTCAAAAATTGTGAAGAAAATGCTGCTTACACGTGTCGCTAAAACACGCTAAATTGCTCGCGTACATGCAATAATAAACTTCATGTCCAAACTTGCTGTGATTTTTTTCATATAACCATAGTACCTGAAAGAAAATTCTAGGAAATATAAGATTAGTTTTTCAAGGAAATTCTTGCCCAGAAATAAGAAAAACTTATTTTTGGGCTCCAAAATGGGGGGTCAACTTATACACGGGTTCGACTTATACACAGGTAAATACGGTATCTGAAACTTTGAGTTTTTCAACTACTACAAGGAAATGCAACAATAAGTATAAGAATACAAGCTCAGTGTGAAGCTTTATAAGATAACTGACTTTTTGAATGAACGCTTTTATGGGCAGAACACAATGTCAAAAGAAAAGATTAATCTAAAAGATACCAACTTACTTTTTGGATTCTATTAGCCATGAGCATTTTGATGCACTGGCATATTTACCATCTCCATCAGTAATTATTCCACTATCTTGGTCCAGTCTAAAATTAAGAAATCAAACCTACATCACTATAACTATCAACTCTAAAAAATATTTAACTAAATATTAAATATTAAACTAAGCTATAAGATAATTTTGCCACAGTGGAACCTTCAAACAAAACCACCCTGAGGACAGAGAAAAAAGGCTATTAGGGAGTAAGGAGTGTAATATAACATCTGTATTTTGTGACTGACATGTTTTAAAACACTTTATTTACCAAATAGATTCCAAGTTGTCATGCATCTGTGCTCTACTATAGATAATTTTTATATGCAAAATGCAGTATGCAATATTAGTAATTTTGCAGTAATAGATTTTTAACTAGTTTGTAGTTAGCTTGTAATAAATCCCTCCAATGAATATGCTAATAAACCATTATTGTTATTACTATTATTATTAAGATGATCTCAAGTTGTGATAAGGAAAAAAAGTAGCACACGATGGGCAGCAGAATATCACTGATGTTCTTGCCATATTTTGACATCTTCTGTGACAATTAATGTAAAATAGAATCTATTTGTTTTGTTCAATAAAAAAACAAAATGTTCTAAGTGGTGACATCATCAATGCATCTGTCCACCAATATATAGTAAGTAAGAGCCAATCAAAATGCCTGTAAAAATTCAGCTTATCATATAATTCTTCCACATAAGTGTTAATACAATAACAATCAACTCATGGGAGAAAAAAAAAACAAAATGCTAGACAAAATGCTCACAGAACTATCAAAACAAGTCAGGTAAAGTGAACTGTCTGGCTTGCAGAATATTACCTTTGGTATTGCGGATGCTGTATTTTCTCCAAAAGATTTGAATACAGCTGTCACGGACTATCTGGTTGGATGATTGATCAATTATTTTGCTATATCATAGCAAGACACTGATGAATTGACCATTGTCATGAAGTTGTTTTAATTGGTGGTTGAGACCCTTTAAGTCTTACCTGCTGTTGGGAATAGGTGGCTATATAGAAGGGTTAGAATTGGAATGAAAGTAACGACCAATTGTCAAGAGAAAAAAAAGTGGCTGTTGTGGGAAGGTGATCATGGATGAGAAGTGACTGTTACTGGGTGTTTCATTATGCCAGAAGCTGAATCTTACACACATTTTGCATGATTGCTTTATGATCTGTTGGAGGACAGATGCACTGATAATGCCAACATTGCAGGCATTCTGCTTTTTTTATTATTTAGAACAAATATATTCCAAGTTGTTGTGTTTCTGTGTTGTCATAGATCAAAGAAGAAGTCAAAATGTGATGAGAACATCAGTGACACACACAGCTGTGCCTTGCATGCCACTTTTTAAAGTTCTCACCACATTTTGATGTCATCTGTGACAGCCGCATGGAATCTATTTGTCAATTATGTCAGAAAGGATTAAAGCCAGTGCAAGAAAAATTCTGACTGGTTTGCATTTGGACCAAAACATATGCAGTAAATGTCTCCTTTAATGAAAATAACAGTTAACAAATGCATCTTTCAAAATCAAAAGGAATCTTGCAATTATGTCTAACAAATTTCATGGAGGTTTGTATTTTATTTTTTAGCCCTCAAAAAAAACCACTGTACACACTAACAAGAACATACAAACATCACAAAGCGAAGTCAACTTAAAACAAACCATCCATCGATGTCAATATAAGTTTTTGCCGACGAATCGTGTTGACACACGGTTGTTTTTGTCAGCCTATCTGAAATCGGGATTTCTTAGTTAGAGAAAACTTCCTGCATGAATCCAAGATTAAGAATAATTCATCTTTAAAAAAAAGTTATTAACTTTCGACTTGCCTTCACTAATTTTTAAACAAACACATTTCCGTTTAAGAGAAAATTCAGGAAAATTTTAATACTAGTCAATTAACAACTATGTTTCAACACAACTTTACCATAAAAGGTTGTGACGACCTCCTTCTTTTTGGCTTGGGGAGAGGTAAATCAAGAATTGCAAACTCGAAAAGTGACTTTCTTAGATTTAAGACTCCAAAGAATTCATCTCTGCACAGCTGACAGTACATAATATTACATAAGCTTACAGTTGGACCAAAATAGCACTTTCTTTGAGGCGACAGACTAATCAATAAAAGCAACACAGATTTTCTAACACAAAGCGTCGCACATATAGTGTAATACTTAAATATACATGATTTTAAAATAACCAATTCTAGGTAATAAATCAAGGAAATCGAAGCTGATATAATGGACAAACAACTCAAGAACATAGCATCTTACCTGAGGCGACAAAACTGGCAAAGATTTCCCCACCATCCTGGATTGCAAATACACATACCCGCTCTACAGTAGCCATTTTTACAGTCACTATTCTTGTCACACTGGTTTGAAAGCGAAACGAAACATCCTAATACCACAAAAAGAACAAAAATGAGTGTCGACATAGACCTCCGTATACTACTCACAACAAACATGGCGGAATCATTTTCTAAGATCAAGTTCGCCAAACAAAAATTTCAGATGAGAGCCAGCGATAAGACGCGCTGACTTGCGTGCGTGGATAGAGAGCCTCGCGACTCCTCGCACGTGATTCACGAACTGTGAGGCTCCCGCGCGAAAGTTGATTGAGTTTAGAAATACAAAAAGAATTGAGGTTTGATCTTCGAACGAATTTAACCCTCATTTCGCTTGGGAGATTGTTTCATCGTACTCACTCTGTCCTTCAGATTAGCCATCGAGCTACCGATGTATGATGTATATCGATGATGGAATAAATGATCGTGGAATAAATTATAACGTTATAGTCGGAAGTGTACTGAAAAAGATCATTCAAATATCAATACTATCCAGTGTGGCTTTTTTTGCTGTTTGATGTAAGGAAACTGATATCCGCCATCTTTAATGAATAAAGTAGATTACACTTGGTGAGTTCCTTGCATGAGGCTTTATTTGTACTTTCTGCGTAGCTCGGATTTATGTCAAGCGCGCGCGAGCGATATTAATCGATTGTTCGGTAAGATATGTACTTCATTTAATGAACTATCAATTTAGATACCTTAGTTTTGCTACCTTTACCTTAGTTTTCTAAATGGAGCGAAGTAACTTATGTTGGGAGCGAAGTCACTTGTTTGATAAGGCGATCTAACTTTCGAGTGGAGCGATCTAACTTTTGGTTGGAACGAGCTAACTGGGAGCGATCTAATCATGGTGCGATCTATTCGTAATTCCAGTTGTCATGTAGTTGACATCCGGCTAGAAGGACATCTGCAAGTCATTTCGCTTAGAGAATTTCTCATGTCATTATAAAGGTGAGGGTGCTGTACTCCGAAACACTAGAAAAACATAAAATTATAATAAAATCGAGAAATATAATATGTTAAGTCTCCTTACGTTTCCGTAGCTGCCTGGTCGCTTCGGGTCTCTTAACGCTACTGTTTGACGACTTTAACTACTCAAAGGCCATTAAATTCAACAAAAGTCGACTGATTCCCCTCAAATTGCCACCAGCAAGAGCTAGTAGCGAATATCTACCCGTTCGAGCACAAATTCCGAATTGCTCCCAAATTTTAGCAAAAACAAACAATAATGTTATTTTAACCATTTAACTGTCATGTTGTGCAAGACATGTCTGGATAAAATTTCAGTGGGAAAAAAAATTCTTAGATCGCTAGTTTAGTTTGGCGCACGATGGCAGGATTTTTCTCGTCCATCTGACCCTTTCTCTTCCGAGGGAACGAGGCATTTGAGCACCGCTTTTAGTCAAATTTTTACTCTATCCTGGAACCAGCTGCTGGCGTCAATGTGAATAACACGTGGCTTCAACGTGAAATTCTCCTTCCATCACAAGTATTGAAGCCAGCATAAGAAGCGCAAGCGATCTTTTGAAGTCCTTTTTTATAACGAAATGGGTTTGTGATTGACTTTTGAATCAAACTGTGAGGTTTTTGTCGAAGAATATTGGTTTGATGCGACCTCTACCAAAATTTGGAAAATGCTAAATTTATTTTCGAGTGTCGAAAACTTGAAAACTATAATTCGCTCTAATGCGACACGGCCCTCCGTACGGGATTCAAATTTCAGAGCTTTCCGATAATATTACACGCACTGACTCCCCGGACGGTGTTTTCTGCAATATAGAGCAATAGCAACAACCCTCCTAACGATCCCCCGGCAGAGTCACTTATTTGATCAGATGGGCTCCCGTGGTAAGGTCGTTCGCAATCAGCATGACTACAAAGTCAGAATGCATGACAAAACGAAGCGTCCGTCGACATGGCGGAATTTGGTAACTGTTGCGTTCGAACGGGTAAGTGTTTACTATTCGTTCTTGCTGGTGGCAATTTGAGGGTAATCAGTCGACTTTTGTGGAATTTATTGACCTTCTTCGAGTGACGACGGTTGGTGCTCGGAACCGGTTAAAGTGACCTGCTTTCCCTATTTTCAGTGCACACCACACGAACAAAGACATTCAATAGAATAATGTCAAAAACGATCTGAAGGGAAAAGGTGGCTATGGAGTATAGGTAAAGAGACTTATCACGTTATATTTCTCGCTTTTATCATCATTTTTATCAAGTATTTGACAATTTTTCATCGTATTTGTTGTAATTCGTGAACGTGCACTTGGGAATCAAGTTCTGCGATAGGGGTTAAGACTGCTAACATCATGACGTCGCGAACGGGACTTTGAGCGCAATGCTCGACGAATTCGCTTTAAATTTACCTTAAGTATCTCACAAATCTCATGGCCGAGACGAAACACCGCGTCATACCAGCCACGAATATTTTTACAAGTATATTCTTAAAAATTTTTTTTTTTAAGGCACAAGTTTAAAATTTAATCTCTTGATTCATTACGTATTCCTTAACTTTGAATGACCTTTAAGCACCAAAATCACGCACAGTACGTTTGGGCTGCCCTTAGTTGGATAAATAAAACGACAGTGCCGTCGAACCTTTCAAAATGTCAACTCGCGGCTTAACACTAAAACGATCCGTAGAGCAAACTTCGCAAGGATTGGACTCAAAGCTATCAAAAAGGCGAGATTCTGCTTGATTAGCCTTGCTTTACTTTTAGTTGCATTCTACATCCTCTTAAGTTGAGAAATCACTTGGACAACTGTCTATGAACGGTCTTCTTTGTGGGCATAATAAATTCGCTTTGAATCTTTGAAAGCGGTTGGCCAGGCATTTAAATAATCCCCTTGTAATATTCCTAATTTTATGAAAGGCTTTTCCAACTCAAGAGTTCATTATTGAAATCATCTTGTACATTTGAAGTATCTGATTTCATAAATCGCCCGCGGCTACAGAGTTGTGAATAAATTTTTTAGAAGCTAAAGCACACAGTAACATTTATGACCATCACGACTGACAGTTGATATAATGACTAATTAATGTGTTTTCCTTTTCGCACTGACAGTCACTATTGTTAATTACTTTAGAAAGGATATCAGATATATATATATATATACATACATACATATATACACATACATATACATACATACACATATATAGCTATTTCAACGGCAAACTGACTTTCAGAGTAACAAGGAAGCGATAAACTTTAAGGCTAAATTAAAGAATGCAGACCAATTTATATATAGACTTAAGACTCGACGCGCATGTAGATTATTCCTTGTGCTTTCATCCACTGCTTGGCCAAACGAGCCACCAGATATACGCTCCTTCAAAAGTGGCCTTGTATTATGTAGTTGCTTCAAATCTAATCATTTTGACAGATGAAAATATAAGTAAAATAAATGATATGAATTTCATCAATTTCACGTCACGACAGGCCACCCAGCTGATTGTCAGCGATCACTCAAACTGGGCACATTTTGTTCATAAGTCGTGATTGAATAAGATATCGAAAACGTTTGTTATTTAGCTTTCAGATCATTCTGAGGAGAAATATCTATAAAAGCATTTCACAATTGATAAGAATTCAGTAATTACTTTTAAGTGACAGATGTTTTTGTGGTGTACCACGAACACGTCTACGCATAGTTTGTGGATATCAGTGTTCGTAAACACTGGGGACGTTTTTTATTTCTCCTAGTCTATGAAAGAAACTCTTAAGGTCTTCTCTATAGCATCTAAATCCTTTGTTAAGAAAATGTTCTTAGTTGCCGACAACGTGTAGACTACGACAGTCTCTCCCTTTCGACTAAGTCCCTTGCGCGAGTCGGAAAAAAAAACAGTGCTCCCGTGGTGCGTCGACATCAATTTTTTTCCACTTATTCTTTTTGATTCGCTCAACGGACTTTGCCGAAAAGGAAAGACTGCTCGAATTCTAGACGATGTTTTCTGCATGTGCAACACTTTTGAAGTTTTCTTAGCTAAGATTAAATTGTCATCGTTCAGTAAACTACAAAGTTTTGCAAAGAAATCCTTTCATGTTACTGACGTGCAAAACTTATAATCAAAAATTGGACTCAACACGAAACGAGATTCCGGTAACCAATAAATGAATAGAATTCAGATTAAATTCGATAAATTTAACCCCTAACCCTTTTCATAATGGAACAATTATATAATCTAATCCTCGTAAATCGAATCGTTAAACTAGAATCCTTAGGCAAGATACAAATCTATCTCGTAGCGCCGAAGCGTGTTCAAAGAGGACGAGTTGGAGACAGTGTGATCCGCATTAGAACAATTCCGTGGATTTTAAGCCTATTAAAGTATTTTGTAAAATTGATTGATTTGGTCCGGACCCTTTAAGGTATACTTAAAGTCAACACTACTCCTTTAGTTTAAGAACCATTGATAAATCGTCGATAGCGGTGATTCATATACTTTCGGATCGACAATGTTGTTGAGTGATGTTTTTAAACTCTTACCTTTGGAACCACCATTAAGTTTTTAATCTCTAACTTTAAAATCGGCCTCCGAAAAAAAAAAAAAATTTTTTTTAAGAGGGTGTCTCTGAACTTGGAGCGCCGCATCCTTGTCGCGAAGACAGCAGGATAATTAAACAGCATTCTGTCAGATGATGTTTTAATCTGACCTTCAATTTTTTTTAAGATCTTCGCTCTAAATCAAGCCAAATCAGTTTCTGCAAATATTACAAAATTCTGTATTTAGCATCAAGGCCTCATGGGGCAGTCTAATACTATAAAAATATATAAACATCGCCTATTGTAATCTACTTAACTTGGCGCCGCATTAAGACTGTTTCTGATAGACTTTTGCGGCTCGCGCTGTTTCTTTGGTTCAAACTCCATATTTACTATAAATTTTTGCATTTATGCAGAAGTTATTGAGAATAATGCTGTTTGCAATGTGTGTCAGAATGAAATTTTCCCTCGCACCCAAAGTTTACTGTAGACGGCTTACACATGGCTTTTTTGTAGCTGTCTACGTTTCAGAAAAAAAACACAAGTAACAGCCCCTGGGCTTGAATTTTAAAAATTTCGTCTGGAATGATTAAATCTTTATTAGTATTATATCTGTTTGAGCGATATTCAATAATTAAAGAGCTTATCCAAAAAGCCTGATATATCAAGTTCATTTCGCCTAATTTATTCCGTCTGTTGATTGGTTAATAGTCTTGCTTGAAAAAGATTATGAAGTGCACTGACAAAAATCTCTTTTTTTAAAAACCTCAATCTACCCTTTAAAACTGAACTTCAAAAGCCGGACTTCAGTGTTTAAAAGACGTGCAATCTCTAGTTTCTCCTATAAGAACTGTATTTCCCATAGGAAATACAATTCTTATCGGAGAGTTCCCGTGAGAGACTCAGGCAGATACGGTACAGGGCGTGGGCCGAGAGGGAGGGGGAGGGTTTCAAAGTAGGGGGGAAAGAGTAGAAGACAAAATTCTCCTAATTCTTTCTTTCTCGGAGGCCAAAAACAAAGAGTTTGATCCTGTCCCGAGAAAGACTGAATAAGCAAATGTTGATTTTCTTACCTGGAAAAATTTTAAAAGACATAAATGCATCACAGTCGTGTAATTTTTTTATGTATTTATTTTTGTTCGTTAGGAACTAATATTTCAGTAAAAATTGTTGACGAGCACATATAACTCTTGCCTGAAAAAAAAAGGGTCAGTGGTGAGTATAATTGACTTTCTTTTCGGACTGTCTAGTTTGCTTATTTATGCATTGTCAATCGTTCGTTTGTTCACGAAGGATTTTTTCCTTTTACTAAAGGAATGGAGGGAAAGGTGCTCGTAAAAAGTTAGTTGATAAATTTTCCCATAGATATTTCCTTTGCTGAAATAAAGAGACGAGAAATTTCTGTTGTTGATTTTGGCCAGTGCGGCAATGAATTGAGTACCCGTAGAAGAAGGCAAAAAAAATTAATTCGAGCCCGGACACTCATTGCATTATTCATTAGGGCACTAGGATGATCCCCTGTAGTCACATATCTTTTTTTCATCTACGAAGACAAGTAAAAAAATTCACTCTGTACTTAACACTGAGATTGGGCTTCAAGTGCTCCATGCAACTTATGTAACAATGAGGATCAGAATGAGGATGACGATGATGAGTTGGCGACCAGTTTGACGGTGAGGAAGATTTTCGACCTTTTTTCTGGCTAGAAAGACTAGAAATCTTTCACAGTATCACAGCTTTCTTGAGAAAAAGGCTGATATTACGACCCTCTTTTTTCCAAAAAGCAACTGACCAACTCGCGACTATGAGGCCTCCTTAATTAGCTAAACGCCTGCTCTAAAATTGTTCCCAATGTCCAACCTTCCGGGATAATAATAAACGATAAGTGACGGCAGGGTACTAATCCAGTTACGCTCGGAAACCTTAAAGGGGTGTAAATCCAGCTTTATCTCAGTACCCTAAGGTTGTCTTCAAAGGCACCGATTTAACTTAGATGTACCGTTGAATTCTGGCCAAATTTAGTCGCGCATTTTTGCACGAATATTTACGCTCTCGTGGCTTTCAACAAAATTGGTGTAAAGTAACTTTTCGCGCTCTGTTTGACTCAAGTTTATGCATTAGCCCCCGTATGTCTTCGGTAGGTTGTGTTTTACAGCTACGGAACAATAGCATGAGAGAGAGTCATGATTTGGAAACCCGAGCGGGAAACCCCTTCCAAGATTTCTAGGGAAGACCCCATGGGAACAAGGAACGACTGTTTTCCTCTGACGTTTTGTATCCGGCTTGCGACGTTCGTTCGCCCTCAACTTGCTACCGGAAATAGCAATGATCTTCCTTATTAAGAGCCACAAGTTAACATCCATTTATCTTATATTTTAGAGGTGCCATTTTGTCTCTTAGTGATCTGAGGTCTGTTTACACTTTGTTTTGGAATCGTGTCTGATAGCTCAAGTTCGATTACATGCAACCAGGATGATGCGTAGAAAGGTTTTTACATCGATGGCAATTTTTGGTGGCATCTATATTATTTGGCTGATTATTTCAACAGAAAGGCAGAGATTTAAAGGTAAGAACATAAAAAGATGTAGATTGTTCGGCATTTCCTATATTAGCTGAGGAGAGACTTCCTTGTAACTCGGTCGAATCCATTGTTGCGTCTGCGTTCCCAGATAAATATGTATCTTGAACTCTCAGTAACATTTTTTTGTGAATAGAAATGATTTTTCTCGTTTTCGCACCTTTTCTGCTCAACATGATTCAAATTCTGTTAGATTTTTCCTTGCAAAATATGTTTTTACCTGGTTAGGTTCATTTTTTTTTTGCATGAAATCACTCGCGTTTTCGATTCCACCGCTTTCCGTCCATCGTGTTCAAGAAACACAACGTTAACAAATACTTTGTTATTTAGTTTTTAATGTCGTTGTCGATTTGTATCCCTTTGTTTTCCTTCGTAATTTGTGAATAATCATGGTTTTTCAACCACCGGAGTCACAACCTTGTAATTTGGCTATATGGCTATGTACCATAACTATCTTTATTACCCTTTCACTTTAGAGCTAAAGATCAATCCTTTATGTAGTATCTGCTACGCATTTCTTGTTATTTCAGTTGTAAAAAATTTAGTTTAATTAAACCATATCCCCTCATCTAGTATAGTGTTATGGCTAGCTATGGGAGAATTTACTTTTTGATCACTCCTGCGAAAAAAGGCCCAATAACACCTGAATAAGGCGCGCTTCAGCTTGTTGCACTTTGTATTTTGGTCACATCAAATGTTTTTAAGCCTTTTGCACATATTTTCCCCCTTCTAACATTCTTTTTGACCTGGCAGGAAATGCGTGCCTTTACTCAAACTGTTTAATGCGCTTGGAGTGATTCCTGAAACATTTTATAATCCAATTATAATGTCTTGCGCTTTAATCAGTCCCACTGAGGTGCTTGAAAATAAACGAAGTTATATTTCATCAACGATTTAGAACGATTCACTCTCCAGTTTTAGAACTTACTTTGTTACACTGTGTTGCAATTCATCTCATTTTCAAAGTGGTCCCATGCATCTTGATCACTTGTGAAGAAATAAACACGCACGTATATGCGACGGAATTTGTAGAAAATCCGCTCACGGTAGTTATTCTCTTCTGAGTATTTAATCTAGGAACACACTGTACTCAAATTCACGTACATAAATTTTCAGATCAATTTTATTTTTCTACTCGGGAAGAGTAATAACGACTTTATGAAAGCTTGATGAGTTTTAGAACAAAAGTGAAAATAACAAGGCAGATAGCGGTACGCGTAACTGTTAAATGTCCCGTTTTGACCCTAAAAATGTTCGTTTTTAAAAATAGATAGATCTGCTGCTTCATTTCTAGTATTTTCGTTTTTCACTCTCATCAAAGGTCAGGAAGTGGAATTGAGAGATGATCACCAAAACTAAAACCCTGTGACTTGTTAGATTCGCGACTTAAAGCCTTCAGTAAATCCCTACGGAATCTGACGAATGCTACTTAAGTTAATGACTGCTCGTTCAATTTAAGCGTCCAAATAGTAATCGATCGTGTCTCGGATACAGCAGCGTGAGTGACGTTCAAATTTTTTTTTCCTTTTTGCTTAGTGTAATTTAAAGTCCACTTGCGAAAATTACTTGATATAAGACCGTATAATTCAATTAAGAATTTTTTTGTGTCGTCTTGGGGTTAAATGTGGTGTGTTCTTCATTGTTCTTAGCAGTAAAAATTAGCGGTACAAATTGTGGGAATTGGACAAATAATGATTTATTAGGGAGACCTTATATTGACGAGGGAATACAGTACTTTACTGCTAGTTGCTTGGTATGACGGAACTCGGAATAAGCTCGGTCCTGATGAACTGCGCCGAGAATTTGTTTTGTTTTGTTTTTTGTACCGATTTCTATCGAATGATGCGACGAATTATTTAAGCGACGACACAGGAATCTTTAGGCTTCAGCTGTATAATAGAGGTGGTTGGCCTGTTGTGTACATCAGGTGCTGTTCCTTTGTCAAATCTATTAACATCCACAATCTGTGTATTGAAAATGAGGTCAAGTATAAATAACGGGAATGAAAGTATGTCTAAGCTTGTTCTTTTTCCACAGGTCTCGCCTCAAAAGAATTATCATATAACACATCAGGATCAGGATGGTCAACAAAACCAGAGGTCAGTAAAGTGAAGAACAAGTTAAGAACAGCAAAAAGTTACTTCAAAATCAAAATTTTCCCCACGATTCATATCTCGATTTCTCCAAAAGCCTTTCCTCACTCCCTCCCATATGGTCGAGACAAAGTTTCAAGTGTCAACCGTTACATGTCGCGTGTCCTACAAAGAGGAGACATCCTCTGTTATGGATGGATTATATCGAAAAGTTCGTTTTGAGTTTGAGCTCAAATCAAAACTCAGCATTTTCTCATCATGTTAATTGTCTGGAAAATAATACCATGGCCTTAAAACAAATGACATTTTGACAGTCCAAAGACAGTTCATGAGTTTCCTTGGTGAATATGAACTTGGTAGTATGCCTTTCCCGAAGCCAGTAGTAAGTGTTTGACCGTAGAACAACTGACAAAATATTGTCAAGGTTATAACGGATTGCAGAGTTTTTTTAAGCTTTTTGACTGGTTCAGAAAACCTACCACCAATTTCTTAACCAATCAAATGCAACACTTAACGAATGGCGACCTGGTCTCTTGCGTTTTCTCTTTCTTTAGACATTCACGAGACATTTAGTTTAATTCCAGTTGGCTTATGATTATATTTACTTCTGTTGCGACTGATAGTTAAGATTACTTCAATTGTGGTTTTCACCCGGGTCAAACGAAAATCGCACTAAACCTTTCTACTTTCAGTCCGTTCATTCTATGACATCTAGACAAGAAGAGAGAAAACGTCAAGTTCTGGCATACTGTAAAAAGACGAGGGCAAGAGCACTGCAAGCTAAGGACCTAAATCATTTCATAGTGGACAGCAAACACCGACTGGTCTATTGTTATATTCCTAAAGTTGCGTGCTCCAAATGGAAGAAAATCATGGCGAAACTTGTGGGGTTGACTGGCAAGTCTGTACACAAACAAAAATTCAACTTTCTCAGCTATCACTCCAAAGCTGATATACGTTATATTTTGCAGAACTACTACAAGTTTCTTTTCGTTCGCGAGCCTTTTGAGCGACTATTGTCAGCGTATAGAAACAAACTGACCAATCAAACTGATATCTACAAATTGTACGCGAGCAAAATCAAGCAATCTGTCAGAGTAAGACTGGGCGCTAATGAAACATCTTCAGCACTTCATGGAAAATTTAAGTTCGAGGATTTCATATCATACTTAATCGATACTCACTCAATAAGGGGGAAAATAGATGAACATTGGAATCATTACGATAACCTCTGTCATCCGTGCGAGATAGACTTTGATTTTATCGGAAAATACGAGACATTAACAGAGGATGCTCCATTTGTGTTACGCGAGGCGGGTGTGGATCATTTAGTATCATTTCCTCCTGTCCGTTACACATCAACTAGGAACAGCTTGGGGGATTACTATTCCAAGGTTCCACGAGAAGACATTATGCGGGTCAAGAAACTTTACCGTCGCGATCTTGAAATGTTCGGGTACAATGCTAAGAACTCTCTAGGAAGCATAATAAAGTAAACAGTTTCTGACCAAATTAACGTGATGTCAAAAGTGACCATTATTGGACTGTCCAAAATCAAAATATTATATTCTCTTGCCTGAAGAGAGGTTTTTAGCTCTTTTTCCTTGTCTTTATATTAGAAGGGAAAACTACTAACACACAGAGCTTACTGTAGACTACGAGCACTCGAGTAAAAAAAAATCAGTGGAGAAAGAGTTGATGGTGGTGCGCCGCAGGGAGCTCTTTGAGACACTTCGATGTGCCGCTTCTTTTCGAGCGCCTCACTCATGGAGCTCCCGCAGTGCATCGACGTCACTCTAAGAGCTCCTCACGGCGCGCTAACACCAATTTTTTTCACTGCCATGATGGACTTCGCCGAAAAGGAGGAACTGCTCGTAGGCTAGGCTCATTGTCACTTCTATTCAGTTCGATCGTATTTCCCACCCCACCCCAGTCCTGGTTACGTTAGAGTTTTTTTCTTCAATTTTCTGTTAAATTTTGCCTTGAGAACCATCAGATGTAAACTTAATGGAAATACTCGGCCTCGATGACCGAAGGAATCTCGTTTAGGACAAATGAAGCCTAATTGTCACAAAAGGCAAATTAACACTTAACTATAATAGCCAATGGAACAATTGTGAAATGATTCGAAAGGCTGTTTTTGTGCTCATGGACATTGACCTGCGTTTTATGTCCGTCTATTGTCCTCGTTTGCCCTGAAACTAATTTCCTCATTAAAACTTCAATATACTAAATGACATCTATCACATTCAACTGTGTTAAATTACGTGGTAACTACATTTTACAACTATTCATTACTACCGCAAAAACGAACACTTTGGTCGAGTTTAAAGCAAAAAAATACAGCTCAGTACCTGGACTACTACAAAATGCTGCTGTACCTTTTAGCGAGTTTTCTTGCTGTGGAGTGTACCCTTATAAGGCCTGTTAGCTCAGCTACTCGTGATTTTTACGTAGCAGCCGTTGAAAGAAATTGGAACTATGCACCCAGTGGAAAAAACAAGATCAGAGGAATCCGGCTAAAGAACGATAATGTCAGGTAATGCGTGTACCAGTATTGTACGAATTTTCAGCACCCGCACGAAACGAAATTAGGGCATATTACTGAAATTAAAAGAAGAAAATATTTGGGTTTTTTAAATTATTATCAAAGCTTTTATCTTTAGTTTTCTCGCCATGAGTATCGTCAGGGTATCATCATTTTAATGACGTCCAATTTTACAGTTGCGACAGTTTCAAGAAAATTCCCGTTGTTAAGCGCGTTTTACACGCAACATGAACTAATCTTTGAGTAGTAAAGAAACAAGGAGAAAAAGCAAGGAACTCCGTTGCTCAGATTAAATGAGTATGTGTAGTATTTAAGTATGAAATTATATCAACTTTTTTTGATGCAGATTTTACCACGAGGTTCTAAAGTCAAAAGGATTTTAGAATGCACTCATAAACTGCTCAGGGTCCGTAATTGGGTTCGATTTTGCAGACCCAGCTTTATTTCACTAATCGTCTCTTAAAAAAGCTATTAAGGTCTGAAATATTTCGGTCTCAAATGGCAAAGGAGTTTCAAGAACTGCGTCGAAAAGTGCTCAACTCAGAGAACACTGTTCACATGACATAGGAATAGACCAGGATTGGAAACTATTTCCCACACTGTAGGTTTAAATTAAACCTGTACATTTAATTTCCATTGTTACAAAACTTATAATCATGAATTCAGAAGCATGTGTCTTTTGGAACGGGAAAAGAACAAATCGGTGCAGTGTTCAAATTCTTTCTGCGTCATAGTTCACGATGTCAGATTGTATCCAGAGCGCATTTAAGCAACAGGCGACATCGCGTAATGGTCTCGAAATTTAGAAATATTAGCTATAAATTGCCAAGAAATAACTCAACAGAGTCTTTTTATTTTTTTTAACGTGTAGTAAGTTAACTTCTAGCATTTTTGTTGGCTTGGTAACTCAAAACAGCGCTACAAAAGCTACTTCGGGCAGCAGGAGATTGAAATGCTTGAGCATTAAATATGATCGCGATACATTTTAAAAAGTGACTAAACACCTACAGTGCTTCTTTGTTGTTATTAATGGGAAAGAACCAATGATAATGATAATCAGCTCAAAACTGAATCCTTTCTTCCGCGACGATGAATAGGTTCAAATGGGCGCTCAAGGAGCGATGCATAATGTCCACAGTTTCTACCGGAGTTCCCGTGACCTTGCTTTTCTTAACAAGATCCTCCAAGGGAAGTTCGAGGGGAAAAGTAGCACCTTAAAAACCTTTAGATTTTTCTCAAACAAAGTATCACTTGACCTAGGGATTTCCTCAAGTTTTTCATCGCTTATATCATCTTTCCAAAGGGCAAAAGCTCGGTAAAAACAATTCCCATGTCCGCTGACAACGACCTCCCTCCTTTGAGGAGGCATTTTTTCAGACGTCGCGAATTGTTTATTTGATACGTTAACATGAATTAAGACAGGCTGTAAATACATAAATACAATTGAAAAGCCTTAAATGAGTTATTTCTCAGGGATTTATTGCTAATTTTATAACTATTACGCGATGACGATTTCACGATGGACCTTATGCAAGGAGAGAAGTCTATAGATATATATCTTATAACATATTTTGTGGTTATTCTGACAAAAACTTACACTTCCCTCGTATTAACATTATCTTTATCTATATATGATAAAACTGCGTTGATCTCTCTCGAAAATCCTTTTATGGACGTGGAAACAACCTTTCGCCATATATTTCCTTTTAGCGCGTTGCAATGTCTGCTCCGTGAAATCTTGGTGCAAACGAAAGGATCCGATTACTGGCAACTTATTCATTGTTGTAGACTTGTCATTAACGGTTTGTTTCTCGGTTTGGAGTACCCGCATGGTGTAGTCAAAACAGCGCTGGAATCTCTTCGGATGCATGAAAGAAAGTGATCCGCCAGACGGATGATAGGCTTATTCTTTCAAAAAGTCATGTCACCAGGTTTATCAAGAAACATCAAGAGCTTTCTCCTTTGCTTTTCAGAAGCAGATGGAGATCGGAAGTCATCAATGGCCTGTGTTCCATTAGGGAGCCAAGGGCTTAAAAATAAGCAAGAGCTTTCACCATATGCTTTATTCAAAAATCATTATTACTTGTTAGTGAAAGGAACTTCTCTACGGCTTCCTCTCGTGTTCAAGAGACCACTTGTTTAAAACACAGTTTATGACAGACAACTTGACTAGTTGCTTTCTTGTTTTTCGATTTGGAACACCCGCAGGGCAAACGTCAAAACAGCGAAAATGTTATCATCTTTTCTTTGTAATCGTGTTTTGATGCATGAAAAAAAGTGATGTAAAGAAAAAAATTAAGTCCTCCGCCTTGTAAGTTAAACTCCGGGTGCACTCTTCCGGATAACGTGATAAATAAACATCAATACTGTTGCATGACTTCAGCCTAGAAGCAATCAGCGGTTATCAGTTTATATTCGAAGAGCTGAATCATAAACCAAGTGAAAGCAGCTTTAAATGCGTATCTTTCACAGTTATATCTCCTCTTTTTCAACTACGGGTCAGTGGATTATCTCACCTACCTTGGGTTCCCCTCACCTCCTGTAAACGGACCCCCCAGATTTGTTTCGATGGTGGGCTTATTCTTAAAGCAATACCATAGCAACCCAGAAAAAACAGAACTACCGAAGCTAGTATAGCAAAAGGAAAAAGCTAGGAAACAAACCGACTTGTGGTCAAGGTGTACCATAATAAGCTGTTAGGTGAAGGTAGTTCAATATCCTATGAGTAGCGAAGTGCAAAATCCCTTAACGGCAGACAATGCGTGCGAAATACAGCTGAGTACATGATAACTAAATAATTTACACGGACCAATCAAACGTAACTAGATAGATAACAAAAGGACAAGAATGAAAGGCATTTTTTGATCGTTTATGATCGTGGACGCGAAAGTCAAGAAATTTGCGACCCAGCCTCTTACCGATCGACAAGTTGTCCCAATTAGCAAGACTAGTTTCAACAGCTTTAGGGAAATTTAACCCCCTCTAATGTTAAGTTTTCAAAGTAATTTACAACGGAATCGTATTAGGAACCTTTGTGTTCCGCAATCCAATAGGCAGGGGACTAAAAAGCATCATGCGTGGAAATATCTGTTTGACAAACAGTATGCAAATATTGAATCATTAGAAAACTCGGCTTGACACTCGATATCATGATTGTATGCATAACGTATAAACGAATATCAATCTTGCAAACGAGTAACATTTGACAGTTTGCCGGTGCCAATGCTGCAACTATGTTGCTATTTTGCGCGTTCATTCTTGCTGTATCGTGGATTTATCTGCCAAGAGAGGTTAGCTGCTCGACTCGAGAGTACTTTATTGCAGCTGTAGAAAGAAACTGGGATTATGCACCCAGTGGGCAAAACAAGATCAAAGGAATTCCACTTATAAACGACAGGTACTGTGAAATCCAGTTATGGAGTAATGCGTGTAAATGCAAGAAATCGCTAGTATCGAGTATACTCTTGTACACGTCAAATCGTTAACATTCTGCAGGCTGTGGACTGTAGTCGATCTGAAAGCGCTAAGAGGTGTATTTCTTGATTTCAGAGAATATAAGTTTCTCTATAGAGAACTGGTTCGAATACAGTAGGCCATAACTGCCTTTGAAAATGTGCCTTATGACCTTAATTGTTTGCCGGAAAAGGTTATACTTCATTTCCGTATTGCTGGAAAAGTTTATAGTTCTCGTGACATTTTTAGTTTAGAGTTTAAGGGGTTGAAAGCCTATTAGAGTTTTAATTTCCATTTCATTCAATTCGTTATTGAGCAGTATGAACTATAGGAGATATAAAAGAGTTTTAGGTGCGTTGCAAAGCTGGTAAGAACAGTATCGCACAAATTTATTCTGGTGAAGACTTGATTAGTGTTCATACCACTAATTAATCACGCCTTGCCTATAAATAGCTGCGCTTATCTAAGAGGTATCGTTCTCATATAAAGTACTTTAGACCTGTGAAAGACCCCTTCTTCGCCATTAAGGTAATGATCGTTTCTCAAAATTGTATACGCTTTAGAAGTATCTATTACATATTTTTTAGTGAGGCAAATACATGCCTTTCTATCGATAACCCAAACAACAGAACTTTAAAGGAACATCGGCAGAATTTGCAATGAGCAAAATCAATCTTGATTTTTACTTGGTGAAGCGCAATGGTTTTGAAGTAACTGCAATTTGAAGAACATGAAAACTAAACCAGCCTTTGATCTACTCTAATTGCTGATATCATTATCATGCAGACCAATATAGACTGACTTATTATAAAGTGTCTAAAGTGTCTTTATTGTTCAAAAGATAAAATTACATATCTTATGTTACATTAAAAAAAAGGATGTAAATAAGCTTAGGTGTATCTAAATAAGATAAGTATATACGTGGAAACAAATACAAAAGTCTAATACAGGAAGTACACTTTTACAAAGCTACATTGTACTTAAAAACAATTCTATTAAAAAATGTATTCTTAAAACGGTTTGTGCGAATGGCGGGCATGACAGGGGATTTATTTCTCAAATTATACCTCGTGGTCTTGGTCTCAGGGAAGTAGGCTCTAAGAGGATGGCTCAGGATAGTTGAAACCTTGCGACAAATTTTGTGATCTTGCGTTTTAAGTAATTATTATTATTATTATTATCATAAGTTATTGTTGGTTTTCTTTTGCCTGTTTGTATGAATTGGATCCGCACAGGAAAAAAAACGGCAAACAAATAAATTTCTAAGTTGGTTATTTTGTTAATTGTCGATACGTGAAAGAAAGTGATGAGTGCCAATCAATTAAGTCCTTGGGGCTGTTTTAAGATAACAAGGTACCGAGAGTAATTTTGCTGAAAAACAGGATTTCTCTCCTCGCTGTTTTAATAGAGACGATCAAGAAGATAAATTTTAGAAAGAAGCTTCGGAAACCTTTCTCGACTCTTAAGAAAGAAATGAAAATCTTTTGAATAAATTAACCACATTGGCCGTTGAATAATTTTCTGTCATCACTACTTAGATTCTTCACCAGTTCTCATTGGCCCGACGATAAAGAGAGAGCAACCGTGCTGTCCTTGGTCTTCGTCACAAATTGCCTGCAATATATATTTCGTTTTGAATTTTTGTTTTAACGTCCAAAATAAAAAAACCAAAAAAGAAAAACATTTACCTATGTCTGTCTTCGAGGAAACCGTCGAACGAGCAAGATCTTCGGTTCTGAGCGACCACGAGTCACGTTGTAATTCAAACAAATGTAGGGAATGGTTGAGGAGCTGGACAAAATAAGTCCCATCATTGAATGGGGGAACAAGCTCTCATTCTCGTCTTTAACCGATAAAATGTAATCAAATAAAGGGGTATACATTTTGAATTCGTTTTCGCACGTCAACGACACAACTGGCTGGAAATCACCCACAATGCATCAACATTATCACGCTTGAAGTGTTTAAATGTAGTGTGATCCAGGCCCGATTATTTCCATCCTATATGCGCTGGACTCTGGATCGATGGGTACATTTTCGAGACCTGGCCGGTTCAAAGTATTATATTTTTGGGCAAAACAATTAACTCTCAAAGCACCTCTCTTCACACAAGTGTATAAATGGCTACCAGCGAGTTGGCAGCCTGATTAAATGCTGGAGGTAATATTGTATTGGACTGCAATTCCACCCAAGGGGGAGTAGTGATAATCCTAGTGGATTCGTATTAAGGAAACCGGGATAAGCTCTGGCTGGGTGGGCCACTTGGCCACTTGATGATGAGCAGATAGATGGGAAGTGCATTCGACCATAACTAAGGCTCTTTATTGGAAAACCAATGGGAGTGTTTCATTACAAAAAGACATAGAAGTTAAGTTCTTACTTGATTGAAATTAAATCTTACTTTTATCAACACTAAAAATATAACAACATGAGCGATCTTGGTTAATTAGACGATTTACCCGCAGTCATGCGGTACCTTTCAGTCTGCGGGGAGTCAAGAGGCTGGCCACAGAATACAAGAAGGTGCTGTATCGAGAGTTCACTGATGAAACGTTTTCTCAAGAAAAAGCTCATCCACCACACCTCGGCTTTCTGGGTCCAGTCATAAAAGGAGAAGTAGGTGATACAATAAGGGTCCACTTTAAGAACATGGCTCGCAGGCCCTTCACCGTTCACCCCCATGGGCTTTTTTACAGCAAGGCCGCAGAAGGATCCCTTTACGCCGATCACAGTAGTGCCGATCAAAAGAGAGATGACATGGTCGGACCTAATGAGGAAAATACATACAATTGGTTTATAAATGAACATCACGCGCCTACAGAGTCAGATGAGGATTGCGTCACCAGAATGTACCATTCCCACGTGATTTCTCCGAAGGACACGAACACTGGATTAATAGGTGTGGTAAGGCTTCCTATAAGCAGGCAGTAGTCCAAGTAACGAAAGTTGCGCCTTCCGTTGCTCTAATATCTCACGGCTGCGAGAATTCCTTTGCTGAAAGTTAAATTTGAGAAGTCTATTCCTCACTGGGTTTTACGATGCCTGAGTAAATGAAAAAGGGGGAAATTATGTTCCATAAATTTACAAGCCATTTATGAGAAAGAGAGGAGAATACTTTTAATTGGCTTTTGCAGGGCCATTGTTGATTTGCAAGCGGGGTGCTTTAATGGCAGACAGTGTTCAAAGGAAAAATGTAGACCATGAATTTGTCCTTCTCTTCACCGAGATGAACGAGAATGAGAGCTGGCTGTTGGATGACAATATTGACAGCTTTTTGCCTGATCCAGCGGCGAGAAAAGCACTGAAAGCTGACCCAGAATTTCAAGCCAGCAACAAAATGGCCTCGATTAATGGTTTCATCTATGGCAACTTGCCAGGACTGGACATGTGTCAAGGAGACAAGGTCAGCTGGCATATGATTGGTCTTGGAACTTGGAGCGATGTTCACAATCGTAAGTATTATTGAATATTAGGCTAACAAGGTAATTTTATTACCATTACCAGCTGAAGCAGCTATGACATACTGACGCTAAGCCTCACAATACCAGAGTTGGCCGGTAAAGGGTGACTAGAAAAGAGTTGGTAAAGTGTGAGCACGGATGTTAAACGTGCCAGTCGCGTTACCTTGACCCAGCACATAACAAACCAAATTGGCGGCTGGGACTGTTAAGAATTTATTTTTATCGGCAACTTTCTCTGCTAACTCTGACAAGATTAGCTGAATCTTGAATAGTCTTTCCCGTTTAGAAGAACACAAAAACCAATCTGAAGTTAGGTGTAACCTTTTCATTGTACGTAGTCTCTGGTCTTGAATCGTCCAACTGGCATCAAGTTTTTCACATCCTCACATGTAAACCGGTTTAGCTGGCTGTTGGATTCGCAATTTTTGAATACTCATGAAATGAATTTGTGTTTTTGTAGCCTCGTTCCATGGACACACTGTCATGATCAGTTCTCACCGCACGGACACAGCAACGCTCCTTCCATCTACTTTCATTACAGCCTTTATGAGAGCTTTGAATCCGGGCACTTGGCTGCTAAACTGTATGAACAGCAAGTTCTTTGATAATGGAATGGCAGCGTTGTTTAACGTCCAAAACTGTAGTAAGAGAATGGACCTACCTAACGTTAGCGGTGGGAAGACAAGAATCTATTACATTGCAGCCGAAGACCAGCTTTGGGATTACGGGCCAACTGGTCAAAATAACATCGACGGAATGCCATTAACCTCTCCTAAAAGGTATGAATTTTATTATTTATCATGGAATTTTAAGTTCATGAACAGGTTTGCATACCTTAAGTCAGCAGTGAGTACGTGTCACAGGACATGGCAACACTTTCTTAACTGTCTCACAATAAAGCTTCAGATTTGTATTGAATCAAGTAAGAATTCTTAGAAATTTAATTTCTGAATTGTGCTATAAAAGAAGTATGCAATTCTTTTAAAAATTTGTTTTTTTTCGGTTATCGACCTTCATATGGAACCTAAGACAGTCCAAACGGCATATTTCAAAGTTCTATGTCGAGTAAGGAGACACAACGTCCGTTGCACCACTGTTTTATCATTCTTATGTTGTTTCACAGTGAATCTTTCCAGTATTTCACTCGCTCTGGTAACAGAATAGGAGGGCAATACAAGAAAGCAGTGTATGTAGAGTATACAGATGACACTTTTACAAGCACAAAGAATCGATCCGCTGATGAAGAGCATCTAGGATTCCTAGGTCCTGTGATCCGTGCTGAAGTTGGCGATGAAGTCAAGGTTGTTTTCAAAAATAAGGTAATGCTTAAAAATGGCCCGGCATAGATAATTTTTGCGACCAGCGCCTGTGATCTTTTTGGGTTAATTACTTTTGTCGAGGGTATTTGTCGGTAGGGCCTCTAATCGTGATTACTGATAATGGTTCTCTTTAAAACATCGATTCATCACCCAGTTCAGAGATAAGTCTAGTTTTGAGATTATCAGTGAAAAGTGTTGTCTAGTTATAGCACGGTTAGAACACCAAATGCTGTCAACAAATGACCAGACTACAAGGAAATGTATAAAATAGCCAGTCAGAGGGGAGAATTACTTATCAGATCTTTAAAGCTTAAGGCGGGTTAAACAGTGTAAGTGGATGTATAAGCTTTCCAGCATGAGCCTTACTGCTAAAACCTTCAACGGGGACAAAGATCTTTTTTTCTTGACAATAACAACACTTCTAAGACAGCCATCACTATTAGTGCGTTTGACGAAGGGCTAACGCTCGGAACGTCAGCTTTTTGACTCTTTACCGTGGCCAATTTACGTTTTCAACTCAGTTGTTAACACAAAATTACCTGCTTGTATCATAGTTTGCGTTCTCACTGGCTTCTTGAGGTTATGGGCAATTCGTTTTTAATGTAAAAACTTTTTTTTCAAAATGCACTCAAAAGTGATTTGAGCAAACTCTAACCATGTCAAACTGAACCCGTTGTGGTAAACTTACATTATTTTTTTGCAGGCAAGTCGAAATTACACCATACACCCTCAAGGTGTATTTTACGACAAAGCTAACGAAGGATCTCAGTACCAGGACGGTACAACTGGGAATGAAACTGCTGATAACGCGATAGCACCAAATGGAACATACTCGTACAGATGGATAGTGCCTGACTCTGTGGCACCGGCAGAGAATGATCCTGCGTGTCTAACATGGATGTATTACTCAAATGTTGACTCAACCAGGGACATACATAGCGGTATGTCGAGTTTCGACTCTTTTATACATTAAAAATGTTCTAGAAATGAATTTTTTGGTCTACCATATGACATTGTGAAATTAAAGGTGAATCTTCGGAAGCAGCATCTGGTAAAGCGTCAGGGCTCGTCAGGGTGTAAGTTAAAGGAAGTCAAATGGTGACGCTTCTATAGCGACTAAGTAAGTTGAATTAACTGGACGTGAAGTGGTGATTATGTTCGCGGAGAGTTTCAATGTAAGCTTTTCAACTTTACTTTGGGCTTTGTAATTTTTTTCCACCATAATTTTTTGTGAGCCTAAAAATATAAAATAATACAAGCACCGAGAAGCTACACCTTTTTCATCGCAATTATTTTCGTTTTTTAACGTACCTTTCTTACTAAAAGGAAACCAGCGTTATAGCGATATTAATCTGTTATCTTGATACACCACTACTAAAATAAATTATGTTGTAATGTTTTACAGGGCTGATTGGACCTCTTCTTATTTGCAAAAATGGAACCTTGGACCGGAATGGCAAACAGCGAAACATCAATCGCGAGTTCTTCCTTCGGTTCGCTCTAACCGACGAAGGACAGTCCTGGTACTTGACTGATAACAAATATCTAGCAAACAATGGATCTGCCATCGACGAAAGTCAGTATTTACAACAACGGTTTCTGTTTCGCTCCTCTCCCATGTACTGCATTGTTTACATGAGTTAGAGGAAAATTTATCTCGGCATGTTTTGCTACTAATCGTATGAGGGAAAAAACACGGACTCAGTTCAAATAAATTTCTAGCCTGTTCCCCCTACTGGTTTTTATCCTTACATCCTAATTAAACTTAGCATGGAAAATATAGAAATATTTTTCCTCCTTCAAATTTAAGATGACTCCAGCTTCAAGAAGAGTAACCAGATGAGAAATATCAATGGATACATGTTTGGAAATTTACCTGGTCTGCGCATGTGCAAAGGCGATAATATATCATGGCATTTCATGGGCGGTCCCGCGAGTCAAATGCACGCAGTGTACTTTTATGGAAACACCTTTACTAGAAATGGAAACAGCCATGATACACTTGGAATAATGGAAGGTAAGTAAAGCTTAGAGGGTATCCAGAAAAGACAGTGCGGGGAATCGCTCGGAGATGCCAGCGTTTTTGCTCTCAATGCGCAGAACAACACGCTCTAATTTTTACCTTTTCCGGTAGTCGAAGTCCCGTCCCACTCATTAAATCTCTTCACCAAAAAAAGCAGGAAAGAGTATTTCCATGACAGCAATGTCAGACTGCAAGACTTGTCGGATATTAGGAAGCATATCTGGTAGGAGAACAACAAGCGAGCTTGTTAAGTTCCATTATCAGCTCACATTCAACTGTTCACAGTACAACAAACTGTAGGGAGGCCGTCTAGGAAGTGCCTAAGGAGAGTCTTTGGAAACAAAATAACAACAACAAGACGACAATGACTATAGCAACGAAAGCAAGAAAAACAAAAAATTAACCAAGCATGTGCATTAAATCACCCAGACTTCAGACTACGGAATTATTTTTTTAATTCTTCTTCTGGGTCCGTTCTAGTGTCTCGTTCTCCAATCGTAGTTTAAAATTAGTTCCGTCACGTTCCGGTTCAAAAATTCCTTGATATTTATATCCGATGCAAATCATTAATTTTAGTTAACTCTATCCATCAGGATCACTGGAAAGCGTGCGAATGACGCCAGGAAATCCGGGAGTGTGGAAATTAATTTGTCGTGCGAACAACAATCTCCGAGGAGGAATGGTTGCTAAGTATACCGTTTCAGAGGATTGCGGGAAGACGTCTGCAGCTAAGGCAATGAATGGACGGAAGAGGGTGTATCATATTGCAGCGGTTGAAGAAACATGGGATTACGCGCCATCTGGGAAAGACTTGATTGAGGGAGTCGATCTCAAAGACAGCGAGTGAGTGCACATTCATATAAGGAGTGCATTCCGTTGCATCTTATTCAAGATAACTCTTTCCCACCAAAATTTCTATATCCCGATGTCATGTGTAGAAAAAGGATTTGAAAATAGACGCATTAAATCTGATAAGTTTTCTTAATCCTATTGGCAGGGAAAGGTTGTTTAAACAATGAATTTACTAAAAAAGAGCGCTGAATCACAGCAGCACATAGAGCAGGGTTCTTATTCATATTGCTGGCTAAATGAACATTTCAACGCTCTTTGACACCGTAATTCTAGGAATGACGTGCACTTGCAAACAGTTCTGTCTCGTGCGAGCATGCTTTCTTCTAAGTTTCTCTCTAAACCCTCAACGTGTTACATACCACTTTCGAACCAAAGGGTGATGCCTTTCATATACCTCAAGATAAAAAAAAAAAGAAAATAAGTGCTTGCTTAAAAATCAGAACAAGTTTCACTTATTTTTCACGTGAGTTTCCGCATAGACACTTACAATAGTAGTTTTCCTCACCTTTTCTGCACATCAGGTTACAAGACCCTTTCGTACATCTAAGCTTATAAAAGATACTCCTTTGGCGTAGATCATTTCTCTATAGTACTTCCACGGGTCTTAAGAGTCTAACGTCTTTTCTTTTTTCGGTCGTCTTCAGGTTCGCTCCTCGTTACACGATACCAGGTCCACATTTTATTGGACGCAAATACAAGAAGGCCATCTACAGAGAATTCACGGACGCCACATTTACCAAACAGAAACCAAGAAAGAAAGAAGAAGAGCATCTGGGTATTATGGGACCGATGATTAAGGCTGAAGTAGGAGATACAATTGAAGTTGTGTTTAAGAACTTGGCAACAAGACCGTACTCGGTACATCCCCACGGAATCTTGTACAGGTATATTTGGCTTTTGATTCGTATCCATTCCTGCTCATTGTGTACGTTAGGAGAAGTCAATGAAGTTTACTCACAAAACAAACTATGAATGAATGCTTTTTTCCTTACTTAACGTTTCTCTGTCGCTTCATGTTAAACGAGCCCCTAAGATCAACCTTGAGATTGATTATCAGTTATTATCAGATTATCAGTTACGATTGATTATGAGGTATGATTAATACGATTGATCAATTTGGTTAAATATTCGGTACGACTTGAAATCTTTATTATGGCCTGCTTTTAATTTAACGAAAATTAAGAATTCTCCTTTTTTTTACACAGGATACATAATGTAACATCTTAATAGGTTTACTCCTTTGCTAATCTGGTCACAATTGTTGCTGTAGTACAGGAAAAATAAACTGTCCAGCTTCCAATTCCGATCTATGATAAAAAGTACATCAATGAAATGATTAAAGTTTATGAAACTTCCTCCGTTTTGTTATCGAACGACGGCTAGACTGTTAAGCCATGTTTCTTAACCACTCAGCAAGCAGGACGAAGGTTCATCCTACAAAGATAACACAACGGGGACAGATACCGCAGACAATGCTATTGCTCCTGGGAAACTTTATAACTACATATGGAAAGTGTCTGAACGATCGGGGCCTGGGCCTGCGGACACGGCATGTCTAACATGGGCGTACTTTTCTGATGTGGATCCAGTCAAGGACACTAACACTGGTTTAGTAGGGCCGCTGATCATTTGTAGGAAGGTAGGTGTAATACAGAAAGATCCTTGTCCGCAAATGAGCTGTTTTTGATCGAGTGTAAAAAGACATCCAGGATTGTATAGGGGCAATTTTTTCAGTTATGTGACTGTCATTCCCTCCTAGCCAACCCTTTGAGAGAGCAAAAATTAAAACCAAGTAAAACTTGGTCACGTTTAAGCCTGTTTCTTTCGAGAATATCTCTCTAGTCGAGCCAGCTTGCTTAGTTTATTTCCCTGGGTTTCTTTATTGTTATTTCATTCGCTCCTTGCAATTTTTTCCTTCGTTTTGATCGACCGCTTTGATTACTTTGGCTTTAGCAATATCACTTTCACATCAGTATTGGTCTCTGGCGACGCAGAAAACAAAGCCCTAGTGGATTTCGAAAAACGAATAGCACCGTTTAAGCCTGTTTCTTTCGAGAATATCTGTTGTGGAAAGTAAAACTTGAAAACTAGTGGTCGCCTTGTAGACCAGCTGGGCTCAGTTGTTAGAAGGCCAATTAGAGCTAACCCAAAGTAAAATTTCAATCTGGGTTTCTTTACTCCTTTATTAAAAAGCCTTTTTGGGATGATTTTCTGTATTCTTTCAAGAGTATCCAATAGCAATATCCTAGACAAAAAGAATTCGACTAAATTTTCTTCTAAAGCTTTCAGATCTGAAATCAGATCTCACACTAACCCTGAGTTATCTCAGCCCGCTTTGAAAAACCCGGCTCCACTGAGACCAGCTTCGAAATTCCGCAATTTTTTTTATCGGCTAATGTGATATTTTCACTGATACGGCAAAATTTTATAAATCCATACGTATTAGGTCTATTCGAAGAATTGCATTGTCAATGGCCTCAGCAGTTCCATTCAATTTTACAAGGGTTGTGCAGTCTATTAAATCTTCTCTCACCGTTTTTACAGGGAATTTTGGATAGAGATGGTCAAAGAATTGACGTTGACCGTGAGTTTTCACTGATGTTTGTTACGATGGACGAGAACAACAACTGGTACATCGATGAAAATATTAAATATCTGACAGAAGATCCAGGACCCTTAAACGAACTCAAAGCGATTTTTAATTTTTGGGAAAGCAACCTAAAGGCGGCCATAAACGGGTACGTGTTTGGAAACATGCCACCACCAACAATGTACACCGGGGAGAAAGTTGTCTGGTACCTACTTCAAGTTGGAGGCATGACCGAAATGCATACAGTACATTTTCACGGCCAGAGCATTTTGTATGTAAGTATAAAAATAATAATAGGTGGATTCTGTCTATTTCCGGGTGCCAAATGATACGTTGTACACACCGGAGTTGATTTTGGCGTCTCTTTATGACGGGCGGTGGGTTAGAGTAGAAGAGACCGAAAGTCACGTCACGATAGAATGCACCAAGAGGGTCTCAAAAAGGTGAAAGATTTTACGACGAAAGATTAAAATTTTGGCCAGTTTATGGCTACGTTTAACCCAAAATGACACAGAATGATACTTTGTAGAAACGAAAAAAATTTTTTTTTTTTACGACAAAAGGTAAAAATTTGTCAAACGTTGTTAAACGAACGTTTTACAGCTATCGGTTAGTCCCATTGAGACCCTGCACCAATACCTTGCACATCCAAAAGCGAACATTCGAAGACCCCTTCTCTTCGACGACCACTTCCCTTCTTCGGTTAGTCATCTTTTCGTCTTTGTTTTGTTTTTTCCCGGTGGACAGTCCATACGCCCACCTCTACTCAAGAGGAATGGCCAAACTTAATGCACGTTCAAACAGCCTAAAATAACTTCTTTACAACACCCAGTTTATCGCTTACTAAAATACGCAGAAGGAAAATATAGACGTGACAGCTTGCTAAAACTGTCGACCACAAACGGTATCCTTTCCCCGAAAAATCTAGAATCACTGATTTGTCTTAAATTCTTAGCGTTAAAGTTGTCCAATTAATTCACTAGTTTTGCTTTGCTGACAACTTTCTTCTTAACTTCCATTTCAGAATTCTTTGCTCTGATTCAATTGGTTATATATAATCATATAGATAACATTGGTTATATAATCATATAGATAATAATGTAATGTAGATCGTTTGTATACGTTAAAGGAAACATTTTCCGTTAAACAACGATGTTCTGACCGTCGAAATGACAAGAGCCCCATCACAACTCCACCTCCATAAATTTCACCTTTATACAACAATCCCATCTCTCAGGCACAACGGTGGCCGTTGTGAAGAGATTTGACTATCTACGTCAATACGAAAGTGTTAACCGGAAAATCATATATCATTGCACGTATTTTGCAGAAATCGCTAAGTTATCATCGGGGCGACGTCTACGACCTGCTACCGGAAACGTTTGCCTCTGTTGAAATGATTCCTGACGCTGTTGGAACTTGGATGGTACACTGTCATGTGAATGTTCACATAACTGGTGGAATGCAGGCACTCTTTACTGTCTTAGAACCAACAAGTGAGTGGCTGAAGTGCTGCGAGAATACCTCTTTTGTTAGCATCATCTACCTCATCTTATCGTTTACTCTCGTGGGTGAGAATAAGTGAGGTTTAAGAATAAGACTTAAAGTTTGGACGCCCACCCCCCCCCCGCCCCCCTCCGACCCCCTCCTCCGCCGCATTGAACTCCCTTTAACACAGTGAAGGTACTAATAGGAGGTTCTGGGTTCGTTGAAACGTCGGGATTCAGAAATCTTTAAATGTTCCCACGCACGTAACAGAAGGAATTTATCCTCCTTAATCCTCGTTTAGTGTTCAACCTACTCTATGAAATCCCGCTGTTCTAACACGACCGTCACGGTTTCTTTCATTTTTAGGTGCGCCAACCAAGAAGCTACACCCACCTACTTCTGGCACTTCAAGAATTATTACTTCCTTCACACTGTTGTCGATTGCGCACACAGTTTTTGTTTTGTAGAATATCTCTTCTCACGAGTTGTACATTTTCGAAGAAAATGAGGAGAAATCTCAATTTAGTTTTAAAAGTCCCGCAAGTTTCACACGTGTAGTCTCGACTCTCGGAGAACACTTTTTTTTATCCAAGTTCTTGAGGAGACTTACAGTCAATACATCACCATTTCCTAACTCTGTAGATGACTTTCAATCCGAACCACCTTTGTTGCAACAGCCCGTTATTCTGTGTGACTTACTTTACAAGCATTTGTGCAGGACCTGACGGCTTTTTTCCGGACTGGCTCACGTCAACCTGTCCAGCCCTGAACACTTTACTATGGTTTGCTACCGGACTGCGCGCGAGGCCGTACCGTTCATATGATAATTACTAGTAGATCTCTGCTCCCGATCACTTTCATACGGTTTCCTATTTCCATTTCCACTGTTCAGGTTTTGTTAAAGGTGGAGAGGAATTCAATCGACTTTCAAAGGACTTATGAAAGAATGACAATTACCCTATTCTGATCGGATTCTCTGTATGCAATAATTTTTTAATTTCAAAAGGTAGTGTTTTGTTTTTGGCTCCCTTCCTGCTTAATAATTCATCTTTGCTGGCGAAAAGAAAGATTCCTCTGGGAACGCTTGGTTTTAGCTCTCTCAAAGTAAACACTTCTTAATAAAAGCTTCATTCAACCTTGCAATTTTTGTTTTCTAACTTTGGTATTTCTCATCTTTTCTATCCCTGCCAATCACACATTTCTTTAGATTTAACAATAAACTGTATCACTTCGCTAAACACCTCAGAAAGAGGATTTTGTCGAGAGCAGGCCGTGGTGTAGTGACCCGGCCTCGACTAACGCGGATCCGCGACCCTCAACATGGCTCATGGCGCAGCGGTCGGTGGCTTTAAGCCTACAACACGGCCGGCATGTCGCTTTTAATACTATATCATGATTCTGAGTTTCTATTCTTCTGAAGTTAAAACCATCTGGCCTTAATTTTTATGATTACGGTTTGCTAAATGTTTAAGCTCATTTATAGAGCATATTACGAGGCTGCGCTTAGATACGAAATTTTTCTTTGAGTGTCGATAATATCACTTACGAGTGAGCAAAGCGCACGGGCGAGAGAGACAATAAATACGAGAAGATAAATTCATATCCATAGGTGGAGTTGTCATTCTCTGTTTATCAGGTAGATTTTTAGTACATGTAGACATCGAATTCAGAGGTCGCCTGCACATAAACTCAGCTTGCAGAAAATGTCCGTCAAATTCTGAGTTACGTATAACACTAGTTATCTTTGCAAGAAATATTTCCCTCTCTCACTCTTAACTCATCGTGTGAAGATGTAAGGGTCGCGTTCACCGCTTTTGGCGGCGACGATATTATGTATCCAAAATAGAAGAATTTCTGGTTTTTATGATTGTCTATATAATAAATGTGTGTAATATCCTTATCCACATAGTCACGTCAAGGAATCTGTGGTAAAGCATATCTGTGGGTACCCCGTTTGTAACATGGTAGTACTTTGCTATTCATCTGTAATAACCTTATCGCCCTGTCAGGTGGGGATTGCAGGGTGATAACGTTATTACAGGTGTCATTTGAGATAAAAAGCCTTTTCACTTATAGGCGATTGGTTAGTCTACCCAAAGCTTGTCAAGGCCGTCACACCAACAGTTTGGTAAGGTGGTTAATATTAAAAGAAAGAAAGAAAAAGAAATAACAGAAAAAGGCGTGTTATAATTAGGTTGAATAAGTGTCATACATTCTCTTGATAGAGTATGGAGTATCTTCACTCTTGGACGGCACTGCTATTTGCAGTTTGTAAGTATTGTTATCAGCACTTCCAAGTCGATTGCGCAAATAATGACGCTGGAAAAACATAGCATCCAACATTAAAAAATAGGAGAAAAACTCTAGGAACAAATCCTTTGTGGATGGTAAACATTTCTTCGTTAATTGACGAAAAATTCGTGTTTAAGTCAGAACCTGAATTTCTGTTGCTATCTTTAAAAACTTGCGCTTTCTATGAATGTTTGTTTATTCTGCAATATTTTATGTAGCATCATCCCTTTTTTTCTTGAGTCAGTTTAGCACAAACATGACTGTGGTTTGATTTGTAGGCTTCACAATTTTGCGTTGTCTCGTGCTGTATACCCAGTATTTCCTCTTATTTGACAGTTACTTTACAAATACGCTGTCTGTATTTTTTCCTGCCAGTCTTAGTCACATTTCAAGAATATGTAACATGGGCATACCATTTACCCAAACACGAAGTCAGCACAGCAGAGGTGAAGTCTTTTAGTCCAACGGAATCAAAAGACTCAAGATTCTGGTCTACTGGAAAGAGAGGTAGCGGTACGAATCCATATGGCATGTGTTGGTTAGAATCCATATTGCATTTCATCTCACGTTCCTGCCCAGGAACACAGCAACTTGACCGAAAGGTGCGAAAACAAGGATCTTCCAGCTTCAGACAACCTTTTTAATCATTAAATTCAGATAAAGCTTGACATCACCCCCGACAAGGCCTGGATGAGTGACAACATGATGGTTCCATCAGCGTATCACCTGGATGCCTCCATTGACGGCGACTCCAAATCTCCGGTAGAAGAAGGAAAAACTCCGTTCATTTACCCGGCAGGAATGGGTCAGATTCTTATGAACGGATGTTGGGGAAAAGACTACAAGATTGGTGATCCATGTTACAATGCGAAGGAAAACTCGTCATTATGTAGGGTAAGGATAAATATCATGAAAATAAACTTCAAGGATCAGGATCGTCTAAAAAGTGAAAGAAATTCAAACTATTCATAATAAAATATTTCATAACAGTCATCTATGATGAAATCATTAGATTATCAGAGAAATTAACGACAACAGAAAAACAAAGGGAATAACAAAGAGAAAGGAAATAGGGCGAGCAATCAGAGAAAGGGTGAGAAAGAAAAATTATCATTCAAGGAAGTAACAGCTTTCTCCTTTGATGTCACTGTTTCTCACTTTATTTGCATGCAACTTTCCTTCAGAGTACTTTTCAATTGCATTTACCTCCATAGGATATGATTGATGGCGCCTTTTTCATAGGCGTGGGTTTTGACGGAAGCGGAGAATATAGTCCAGACTCCAGAAAAATGAGCATTGTCCAGAGAAACTGTGTCACCAAATCAAAGTAAGAATGAGACTCTTAAACTCTGCTGCATCATCGAGTGTCTCTCCCTCTTGTTGCCTCAATGATTCTATACTCAGTTTCCACTTCAGTTTTGACCCTTTTTTTTCAGCTACGATGGCCGAAACGTTCCAGACACCATGAATGTCCATGGTATTTATGAGACGTCAGCGTTTATGCTGACCTTTGAGAATAGCGCTGAATACCAGACATTTCCTAAACACCAGGCTGGCGTCTCTGGTTCCATATTTGGTTTCAGTGCAGGAGTGAAGAAAGCCTGGGGTGGCTCAATGTAAACTAGTACTCAGCAGTATATGGCTGCCTTGTACGTGGATGTAGAGAGGTGAGTAAGTAACAAAGTTGTGCAATAAATTTGCGTACCAATAAGCAACCGCTTATTCACAACTTTAACAGAAAAAAAAGAGTTCCAAATTGTTTCCAATGCTGAATGACGCCAAGTGAAAACTAAGTAGTAACTACAGTATTCATGTCTTGGATGAGGAATTTTGTCAGGGTTGTTGAAATGCAAGAAAATCTCATAGACCATAGATGTTTGCACAAGGACCTCCTTAACGGGAAATGGTCGTCTGATTAACTGATGCAATCTTTGAATTTAAGGTACGAAATCTTCATGGACGAAGTAAAACCAAGTGATCTTAGTCTGTCATTCCTGAGAGAATTAATGGAACTTCCAATCTCCTATTTTCAACCTGGTACACAGATAAAATTCCGTAAGGAACATTCTCTGACTTATGTTAATACTGATCCTTTGATAATGCCCACATCCACATAAAGATGTTCAGATTGATGAAAGAATTGGCCATTTATGTGTCACATAAATATCCTGTTCTAAAATTAATAAACTGCAAAAACCAGACGGAGAAAACAGCGCTAAGTAAAGGTTTCCGAAATTGTGGTTTCTCACTACGAATGTATGGTTAATAAGTTGCGGTGATCTGATAAGAAAAAAAAACCAGTTTGAAAACCGAATAGATTCACATATCTACATATTGTAGTTGATAATATACATCTTCAGATAGCTTCGTTCTGATCCAGTCTTATTTTTTGCATAAAATGACATTTATGGATTAATCACTTTTGCCATTAGATAACTATATCCAATTTCGAGGTATCCACCACAAAAAATGAGAAAAATTCGGAGAATAATTACAAATTAATAAGCATCTCAAAAGGCATCACGATATAAGTGGAAATGACAAGAGAGGAACGGGGTGGGGTTAGGGGAAGCTTGTTCTTGCCATATATCGTCTGATTCTGGTAAGAGAACGATGTCAGAAAACTAAGAGCGATAAATGTAACCTGGAGTTGTAGGCATGCATTGTTGGTCGATTTTGAGAATTTGGTTCCTACATGAGTTCAATTACACTGTCATATTCATCTCGCTTACCCCAACAGAGAACTTCATCCAACGATGGGGTACCCACTACATAAAATCAGCAAAATTCGGAGGCCAACTGCAAATAATAAAAACTATAGAAGCGTCCCAAGTGGCATCAAAGTATGAATTCTCAGAAAAAATGGAGATGGAATTTAGATTTTTATTTGCAAGCGGTGGGGCCAAGTCAAGTACTGAAGGAGGTCAAGAAGCAAAAGCCCAAAACAAGTTTACTTCCACTTCAGTTATGGCACAGGGTGGGAGCAAGAGATTGCAACCATTCTCTCAGATGTGTTCTCGCCAACGTTCAAGTCGAGTTTAAGAAAATGGCTGCAGAGTATTCCAAAATATCCTAAGGCCTTCCGTTTCTTGTTGGGATCGATAACCGATCTGGTTAATTTCCGTACGAACGATTTGTTTTCTAGAGACGACGTCGACTGGGGATGCGAGGGAAATGTAAAAAATATGGTAGAAGAAACCAGAGGAGAGAAAACTGAAAAATACTACACGGTGACAAATGCAGATGGAAGTGTCAAGAAATTCTACTGCCCTTTTCAAGACCGGGAAGAATTGGATGTTGCTTTGAGGGGAAGGCGTTCTAGTCTTCAAAGGGCTCTCGAAATTTTTATGGCCGAGGTGTGTGAAAGTAAACGTTTAAAAATAATCAAAACAGGGTTACAGCATCAATGAAAATAGCGAGAAACTACGGACCGTGGTCGTAGTGTTGGTCTTATTTCTCATTGACTATTTTTTTCTCAAAGAATGTTGATCACGAGGCGATTATCATAATGCTTAACCACTACGTTTTCTGGGAAAAGAAAAACACTGACCTAATTCATGGCGCTATTACCGCTGTCCCAACGGAGCCATTCGGGACGTCATGGCTCACCGTTGTTCTCGGGAAATAAGTGAAAAACAAGCCTTTAGCTCTGCCGCAACTACACTGTCAGACGTTCGACTGTTAGTAAATCGGCCAGACCTGCAGACTCATTCCTTCACGTCCTAGATGCTTAAAGAAAGTAAAAATAATTAAATTTTAGATAACATATATGATTGTTTTGCATAGGGCCCGATATCTGTCTCTGATATGGTGATTTCAAAGTGCACACTGGAAGACAAAACTACCGAAGTCAACGATGGCTTTTTTCTCAATACCCGTGTTCCAAAGTGGAAAGAAATCACACAGGAAAACTCGACCCTCAAAGTTACATTTGATATGGAGACCGATTTGGCCCGTGAGGTAGACAGTTTGGGAAAAATCGAGAAAAACATGACCCGAGAGGTTAGATTTACTGGTGGTAGATGGTTCACTGCTGATGAGTACGGCAAGTTCCACCTGTACAGTGGATATCGTAACGGAAAGAGCGGTGAGCTGAGGAACCACAAGTTATCCATATTTGGCCTTGTCCTAACTTATAATTCAAAATATGGAATCTTGGATCTTTTCGAAGAAGACTTCAATGAATCTAAACGGACTTATCCAACCTTAAGAGAGGAAATGATTGGATTTCCACTAGCACACTGTAGTGTATTGCGTTACCTAAGCGTTACTATAGTCACGCTATATCCTGTAAGACACGATCGGTACATGATTGTAAAAGTACATTCCTATGTAAAAGTAGTATTACTGATTCCTAGTACTGTATTGTGAATATAGCTTGTTGATTCTTTAATAAAATTTAGTTGAGCAATAGCAATGAAAGGAGTAACTTGACTGAGTCTAGACGACACAACACACACCTCACTGTGACGCACTCGAATTCTTTCCACGATTCAGATTAACGAGGGTCTACGCCCTCACCTGCAGTGACACCGTGTAATGTAAAATGGTCCAACGCCTTGCGGCTTGACCCAACAACGACCGGTGGCCGCTGCCTTCATTTCACTGCCTCTTCTGCTGGCGATTTCTTTGTTGTTTTCGCAACGATACCGAGTCGGCGCAGCTCTTGGTATTATGTGCAGATTGGAGTTAGCAAAGTTGCAATTTACAAGGTCTTTAAATGTCAACTGAAAGTGTGTGACACATTTTGATTTGTGTACGGTGATAATCATTTGTCAGCAACACTCTTAGACTTTGACTATATTTTTTACTTTTAGGGAGAGAGGGAAGTTACATCAACGTCAGACACTGGATCTGTGTCTATCGGAGATGCATTGCTGTACCAGTCATACTTTGTTTGCCTTTATGAAAAGCCTAACAGCACTCTGATTGAATATGGAAAGTCTCTGGGTACCTCAGACGGTGGAGACATATACCTGACGCATCTTGACGCGAACGATCCTTTGCCCGTCCGGTAACATGGACAAGGTTGTCAAAATATGGGACGCTCACATTATACCACGTGACCTCACAGATGCTGATTGCAAAGGTAGCACTTACAAAGATCCTCCAACAATTCTGTGTTTTTTGAAGTGCCATGAATATTGCGACCCGTTTGCAAGTTGATCTACTATAGTTATTTCTGAATTATTGTTGATATCTATTAGTGCTAGGTGTGAACAGTCCGTACCTCAAGAAGACTCACTCTTTAATCGTGACATGGAATTATATTTTATGGAAAATATGTTCATTCGAGAAAAAAATTCATAAGTTAAAAAGTGAGATGAAAATAATCTATTAGCCTATAGAAAGAATACGTATAACCGAACTAAGACTTTTTTCATTGTCTGATGAGTGCTTGTCTTTGTTTAGGTTGCAAAAACGCAGGTGCGAAGGACTTACAGCCCTCAGATTGTTTGGCTTGTAGAATAGCCAAGGATCCAAAGACTACTGTGTGCTTAGAAAAATGTCCGGAAAATACACAGCCAAACGAAAACAAGGAATGTTTACGTAAGAGTTTAATGGTATTTAGCAGATAGGTCACATGAAAGAGAAAAAACATTTCGAGAAGAAACTAGAAATGACAGGAATCTTCCATTTTTATTAGTGATCGTTCTGGTCTTGAAGGAGAACCACTGAAAGTCGTAATTTGCAACTAAGGAGGGGACAACCATCATGTGTGTTTCTGTATTGGATGAGAGATACTGGGGATACTAAAAGACTAATTTTGGCGACAGGAAATTTGATCAAGTACACGTCTTTTAACTTGTGTAAAAATTGAGCACCATTCACCGATAGGTGGTGGTTTGCCGACGTGAAAAATGATTTGTTCATCTAGATATTTATTTCCTTCTAAATCGAAAAAAAGCAGGAATTGTAAGAGATGAAAGATAAACACTACAGAGCTTCATTCTCCATTGGTCATGATACCAGGAAGCACGGGTGGAAAAAAAATGATTTGTAAAATAGATGTTTAGAATCCGATGCCAGCATAGCGGAAAACCGTATTTGGTTTATTCCATGACAAAATCCGAAGGTCGAGGTCTATAGTGTATCGCAGTTCAGATGTCATGGTCTATGAACCAAGAAAAACTCAAGAATTAATGTATGCTGTGTCTTTAAACATTCAACTAACGTTTCCATCAACGGTATCGTCGCCTTTGCAGTCACATTTGATGCTATGACAGTCGTAGGAGGAGTAGGTGGAGTAAAGGTTCAAGATATGCCCGCTCTTAATCACATGACATTGTGTCTGTGGACAAAGTTTCCTCAAACGAGTGTAAGCGGACTTAAGATGACCAGGCTGGCTAGTTACTTCGACACAAGTAGAAAAATTGGTTTCTCGTTCAATATCATAGAGTATAATAGTGAAGGTCTTGTACGTTTTTTGCTTGGCCACGTTGACAAGTGAGTGCCTTTAGTTATGACTGTTTCTCGTCCTAGATTTTTACAATACATGTAGATCCATGGCAATTACAATTTAAAGTTGGCCAAGTACATCGAGAAACAAGTAATTAGTGGGGAAAGGTGTTTTTTTGTCTAAATCAAACTATCTTGATTAGTTGGGAAAAAGAACAAGGTGTCATAGGAAGAGAATTCGATTATAATTGTAATAAAAGATAATTTGATTAAGCTCGATGCGCCTCCCTTTCCGATTGTGGAGGTGGAACTTTAGAAGTATTACCAGTACACAGCCAGGTAGTCTATGTGTCTGAATTGAACCTGTGGGATAAAGTTCTCTCTGCAGTAGAAATTTCTGAGTCGTCAAAACTCTGTTTTGGGAAGCAGGGAAATGTGAAGAAATGGTCTGATTTTTAGCCTGGCTTTAGCAAGGACAAATCTCGGTACGAAGCGCCTTCCCAGTGCAAATCTTCTAATGGCAGCAGTGAGGAAATGATGGAAGAGGGCCTTGTGGTCTCAGAAAAGAAACCATTTCCCCTTAATGCAAAGAAAAGAAGAGCTTTCAAATACACAAGAAAGGTACAAAGAAAAAATCCCACCCAGTAGCTTTAATGTGAAACTCAGAATGTAGCGTGGAAGCCTTCGGTGTCAAGAAAAACTTCAGAGGAGTCCACGTTTAACTCGAACTCAGGCGTTCACTGGCAGGTACGCCAAACAAGTTGTACACGCCGTGTTCAAGATATCTCTTCAGTTAAACGCTTGAGTGTGGATTTTAATAACAGTGTTACGGAAGTTTTTCCTAATAAGAATTAAAATGTATAGCAACAACTATCTTAGACTCAATCTCAATATTAAAATGGATGAAAAGGTCACTGGCAGCAGTGCATAATCATAAAAAAAAAAGAAAGAAAGCGTTTTAATAGTAACTTTGATTCGTCAGCCCGCCGATTCCTACAAATTAAATTGTTAATTGGCGTAAGGTTAAAGAAGCATTGTTTCATATGACACGGAGCTACATAGTTTGGTTTATTGAGTGACCCGCCACTCTATAAACTGCACGTTCACCTCGCGACGTTGAGTTTTAAATATAAACTTAACGTTATGAGAGACCATAAAAGTTCCGAGAAAATGTCGAATGGTCAACCTAGGAGACAGAAAAGAAGAGAAGTCAGATTCGTTGACGACCATGAATTGAAAGACAGGCGGGTTGACCGACAAAGAAAATCGTTAACTAAGAGTGTGTTCAGATTTACATCCACGTATTGTTGTCACAAAAGAGGCTGATAGCAAAAAATAGGAGATAAGCATGCAAATGTTGGAAAAAAAGGCAAAAAAAAAAAAAATACGAGTTGTAGTATAAAACACAAAAAAGCTGTCACTACCTACGATTACGACTATTTACGGATTAACTACTAAATGTAGATTTCAAAATGACGATGTGTCCACAAAGAATGAACGTCGGGGAAAGCAAGAATGACATCTGTGAGAGTGTAATATCTATACTTTTTAAGCTCTTTTAAGTCTCTTCAGTAAACAATTTAAGTAATAGAGCAATTCCCGTATTAGTAAGTGACTTATGACGCATTTCATAAGTTTCAAAAAATATACTTTGATGTAAACATACCGCGTTGACATTGTGTGAACATATATCCTGACTCTTCTTTTCAAAAATCATTACACCGTCGCACTTTGCCACGAGCAGTTATTTAATTCGTCTAACATCACTCAAGTATTCTTCCTCGGCTTGCACGGCAAAACCACCTGCAGTTATGATTATCTAGTCACAAGCACTATTACCATTCTCGACTCACAAACCGACTTAAGAGCAATGAATTTCATGGCTCATTAATTTAGATGAGTAAGAACGAAGTAGGAAGGTAGGTTGTGATACAGAACGATCTTTGTCCTCAAATGAGCAGTTTTTTATCGAGTGTAAAAAGGCATCCCGGATTATACATTGGTGAAATGTTTTTAGTTATGTCATTGGTCAAGAAAACTTGCTTCACCCTCCTAGTCAATCGGAGAGGAAAATTAAAACCAAGTACGATTTGGTCCCTTCGAATCTCCTTTGAGACAGCTCGCTTATTTTGTTTTTCTGTTCTCATTCGCTCCTTGTAATTTTTTTTTTCCTTCGTTTTGATCGACCGCTTTGATTACTTTGGCTACGTTTAAACCAAAATGACACACAATGACACATTGTAGAAACGAAAAACTTTTAGAACTATTTTACGACAAACGGTAAAAAAATTTGTCTATTTTTAACGGCTATATCTTTCGACCGTTTTACGGCTATCGGTTAACCCCACTGAGACCCTACACCGATATCCTGCACACCCAAAGCGAACATCTAAACACCCCTTCTCTTCGACGACCACTCCTCTTCTTCGGTCTGTCATCTTTTCGTTTTTGTTTTTTCTCGGTGGACAGTGCATACGCCCACCTCTACACAAGAGGAACGGCCAAACTTCAAGCAAGTTTAAACTTCCTAAAATAACTTCTTTACAACACCCAGTTTATCGCTCACTAACATACGCAGAAGAAAAATACAGACATGACAGCTTACTCAAACTGACGATCACAGACAGTGTTCTTTCGTCAAAACATGCAGAGTCACTGATTTATCTTCAATTCTTAGAGCGTACGTTATTTAAAGTTATCTAATTAATTCACTAGTTTTGTTTTATTGACAACTTTCTTCTTATCTTCCATTTAAGAATTCTTTGCTCTGATTCAATTGATTATATATCGTATGTGTATGTTAAAGGAAACATTTTTCGTTAAACAACGATGTTCTGACCGTCGAAATGACAAGAGTCAGATCACAAATCCACCTCCATTTAACACAGAGGAGGTACAAATAGGAAATCCTGGGTTTGCTAACATGTGGGGGCCCAAACATTTTTAAATGTTCCCACGCCCGTAACAGAACGAATTCATCCTCCATAATCCCCATTTAGTGTTCAACCTACTCTATGAAATCCCGCTGATCTATCACGACCGTAACTGTCCTTTTTTTTTTTAGGTTGCCAACCGAGAAGCGACCCCCACCTACTGCTGGCACTTCAAGAATTATTACTTCCTTCATACTGTTGTCAATTGCGCACACAGTTTTTTGTTTTGTAGAATATCTCTTCTCACGAGTTGTGCATTCTCGAGGAAAACGAGGAGAAATCTCATTTTAGTTTGAAAAGTCTCGCTGGTTTCACACATGTAGTCTCGACTCTCGGAGAACACCTTTTTATCTTTGGTCTTGTGGTGACTCAGTCAATAAATCATCATTTACTAACCCTGAAGACGATTTTCGCTCTTTACCAATTTTGTTGCAACAGCCCGTTTTTCTGTGTGACTTACTTTAAAAGCATTTGTGCAGGGCCTGACGGCTTTTTTCCGGACTGGCTCACGTCAACTTGTCCAGCCCTGAACACTTTACTATGGTTTGCTACGGGACTGCGCGCGAGGCCGTACCTTTCATATGATAATTACCAGTAGATCTCTGCTCCCGATCGCTACGTTTCCTATTTTCATTTTCACTGTTCAGGTTTTGTTGAGGTGGAAAGGAATTCAATCGACTTTCAAATGACTTATGAAAGAATAACAGTTACCCTTTTCTAATCCGACTCTCTGTTTGCAATAATTTTTTTCAAAAGGTGGTGTATTGTCTTTGGCTCCCTTCGTGTTTAATAATTCATCTTTGCTGGTGTGTAAATAAGAAAAGATTCCTCTGGGAACGCTTGGTTTCAGCTCTCTGAAAGTAAACAGTTCTTAATAAAAACTTCATTTAACCTTGCAATTTTTGTTTTCTAAATTTGGCATTTCCTATCTTATCTCTCCCTGCCGATCACACATTTCTTTAGACTTAGCAATGGCCGGCATGTCGCTTACAATACTATATGAATGATTCGGAGTTTCTATTCTTCTGAAGTCAAAACCATCTGACCTTAATTTTTATGATGATGGTTTGTTAAATGTTTTAGGTCATTTATAGAGCATATTGCGAGGCTACGCCTAGATACGAATGTTTTCTTTGAACGTCGATAATATCTCTTACGAGTGAGCAAAGCGCACGAGCGGGAGAGACAAATAAATACGAGAAGATAAATTCATATCCCTAGGTGGACTTGTCATTCTCTGTTTATTTGATAGATTTTGAGTACATGTAGACAATGAATTCAGAGATCGCCTTCACATAAACTCAGCTTACAGAAAATGTCCGTCAAATTCTGAGTTACGTATAACACTAGTTATCTTTGCAAAAAATATTTCCCTCTCTCACAGTTTTAACTCATCTTGTGAAGATGTAAATGTTACGTTAGATAATTTAATATATCATGTTTCCGAAACAGAAGAGTTTCTGGTTTTTCATAATTGTCTGTGTAATAAATGTAGATAATATCCTTATCCACATCACATTAAGGAATCTATGGTAAAGCATACCTGTAGGTACCCGTTTGTAAGATGGTATTACTTTGCTATTCATCTGTAATGACCTTATCGCCCTGCCGGGTGGAGACAGCAGGGTGATAAGGTAATTACAGGTGTCATTTGAAATTTGCAAGCCTTTTCTCTTATCAGCGATTGGTTAGTCAAGGCCGTCACATCATCAGTTTGGTAAGGTAGCTGATATTAAAAGAAGGAAAGAAAAAGAAATAACAGAAAAAGGCATGTTATAATAAGGTTGGATAATTCTCATACATTCTCTTGATTTAGTATGGGATATCTTCTCTCCCGGACGGCGCTGTTATTTGCCCTTTGTAAGTATCGTCATCAGGATTTCCAAGTGGGTTGCGCTATTAACGACGCTGGAGAAAGATAGCATCCAACATTAAAGAATAGGAGGAAAACTATAGGAATAAATCCTTTGTCTATGATGAACATTTTTTTGTTAATTGACGAAAATTTCGTGTCTAAGTCAGAACGTGAATTTTCTTTTGCTTTCTTTAGAAACTGTGCTTTCCATGAATGTCTGTTTATACTGTAATATTTGTTGTGGTATCATCCCTTATTTGCTTAAGTCAATTTCATCACAAGCATGACTGTGGTTTGATTTATTGCCCTCACCATTTTGCACTGTCTCGTGCTGTATCTAAAGCTGTCTTGCATACGCAGTATTTCCTCTTATTTGACTGTTACTTTACAAATACGTAGTCTGTATTTTTTCCCGCCAGTCTTAGTCACATTTAAAGAAGATGTAACAAGGGCATATCATTTGCCCGAAGATGAAGTCAGCACAGCGGAGGTGAAGTCTTTTATTCCAACCGAATCAAAAGACTCAAGATTCTGGTCTTCTGCAAAGAGAGGTAGCGGTACGAATTCATATGGCATGTGTTGGTTAGCAGATTTACTTTTTAGCTCACGTGGTGGAGCGTCGGGCTGCACTCAGGGTCTTAAAATAACTGAGGGGAATGTACTGCTTTTGCTGTATGACATCCGTAAATAGTTAGACATTCCAGGCTTTTTGGATAGGGAGGATATATCTCTACTGATTAGTGGGGGACGTCTAAAGAACCCGCATACTTTTCGCAAAGAGTATGGAACATAGCTCCCGGTGTTGTGCTCTGACCTCGTTATCATTTATTCAGGTCCCACATTCAAACCAGCTTTACGCTTAACTGGCCAGCCTGTTTAAATATCACAAATTTACACATACGTACCTATCAGTGAGCTATGTGCACCTGACTAGAAAAGTAGGAGCCACTTCGGAGGTTTTTGGAAAATTCTGATTTCTGAAATGAAATTGGTAAATGTTGCCATTTTTTTACTTCTTTTTGAGAAAGTACACAGTGGTGATGCAATATTTATAATAATCTCAAATTTTTTTTTTTTTTAAAGTGCAATTTCAAACCAAGTCATCACTAAAGAGGACAGACAAAAGAGGTTGCTCCTTCAAATGACTTTCTCCATAGAAGGTCTCTAAAGTTGTTATGAGAATAGCGGCAGTCTCAAATTGTCCCTTTTTAACATGCTCTTTTTTTTACAGAGCTAAAGAATCTGATTTCTCAGCCACAATCAACGGCACCAGGAAACAAGAGAGCACTTCCAGCAGCAGCGTTAGCCGTACTAAGTAATCCTAAAGTACAAGAAGCAGCTGTAGACAAAGGAATTGAAGTCGTTGGGAAAATGGTTGACAAAACTTTAGAAAACGTTGAACACGCACAAAATAAAGCAGCTCAATTCTTAAAGAAGGAGGTATGGTGATATACTTATCTTTTATAGACTTGTAAACCCTTTGCCCTGTACTCGTCGCTAAGGGGTCCTTATTCCTTGTAAATGTTTTAAATCCCATTACATACAATAACCGACAGAGTTTGATCAAAACAGTTTTTGCGTAGAGTGAATTAAGAAACTTTTTAGTCAAGTTAAACGCAAGGCAGATAACTCACACCGCTGGAGCTTTTATAAATTTCCGTACTATGAAGCAGCAAAGTGTATATTAACTCCCTTGAGTGGGATTATAGTTCATCGCGGGTTGCTTAAAACGACTTTCCTCTGGCATCCCTGAAAGCTCGCCTCTCACACTTCTGGGTACGAGAGGCATTGTGCGACTAGAGCGTCTTGCCCAGGAACACAACAGATTTACCAAAAGGTGCGAAAACCAGGATCTTCCAGCTTCATGACAACCTTTTTAATTATTAAATTCAGATAAAGCTGGACATTACTCCCGACAAGGCCTGGATAAGTGACGACATGTTTGTTCCATCAGCCTATCACCTGGATGCCTCCATTGAAGATGACTCCAAATCTCCGGTGGAAGAAGGAGAAACTCCGTTTACATACCCGGCAGGAATGGGTCAGATTCTTATGAACGGATGTTGGGGAAAAGACTACAAGATTGGTGATCCGTGTTACAATGCGAAGGAAAACTCGTCAATATGTAGGGTAAGGATAAATATCATGAAAATAAACTTTAAGGATCAGGATTATCTATAAAAAGAAAACGAAATTCAATCTGGTCAACTATTATGAAATCATTAGTTTATCAGAAAAATTAATAAGAACAGAAAAGCAAAAAGAAGAATAAAAAAAGAAAAAGAAAGGAAATAAGGCGAGCAATCAGAGAAAGGGGTGAGAAAGAAAAATTATCATTCAAGGAAATAACAGCTTTCTCCTTTGATATTGAAGAAATGTAAAATGGTTTCCGTGTTTACATAGCTTGATGTAAACACGCGGGAGGTTGGGAGAACACGAGATAAGCGTAGGAAACCACGACGCGAAGCTTATCACATTTCTTTTATAAAATAACTAATGAAAGAGGAACGAAAACCGTGTTTACATACGCTTTATGGTTTATACGTTTTATGGCCAATCAGAGCGCGCGTACTATTTGAATTATTTTATAACACTGTTTCTCATTTTATTTGCATGGAACTTTCCTTCAGAGAACTTTTCAATTGCATTTACCTCGACAGGATATGATTGATGGCGCCGCTTTCATAGGTGTGGGTTTTGACGGTAGCGGAGAATATAGTCCAGAGTCCAGAAAAATGAGCATTGTCCAGAGGAACTGTGTCAATAAAGCAACGTAAGAATGAGATTCATTTAAACTCTGCCGCATCATCGAGTGTCTCTCCCTCCTATTGCCTCAATAGTTCTATATAGTTCTATGGTTCAGTTTTCGCTTCAGTTTTGACCCCTTTTTTTCTCAGCTACGATGACCTAGACGTTCCAGACACCATGAATGTCCATGGTATTTATGAGACGTCAGCGTTTACGTTGACCTTTGAGAACAGGGCTGAATACCAGACATATCTTCAACACCAGGCTGGCGTCTCAGGTTCCATATTTGGCTTCAGTGCAGGAGTGAAAAAAGCCTGGGGTGGCTCAATGCAAACTAGTACTCAGCAGTATATGGCTGCCTTGTACGTGGATGCAGAGAGGTGAGTAAGCAACACTGCGCAATGAATTTGGATACAACTAAGCAAACGCTTATTCACAACATTAACAGACCAAAGAGTTCCAAATTGTTTCCAATGCTGAATGACGCCAAGGAAAACCAAGTATTAATTGCAGTATTCATGTCTTGGATGAGGACTTTTGCCACGGTTGTTGAAATGCAAGAAAATCTCATTGATCACAGATGTTTGCACGAGGACCCTCCTTTACGGAAACGGTCGTCTGACTAACTGATGCACTCTTTGAATTTAAGGTACGAAATCTTCATGGACGAAGTAAAACCAAGTGATCTTAGTCTGTCATTCCTGAGAGAATTCATGGAACTCCCAATCTCCTATTTTCAACCTGGTGCACAGATAAAATACCGTAAGGAACATTCTCTGACTTATGTTAACACTGATCCTTTGATAATGCCCACATCCACATAAAGATGTTCAGATTGATGAAAGAATTGGCCATTTATGTGTCACATAAATATCCTGTTCTCAAATTATTAAACTGCAAAAAAATCGAGGGAGAAAACAGCACAAAGTAAAGGTTTCCCAAATTGTGGTTTCTTACTTCGAATGCATGGTTAATAAATTGTGCACGTGGTGATCTGATAAAAATTAATAAACCAGTTTGAAAACCGAAGAGATTTACACATCTACACATTGTAGTTGATAATATATATCTTCAGACAGCTTTGTTCTGATCCAGTTTCTTTCTCTTTTTTTTTGCATAAAATGACATTCATGATTAAACCACTTTTGCCATTATATAACTATATGCAATGTTGAGGTATCCACCAAATAAAATGAGGAAAATTCGGACGCTAATAAGTGGAAATGAGAGTTAAATTTAGATATTATGGCAGGTTATAAGAGAGGAAGGGGTTGGGGTAGGGGAAAGCTTGTTCTTGCCGTATATTGTCTGATTCTGGTAAGAGAACGATGTCAGAAAATTGAGAACGATAAATGTAACCTGGAGTTGTAGACATGCATTGTTGGTCAATTTTGAGAATTTGGTTCCTACATGAGTTCAATTACACTGTCATGTTCATCTCGCTTACGCCAACAGAGAACTTCATCCAACGATGGGGTACCCACTACATAAAATCAGCGAAATTCGGAGGCCAACTGCAAATAAGAAAAACTATGGAAGCGTCCCAAGTGGCATCAAAACATGCATTCGCAGAAAAAATGGAGATGGAATTTAGATTTTTATTCGCAAGCGGTGGGGCCAAGTCAAGTACTGAAGGAGGTCAAGAAGCAAAAGCCCAAAACAAATTCACTTCCACTTCAGTTATGGCACAGGGTGGGAGCCAAGAGATTGCAACCATTCTCTCAGATGTGTACTCGCCAACGTTCAAGTCGAGTTTAAGGGAATGGCTGCAGAGTATTCCAAATTATCCCAAGGCTTTCCGTTTTTTGTTGGGATCGATAGTTGACCTAGTTAATTTCCGTGCAAACGATTTGTTTTCTGCAGAAGACGTCGACTGGGGATGCGAGGGGAATGTACAAAATATTGTAGAAGAAACAAGAGGGGAGACAACTCAAAGGTACTACACGGTGACAAATGCTGATGGAAGAGTCAAGAAGTTCTACTGCCCTTTTCAAGACCGGGAAGAATTGGATGTTGCTTTGAGGAAAAGGCGTTCCAGTCTCAACAGGGCTATCGAGATTTTTATGGCCGAGGTGTGTTAAAGTAGAACTCTTAAAATAATGAAAAAAGGGCTACAGAATCAATGAATAGCGAGAAACTACGGACTGTGTTCGTAGAATTCGTCATATTACTCATTGATCATTTTTTTCTCAAAGAATATTGACTACGAGGTGATTGGCATAAAGCTTAACCGCTGTGTTTTCTGGGAAAAGAAAAACAGACTTAAGTTCATGGTACTATCACCGCTGTCTCAATGCCCCTATTATCGCTTTCGATGGAAAAGGCAGAATCCCTGAAAGCCATTGGGAACGTCATGGCTCACCGTTGTTCTAACGGAGTGAAAAACAAGCCTTTGGTTAACAATTGTTAGCTCTGCCGCAACTACACTGTCAGACGTTCGACTGTTATTAAATCGGCCAGACCTGCAGACTCATTCCTTTACGTACTAGATACTTAAAGACTATAAAAATAATTTATTTTGAATGACATATATATTTGTTCTGCTTAGGGCCCGATATCTGTTTCTGATATGGTGATTTCAAAGTGCACACGGGAAGACAAAACTACTGAAGTCAACGATGGCTTTTTTCTCAATACCCGTGTTCCAAAGTGGAAAGAAATACACAAGAAAACTCGACCCTCACAGTTAAATTTGATATGGAGACCAATTTGGCCCGTGGGGTAGACGGTTTGGGAAAAATCGAGAAAAACATGACCCGAGAAGTTAAATTTACTGGTGGTAGATGGTTCACTGCTGATGAGTACGGCAAGTTCCACCTGTACAGTGGATATCGTAACGGAAAGAGCGGTGAGCTGAGGAACCACAAGTTATCCATATTTGGCCTTGTCCTAACTTATAATTCAAAATATGGAAGCTTGGATCTTATCAAAGAAGACTTCAATGAATCTAAACGGACTTATCCAACCTTAAGAGAGGAAATGATTGGATTTCCACTACCACACCTCACTGTGACGCACTCGAATTCTTTCCACGATTCAGATAAACGAGGGTCTGCGCCCTCACCTGCGGTGACACCGTGTAATGTAAAATGGTCCAACGCCTTGCGGCTTGACCCAACAACGACTGGTGGCCGTTGCCTTCATTTCACTGCCTCTTCTGCTGGCGATTTCTTTGTTGTTTTCGCAACGATACCGAGTCGGCGCAGCTCTTGGTATTATGTGCAGATTGGAGTCAGAAAAGTTGCAATTTATAAGGTCTATAAATGTTAACTGAAAGTGTGTGACACATTTTGATTTGTGTACGTTGATAATCATTTGTCAGCAACACTCTTAGACTTTGACTATATTTTTACTTTTTAGGGAGAGGGAAGTTACATCAACGTCAGACACTGGATCTGTGTCTATCGGAGATGCATTGCTGTACCAGTCATACTTTGTTTGCCTTTATGAAAAGCCCAACAGCACTCTGATTGAATATGGAAAGTCTCTGGGTATCTCAGACGGTGGAGACATATATCTGACGCATCTTGACGCCAACAATCCCTTAAACGTGCGATTTTACGCTTTTGGTAACATGGATAAGGTTGTCAAAATATGGGACGCTCACATTACACCACGTGACCTTACAGATGCTGATTGCAAAGGAAGCACTTACAAAGATCTCCCAACAAATCTGTGCTTTTTGAAGTGCCATGAATATTGCGACCCTTTTGCAGGTTGACCTATTTAAATAGTTATCTCTGAATTTTTGGTAACATCTGTGGCGTTTGGTGTGAACAGTCCGTACATCAAGAGGACGGATGTGGAATTCACGGTCTTTCATTATGACATGGAATTCTATTTTAAGGAAAATATGTTCATTGAAAGAAAAATTCATAAGTTAAGACGAGGGTTGAAAAATAATCTATTAGCCTATAGAAAGAATACGTATAACCGAACTAAGACTTTTTTCATTGCCTGATGAGTGCTTGTCTTTGTTTAGGTTGCAAAAATGCTGGTGCGAAAGATTTACGGCCCTCAGATTGTTTGGCTTGTAGAGTAGCCAAGGATCCAGTGACTAATGTGTGCTTAGAAAAATGTCCGGCAAATACACAGCCAGACGAAAAGAAGGAATGTTTACGTAAGAGTTTAAGGGTATTTAGCAGATAGGTCACGTGAAAGAGAAAACATTTTGGGAAGAAACTAGAAATGACAGGAATCCAACAGGAATCCATCATTCTAGTGATCGTTCTGGTCTCGAAGGAGTACCACTGAAAGTCATAATTTGAAACTTTGGAGGGGGCAACCGTTATGTGTGTCTCTATAATGGATGAGAGATATCGAGGATACCAAAAAGACTAATTTTAGCAACAGGAAATTTAATCAAGTACACGTCTTTAACTTTTGTAAAAGTTGGGTACTGAACAGTCACCATTTACCGATAGGTGGGGGTTTGCCGACGTGAAAATGATTTGTTCATCTAGATATTTATTTCCTTCCGTAAATCGAACAAAGGGAGGAATTGAAAGGGATGAAATTGAAAGGTCATGATACCAGGAGGTGCGAGTGGAACAAAAATGATTGGTAAAATAGATACTTAGAGTCTGATTCCAGCATAGCGGAAAACTCACTTGGTTTGTTCCATGACAAAATCCAGAGGTCGAGGTGTATGGTATATTGCAGTTCAGATGTCATGGTTTGTAAACCAAGAAAAACTCGGCAATTGATTTCTTTAATCAATGGTCTTTATATAGTCAACTAACGTTTCCATGAACGTTATTGATTGCCTTTGCAGTCACATTTGATGCCAAAACAATCGTACCAGGAGGAGTTACGGCTACTTCAAGATATTTAAAGCGGTGGCAAGTAAGTGGAGTAAAGGTCCAGGATATGCCCGCTCTTAATCACATGACATTGTGTCTGTGGACAAAGTTTCCTCAAACGAATTTGCGTGGAATTAAGATAACCGGCCTGGCCAGGTACTACGACACAAACAGAAAAAGTGGTTTCTTCCTCAGGAACGTGGAGTATAGTAAAAATGGTGGAGGTTTTATACATTTTGGCCTTGGCCATGTTCCTAAGTAAGTTCCTTTTGTCATGTCTGTTTCTTGTCCTAGAGTTATATAATAGATGTAGATTCATGGCAATTACAATTTAAAGTTGGCCAAGTACATCGTGGACCAAGTCATTGGTGGGGAAAGGTGTTTTTTTGTTTGAACCAAACTATCTTGATTACTTGGAAAAAAGAACAAGGTATCTCAGGAAGAGAATTTGATTATAATTAAAATAAAGCCTCCTTTCCCGATTGTTATCGAATGAATAATGATCGAGTTAGCAAAACTCTTTTCAAAATATTTGTAAATATTGTACAACTTAGCATAGCCACAGAGGGTAAGATGGTGCCTCTTTCGCCTTTTCGCAGGAGGAAGACCTTGCGCTTTTCAAGAGCATTTCTAGATGATAATGAGTGGCACCGATTATGCATTGCTTGGAACGGTGTCAGTGGCGTGACTAAGGTGTACGTTGATGGTGTTCAGGATAAAAGTGCCAAATTTGGCAAATACGCCGTAGGGGGATTATTAAAGGATTCATTACCGGGAGGTGGAACTTTAGAAGTATTACCAGTACACAGCCAGGTAGTCTATGTGTCTGAATTGAACCTGTGGGATAAAGTTCTCTCTGCAGTAGAAATTTCTGAGTCGTCAAAACTCTGTTTTGGGAAGCAGGGAAATGTGAAGAAATGGTCAGATTTTTGGCCTGCCTTTAGCAAATACAAATCTCGGTACGAAGCGCCTTCCCAGTGCAAATCTCCTATTGGCAGCAGCGAGGAAATGATGGAAGAGGATCTTGTGGTCTCTAATGGCAGCGATGAGGATATGATGGAAGAGGGCCTTGTGGTCTCAGAAAACAGACCATTTCCCCCTAACGCGAAGAAAAGAAGAGCTTTCAAATACGCAAGAAAGGGACAAAAAAAATCCCACCCAGTAGCTTTAATGTGATACTCAGAATGTAGCGTCGAAGCCTTCGGTGTCAAGAAAAACTTCAGAGGAGTCCACGTTTAACTCGAACTCAGGCGTTTACCGGCAGGTACGCCAAAAAAAATGTGCACGCTGTGTTCAAGATATCTCTTCAGTTAAACGCTTGACATGTATGAATAACTTTAAACACTCCCTGAGTGTGGATTTTAATAACAGTGTTACGGATGTTTTTCCTAATAAGAATTAAAATATATAGCAACAACTATCTTAGACTCAATCTCAATATTAAAATGGATGAAAAGGTCACTGGCAGCAGTGCATTATCATACGTTGCTGGGTAACCACACAAATGCTGTGATACATTGACGTTTTGCTTCTGAAGAAGCGTTAAGGTATAATTGATGCAAATGATAAGCTGAAAAAAAGGATCGTAAATCCCTTGCTATATAATAACTGCACTAGTCGCCTGAAAGAACTTGATCTCTCAATTTATAGGTCTGAGTCAGGGGAAAAAAGGCATCAAACAAAACTCTATAACATGAACGGCCACAAATTCAGTAAAGGACGCAAATACGACAGAGAAATGGAGAGAGCATTTGTTTTGATTTACCACAACATCAAGAGGTTACAGGATGGGCGGGTGTACGAACGTGCTACTAATCGAGTGTCATTCGTTGCGGACCAAGTCGATTTAGAACACACTTTGCAAAGACTGTCAACCACGTCAGACCCGTTGAATGGACCGACTGAGGGTGTCCTTCGACGAAACATGTATCACGAATCTATCAGTCGTCCTAAATCTCGTTTTCTTTCCGAGGGTTACGATAGTAATCCATCCTCTCAACAGCGAAAAGTTTCATTTGCTGATGATTGCACCTCGAAAGAGCTGACAAAGGGCAACGGCCATACCCGGACATAGATCGACAACTGAACCGTCATCTTTGAATTACAGCAAAAAGAAGACGATTTAAAAAGGAGGGAAATGGTGCACAGAATTGCAAACAATTAAATCGCACAAATGATATATAGACTGTTTTCACGTGATGAACAGAAGATGAAGTGTTTGTTTTGACGTTCTGAATGTCTAAGCTTTCTAGAAGCTACCCGAGCAGAAAGAAACATAACTAGTTGGTAATTTAGAGGCTGGGATTATATAACCGCGGTAAGGAGATTGCACAAAACAAACATTTGCTTTACTCTGTTTACATAAAAATGACGAAATACATATTATGGACAGTTTGTCTCAAACGAGCTCAGTCCTAACATGGTATGCATTCCGACGCTAAAAATGAGTACTATGCTTCCTGTTCATGGAATTAATAACATTGTTTCACACACTGAATTTCACAGGTTGTCTGGATACATGAACAAATCGGAGCACTAGAGGTTGAAATCCCTTGGCTTTTCGTGCAAAATAAATAGAATCATTGCGTCATATTTAATGACGTCATAGCCCAGTGAAAAGATATTCTCACGGATCACATGCCACAGTTTTGACATATTAACATGTATCATTGAGATCAAACATGACGAAGCAGTATAAGGCTTTATGCCTCAACTACTGGCGTCTATGGATAATTGCTAAGAAGTGGAACGCGTTATGGCGTAACGGTAGAAACCGTTTACACTTAATTGCTTTCAATTCGTCTGTTTCCTGATATCAAAGAAAAAGAAAACCAACGAAAAACATCAGAGAATTATGAAATGCTTTTATGCTGCAAATGAAGATAAACAATACTGGCGAACTTTGACTTAGTAGATTCCCTTAAGCCAAAAAATCACTAGAACTGTAGGACAAAACAAAGCGTTTTAATAGTAACTTTGATTCGTCAGCCCGCCGATTCCTACAAATTAAATTGTTAATTAACGTAAGCTTAAAGAAGCATTGTATGATATGACACGAAGCTACATAGTTTGGTTCATTGAGTGACCCGCCACTCTAGAAACTGCACGTTCACCTCGCGACATTGAGCTTTAAATATAAACTTAACGTTATGAGAGACCATAAAAGTTCCGAGAAAATGTCGAATGGTCAATCTAGGAGACACCATACTTACCACAAAGAGATGGATCACGCTTTCACTCTTATTTCCACAACATCAAGAGACTGCAAGATGACCGAATATGCAACAGCGCTCCTAACATCGCCCAACCTCAGTATGACCAGCAGGAGTCGATAAATCCAGCTATGACACTGAAAGTCCCTTTCGCGCAGCCGAAGAGATGTATGTCTGATTCTTCATTGAAACTTGCAGTGGTAGACACACAAGAAAAGACTTGTCGGATAATAGGAAGCATATCTGGTAGGAGAACAACAAGCGAGCTTGTTAAGTTCCATTATCAGCTCACATTCAACTGTTCACAGTACAACAAACTGCAGGAGGCCGTCTAGGAAGTGCCTAAGGAGAGTCTTTGGAAACAAAATAACAACAACAAGACGACAATGACTATAGCAACGAAAGCAAGAAAAACAAAAACTTAACCAAGCATGTGCATTAAATCAGCCAGACTTCAGACTACGGAATTATTTTTTAATTCTTCTTCTGGGTCCGTTCTAGTGTCTCGTTCTCCAGTCGTAGTTTAAAATTAGTTCCGTCACGTTCCGGTTCAAAAATTCCTTGATATTTATATCCAATGCAAATCATTAATTTTAGTTAACTCTATCCATCAGGATCACTGGAAAGCGTGCGAATGACTCCAGGAAATCCGGGAGTGTGGAAATTAATTTGTCGTGCGAACAGCAATCTCCGAGGAGGAATGGTTGCTAAGTATACCGTTTCAGAGGATTGCGGGAAGACGTCTGCAGCTAAGGCAATGAATGGACGGAAGAGGGTGTATCATATTGCAGCGGTTGAAGAAACATGGGATTACGCGCCATCTGGGAAAGACTTGATTGAGGGAGTCGATCTCAAAGACAGCGAGTGAGTGCACATTCATATAAGGAGTGCATCCCGTTGCATCTTATTCAAGATAACTCTTTCCCACCAAAATTTCTATATCCCGATGTCATGTGTAGAAAAAGGATTTGAAAATAGACGCATTAAATCTGATAAGTTTTCTTAATCCTATTGGTAGGGAAAGGTTGTTTAAACAATGAATTTACTAAAAAAGAGCGCTGAATCACAGCAGCACATAGAGCAGGGTTCTTATTCATATTGCTGGCTAAATGAACATTTCAACGCTCTTTCACACCGTAATTCTAGGAGTGACGTGCACTTGCAAACAGTTCTGTCTCGTGCGAGCATGCTTTCTTCTAAGTTTCTCTCTAAACCCTCAACGTGTTACATACCACTTTCGAACCAAAGGGTGATGCCTTTCATATACCTCAAGATAAAAAAAAAAGAAAATAAGTGCTTGCTTAAAAATCAGAACAAGTTTCACTTATTTTTCACGTGAGTTTCCGCATAGACACTTACAATAGTAGTTTTCCTCACCTTTTCTGCACATCAGGTTACAAGACCCTTTCTTACATCTAAGCTTATAAAAGATACTCCTTTGGCGTAGATCATATCTCTATAGTACTTCCACGGGTCTTAAGAGTCTAAAGTCTTTTCTTTTTTCGGTCGTCTTCAGGTTCGCTCCTCGTTACACGATACCAGGTCCACATTTTATTGGACGCAAATACAAGAAGGCCATCTACAGAGAATTCACGGACGCCACATTTACCAAACAGAAACCAAGAAAGAAAGAAGAAGAGCATCTGGGTATTATGGGACCGATGATTAAGGCTGAAGTAGGAGATACAATTGAAGTTGCATTTAAGAACTTGGCAACAAGACCGTACTCGGTACATCCTCACGGAATCTTGCACAGGTATATTTGGCTTTTGATTCGTATCCATTCCTGCTCATTGTGTACGTTAGGAGAAGTCAATGAAGTTTACTCACAAAACAAACTATGAATGAATGCTTTTTTCCTTACTTAACGTTTCTCTGTCGCTACATGTTTAACGAGCCCCCAAGATCAACCTTGAGATTGATTATCAGTTATTATCAGATTATCAGTTACGATGGATTATCAGGTATGATTAATACGATTGATCAATTTGGTTAAATATTCGGTACGACTTGAAATCTTTATTATGGCCTACTTTTAATTTAATGAAAATTAAGAATTATCCTTTTTTTACACAGGATACATAATGTAACATCTTAATAGGTTTACTCCTTTGCTAATCTGGTCACAATTGTTGCTGTGGTACAGGAAAAATAAACTGTCCAGCTTCCAATTCCGATCTATGATAAAAAGTACATCAATGACATGATTAAAGTTTATGAAATTTCCTCCGTTTTGTTATCGAACGACGGCTAGACTGTTAAGCCATATTTCTTAACCACTCAGCAAGCAGGACGGAGGTTCATCCTACAAAGATAACACAACGGGGACAGATACCGCAGACAATGCTATTGCTCCTGGGAAACTTTATAACTACATATGGAAAGTGTCTGAACGATCGGGGCCTGGGCCTGCGGACACGGCATGTCTAACATGGGCGTACTTTTCTGATGTGGATCCAGTCAAGGACACTAACACTGGTTTAGTAGGGCCGCTGATCATTTGTAGGAAGGTAGGTGTAATACAGAAAGATCCTTGTCCGCAAATGAGCTGTTTTTGATCGAGTGTAAAAAGACATCCAGGATTGTATAGGGGCAATTTTTTCAGTTATGTGACTGTCACCCTCCTAGCCAACCCGAGAGGAAAATTAAAACCAAGTAAAACTTGGTCACTCCGAATCTCTCTCGAGCCAGCTTGCTTAGTCTATTTCCCTGTTGTCATTCGCTCCTTGCAATTTTTTCCTTCGTTTTGATCGACCGCTTTGATTATTTTGGCTTTAGCAATATCACTTTCACATCAGTATTGGTCTCTGGCGACGCAGAAAACAAAGCCCTAGTGGATTTCGAAAAACGAATAGCACCGTTTAAGCCTGTTTCTTTCGAGAATATCTGTTGTGGAAAGTAAAACTTAAAAAGTAGTGGTCGCCTTGTAGACCAGCTGGGCTCAGTTGTTAGAAGGCCAATTAGAGCTAACCCAAAGTAAAATTTCAATCTGGGTTTCTTTATTCCTTTATTAAAAAGCCTTTTTGGGATGATTTTCTGTATTCTTTCAAGAGTATCCAATAGCAATATCCTAGACAAAAAGAATTCGACTAAATTTTCTTCTAAAGCTTTCAGATCTGAAATCAGATCTCACACTAACCCTGAGTTATCTCAGCCCGCTTTGAAAAACCCGGCTCAGGTCTATCCACTGGGACCAGCTTCGAAATTCCGCAATTTTTTTTATCGGCTAATGTGATATTTTCACTGATACGGCAAAATTTTATAAATCCATACGTATTAGGTCTATTCGAAGAATTGCATTGTCAATGGCCTCAGCAGTTCCATTCAATTTTACAAGGGTTGTGCAGTCTATTAAATCTTCTCTCACCGTTTTTACAGGGAATTTTGGATAGAGATAGTCAAAGAATTGACGTTGACCGTGAGTTTTCACTGATGTTTGTTACGATGGACGAGAACAACAACTGGTACATAGATGAAAATATTGAATATCTGACTGAAGATCCAGGACCCTTAAACGAACTCAAAGCGAGTTTTGATTTTTGGGAAAGCAACCTAAAGGCGGCCATAAACGGGTACGTGTTTGGAAACATGCCACCACTAACAATGTACACCGGAGAGAAAGTTGTCTGGTACTTGCTTCAAGTTGGAGGCATGACCGAAATGCATACAGTACATTTTCAAGGCCAGAGCATTTTGTATGTAAGTATAAAAATAATAATAGGTGGATTCTGTCTATTTCCGGGTGCCAAATGATACGTTGTACACACCGGAGTTGATTTTGGCGTCTCTTTATGATGGGCGGTGGGTTAGAGCAGAAGAGACCGAACGTCACGTCACGATAGAATGCACCAAGAGGCTCTCAATGAGGTGATAGATTTTACGGCGAAAGATTAAAATTTTGGCCAGTTTATGGCTACGTTTAACCCAAACTGACACAGAATGATACTTTGTAGAAACGAAAAATTTTAGATTTTTTTTTACGACAAAAGGTAAAAATTTGTCAAACGTTGTTAAACGAACGTTTTGCAGCTATCGGTTAGTCCAATTGAAACCCTGCACCAATACCTTGCACATCCAAAAGCGAACATTCGAAGACCCCTTCTCTTCGACAACCACTTCCCTTCTTCGGTTAGTCATCTTTTCGTCTTTGTTTTGTTTTTTTCCCGGTGGACAGTCTATACGCCCACCTCTACTCAAGAGGAATGGCCAAACTTAATGCACGTTCAAACAGCCTAAAATAACTTCTTTACAACACCCAGTTCATCGCTTACTAACGTACGCAGAAGGAAAATACAGACGTGACAGCTTGCTAAAACTGTCGACCACAAACGGTATCCTTTCCCCGAAAAATCTAGAATCACTGATTTGTTTTAAATTCTTAGCGTTAAAGTTGTCCAATTAATTCACTAGTTTTGCTTTGTTGACAACTTTCTTCTTAACTTCCATTTCAGAATTCTTTGCTCTGATTCAATTGATTACATATAATCATATAGATAATTATCATTAATCATATATTACATATTACATATTACATACATATTATCATTAATCATATAGATAATAATATAATATAGATCGTTTGTATACGTTTAAGGAAACATTTTCCGTTAAACAACGATGTTCTGACCGTCGAAATGACAAGAGCCCCATCACAACTCCACCTCCATAAATTTCACCTTTATACAACAATCCCATCTCTCAGGAACAACGGTGGCCGTTGTGAAGAGATTTGATTATATATGCCAATACGAAAGTGTTAACCGGAAAATCATATTTCATTGCACGTATTTTGCAGAAATCGCTAAGTTATCATCGGGGCGACGTCTACGACCTGCTACCGGAAACGTTTGCCACTGTTGAAATGATTCCTGACGCTGTTGGAACTTGGATGGTACACTGTCATGTGAATGTTCACATAACTGGTGGAATGCAGGCACTCTTTACTGTCTTAGAACCAACAAGTGAGTGGCTGAAGTGCTGCGAGAATACCTCTTTTGTTAGCATCATCTACCTCATCTTATCGTTTACTCTCGTGGGTGAGAATAAGTGAGGTTTAAGAATAAGACTTAAAGTTTGGACGCTCACCCCCCTCCCACCCCCCTCCGACCCCTCCTCCGCCGCATTGAACTCCCTTTAACACAGTGAAGGTACTAATAGGAGGTTCTGGGTTCGTTGAAACGTCGGGATTCAGAAATCTTTAAATGTTCCCACGCAAGTAACAGAAGGAATTTATCCTCCTTAATCCCCGTTTAGTGTTCAACCTACTCTATGAAATCCCGCTGTTCTAACACGACCGTCACTATTTCTTTCTTTTTTAGGTGCGCCAACCAAGAAGCTATACCCACCTACTTCTGGCACTTCAAGAATTATTACTTCCTTCACACTGTTGTCGATTGCGCACACAGTTTTTGTTTTGTAGAATATCTCTTCTCACGAGTTGTACATTTTCGAAGAAAACGAGATTTCTCAATTTAGTTTTAAAAGTCCCGCAAGTTTCACACGTGTAGTCTCGACTCTCGGAGAACACTTTTTTTATCCAAGTTCTTGAGGAGACTTACAGTCAATACATCACCATTTCCTAACCCTGTAGATGACTTTAAATCCGAACCACCTTTGTTGCAACAGCCCGTTATTCTGTGTGACTTACTTTACAAGCATTTGTGCAGGACCTGACGGCTTTTTTCCGGACTGGCCCACGTCAACCTGTCCAGCCCTGAACACTTTACTATGGTTTGCTACGGGACTGCGCGCGAGGCCGTACCGTTCATATGATAATTACTAGTAGATCTCTGCTCCCGATCACTTTCATACGGTTTCCTATTTCCATTTCCACTGTTCAGGTTTTGTTAAAGGTGGAGAGGAATTCAATCGACTTTCAAAGGACTTATGAAAGAATGACAGTTACCCTATTTTAATCGGATTCTCTGTCTGCAATAATTTTTTAATTTCAAAAGGTGGTGTTTTGTTTCTGGCTCCCTTCCTGCTTAACAATTCATCTTTGCTGGCGTCAAGAAAGATTCCTCTGGGAACGCTTGGTTTTTTAGCTCTCTCAAAGTAAACACTTCTTAATAAAAGTTTCATTCAACCTTGCAATTTTTGTTTTCTAACTTTGGTATTTCTCATCTTTTCTATCCCTGCCAATCACACATTTCTTTAGATTTAACAATAAACTGTATCACTTCGCTAAACACCTCAGAAAGAGGATTTTGTCGAGAGCAGACCGTGGTGTAGTGACCCGGCCTCGACTAACGCGGATCCGCGACCCTCAACATGGCTCATGGCGCAGCGGTCGGTGGCTTTAAGCCTACAACACGGCCGGCATGTCGCTTTTAATACTATATCATGATTCTGAGTTTCTATTCTTCTGAAGTTAAAACCATCTGGCCTTAATTTTTATGATTACGGTTTGCTAAATGTTTAAGCTCATTTATAGAGCATATTTCGAGGCTGCGCTTAGATACGAATTTTTTCTTTGAGTGTCGATAATATCACTTACGAGTGAGCAAAGCGCACGAGCGAGAGAGACAATAAATACGAGAAGATAAATTCATATCCATAGGTGGAGTTGTCATTCTCTGTTTATCAGGTAGATTTTTAGTACATGTAGACATCGAATTCAGAGGTCGCCTGCACATAAACTCAGCTTGCAGAAAATGTCCGTTAAATTCTGAGTTACGTATAACACTAGTTATCTTTGCAAAAATATTTCCCCTCTCTCACTCTTAACTCATCGTGTGAAGATGTAAGGGTCGCGTTCACCGCTTTTGGCGGCGACGATATTATGTATCCAAAATAGAAGAATTTCTGGTTTTTATGATTGTCTATATAATAAATGTGTGTAATATCCTTATCCACATAGTCACGTCAAGGAATCTGTGGTAAAGCATATCTGTAGGTACCCCGTTTGTAACATGGTAGTACTTTGCTATTCATCTGTAATAACCTTATCGCCCTGTCAGGTGGGGATAGCAGGGTGATAACGTTATTACAGGTGTCATTTGAGATAAAAAGCCTTTTCACTTATAGGCGATTGGTTAGTCTACCCAAAGCTTGTCAAGGCCGTCACACCAACAGTTTGGTAAGGTGGTTAATATTAAAAGAAAGAAAGAAAAAGAAATAACAGAAAAAGGCGTGTTATAATTAGGTTGAATAAGTGTCATACATTCTCTTGATAGAGTATGGAATATCTTCACTCTTGGACGGCACTGTTATTTGCAGTTTGTAAGTATTGTTATCAGCACTTCCAAGTCGATTGCGGAAATAATGACGCTGGAAAAACATAGCATCCAACATTAAAGAATAGGAGAAAAACTCTAGGAACAAATCCTTTGTTGATGATAAACATTTCTTCGCTAATTGACGAAAAATTCGTGTTTAAGTCAGAACTTGAATTTCTGTTGCTATCTTTAAAAACTTGCGCTTTCTATGAATGTTTGTTTATTCTGTAATATATTATGTAGCATTATCCCTTTTTTTCTTGAGTCAGTTTAGCACAAACATGACTGTGGTTTGATTTGTAGGCTTCACAATTTTGCGTTGTCTCGTGCTGTATACTCAGTATTTCCTCTTATTTGACAGTTACTTTACAAATACGCTTTCTGTATTTTTCCGGCCAGTCTTAGTCACATTTCAAGAATATGTAACATGGGCATACCATTTACGCAAACACGAAGTCAGCACAGCGAAGGTGAAGTCTTTTAGTCCAACGGAATCAAAAGACTCAAGATTATGGTCTACTGGAAAGAGAGGCAGCGGTACGAATCCATATGGCATGTGTTGGTTAGAATCCATATGGCATTTCATCTCACGTTCCTGCCCAGGAACAAAGCAACTTGACCGAAAGGTGCGAAAACTAGAATCTTCTAGCTTCAGACAACCTTTTTAATCATTAAATTAAGATTAAGCTGGACATTACTCCCGACAAGGCCTGGATGAGTGACAACATGATGGTTCCATCAGCGTATCACCTAGATGCCTCCATCGACGGCGACTCCAAATCTCCGGTAGAAGAAGGAAAAACTCCGTTTATTTACCCGGCAGGAATGGGTCAGATTCTTATGAACGGATGTTGAGGAAAAGACTACAAGATTGGTGATCCATGTTACAATGCGAAGGAAAACTCGTCATTATGTAGGGTAAGGATAAATACCATGAAAATAAACTTTAAGGATCAAGATCATCTAAAAAGAAAACGAAATTCAAACTATTCATAGTCAACAATGGTGAAATCATTAGATTATCAGAGAAATTAACGACAACAGAAAAACAAAGACAATAACAAAGAGAAAGAGAAAGGAAATTAGGCGAGCAATCAGAGAAAGGGGTGAGAAAGAAAAATCATCATTCAAGGAAATAACAGCTTTCTCCTTTGATGTCACTGTTTCTCACTTTATTTGCATGCAACTTTCCTTCAGAGTACTTTTCAATTGCATTTACCTCCATAGGATATGATTGATGGCGCCTTTTTCATAGGCGTAGGTTTTGACGGAAGCGGAGAATATAGTCCAGAGTCCAGAAAAATGAACATTGTCCAGAGAAACTGTGTCACCAAATCAAAGTTAGAATGAGACTCTTAAACTCTGCTGCATCATCGAGTGTCTCTCCCTCTTGTTGCCTCAATGATTCTATACTCAGTTTCCACTTCAGTTTTGACCTTTTTTTTTCAGCTACAATGGCCGAAACGTTCCAGACACCATGAATGTCCATGGTATTTATGAGACGTCAGCGTTTATGCTGACCTTTGAGAATAGCGCTGAATACCAGACATATCTTCAACACCAGGCTGGCGTCTCTGTTTCCATATTTGGCTTCAGTGCAGGAGTGAAGAAAGCCTGGGGTTGCTCAATGCAAACTAGTACTCAGCAGTATATGGCTGCCTTGTACGTGGATGTAGAGAGGTGAGTAAGTGACAAAGTTGTGCAATACATTTGCGAACCACTAAGCAACCGCTTATTCACAACATTAACAGAAAAAAAAGAGTTCCAAATTGTTTCCAATGCTGAATGACGCCAAGTGAAAACTAACTAGTAACTACCGTATTCATGTCTTGGATGAGGAGTTTTGTCAGGGTTGTTGAAATGCAAGAAAATCTCATAGACCATAGATGTTTGCACAAGAACCTCCTTAACGGGAAATGGTCGTCTGATTAACTGATGCAATCTTTGAATTTAAGGTACGAAATCTTCATGGACGAAGTAAAACCAAGTGATCTTAGTCTGTCGTTCCTGAGAGAATTCATGGAACTTCCAATCTCCTATTTTCAACCTGGTGCACAGATAAAACTCGGTAAGGAACATTCTCTGACTTATGTTAACACTGATCCTTTGATAATGCTCACATCCACATAAAGATGTTCAGATTGATGAAAGAATTGGCTATTTATGTGTCGCATAAATATCCTGTTCTAAAATTAATAAACTGCAAAAACCAGACGGAGAAAACAGCGCTAAGTAAAGGTTTCCAAAATTGTGGTTTCTCACTACGAATGTATGGTTAATAAGTTGCGGTGATCTGATAAGAAAAAAAAACCAGTTTGAAAACCGAATAGATTCACATATCTATATATTGTAGTTGATAATATACATCTTCAGATAGCTTCGTTCTGATCCAGTCTTATTTTTTGCATAAAATGACATTTATGGATTAATCACTTTTGCCATTAGATAACTATATCCAATTTTGAGGTATCCAACACAAAAAATGAGAAAAATTCGGAGGATAATTACAAATTAATAAGCATCTCAAAAGGCATCACGATATAAGTGGAAATGAGAGTTAAATCTAGATATTATGGCAGGTTATAAGAGAGGAACGGGGTGGGGTTAGGGGAAGCATGTTCTTGCCATATATTTTCTGATTCTGGTAAGATAACGATGTCAGAAAACTAAGAGCGATAAATGTAACCTGGAGTTGTAGGCATGCATTGTTGGTCGATTTTGAGAATTTGGTTCGTACATGAGTTCAATTACACTGTCATGTTCATCTCGCTTACCCCAACAAAAAACTTCATCCAACGATGGGGTACCCACTACATAAAATCTGCGAAATTCGGAGGCCAACTGCAAATAAGAAAAACTATAGAAGCATCCCAAGTGGCATCAAAGTATGAATTCTCAGAAAAAATGGAGATGGAATTTAGATTTTTATTTGCAAGCACTGGGGCCAAGTCAATTACTGAAGGAGGTCAAGAAGCAAAAGCCCAAAACAAGTTTACTTCCACTTCAGTTATGGTACAGGGTGGGAGCCAAGAGATTGCAACCATTCTCTCAGATGTGTTCTCGCCAACGTTCAAGTCGAGTTTAAGAAAATGGCTGCAGAGTATTCCAAAATATTCTAAGGCCTTCCGTTTCTTGTTGGGATCGATAACCGATCTGGTTAATTTCCCTACGAACGATTTGTTTTCTAGAGACGACGTCGACTGGGGATGCGAGGGGAATGTAAAAAATATGGTAGAAGAAACCAGAGGAGAGAAAACTAAAAATACTACACGGTGACAAATGCAGATGGAAGTGTCAAGAAATTCTATTACCCTTTTCAAGACCGGGAACAATTGGATGTTTCTTTGAGGGGAAGGCGTTCTAGTCTTCAAAGGGCTATCGAAATTTTTATGGCCGAGGTGTGTGAAAGTAAACTTTTAAAAATAATCAAAACAGGGTTACAGCATCAATGAAAATAGCGAGAAACTACGGACCGTGGTGGTAGTGTTGATCTTATTACTCATTGACTATTTTTTTCTCAAAGAATGTTGATCACGAGGTGATTAAAATAATGCTTAACCACTACGTTTTCTGGGAAAAGAAAAACACTGACCTAAGTTCATGGCGCTATTACCGCTGTCCCAACGCCCCTATGATCGCTGTCGGTGGAAAAGGCGGAAACTCTGAAAGCCATTCGGGACGTCATGGCTCACTGTTGTTCTCAGGAAATAAGTGAAAAACAAGCTTTTAGCTCTGCCGCAACTACACTGTCAGACGTTCGACTGTTAGTAAATCGGCCAGACCTACAGACTCATTCTTCACGTCTTAGATGCTTAAAGAATGTAAAAATTATTAAATTTTGAATAACATATATGATTGTTTGCATAGGGCCCGATAGCTGTCTCTGATATGGTGATTTCAAAGTGCACACTGGAAGACAAAACTACTGAAGTCAACGATGGCTTTTTTCTCAATACCCGTGTTCCAAAGTGGAAAGAAATCACACAGGAAAACTCGACCCTCAGAAGTTAAATTTGATATGGAGACCGATTTGGCCCGTGAGGTAGACAGTTTGGGAAAAATCGAGAAAAACATGACCCGAGAGGTTAGATTTACTCGTGGTAGATGGTTCACTGCTGATGAGTACGGCAAATTCCACCTATACAGTGGATATCGTAACGGAAAGAGCGGTGAGCTGAGGAACCACAAGTTATCCATATTTGGCCTTGTCCTAACTTATAATTCAAAATATGGAATCTTGGATCTTTTCGAAGAAGACTTCAATGAATCTAAACAGACTTATCCAACCTTAAGAGAGGAAATGATTGGATTTCCACTAGCACACTGTAGTGTATTGCGTTACCTAAGCGTTACTATAGTCACGCTATATCCTGTAAGACACGATCGGTACATGATTGTAAAAAGTACTTCCTATGTAAAAGTAGTATTACTGATTCCTAGTACTGTATTGTGAATATAGCTTGTTGATTCTTTAATAAAATTTAGTTGAGCAATAGCAATGAAAGGAGTAACTTGACTGAGTCTAGACGACACAACACACACCTCACTGTGACGCACTCGAATTCTTTCCACGATTCAGATTAACGAGGGTCTACGCCCTCACCTGCAGTGACACCGTGTAATGTAAAATGGTCCAACGCCTTGCGGCTTGACCCAACAACGACCGGTGGCCGCTGCCTTCATTTCACTGCCTCTTCTTCTGGCGATTTCTTTGTTGTTTTTGCAACGATACCGAGTCGGCGCAGCTCTTGGTATTATGTGCAGATTGGAGTTAGCGAAGTTGCAATTTACACTTGAAGGTCTTTAAATGTTAACTGAAAGTGTGTGACACATTTTGATTTGTGTACGGTGATAATCATTTGTCAGCAACACTCTTAGACTTTGACTATATTTTTTACTTTTTAGGGAGAGAGGGAAGTTACATCAACGTCAGACACTGGATCTGTGTCTATCGGAGATGCATTGCTGTACCAGTCATACTTTGTTTGCCTTTATGAAAAGCCTAACAGCACTCTGATTGAATATGGAAAGTCTCTGGGTACCTCAGACGGTGGAGACATATACCTGACGCATCTTGACGCGAACGATCCTTTGCCCGTCCGGTAACATGGACAAGGTTGTCAAAATATGGGACGCTCACATTATACCACGTGACCTCACAGATGCTGATTGCAAAGGTAGCACTTACAAAGATCCTCCAACAATTCTGTGTTTTTTGAAGTGCCATGAATATTGCGACCCGTTTGCAAGTTGATCTACTATAGTTATTTCTGAATTATTGTTGATATCTATTAGCGCTAGGTGTGAACAGTCCGTACCTCAAGAAGACTCACTCTTTAATCGTGACATGGAATTATATTTTATGGAAAATATGTTCATTCGAGAAAAAAATTCATAAGTTAAAAAGTGAGATGAAAATAATCTATTAGCCTATAGAAAGAATACGTATAACCGAACTAAGACTTACATTTTTTTCATTGTCTGATGAGTGCTTGTCTTTGTTTAGGTTGCAAAAAAACGCAGGTGCGAAGGACTTACAGCCCTCGGATTGTTTGGCTTGTAGAATAGCCAAGGATCCAAGGACTAATGTGTGCTTAGAAAAATGTCCGGAAAATACACAGCCAAACGAAAACAAGGAATGTTTACGTAAGAGTTTAAGGGTATTTAGCAGATAGGTCACATGAAAGAGAAAAAACATTTCGAGAAGAAACTAGAAATGACAGGAATCTTCCATTTTACTAGTGATCGTTCTGGTCTTGAAGGAGAACCACTGAAAGTCGTAATTTTCAACTAAGGAGGGGACAACCATCATGTGTGTTTCTGTATTGGATGAGAGATACTGGGGATACTAAAAGACTAATTTTGGCGACAGGAAATTTGATCAAGTACACGTCTTTTAACTTGTGTAAAAATTGAGCACCATTCACCGATAGGTGGTGGTTTTCCGATGTGAAAAATGATTTGTTCATCTAGATATTTATTTGCTTCTAAATCGAAAAAAAAGCAGGAATTGTAAGAGATGAAAGATAAACGCTACAGAGCTTCATTCTCCATTGGTCATGATACCAGGAAGCGCGAGTGGAAAAAAAAATGATTTGTAAAATAGATGTTTAGAATCCGATACCAGCATAGCGGAAAACCTTATTTGGTTTGTTCCATGACAAAATCCGAAGGTCGAGGTCTATAGTGTATCGCAGTTCAGATGTCATGGTCTATGAACCAAGAAAAACTCAGGAATTAATGTATGCTGTGTCTTTAAACATTCAACCAACGTTTCCATCAACGGTATCGTCGCCTTTGCAGTCACATTTGATGCTATGACAGTCGTAGGAGGAGTAGGTGGAGTAAAGGTTCAAGGTCTGTGGACAAAGTTTCCTCAAACGAGTGTAAGCGGACTTAAGATGACCAGGCTGGCTAGTTACTTCGACACAAGTAGAAAAATTGGTTTCTCGTTCAATATCATAGAGTATAATAGTGAAGGTCTTGTACGTTTTTTGCTTGGCCACGTTGACAAGTGAGTGCCTTTAGTTATGACTGTTTCTCGTCCTAGATTTTTACAATACATGTAGATCCATGGCAATTACAATTTAAAGTTGGCCAAGTACATCGAGAAACAAGTAATTAGTGGGGAAAGGTGTTTTTTTGTCAAAATCAAACTATCTTGATTAGTTGGGAAAAAGAACAAGGTGTCATAGGAAGAGAATTCGATTATAATTGTAATAAAAGATAATTTGATTAAGCTCGATGCGCCTCCCTTTCCGATTGTTATCTAATGAATAATGATCCAGTCAGAAAAACTATTTTAAAAATATTTTACAACTTAGCATAGCCACAGAGGGTAAGATGATGCCTCTTTTGCCTTTTCGCAGAATGAAGACCTTGCACTTTTCAAGCGCATTTCTAGATGATAATGACTGGCATCGGTTGTGCATTACTTGGAACGGTGTTACTGGCGTGACTAAGGTGTACGTTGATGGTGTTCAAAATGAAAGTGCTGAATTTGGCAAATACGCCGTAGGGGGATTAATAAAGGATTCGTTACCGGGAGGTGGAACTTTAGAAGTTTTAGCTGTTTACAGCCAGGTAGTCTATGTGTCTGAATTGAACCTGTGGGATAAAGTTCTCTCTGCAGTAGAAATTTCTGAGTCGTCAAAACTCTGTTTTGGGAAGCAGGGAAATGTGAAGAAATGGTCTGATTTTTAGCCTGGCTTTAGCAAGGACAAATCTCGGTACGAAGCGCCTTCCCAGTGCAAATCTCCTAATGGCAGCAGTGAGGAAATGATGGAAGAGGGCCTTGTGGTCTCAGAAAAGAAACCATTTCCCCTTAATGCAAAGAAAAGAAGAGCTTTCAAATACACAAGAAAGGTACAAAGAAAAAATCCCACCCAGTAGCTTTAATGTGAAACTCAGAATGTAGCGTCGAAGCCTTCGGTGTCAAGAAAAACTTCAGAGGAGTCCACGTTTAACTCGAACTCAGGCGTTCACTGGCAGGTACGCCAAACAAGTTGTACACGCCGTGTTCAAGATATCTCTTCAGTTAAACGCTTGACATGTATGAATAACTTTAAACACTCCCTGAGTGTGGATTTTAATAACAGTGTTACGGAAGTTTTTCCTAATAAGAATTAAAATGTATAGCAACAACTATCTTAGACTCAATCTCAATATTAAAATGGATGAAAAGGTCACTGGCAGCAGTGCATAATCATAAAAAAAAAAGAAAGAAAGCGTTTTAATAGTAACTTTGATTCGTCAGCCCGCCGATTCCTACAAATTAAATTGTTAATTGGCGTAAGGTTAAAGAAGCATTGTTTGATATGACACGGAGCTACATAGTTTGGTTTATTGAGTGACCCGCCACTCTATAAACTGCACGTTCACCTCGCGACGTTGAGTTTTAAATATAAACTTAACGTTATGAGAGACCATAAAAGTTCCGAGAAAATGTCGAATGGTCAACCTAGGAGACAGAAAAGAAGAGAAGTCAGATTCGCTGACGACCATGAATTGAAAGACAGGCGGGTTGACCGACAAAGAAAATCGTTAACTAAGAGTGTGTTCAGATTTACATCCACGTATTGTTGTCACAAAAGAGGCTGATAGCAAAAAATAGGAGATAAGCATGCAAATGTTGGAAAAAAAAAAAAAAAAAAAAAAAAAATACGAGTTGTAGTATAAAACACAAAAAAGCTGTCACTACCTACGATTACGACTATTTACGGATTAACTACTAAATGTAGATTTCAAAATGACGATGTGTCCACAAAGAATGAACGTCGGGGAAAGCAAGAATGACATCTGTGAGAGTGTAATATCTATACTTTTTAAGCTCTTTTAAGTCTCTTCAGTAAACAATTTAAGTAATAGAGCAATTCCCGTATTAGTAAGTGACTTATGACGCATTTCATAAGTTTCAAAAAATATACTTTGATGTAAACATACCGCGTTGACATTGTGTGAACATATATCCTGACTCTTCTTTTCAAAAATCATTACACCGTCGCACTTTGCCACGAGCAGTTATTTAATTCGTCTAACATCACTCAAGTATTCTTCCTCGGCTTGCACGGCAAAAACCACCTGTAGTTATGATTATCTAGTCACAAGCACTATTACCATTCTCGACTCACAAACCGACTTAAGAGCAATGAATTTCATGGCTCATTAATTTAGATGAGTAAGAACGAAGTAGGAAGGTAGGTTGTGATACAGAACGATCTTTGTCCTCAAATGAGCAGTTTTTTATCGAGTGTAAAAAGGCATCCCGGATTATACATTGGTGAAATGTTTTTAGTTATGTCATTGGTCAAGAAAACTTGCTTCACCCTCCTACTCAATCGGAGAGGAAAATTAAAACCAAGTACGATTTGGTCACTTCGAATCTCCTTTGAGACAGCTCGCTTATTTTGTTTTTCTGTTCTCATTCGCTCCTTGTAATTTTTTTCCTTCGTTTTGATCGACCGCTTTGATTACTTTGGCTACGTTTAAACCAAAATGACACACAATGACACATTGTAGAAACGAAAAACTTTTAGAACTATTTTACGACAAACGGTAAAAAAATTTGTCTATTTTTAACGGCTATATCTTTCGACCGTTTTACGGCTATCGGTTAACCCCACTGAGACCCTACACCGATATCCTGCACACCCAAAGCGAACATCTAAACACCCCTTCTCTTCGACGACCACTCCTCTTCTTCGGTCTGTCATCTTTTCGTTTTTGTTTTTTCTCGGTGGACAGTGCATGCGCCCACCTCTACACAAGAGGAACGGCCAAACTTAAAGCAAGTTTAAACTTCCTAAAATAACTTCTTTACAACACCCAGTTTATCGCTTACTAACATACGCAGAAGAAAAATACAGACATGACAGCTTGCTCAAACTGACGACCACAGACAGTGTTCTTTCGTCAAAACATGCAGAGTCACTGATTTATCTTCAATTCTTAGAGCGTACGTTATTTAAAGTTATCTAATTAATTCACTAGTTTTGTTTTATTGACAAGTTTCTTCTTATCTTCCATTTAAGAATTCTTTGCTCTGATTCAATTGATTATATATCGTATGTGTATGTTAAAGGAAACATTTTTCGTTAAACAACGATGTTCTGACCGTCGAAATGACAAGAGTCAGATCACAACTCCACCTCCATTTAACACAGAGGAGGTACAAATAGGAAATCCTGGGTTTGCTAACATGTGGGGGCCCAAACATTTTTAAATGTTCCCACGCCCGTAGCAGAACGAATTCATCCTCCATAATCCCCGTTTAGTGTTCAACCTACTCTATGAAATCCCGCTGATCTATCACGACCGTAACTGTCCTTTTTTTTTTTAGGTTGCCAACCGAGAAGCGACCCCCACCTACTGCTGGCACTTCAAGAATTATTACTTCCTTCATACTGTTGTCAATTGCGCACACAGTTTTTTGTTTTGTAGGATATCTCTTCTCACGAGTTGTGCATTCTCGAGGAAAACGAGGAGAAATCTCATTTTAGTTTTAAAAGTCTCGCAGGTTTCACACATGTAGTCTCGACTCTCGGAGAACACCTTTTTTATCTAAGGTCTTGTGGTGACTCACAGTCAATAAATCATCATTTACTAACCCTGAAGACGATTTTCGCTCTTTACCAATTTTGTTGCAACAGCCCGTTTTTCTGTGTGACTTACTTTACAAGCATTTGTGCAGGGCCTGACGGCTTTTTTCCGGACTGGCTCACGTCAACTTGTCCAGCCCTGAACACTTTACTATGGTTTGCTACGGGACTGCGCGCGAGGCCGCACCTTTCATATGATAATTACCAGTAGATCTCTGCTCCCGATCGCTACGTTTCCTATTTTCATTTTCACTGTTCAGGTTTTGTTGAGGTGGAAAGGAATTCAATCGACTTTCAAATGACTTATGAAAGAATAACAGTTACCCTTTTCTAATCCGACTCTCTGTTTGCAATAATTTTTTTCAAAAGGTGGTGTATTGTCTTTGGCTCCCTTCGTGTTTAATAATTCATCTTTGCTGGTGTGTAAATAAGAAAAGATTCCTCTGGGAACGCTTGGTTTCAGCTCTGTGAAAGTAAACAGTTCTTAATGAAAACTTCATTTAACCTTGCAATTTTTGTTTTCTAAATTTGGCATTTCCTATCTTATCTCTCCCTGCCGATCACACATTTCTTTAGACTTAGCAATGGCCGGCATGTCGCTTACAATACTATATGAATGATTCGGAGTTTCTATTCTTCTGAAGTCAAAACCATCTGACCTTAATTTTTATGATGATGGTTTGTTAAATGTTTTAGGTCATTTATAGAGCATATTGCGAGGCTACGCCTAGATACGAATGTTTTCTTTGAACGTCGATAATATCTCTTACGAGTGAGCAAAGCGCACGAGCGGGAGACAAATAAATACGAGAAGATAAATTCATATCCCTAGGTGGACTTGTCATTCTCTGTTTATTTGATAGATTTTGAGTACATGTAGACAATGAATTCAGAGATCGCCTTCACATAAACTCAGCTTACAGAAAATGTCCGTCAAATTCTGAGTTACGTATAACACTAGTTATCTTTGCAAAAAATATTTCCCTCTCTCACAGTTTTAACTCATCTTGTGAAGATGTAAATGTTACGTTAGATAATCTAATATATCATGTTTCCGAAACAGAAGAGTTTCTGGTTTTTCATGATTGTCTGTGTAATAAATGGAGATAATATCCTTATCCACATCACATTAAGGAATCTATGGTAAAGCATACCTGTAGGTACCCGTTTGTAAGATGGTATTACTTTGCTATTCATCTGTAATGACCTTATCGCCCTGCCGGGTGGAGACAGCAGGGTGATAAGGTAATTACAGGTGTCATTTGAAATTTGCAAGCCTTTTCTCTTATCAGCGATTGGTTAGTCAAGGCCGTCACATCATCAGTTTGATAAGGTAGCTGATATTAAAAGAAGGAAAGAAAAAGAAATAACAGAAAAAGGCATGTTATAATAAGGTTGGATAATTCTCATACATTCTCTTGATTTAGTATGGGATATCTTCTCTCCCGGACGGCGCTGTTATTTGCCCTTTGTAAGTATCGTCATCAGGATTTCCAAGTCGGTTGCGCTATTAACGACGCTGGAGAAAGATAGCATCCAACATTAAAGAATAGGAGGAAAACTATAGGAATAAATCCTTTGTCTATGATAAACATTTTTTTGTTAATTGACGAAAATTTCGTGTCTAAGTCAGAACGTGAATTTTCTTTTGCTTTCTTTAGAATTTTCTTTGCTTTCCATGAATGTCTGTTTATGCTGTAATATTTGTTGTTATATCATCCCTTATTTGCTTAAGTCAATTTCATCACAAGCATGACTGTGGTTTGATTTATTGCCCTCACCATTTTGCACTGTCTCGTGCTGTATCTAAAGCTGTCTTGCATACGCAGTATTTCCTCTTATTTGACTGTTACTTTACAAATACGTAGTCTGTATTTTTTCCCGCCAGTCTTAGTCACATTTAAAGAAGATGTAACAAGGGCATATCATTTGTCCGAAGATGAAGTCAGCACAGCGGAGGTGAAGTCTTTTATTCCAACCGAATCAAAAGACTCAAGATTCTGGTCTTCTGCAAAGAGAGGTAGCGGTACGAATTCATATGGCATGTGTTGGTTAGCAGATTTACTTTTTAGCTCACGTAGTGGAGCGTCGGGCTGCACTCAGGGTCTTAAAATAACTGAGGGGAATGTACTGCCTTTGCTGTATGACATCCGTAAATAGTTAGACATTCCAGGCTTTTTGGATAGGGAGGATATATCGTAGGCCTGGTCTCCTGCACCGTCTCTCTACTGATTAGTGGGGGACGTCTAAAGAACCCGCATACTTTTCGCAAAGAGTATGGAACATAGCTCCAGGTGTTGTGCTCTGACCTCGTTATCATTTATTCAGGTCCCACATTCAAACCAGCTTTACGCTTAACTGGCCAGCCTGTTTAAATATCGCAAATTTACACATACGTACCTATCAGTGAGCTATGTGCACCTGACTAGAAAAGTAGGAGCCACTTCGGAGGTTTTTGGAAAATTCTGATTTCTGAAATGGAATTGGTAAATGTTGCCATTTTTTTTTACTTCTTTTTGAGAAAGTACACAGTGGTGATGCAATATTTATAATAATCTCAAAATTTTTTTTTTTTTAAAGTGCAATTTCAAACCAAGTCATCACTAAGTAAGACAAAAGAGGTTGCTCCTTCAAATGACTTTCTCCATAGAAGGTCTCTAAAGTTGTTATGAGAATAGCGGCAGTCTCAAATTGTCCCTTTTTAACATGCTCTTTTTTTACAGAGCTAAAGAATCTGATTTCTCAGCCACAATCGACGGCACCAGGAAACAAGAGAGCACTTCCAGCAGCAGCGTTAGCCCTACTAAAGAATCCTAAAGTACAAGAAGCAGCTGTAGACAAAGGAATTGAAGTCGTTGGAAAAATGGTTGACAAAACTTTAGAAAACGTTGAACACGCACAAAATAAAGCAGCTCAATTCTTAAAGAAGGAGGTATGGTGATATACTTATCTTTTATAGACTTGTAAACCCTTTGCCCTATACTCGTCGCTAAGGGGTCCTTATTCCTTGTAAATGTTTTAAATCCCATTACATACAATAACCGACAGAGTTTGATCAAAACAGTTTTTGCGTAGAGTGAATTAAGAAACTTTTTGGTCAAGTTAAACGCAAGGCAGATAATTCACACCGCTGGAGCTTTTATAAATTTCCGTACTATGAAGCAGCAAAGCGTATTTTAACTCCCTTGAGTGGGATTATAGTTCATCGCGGGTTGCTTAAAACGACTTTCCTCTGGCATCCCTGAAAGCTCGCCTCTCACACTTCTGGGTACGAGAGGCATTGTGCGACTAGAGCGTCTTGCCCAGGAACACAACAGATTTACCAAAAGGTGCGAAAACCAGGAACCTACAGCTTCATGACAACCTTTTTAATTATTAAATTCAGATAAAGCTGGACATTACTCCCGACAAGGCCTGGATAAGTGACGACATGTTTGTTCCATCAGCCTATCACCTGGATGCCTCCATTGAAGATAACTCCAAATCTCCGGTGGAAGAAGGAGAAACTCCGTTTACATACCCGGCAGGAGTGGGTCAGATTCTTATGAACGGATGTTGGGGAAAAGACTACAAGATTGGTGATCCGTGTTACAATGCGAAGGAAAACTCGTCAATATGTAGGGTAAGGATAAATATCATGAAAATAAACTTTAAGGATCAGGATTATCTATAAAAAGAAAACGAAATTCAATCTGGTCAACTATTATGAAATCATTAGTTTATCAGAAAAATTAATAAGAACAGAAAAGCAAAGAGAATAACAAAGAGAAAGAGAAAGGAAATAAGGCGAGCAATCAGAGAAAGGGGTGAGAAAGAAAAATTATCATTCAAGGAAATAACAGCTTTCTCCTTTGATATTGAAGAAATGTAAAATGGTTTCCGTGTTTACATAGCCTGATGTAAACACGCAGGAGGTTGGGAGAACACGAGATAAGCGTAGGAAACCACGACGCGAAGCTTATCACATTTCTTTTATAAAATAACTAATGAAAGAGGAACGGAAACCGTGTTTACATACGCTTTATGGTTTATACGTTTTATGGCCAATCAGAGCGCGCGTACTATTTGAATTATTTTATAACACTGTTTCTCATTTTATTTGCATGGAACTTTCCTTCAGAGAACTTTTCAATTGCATTTACCTCGACAGGATATGATTGATGGCGCCGCTTTCATAGGTGTGGGTTTTGACGGTAGCGGAGAATATAGTCCAGAGTCCAGAAAAATGAGCATTGTCCAGAGGAACTGTGTCAATAAAGCAACGTAAGAATGAGATTCATTTAAACTCTGCTGCATCATCGAGTGTCTCTCCCACCTATTGCCTCAATAGTTCTATATAGTTCTATAGTTCAGTTTTCGCTTCAGTTTTGACCCCTTTTTTTCTCAGCTACGATGACCTAGACGTTCCAGACACCATGAATGTCCATGGTATTTATGAGACGTCAGCGTTTACGTTGACCTTTGAGAACAGGGCTGAATACCAGACATATCTTCAACACCAGGCTGGCGTCTCAGGTTCCATATTTGGCTTCAGTGCAGGAGTGAAAAAAGCCTGGGGTGGCTCAATGCAAACTAGTACTCAGCAGTATATGGCTGCCTTGTACGTGGATGCAGAGAGGTGAGTAAGCAACACTGCGCAATGAATTTGGATACAACTAAGCAAACGCTTATTCACAACATTAACAGACCAAAGAGTTCCAAATTGTTTCCAATGCTGAATGACGCCAAGGGAAAACCAAGTATTAATTGCAGTATTCATGTCTTGGATGAGGACTTTTGCCACGGTTGTTGAAACGCAAGAAAATCTCATTGATCACAGATGTTTGCACGAGGACCCTCCTTTACGGAAACGGTCGTCTGACTAACTGATGCACTCTTTGAATTTAAGGTACGAAATCTTCATGGACGAAGTAAAACCAAGTGATCTTAGTCTGTCATTCCTGAGAGAATTCATGGAACTCCCAATCTCCTATTTTCAACCTGGTGCACAGATAAAATACCGTAAGGAACATTCTCTGACTTATGTTAACACTGATCCTTTGATAATGCCCACATCCACATAAAGATGTTCAGATTGATGAAAGAATTGGCCATTTATGTGTCACATAAATATCCTGTTCTCAAATTATTAAACTGCAAAAAAATCGAGGGAGAAAACAGCACAAAGTAAAGGTTTCCCAAATTGTGGTTTCTTACTTCGAATGCATGGTTAATAAATTGTGCACGTGGTGATCTGATAAAAATTAACAAACCAGTTTGAAAACCGAAGAGATTTACATATCTACACATTGTAGTTGATAATATATATCTTCAGACAGCTTTGTTCTGATCCAGTTTCTTTCTCTTTTTTTTTGCATAAAATGACATTCATGATTAAACCACTTTTGCCATTATATAACTATATTCAATGTTGAGGTATCCACCAAATAAAATGAGGAAAATTCGGACGCTAATAAGTGGAAATGAGAGTTAAATTTAGATATTATGGCAGGTTATAAGAGAGGAAGGGGTTGGGGTAGGGGAAAGCTTGTTCTTGCCGTATATTGTCTGATTCTGGTAAGAGAACGATGTCAGAAAACTGAAAACGATAAATGTAACCTGGAGTTGTAGACATGCATTGTTGGTCAATTTTGAGAATTTGGTTCCTACATGAGTTCAATTACACTGTCATGTTCATCTCGCTTACGCCAACAGAGAACTTCATCCAACGATGGGGTACCCACTACATAAAATCAGCGAAATTCGGAGGCCAACTGCAAATAAGAAAAACTATGGAAGCGTCCCAAGTGGCATCAAAACATGCATTCGCAGAAAAAATGGAGATGGAATTTAGATTTTTATTCGCAAGCGGTGGGGCCAAGTCAAGTACTGAAGGAGGTCAAGAAGCAAAAGCCCAAAACAAATTCACTTCCACTTCAGTTATGGCACAGGGTGGGAGCCAAGAGATTGCAACCATTCTCTCAGATGTGTACTCGCCAACGTTCAAGTCGAGTTTAAGGGAATGGCTGCAGAGTATTCCAAATTATCCCAAGGCTTTCCGTTTTTTGTTGGGATCGATAGTTGACCTAGTTAATTTCCGTGCAAACGATTTGTTTTCTGCAGAAGACGTCGACTGGGGATGCGAGGGGAATGTACAAAATATTGTAGAAGAAACAAGAGGGGAGACAACTCAAAGGTACTACACGGTGACAAATGCTGATGGAAGAGTCAAGAAGTTCTACTGCCCTTTTCAAGACCGGGAAGAATTGGATGTTGCTTTGAGGAAAAGGCGTTCCAGTCTCAACAGGGCTATCGAGATTTTTATGGCCGAGGTGTGTTAAAGTAGAACTCTTAAAATAATGAAAAAAGGGCTACAGAATCAATGAATAGCGAGAAACTACGGACTGTGTTCGTAGAATTCGTCATATTACTCATTGATCATTTTTTTCTCAAAGAATATTGACTACGAGGTGATTAGCATAAAGTTTAACCGCTGTGTTTTCTGGGAAAAGAAAAACAGACTTAAGTTCATGGTACTATCACCGCTGTCTCAATGCCCCTATTATCGCTTTCGATGGAAAAGGCAGAATCCCTGAAAGCCATTGGGAACGTCATGGCTCACCGTTGTTCTAACGGAGTGAAAAACAAGCCTTTGGCTGACAATTGTTAGCTCTGCCGCAACTACACTGTCAGACGTTCGACTGTTATTAAATCGGCCAGACCTGCAGACTCACTCCTTTACGTACTAGATACTTAAAGACTATAAAAATAATTTATTTTGAATGACATATATATTTGTTCTGCTTAGGGCCCGATATCTGTTTCTGATATGGTGATTTCAAAGTGCACACAGGAAGACAAAACTACTGAAGTCAACGATGGCTTTTTTCTCAATACCCGTGTTCCAAAGTGGAAAGAAATCGTACAAGAAAACTCGACCCTCACAGTTAAATTTGATATGGAGACCAATTTGGCCCGTGGGGTAGACGGTTTGGGAAAAATCGAGAAAAACATGACCCGAGAAGTTAAATTTACTGGTGGTAGATGGTTCACTGCTGATGAGTACGGCAAGTTCCACCTGTACAGTGGATATCGTAACGGGAAGAGCGGTGAGCTGAGGAACCACAAGTTATCCATATTTGGTCTTGTCCTAAGTTATAATTCAAAATATGGAAGCTTGGATCTTATCAAAGAAGACTTCAATGAATCTAAACGGACTTATCCAACCTTAAGAGAGGAAATGATTGGATTTCCACTAGCACACCTCACTGTGACGCAATCGAATTCTTTCCACGATTCAGTTAAACGAGGGTCTGCGCCCTCACCTGCAGTGACACCGTGTAATGTAAAATGGTCCAACGCCTTGCGGCTTGACCCAACAACGACTGGTGGCCGCTGCCTTCATTTCACTGCCTCTTCTGCTGGCGATTTCTTTGTTGTTTTCGCAACAATACCGAGTCGGCGCAGCTCTTGGTATCATGTGCAGATTGGAGTCAGAAAAGTTGCAATTTATAAGGTCTATAAATGTTAACTGAAAGTGTGTGACACATTTTGATTTGTGTACGTTGATAATCATTTGTCAGCAACACTCTTAGACTTTGACTATATTTTTACTTTTAGGGAGAGAGGGAAGTTACATCAACGTCAGACACTGGATCTGTGTCTATCGGAGATGCATTGCTGTACCAGTCATACTTTGTTTGCCTTTATGAAAAGCCCAACAGCACTCTGATTGAATATGGAAAGTCTCTGGGTATCTCAGACGGTGGAGACATATATCTGACGCATCTTGACGCGAACGATCCCTTAAACGTGCGATTTTACGCTTTTGGTAACATGGATAAGGTTGTCAAAATATGGGACGCTCACATTACACCACGTGACCTTACAGATGCTGATTGCAAAGGAAGCACTTACAAAGATCTCCCAACAAATCTGTGTTTTTTGAAGTGCCATGAATATTGCGACCCTTTTGCAGGTTGACCTATTTAAATAGTTATCTCTGAATTTTTGGTAACATCTGTGGCGTTTGGTGTGAACAGTCCGTACATCAAGAGGACGGATGTGGAATTCACGGTCTTTCATTATGACATGGAATTCTATTTTAAGGAAAATATGTTCATTGGAAGAAAAATTCATAAGTTAAGACGAGGGTTGAAAAATAATCTATTAGCCTATAGAAAGAATACGTATAACCGAACTAAGACTTTTTTCATTGCCTGATGAGTGCTTGTCTTTGTTTAGGTTGCAAAAATGCTGGTGCGAAAGATTTACGGCCCTCAGATTGTTTGGCTTGTAGAGTAGCCAAGGATCCAGTGACTAATGTGTGCTTAGAAAAATGTCCGGAAAATACACAGCCAGACGAAAAGAAGGAATGTTTACGTAAGAGTTTAAGGGTATTTAGCAGATAGGTCACGTGAAAGAGAAAACATTTTGGGAAGAAACTAGAAATGACAGGAATCCAACAGGAATCCATCATTCTAGTGATCGTTCTGGTCTCGAAGGAGTACCACTGAAAGTCATAATTTGAAACTTTGGAGGGGGCAACCGTTATGTGTGTCTCTATAATGGATGAGAGATATCGAGGATACCAAAAAGACTAATTTTAGCAACAGGAAATGTAATCGAATACACGTCTTTAACTTTTGTAAAAGTTGGGTACTGAACAGTCACCATTTACCGATAGGTGGGGGTTTGCCGACGTGAAAAATGATTTGTTCATCTAGATATTTATTTCCTTCCGTAAATCGAACAAAGGGAGGAATTGAAAGGGATGAAATTGAAAGGCCATGATACCAGATGGTGCGAATGGAACAAAAATGATTGGTAAAATAGATACTTGGAGTCTGATTCCAGCATAGCGGAAAACTCACTTGGTTTGTTCCATGACAAAATCCAGAGGTCGAGGTGTATGGTATATTGCAGTTCAGATGTCATGGTTTGTAAACCAAGAAAAACTCGGCAATTGATTTCTTTAATCAATGGTCTTTATGTAGTCAACTAAGGTTTCCATGAACGTTATTGATTGCCTTTGCAGTCACATTTGATGCCAAGACAATCGTACCAGGAGGAGTTACGGCTACTTCAAGATATTTAAAGCGGTGGCAAGTAAGTGGAGTGAAGATCCAGGATATGCCCGCTCTTAATCACATGACATTGTGTCTGTGGACAAAGTTTCCTCAAACGAATTTGCGTGGAATTAAGATAACCGGCCTGGCCAGCTACTACGACACAAACAGAAAAAGTGGTTTCTTCCTCAGGAACGTGGAGTATGGTAAAAATGGTGGAGGTTATATACATTTTGGCCTTGGCCATGTTCCTAAGTAAGTTCCTTTTGTCATGTCTGTTTCTTGTCCTAGAGTTATATAATAGATGTAGATTCATGGCAATTACAATTTAAAGTTGGCCAAGTACATCGTGGACCAAGTCATTGGTGGGGAAAGGTGTTTTTTTGTTTGAACCAAACTATCTTGATTACTTGGAAAAAAGAACAAGGTATCTCGGGAAGAGAATTTGATTATAATTAAAATAAAGAGAATTTGATGAAGCTCGATGCGCCTCCTTTCCCGATTGTTATCGAATGAATAATGATCGAGTTAGCAAAACTCTTTTTAAAATATTTGTAAATATTGTACAACTTAGCATAGCCACAGAGGGTAAGATGGTGCCTCTTTCGCCTTTTCGCAGGAGGAAGACCTTGCGCTTTTCAAGAGCATTTCTAGATGATAATGAGTGGCACCGATTATGCATTGCTTGGAACGGTGTCAGTGGCGTGACTAAGGTGTACGTTGATGGTGTTCAGGATAAAAGTGCCAAATTTGGCAAATACGCCGTAGGGGGATTATTAAAGGATTCATTACCGGGAGGTGGAACTTTAGAAGTATTACCAGTACACAGCCAGGTAGTCTATGTGTCTGAATTGAACCTGTGGGATAAAGTTCTCTCTGCAGTAGAAATTTCTGAGTCGTCAAAACTCTGTTTTGGGAAGCAGGGAAATGTGAAGAAATGGTCAGATTTTTGGCCTGCCTTTAGCAAATACAAATCTCGGTACGAAGCGCCTTCCCAGTGCAAATCTCCTATTGGCAGCAGCGAGGAAATGATGGAAGAGGATCTTGTGGTCTCTAATGGCAGCGATGAGGAAATGATGGAAGAGGGCCTTGTGGTCTCAGAAAACAGACCATTTCCCGCTAACGCGAAGAAAAGAAGAGCTTTCAAATACGCAAGAAAGGGACAAAAAAAATCCCACCCAGTAGCTTTAATGTGATACTCAGAATGTAGCGTCGAAGCCTTCGGTGTCAAGAAAAACTTCAGAGGAGTCCACGTTTAACTCGAACTCAGGCGTTTACTGGCAGGTACGCCAAACAAAATGTGCACGCCGTGTTCAAGATATCTCTTCAGTTAAACGCTTGACATGTATGAATAACTTTAAACACTCCCTGAGTGTGGATTTTAATAACAGTGTTACGGAAGTTTTTCCTAATAAGAATTGAAATATATAGCAACAACTACCTTAGACTCAATCTCAATATTAAAATGGATGAAAAGGTCACTGGCAGTAGTGCATTATCATAAGTTGCTGGGTAACCACACAAATGCTGTGATACAATGACGTTTTGCTTTATTTATTCTTAATAAAGGCGTATTGTCTTGTGGCTGAAGAAGCCTTAAGGTATACTTAATGCAAATGATAAGCTGAAAAAAGGATCGTGAATCCTTGCTGTATCATTACTGCACTAATCGCCTGAAAGAACTCTATCTCTTAATTTGAAGATCTGAGTCAGAGGAAAAAGGCATCAAACAAAGCTCCATAGCATGAAGGGCCACAAATTCAGTAAAGGACGCAAATACGACAGAGAAATGGAGAGAGCATTTCTTTTGATTTATCACAACATCAAGAGGTTACAGGATGGGCGGGTGTACGAACGTGCTACTAATCGTGTGTCATTCGTTGCGGACCAAGTCGATTTAGCACACACTTTGCAGAGACTGTCAACCACGTCAGACCCGTTGAATGAGGGGGGCCTTCGACAAAACATGAATCACGAATCTAGCACTCATCCTAAATCTCGCTCTCTTTCCAAGGGTAAAGACAGTAGTCCATCCTATCAACAGCGAAAAGTTTCATTTGCTGATAATGCCTCTCGAAAAGAGCTGACAAAGGGCAACGATCATACCCGGACATAGATCGACGACTGAACCGTCATCTTTAAATTACAGTTAAAAGAAGACGATTTTAAAACGAAGGAAATGGTGCACAGAATTGCAAACAATTAAATCGTATAAATGATATATACACTGTATTCACGTGGTGAACAGAAGATGAAGTGTTTGTTTTGACGTTCTGAATGTCTAAGCTTTCTAGAAGCTACTCCGAGCAGAAAGAAACATAACTAGTTGGTAATTTAGAGGCTGGGATTATATAACCGCGGTAAGGAGATTGCACAAAACAAACATTTGCTTTACTCTGTTTACATAAAAATGACGAAATACATATTATGGACAGTTTGTCTCAAACGAGCTCAGTCCTAACATGGTATGCATTCCGACGCTAAAAATGAGTACTATGCTTCCTGTTCATGGAATTAATAACATTGTTTCCCACACTGAATTTCACAGGTTGTCTGGATACATGAACAAATCGGAGCACTAGAGGTTGAAATCCCTTGGCTTTTCGTGCAAAATAAATAGAATCATTGCGTCATATTTAATGACGTCATAGCCAAGTGAAAAGATATTCTCACGGATCACATGCCACAGTTTTGACATATTAACATGTATCATTGAGATCAAACATGACGAAGCAGTATAAGGCTTTATGCCTCAACTACTGGCGTCTATGGATAATTGCTAAGAAGTGGAACGCGTTATGGCGTAACAGTAGAAACCGTTTACACTTAATTGCTTTCAATTCGTCTGTTTCCTGATATCAAAGAAAAAGAAAACCAACGAAAAACATCAGAGAATTATGAAATGCTTTTATGCTGCAAATGAAGATAAACAATACTGGCGAACTTTGACTTAGTAGATGCCCTTAAGCCAAAAAATCACAAGAACCGTAGGACAAAACAAAGCATTTTAATAATAACTTTGATTCATCAACCCGCCGATTCCTACAAATTAAATTGTTAATTGACGTAAGCTTAAAGAAGCATTGTATGATATGACACGAAGCTACATAGTTTGGTTCATTGAGTGACCCGCCACTCTAGAAACTGCACGTTCACCTCGCGACATTGAGCTTTAAATATAAACTTAACGTTATGAGAGACCATAAAAGTTCCGAGAAAATGTCGAATGGTCAATCTAGGAGACACCATACTTACCACAAAGAGATGGATCACGCTTTCACTCTTATTTTCCACAACATCAAGAGACTGCAAGATGACCGAATATGCAACAGCGCTCCTAACATCGCCCAACCTCAGTATGACCAGCAGGAGTCGATAAATCCAGCTATGACACTGAAAGTCCCTTTCGCGCAGCCGAAGAGATGTATGTCTGATTCTTCATTGAAACTTGCAGTGGTAGACACACAACACCACTTGGAAGGTTTAGAAAGTCGTGCTAAATCTCGATCTTTCAATGGTATCGAAACTAGTCCAATGCAGAGAAGAAAAGTCAGATTCGCGGACGACCATGAAATGAAAGACAGGCGGGTTGACCGACAAAGAAAATCGTTAACTAAGAGAGTGTTTTCAGATTTACAGCCACGTATTGTTGTCACAAAAGAGGCTGATAGCGAAAAATAGGAGATACGCATGCAAAATGTTGGAAGAATATCGTCGAAAAAAGGCTCAAAAAAAAAATACGAGCTGTAATTTAAAACATTAAAAAGCTGTTACTACCTACGATGAGTTGTGTCGCCTTCGACTAGATAATCTTGACTACAGGTGGCTTTTGCCGTGCAAGCCGAGGACGAATGCTTGAGTGATGTTTGACGAATTAAATAATTGCCCATGGCAAAGTGCGACGGTGCAATGCTTTTGAAAAGAAGAGTCAGGATAAATGTTCGCCACACAATGTCAACGCGGTATGTTTACAGCATAGCACAATTTTTGAAACTTAAAAATGCGTCGTAAGTCTCTTACTAATCCGGGAATCGCTCTATCACTTAAATTGTTTACTGAAGAGACTTAAAAGAGCATGAAAAGTATAGATATTTCACTCTCACAAATGTCATTATTGCTTTCCCCGACATTCATTCTTTGTGGACACGTCGTCATTTTGAAATCCACATTTAGCTGTTAATCCGTTAGTCACAAGCACTATTACCGTTCTCGACTCACAAACCGACTTAAGGGCAATGAATTTCATGGCTCATTAATTTAGATGACTAAGAACGAAGTGATCAAGGGATCAGTTAAGTAAACTCTAGACATGTTTAAATGTTTGCAAGGGAAACTAGATAGTTTGAGTATCACGCAAGAATCTACTACAATGTTTGAACTGCAACAACCCTTTCCAGACTAATTTGATGATGGCAGAATTTTCAATTATGATTTCTATGTTTTTGCCCTGCAGCATAAAAATGTTGATTTGCATAGATATCAGTTTGTTTGGTAGTTTTGCGGTTATAAAAACCCGCAAGGTAAGAAAAAAGTTCCTTGATGAAATAAACTGCTGCGCGTTTTTGTGAAAACAAGGATTTAACCTTTATCGCCAAGCATATATTTGATGTTAAGTTGAGCTGTCTTTAATTTTACTCAATACAAATTCCTGATACGGAGAAAATTGAATAAAAGCAGAAATGAACAAACAAATAAACGAAGGAGAATTCGAACATATAAACAAACAAACTTGAGAATTTAAACTTGTCAGGTATGGTTACCACGAAGAAAATTTAAGTTATGGAATGCGTACAGGAAGTCAGCTCTGCCTGGGCCTGATATGTTCCAAGGAATTGTGTCCAAAACTTTGATCTGGCCATCGAAACACTCGGTTGGATCGCTTCATCGGTCTTATCATCCTCTATTTGAAAACCAATGATGTAAGATGGAACCTGGCTTCACTACAGGTAAAACCAAGCCTATCTTTTGCATACATATTTGTGCGTGTGCTGAGGTTAGAATCTACTGCTGACATGACCTACTCAAAGTTGGAAAATCCAATTTTCCATATCTGTATTGTTATCTATACCACGAAATACGCTAAAGTGAAAATGTTCTGGTAATGAGTCGGTGGAGACAACGTTAACTCTGTGACGAAAATAAATTGTCGTCTATGAAACAAAAGGAGACTGATTCCAATATCACAAAGTTTCGTCAACGGTCATTGATGCAAAGACGAAAGGTGAATTCGGCAAATTGGTCTAATCACAAAAATTCCGACTTGGAATACTGTCTTAAAGACTCTTTAAGACAAACAAGGACGTGCTTGAGATCATGCGGTTGATAAATAACGAAATAGCTAGCTCTTTGATGTGGTTGTTGCTTTTTTCAGCAGTAAACTTAAAAACCTAATATTCATTTTCACCAGGAGTTTCTTCTGTGATTGTCGAACAATCAGTATAATGGAGGAAGACGTTTTCGATAATGTTGTTTCGTGACCACATATAGCTTAATTTAATCTTCCGGTTGGCGCGCGCTTCCGATTGGAAGAGAGAAAATGCGGTAATTGGTTTCACCTAATGATACTGATTTATGGGTCCACTTCTGTCACTGTCGTACGTGATGTATCAGTAAAAACAAACAAGTCATCGAATGAAACATATTGGCTTTACTTGAGGATGGGAAAATAACAGTATAGTCATGATGAAAGACTACAAGCGAACCAGAAACATGAATAACTATTCATCCCGGAGACAGAGCAATTATGATAAAGATATGAATCAAGCGTTCACTCTTATTTTCCACAACATCAAAAGGCTTCAAGATGGTCATTTGTGCAGTAGTGATGCCAACCTCCTTTTAACGGATGCTGGTAAACGGAAGATTGTGGTCACGGGAAAACCTGAAGAAAAGCCAGAGAGGCGTATGAGAAAACGAAGCAGATCAGAAACCTTCTTAGCTTTTGTCCAAGAGAAAATGACCAATAATAAATCTCTCGGATCACAAACCGAAGGGAACTCCTTGCAAAGACGAAAAGTTAGATTTGCTGTCGATGGTGAACATCACAGAAAGGTGCCCTTATCCAGAACCGTGTCTGAACCTCAGAAGCTTCATTTGAGCCCCAAAAGGACGGTAGATGGCTAGAGACGGATGACAGAGTCACTAGTGTAAGCGACAAAATGTTGCGCAAGATCTGCATTGAGCGGCGGACAATGAGTGAAACAGCTTTGTTGATTCTGGAGATTAACATGGGGCGTTTGATACCTATTTTAATCAAGCTGTGAACGAACTTGTGTGATCGGACCGTAGTTTAGCTATTTCTATTTTGTGGAAATGTTTCGTTAGATTGATTGTAATGACTTGGTATAAGATAGCAAAATTGCTACCCACAAAGTAAACTGTAACTTATTCCTGGCTTTTTGAACTCACTCGATTACTATTCGTAGAATTAAAATTCTGCAAAAGGAATCCCTTAAACGTAAGCAGCAGATAGAAATTGTTATATAAATATAGTTACGTAAGATTGCAATAATTATCCATCCTAATCAATCAGGAATTCAGAAGCAGCTATTGTATATATTTAAGATCCATTAAGGTTATGTTTGGAAGCTTTTAAATTCACAAATAATAATTAAAACAAAACGTAATGATGAAACTTGTTCATGATTATTTAGATGTTCAACTGACTAAGAAGGCGTTGATAAAGGAGGGTAACCCACAAATTTGATTCAACGCGACCCTCACCTTAGATTGTCAAGATATTGACGCTAAACAGTGCTTCTTAACTGAGCACTTCACCACAATGGTTGGTTCAACTTTTCTCTCAAAGACTTACTTTTTTTTTGTTGGTAAAATAACAATCGTAAAGATAATGGAAAGAATAGGAGTTTTGTCGATAAACTGAGTTAATCATAGAGGATAGAAATTAGTGTAAATACATCTTAAATATAGTTGTAGTTTGCACAAACATTAATGACCTCGAGCTCACTATTTATAGCTAAGGTTCGTCCTTAGTAATTATCGGATAAATCGTGCGCTTTGTCTCTAAAATGATAAATCAGATGTTGCTAATGCCTTCTAATACTTTAGGCGACGACGTTATCTTAACGGGATAAAGAGAAAGGTAATGTGCAAAGCCTCTTGGCTCCTCTTTAATGACATTGCAGTCCTTACATTACTATCAGTTCTGCATCCTAATTAAATGCGTTATTTGCACATATTATAATTAGCAAATCAGGTATTTTTCATCTGACACTGACGTTTAGTACATATCTGACCCCATAGTTAGGGCAGGCTTTAGGTGTACATGATTTACGGCACGTTGCATGTTTCGTGTTCGTTTAGATGCATATTCGGGAATGAAGAAGACGGCTTAGTTGAAAAATTAATTAATGTTACAAAAGATGCTTTCCTTTTTTTTCTTAATAACTGACCCCAGAGATCATCGTTTATTCAAACTGCCATTTTAGATTATTTTAGAGGGTACAAAGAATGTAGCCAGTGACGCAAACTAAATAGATTTAAGTTTGTATCTCCTTCCACGAAGGAAAACGATGCAACCATAGTCCAGTCTAAAGCAACATTTTTCGACATGTTTGACTTTTCTTCCCTTCTCTTCGTAAACTTCGATTGGCAGGTAGAATGTCGACAATGATTAGTTAAGAAAATTTCACCGAACTCTGTAAAATAAAGCATAAGTAAAAGCCGTCAGCCAACTGAACTAACCAAAGATGAGTGAAATATGGTAATTTAGTGTTATCAACTGAGTTGAAAACGTAAATTGGCCACCGTAGAGAGTTAAAAGGCTGACGTTTCGAGGGTTAGCCCTTCGTCAAAGCGATTGAATCGCTGAATCGCTCTGACGAAGGGCTAACGTACAAAACGTCAGCCTTTTAACTCTTTACGGTGGCCGATTTACGTTTTCAACTCAGTTGACAACACTAAATTATACTATTATACTCTCCCACCGACGCAGCACCGCAGTTTCTTTTGAAACTTAACCCCTTTATCTTTTATGAGTTAAATGTGAATGAACTGAAAGTGTTTGACTTCCGTTGAACACTTCAACAAAGTGATTGGTACAAAAACACGGAAGATGAACGATTCACATTTTTTTCTGATTCATTCTTTCTAGCCCTTAAGCAAACTCACGATTCTTAAGAGAACGAACAGGATTTCAGAAGTGACGTAGCCAAATTGTACTCAGTGTAGAGTCGTTGGCGCAAACCCTTGGAATCTCAGAGAGTTTTTAGTGAGTCCCTTATTGATTTTTGACTTTGCATAGTTAGGCATTTCATAAAAAAAGTATTAAAAGACCAATTATACCATTTTATCGAGCACCATGCTGAAGAAATGATTTGGGGAAAGAGTTTAAGAAACGATATTGTATTTATACTGTATACAGACAGAGTTATGCTGCGCTAGCTATTTTCGGGTTGAGCCATTCCTCTCCTTTCGGCACCTTTACGATGCTTCAGTGTAGAGTTGATGCGGTTAGAGACGATCGGTATGAAGCTAATCGGTGAATTACTGCTAAATCATGGATTCCCCTTTATCTTTTTGAATCTCCAGGAAAACAAATAACTCCCAGCTAGCGCGTGGAATGCTAAAATCCAATCTTGTGGCTAGTTGCTTACGTCACGACTGCTTAGCGTTTCCTGCTTTGATCAGATTTGTGTCAAGTACTCATTGTGCGGTGATAGAAGCTGATCTTTTTTCCGCAACAATTTAGATGCAGCGCACGTTCTAGCAATTAAAAAAGAAACAAAAAAGCAATTTTTTTACTTCAAAAAAAAAGATCATTTAATCTTGGGAGGAGAGTTCGCGCGTAATCGATACGAACGTGGCTTTCTCGTGTGACGGAAGGCAACATCAAGGATATCTACTTTGGTCCTTAAGACGGAAATTCTATTGAAGATAAATCAAACCAAAGCTACGTTTTTTCACGAAAAGATGGGGTATAAGCAATTCAGTTAGAAGTGCAGAATAAAAAAGACATATATTTTCAAATAACATTATTGACCTCACATGACACACAGCATGTTCATATATCACTTTGAAGCATAGGTCACTAACGAAACATTCAACAACAAGTGAGGAAACTCAGTTCAACATTGGCTCTTGAGCAATATGACCTACCGGCTGGTTTCGTGAGAAATTTTGATACCAATGGCATATTCATCGTGTCTGACAAGAAATAAATTGTCATGATATGGTTGGTTGAGAAAAATATTAATTTAACTTCAGTTGATATTCGCTAGTACGCTTGAGGCAATTTAAAAGTAATAAGTAGCAATTGAAGTTGATTGAAAACATTTCAATTTAAGACTCCAGAAAAATTGCTCTTTCCATAAAGATGCTTCGAAAACTGTTGGAAAGAGGCACCACATAATTTTCAGACTTATTACACTCAGTTCTTGACGCTAATATTCGGCTTTTGGTGAGACACAATCAACTGTGAACTTTCGAAGATGACTTCAATCATTCGAATATGACAGTGGTTATTATTGACAAAACGGGCATAAAAAGCTCGCAACGCTTAAAATCGCTGTCCGTCTTTGTTCATCGGTTACACTCACTGGAAGGCACGTTTACACCGAGTTCTTGGTTGCTCTTCAGCTCTTCTGCTCAGGCTAAATCGTGAAAATGGAAAAAGAGAGAAAAAAACAAATTGGTCCTGATTCAAGAAAAGCAAAAAGAAAAGAGCGAAGGGGGTCTCGTGACACCTACGAGAAAGACATGAACAAGTTTTTCACAATTATCTATCACAACATATACCGCCTTCATGATGAAAAGATTCCGACAATCAGACGTGGCAGTGAACCGCGTCAATCACAATTGTGCGGAGTCTCAGAAAGGCCATCCATGAACAGTGGCACTCATTTACCTACTGAGCACAGATTTCCCAGAAGAAATTCTGATTTCACACTGCAATCATCGCATTCGAAATATTTCAGCAGTCCGACAGCATTGAAAAGAAGGGTGGAATTTTCTGACATATTCGTAGAGGAACTACAGTTTCCTGACATGGTGGAAGATTGTAGGTTTAAAAGGGAGAAGAGTCAAAAGCCATTTAATTCAATTGTGACTGAGTGAACGCTAAGCGTCAGTTTCCGTGTGCTCATGCGTTGATGTCATATTTTGCTGTTTTTAGTTAATCTGAGGTTCCTTTATGATAAAGACGAGGCAATGTGATCAATAATCAAGATTTTTCTCGTACAGCAGCAACAAAATTGAGATAATTCTGCGGAGTCATAACAGTTATCAGTGTCCTTTATATATATATATATACGTAAGGAATGAATCCTTTCGTAATTGTATTGACCCATTCAAAATGTTTAATTAATAACTTCAGCGAAGTATTTGTTTTGGAGGAATTTTTTTGCCGTTGTTCAGCTGCCGCGCACAGTTGATATTCTTAGCTTTAGTTAAAGAAGTCTTTATCGCGGACCGTACCCCAAAACGATTCATTTGTAGATATGTTAAACTATTGAGAGGGAACTTAGCTAGCTCAGTGACTTAAATTTCCTGCATTTTTGTGCACTTCATCGTAACTTGCGCACTTTGTCGTTTTTTCGTAGAATTAGGATCAAAAATGCTTAATCATTTCTCAACCAGTTGTCACCATTTTCCGGCTCCCGACCCACTCAACCATAACAACATGACAGCCTCTTTAAAATACCCATATGCTCTCAGTATGTGTCCGTAACTTAATAAACGTACTCAGTGACCACATTTCCCCCCCTGAGCTGCAACAAGCAATATCAAGGTCTATCTTTATGCAAAGTTTTACAAATATTATTATGAACAGTTCAGAGTCACACAATTCAATTTTTTGGTGATTCAAGGTGGCTGTGAACCTTATGTAAAACGTTTTCCAAAATTTGGCTGAAAGCTAACTGACTAAAATGCTGATTGCAATTTTTTTCCGTATAGTGAAGGAGGGTTGCCAGACTCGTTTCTGAGTTACTGGCAAGAGTGTCTCTAGTAGGCTCTTTGGTGTTGCGACGTTTAAGGAATTTGTCCTAAAAATGCTCACAGTATATCGAGAGATAGTTGGACATTTTTCTGACCCCATTTTCGAGACAGTACAGGAAGAAGTTGAGTAGCATCGATCCCTTATAAGAATTAATTTTTAAAAAGCTTTCTTCTCCCTCTCTTATTTTCGTTCTTCATTCAAGAAAGTGTTGCACGGGGATTTATCTTCATTGCTTTGTTTAGAAGAACACTTTTCTGATTCCTGGACGGGAGTGTTATTGTGTAAGTTATGAAAGGTAGGAATGTACGTACAGGACTGCTGATTTGTTATTTAATTAACGTTTTTTCATCTTTTAATATCGACGCCATTTTGTTACACGGAGTTCCTAAATCAATGTCTGTCCTTTCAAGGGAGGTAGTTTCATAGACAGATAGCTTCGTTCACTATACACTATCAAGGCTTGCCTTCATTCTATGCTTTCAGAACGTCCATGTAAGTATTGCTTATCCCCGATGATAAATCATGACATCCATGTATTTTATCAATCTGATATGTCCTAGTACTTTTTAATATCTCTTGACATTTTTTGTCAGGAATTTTGTGCTGCGATATGTTGCTACATGGATAACTCGTGCAATACTGCAAAACAGTTTAAATTGACTTTCAGTTCTGGTTTTGATTTACGTACTGTGATCTGTTAGCCCCGTTAATTTAATAAGGTGTCTTAAGTTCAATATATGCTTTCAACAGGTATTTCTATCCTAGGTATAAATACACCATTTTTGCTTCATATGTCATATTGGTCAAGTGGGCTAAAATGGGCAAACAACAGTCGCGGGCATGATAAATTTATCTGGACGTGCGAAAAGATGGTCCACGTTTGTTACGTTTATAACTGGTAGGATAATAACAGATAGTCGGAGTTTTCTTTCTCGGAAATTCGCTAAGGATCCTTACCCTCATATTCATGCTATAATTTTGTTTAAAACGACATGACTAAATGTTCAGAAAAAATAATATCGTCTCGTCCTGGTTTTCTTTTTCTGCTCAAACAGATGTTAAACTTTCAGGATCAAAAGAGGTCTAAACAATGACTTGAGAATAACATCTAGCACCAAAGTGTGCGCGTAACATTTCGTTGACGATGATGTTAAGTTTGTAGCCAGCCGAAGATGGCGCCTGTCCATCATTGTTTTTATGGTCAACAAGAAGCTATTTCAAAAATGAAAAGTGTTTCGTCTCCGGAATGTTTATTGAAGGGGCATTTTGTCATGAACCTTCCACAGCTCTGTTCTGTTGTAAACATGTTTACCTCGACATTCTTCTATCGTTGCAATGACTGGTATCTGGTTCCATGACCCAACGACCATATTTGGTTACGACCCAATGAATTTTGATAGGATAAACATTTACATTATTAAACGAAAAAAAGAAACATTTCATTATTCGACAAAGTAAAGTTTCAATCAAACCTAAGATCACTACGTCGCCAAAACTTTCTATTTGCGATAAATGCATTCGCTTCCCTTTTGTATTCATTTCATGTATATTTTTGGGATCTTATAAGATCGTGTATTCACAAATTTGTTTTTCCAGCTCCACACCACTCTTTTTTACCACAGTCTTTTCAGTGCTGATTTGTCCGTGGAATAAAAATTCGGCAAGAGAAGAAGGGATTTCGTACATAAGGATGTCCGCAACACATGATTGAGCATCCATTTCAAGCCACGTAACCACATTGCTAAAAAGGTATATCGCTCACCTCAGACGGTAAATAAAGCATCCATATATTTTATTTATCTGGTGTCTGTTCGTACCTTTTTATCTCAATAGTATTTTGCGTTATTGCGCACTTGCATCTGATACCATGCAGTTATTGCGATACCTCTTACACTGTCCTAAAAGTGCTGCAAAAATAGTCTTAGATTGACTTTCAGTCGATTATCGAAAAACAAAACCAGTTTTTCACTTTTGCTTTACAGTGATTTGTTACTGAAACTAAAACTACTTGTTACTTTTTGTCCCTCGCACTTTTCCCACCTTTATTGTGGTTTACTTGTGTTACTTGTGATGCTCTTCGAGTAAGTCTTGTTGGCGAGGTCGCCGTTATTATTACCTCCGATTTGGTTTACGATGTCAAAGGAACAGCTCATCGTTTAGTACAGAAATTAACATATTACTTTTCTTTACCCATCCATAACTCGGTTTTCTTTGAACCTTCAATGTTATCTTACTGCCCTGCGGCGATTTCCTAATGTCGGTCCACTGCTTTTTAATTATAAATTCCGTTTCCAGTTCGATCCTTATAAATTGAATTCTTCAAGAAGCCGGGGAAATTTTTCTTGACGAACATAACTCTGCTGGGGTCCCATTTAAACATTTTTTAACGTAAAATATCTCAGTAGACACAACAAAAACGATAGATACTTGTCCAATTAGTACTGACAATAACTAGGTGCAACTCAAACCGCAGTGCTCAGTCGATAAATGGACATCCCGCTGTTAGCAGTTTGCATTTAATTCTATTCATAAGCGTCATGCTTAAGTTTTTACAAACATCCTTCGATGTTGAAACGAGATAAAATGAAGGCCTAAATTCTTAATAACGAAAACTAATGCACTGAAAACCCCCACCCTAAGGGAGAAAAATAGTTAAAAAAAAACGACAAGAATAAGCTACAGGCCGCTTTCAAAGGGTTATAACCAGACGATACAATTTTGTTCTTTGTTTCACGGTCTTCATTTTAAGTCGTTATTTTTTCTTTTATTGTCGAAAAGCCCATACACGACGTTTAAATAAGATTGTGACTTAGACGGACTGACTAGCTGGGTCGGGTTCGAGTCATTACAAGGATTCATTACTTGATGGCCGATATTTTGATCAAAAGGACGGTAAATGTAAGTAAACATTAAAAAAAAAAAGATAAAAACCAGAGATTTTGGAATGGGTCAAACTTTCAGCGCACCTCGTCAATTCTTCTTCCAGTATCTTATTGTTTATGCTCCATGCATTTTCAAGATCCAATACTCCCGCACCTCTGTAATTATGACATTCCAAAAGGTTTATTTACAGACCATAAATCATAAAACTGACTAAAAACAAAATAGTCATCAAAATGGGTTTAAATACGGTGACCGTGAAGAATCAAGGTGTAACAGGAAAATATTTCCCACTCCAAATAAAAAGATATTTACAGCGAACTTCTGAATTACTAGTGCTCCAACGGAGTGAAATTTGGGTAGCGAGGATACTGAACAATGTGGTTCAGCGTCATCGGTCACGGGAATCGCCAAAGCATATATACAAATAGCGTCTTTAAAACCAACAAATAAGCTTCGCTTACGTAAAGTCACGAGAACCAAGACTTGTTGATACTGGGGGTTCCATACTTTCTTCACTTTAAAGAGAAAGAATGAAAAAGTCAAAAAGTGCAGGCGAGCTTAAAGTGAGGGACAGCTCGAGATACGCGAGGGACATGGAACGTTCATTCGCTGTTATTTACCATAATCTAAAACGTATACAAGACGATAGACAACCGCAGATAAAACCATGTAGAAGGCACAGCGTACCTGCAATGCCCAGTCTGGCCTCAGTGCAAAAACTAGACGAGACAACATCCGAACAAAGGCGTAGGGAGTCTAAGGAAACGGCACCTTCTCCGAATTTGAAGAAAAGACGAGTTAGTTTCTCTACTTTAAGCCAAACCATTCCGATAAGCTGTAGCTCAAGACCTGCAGAACAAGTGCCTGATTTACTAGAAACGGATAGTTGTGATAAAGCTTCAACACGTAAAGCGTCATCTTAGGAAGAGGAGCGTCCTTCAGCTGCAACTTATCGATATGACAAAGGAAGACGGCTTAGCACACTCTGAAGTCTTCGTAATTTTGTTTACAATCAATTGTACACAATGGAAATGAATTACACAAGGCACTGCCAGTTTGCTCTTACATTAAGCCGCGATAACAATAACATGTAATGCAAAACGATGAACGAAAGCTTCCTCCGCTGGGAAACGAAAAGTATGGAGATTACAATAGGAACATCTAACGAATGTTCATGTGTATATTTAATTACGAAGAAACACCAGACGAGGATAAAATAATCTAGAACTAATTATCTAACGAATCAATAGCTGATGAAGCGTGGCTACTAAAGGAACGTTAAATGAATGGTGCTTTTTGCAAAGTAGTCTTGTTTTGACTTCGACGACTTTAATACCTACAAGTCAGCCTGCGGCAAAAACCCAGATTGTCTCGGTCACTGAGTAGCACTTGGCAAGGGAAAAAAGACCATGCCGAAGCTCTGAAGTGTTCGTCAGTGAATGTAAGGTGTATAAACCATGTCCATTTTTTTTTGTCAAGGATATGTAAATTCTTTGATACCGGAAGGTAGTCATTAACATAACTCTACCTTAACGAAAGACTTGAATATAGACAAGTCGCGACTAAGTTAATTTTCTCATTCGTCAAATAGACTAATTGCTCTAATTTCAAACGAATTTAAATTCCCGAATTGAATGAAACAAAGGAGGCAATCTGATGAATTCCATAAAATTATAGCTATATTAAGTGCACCCTCATTTATGGTGGTAGGTAGTGAAATAAGATTTGCCCTGAAGAGATCAGTATCTTGTTAAAAATATAAAAATTATTAACTTTCTAGCTAGCAGACTCAACCGAAGAGCAAATCAAGAATTCACATCAAGCTGTATTAGATGGTCTCCACGGTGTGATGGCCTCTATGGTTAATTCTTAAAACTTTGGCTATTTTACGGCCAACGGTTAAATTCTTTTCGCTGCGGTTACCAGAAACATTTTTACGGTTAACTTTTTTTACGACGAACGGTTATAATTTGTCAATGTTTACGCTTAACGGCTAAATTGTCTGGCCGTCTTACGGCTAACGGTTAATCCCATGGAGATCCTTGTAATAGTTGTTTGAAATGTCCTGTTTGTTAAAATGATTTTTCAATCCATCCACTTTGGCACTAAATTCAATAAATGAGTGTTACTATAGAGAATACCGATATACTTGATATTTTTTAACCTGTAATGAGGGTTTCAAGGGTTTTACTACCTCGAATATTTCTTTCGTTGGCGTCATCAGCGTCAACTGCAAAAATCATACTTTGACTTCGATTGCTTCAGGTTTATTAATCGGAAGAGCTTACCCAGAAAATTGAAGAAAGGCCTTTATTAACCAAAAATATTTCAACACCATTGAAATCTTTGTTCATATTTTGGCATGCGGGGTTGATTAAAGTGTTAACGTCTATAGGTAACTTATGGTAAACGAAACTATAAGAGGAATTTCAAGATTCGAAATACCCCTTGTCATGAAAAATAATCTTTGGGATCGGTATTCATGTAAATAAATGAAAATCTACCTTAACCCAAAGGCGTAAATATTCAGTATTATCATCAGTGTTTGTAACTTAGAGGAAATATTCACAAATTAGAATTTTTAAGGCTCGGAAGAGTTCTCGTGAGGGAAACATAAGTTGTCGTGTTCTGTGTGTTAATACAGAGGAAAAATGGAAAGCTTAAACATTTAGTTGATACAAAGAGTCACGTGTCAGACCGGGACAATTCCTTTTAGCAGTGATAAAAAATTCGATGAAGGCATTTTCCATGAAATAGGAGAGAAATTGTGCAACTCAAAGATTCTGCAGGCTTGAGCAGCCAAGCTAATTGAAGCTGATTCAATAAGTCATAACGAGAGATTATAATTTCTTGGTTATGAGTCGCGTCCGGAGGGCACCAGTTAATTCTATATCTAACTAATACGTCAGGTCAACAATTTCGTGAAGTTTGATTTAACTATGAGCAAAGCTGACACTGGCGGCAGCTCGAAATACCAAAGGAAAATTGAGAGATCGTTTACGATCATCTACCACAAACGAAAGCGGCTTCAAGGCCCTAATCCTACCAAGACAGGACTGAAATACAGCCAACCCGAAACTTTTTGTTCGACTTGAAGAAATCGACAGAAGCATAGAAAAGAAAGGTCCTGGTGGTAACAATGCGGATTTTACAATGGCACAAGGTTGTGAGTCTGAAAGCAGAAAAGTGAGCTTTTCGATCGGATTCTAAGAAATCACTGAACTCGCTGTGGAAAAAACTAATGCACCTTGTGAACCAAAACAACGCCACGTATCCGGTTAGGCATGTTCGAAATATGTCTCTATGGTCCATTTGTCCCATCTTTTTGCTCCTAGTACCCGTATGGACTTTTAGCTTAAAAGTCACACAACGCTACACAATGAAGAAGAGCTTGGAATCTTGGAAGCCATACTTTTTCAGCTCTGGATTTGGTCAACTCCACCGTTTCACAGACAACTCTCATCTGCTATACACCTTCAGAAGAATCTCATTTAATGTGCATACGACAAAGAACATGAACAGTCCTACGTTCAGCACGTCCAATAATAAGCATCCATAATTTCATCATCTATTTGATTAGGTTACTCTCTTTTTATCACCTTACTAAGCCCTATGGACATTCCACCGGACAGCCTTAGAAAATAACGTTAAAACTGATCCTTAGAATCTCGGGCGATACCGTTTTCATCGACACGCCTTTTAACTTTTGACACAAAACAATGAGTAAGGGTACATATAAACACGAACTTTTTTACGTAATAGCCTTATCTTGCCCAAGACAAGCCTATTAAGTTGATTTATACATCGCATTTATGTCAACTTCACCATTTAAACCGATAAAATACACAATTTTGACTTTAAACCTTTGTTACCTTACGTATTGGGGCATAAGCGATACTCAGGAAACGTTTCCTTAGGAGGACATTTGAAAACGGCTTGGGTCTGCTAAAAATGCAGAATTTTATCTTATCATTTTATTTATTATAACCTTGACATTTTCCCTAAATGTGATTGGTGCATAAGCAGCTTTATTTTTCTCTAATCAATTTGTACAGTTGTACTTGGACAGTGAAATTGGACACCTGTAATCGGATAGATAAAGCAACCAATCATTCTCAGTCCTTCCAGCCAAATCCACTAATCATAGAATTGCTTACAATAGCCATAGCGACAACCACTTATTCTGAAAAAAAAAAACTGTGGAATTTCCAGAATTGAGGAATTTTTTACTCAGACAATGTCTCTACCGGATATATTAATCCTCATTGTATTTGTTGTTTTTCAGAAATTATATCGGTTATGATTAATTGGTAACAAGACCTTGTGTCGTCCGTTTCTGTCTGTAATCATACTCGTGATTGACAAATCGAACTTCAGCTTTGCGATCGTCCGATTTTGTCAATCGCTCGTATGATTACAGACTACACTCGGTCCTATTACCATTACTAATATAGTGAATTATCCTATTTCAGCAAAGAAAAAAATCACTATCGTCAACAGTGTGACGCTGAGCTTCAACGACATCAAATAAAGGGAAAATTAATTCTTAAAAAAATGTTCCACCACAACAAGCCATAACCAGCAACTGCCACTGTATTAGAAGCTGAGAAGATGAAAACAGTTTTCTTCATCGCTTTCCTAACGAAAATCGTGCTTGCCTTTTACTATACAAGATTTACTTTGTTTTCGCTTCCATTCGCTGTGTTTGGCCAAGAAAAGTGGAGCCACCCTCTCAACCAATCACAAGCAAAGGTTAAACCAAATGCGACTTGGACAATCGCTTTTTCTGTGTTTTCCTTCTTTCCGGGAAGTTTAATTTTTTTCTCATTTCTAAGTTTTCACTAGCGTCTTGTGATATTTTCAGTTGCCTCGATATGCTGTTGCGATTACTTTGGCTTTGGTTTCACAACACTCCATCGAAAAGCACTTTATTGCGAGGTAACGGTAATCCTTAAAAAAAAAAGCCTCATTTTGTTTATTACGACCGATGGAGTAAAGTTATATTGGGTTTCTTCTCTAAAATGGCGAATGAGATTGAAAGTCTTTAACAAGGAAAGAAAAAACGAATCCTCACAGCAAGAAAATAATGGCACAAATAGAGCCTACTGTCTGCATAAATAATTTGGGGTTGAATTTATTATGGAATTGTTTAAAACTGGCATTAAGTTTAGCCGGGGCAAAGGATAATAAGGAAAAACCAATAAGTACAAAGAGTATCAAGGCCGATCAAAAATACTTACGCATGCAAAAAAAAAACTTGAAAAAAAAGGATATGAACACTTTCTGACGAAAATTAATGACGTCAAAGCACAATATTGTTTGAATAGTTGTAATTGTGAACGCCAGCGTAAAATGTTAATTATGTTAAAGGCCATGATGAAGCTCAAAGCGTAATTGTTTCATATCTAAACGTCATTTTTGAAGTATGTCATGGCTAAATATCATAAAAACGCTTTCTGTAGCAATACTCTTCTCGAGAGTCAGCGAGGAGATCCGATTGGTCAAGCCTCTTCTTTCTCAGTACACCAGATTTATTCCCGATTTATTCCTTTGTCAAACCTCAGTAATGAAAACGTCGATCAGCAGTTATTCAAGGTGACATTTAAAAATTGCTTAAAACTCATCGTTAAATATGTTTGCATTTGATCTAGTGTCAATTCGAACTCTAAGGAAGGTCAAAAGACAACGTCAGATGACTTTGTCGCCGTATTAACTGTGATTTTTCCAAAAAAGGAAGAGGTATCTTCAACACTCACCATGGCATTGAAACGAGGTTTCTTCCCAAGACGACGTCGTTTTAAATGAAAAGTTAAACGCGAGCCTGAGTGTTGATCTCAAAGCTAAGAGCTTGGATTGCCAGAGCACCATTATGGGAGCAATATTTCGAGATAATGTAGAAATTATAAAATGAACGTTTCACGTCATTAAACAATGCTTGTGTATTAATGATGGTTTGATATAAGACAGCGGGAGAATGACAGATAGAACATTACATCGCAATTAAAAAATCGTTTTTTTTAAGGGGTGGGGAGTCGGTGGTTAAATTAGGCGATATGACAGCGGAAAACTATCATTATTATCATTATCATTGTATAATTTTCATTATCATCGTTATCATCACCTAACTTGTTTAAGAGTTACTAGGGTTTTTGCGATACTACAGAGAAAAGTTAGAAAGCCAATATAATGTAGGTAATTTTTCGTTGAAGTTGTTTTCTTTTTTCTTCATTAATTTAAAGGTTAACTACAAACTCTTGCCCCCTGTAGTTTGGTAAGCAAGAGAACAAGAAGGGTAACACTACTCTTAGTCACTAAAGATAACAAAAAGCTGCAAACGAGAAATACAACGTAATAAATTTACTTGCTATTTACACAATAAGATTGTGGTTTCTTTCGATTAAATGAGAACGGTACATCAATATTTCTTGCCTACAGCATTTTCTTTGGCTGTTTTTTTTACACTGGGCTCAGCCAGGTGCGAAATACACAAACAATAGTTCATTATGCCCCTTTGCCTCCGGCGAACTTCCTTTCCTAGTCTCCTTAATAAGCATTTGGATTCCAGTCAATAATATTCAACAAAGGTCTCTTTTGTCAACCTCTCGAAGGATGTTTTGCGGTGGATTGTGGCCAAACTCTACAATTAATTTGTGAAACAAAAGTGTTCCTCCGCATGCTGAGGAAGCAGAAAAATAACTTCATTAATTTTCGTGTGATCGACTTAAAAGCTAGCATATTCAGATCAATCTCGTTAACATGACATTTGTTTTTATCACGAAAGTAATTAATTTTTACAATAAACGTCTTGATGATACATTTCGCCTTTGTCAATGTACTGCAATCGTGGTAGTTTTACTGAGGTTCACTTCAATGATTGGCTCCTGACTTTTAGAATGATGTACAGGTCTATAGCGTTACCTTACCCACGCGCTGATGCCATTTCCACCTCTCTCCTCAAAGATCACGTCGAGAGCAGTTTTTGCACTCACACGAGCGAATCTGGGAAACCACTATGGATTTCTCACATTCTTCGCCAAATTTCACAGTTTTCTCTTTAATATCTTTCGGTGTACAGCACTGGCATGAAGTTTTAAATCTCGGCTGGCTATCTTCTCGCTCGATGGGAAGTGGGATTGCGTACGACTCACACGTTCCAACACACATACCCAGTTTTACCCTCGTTTTCTTGCAGTTGTAACCATCTTTCACCGAAATTACCTCTTTGTATCTTTTATAGCGGCACATGTGCGTGGACGTAATTGGCTTCTGGAAAAGTTGGAAGGCAAGGATGAACAACCAAATCGCAACCAGATGGATATACTTCGGCATTATCTGTTAACAAAACAATAAACATTTCATGCTTTATCTCTTAATTATGGATCATTTTATGTCGCAATACTTCTGGTATGTTAGATGCTTACAGATGGATTAAACATAACGACATTTAGAAGCTTGCATTGTCGTGACAATTGGGTCACTAAACAAGAAAAGCACTTGATTCCAAATAGACACGTCAGCCCGTCGACAGAAGGGCGCCGATTTATGCGAACCTAACCAAAAAACTTCACAACGAGTGCAAAAATCTTGACCCAATATCTACGTGATGCTTTAGCGCTACTACATTCTGGGTTCAAAATATCTGAGTGAGTGGTAAGATAAGCCCTCAGGACAAATAGCCCATCCAATATCTCACAGGTGTCAAACCTTTGAAGTACCTTGTAAAATGTGGGTGAGCACAAGCGGAGATAAAGCGTGAGCGAAGAAAAGACGAATTGTCTGAATAGGACTTTGTAATAACGCATATGTTAGTCCACTGTTGGGTGGCGGACGAAACTAATGGGCCAATAATAACCTTTTGTTCATCTTTCACCCCTGTACTGGCTCTCTTTCACGCCTTCAGATTCGCACAACAAACTAGCGGTATTATAACAAATGCAAACAACACAATTTGATACGAACAATGGAAATTTCACACGTATATTAGCACAAGTCAGTCTCTCACAGGATAACCGACAGCGGAGGCACTGCAGTGCCACGACCCGGAACACGGTGATTGTTACCTACTTCATGTGGTGGCAATTTTGCTGGTTTGATGTACAGAGAGACAATACATGCAAATATAAGGTGCCTTATTCTCGTTACCCTCTACCACGATACCTAATCTACACTGAAACGAGAACATAGATCTTGATCACTAACTGCAATAATAATGGAAGCACAGTGTCAAATAAGGATTGATCACAGATCATCAAGTTTGCAAAACATCAGTATATTTAATGATCCCTGGAGGTAAACAAGAACACACTTTTCACTTGCTATTTAAAGAGATGTGTATTGGTTTGTCTGCAGTGGTAAGACCCCTTCGGAACCGCGACCGCGGACAAGAGGGCAGTCCCCCCTGGGTGGAAGAAACGTTTTTTTCCTCAAATTTTGAAAATTCAAATTATTTACAGTAAACTGTTCCGTGATTAGTTAAAAGCTCTTCGAGAGCCGAATTGAGGGCCTAAGGGAAAAGTCTAAGTTGAATGCGTGCTGATAAAATGTAAGTTATGCGGATAACAAATCTCTATAAATTATTTTGCAGTTTTATTTAGAAGGACAATTTGATATACTGTTCAACTGATTCAAAGAGGAAAAATGTTCATCTGAAATTGAATTGACTACAAAGGTATACTTCTTATCCTACCACATAAAAGTAATTATTGATTTTCATAACCATTACCATTTTTTTTTCTCCCGACCTGTGATCCAATGGTTTGGATTTCCTAGACAGTTTCTTTTTCTTGTAATCAATTCAAAACCAGCTCATTGTTTTACCAAAAATTTGTCCGCCATATACATAATGACGAACACAATGACAAACATTGTTGATGAGGTTTTAAACGTTGTAATTATATATCAACCAGTTGAAAAGTAAACAACACAAACCAAAGAAATCCTAACAATTAACAACAAATAAACAAACAAATATGAACAAATAATACGCGGGTAACGAAAACTTTAAAACAAGTAGTCATCGAGCTCTTTATAGTCAGTGCTGAAAATAGCCAACGAAACAAAGAACTCAAGTTGCTCTAACTTTTGGGGAAAGAAAAGAAATCCAAGTGACAGTACTTAGGAGATGTATCCGTCATGCCAGAAAAAATCAAATTCAACGAAGGAGCCAGTATCTAACGCCTACGATAATCACTTATATTGAGGTCGTACCTAAGTGTACAACTTAACACGTGCACTGCGGACAAAGTTACATAAATACGTAAGTAGACACGTGAGAAGACACGTGAGTGAAATACGATAATTGACATCACGTCTGCTCCCGCACTCCCGATGATTTTTGGCACGTTTGGCAAGATAAAGCTGAAATGCTCAATTTGCGAGCCTTTTCTTAAACTACTTCACGGCAATCGCAAATGGTGCACTTAAGCTGAGCAGCCTTTACCAATCTTTACAATATAGAGCCACTCAAAACCGTGTAATTACATTGATTTTGCGCTGTTCCGGTGCTTTCAACGGAACGGTTTGGTAAAATAAGGAAAAATCCTAGTGAGTTTTCATCTCACACTTTAGCATGAATTTCGTTCGTCAAAATATCTTTGCATGTTAGGTATGGTTCTGATACAAGCACTTAGAGATAATGGAAGGCTTTAAACCATAGACAAAAAAAAAACTGGAATAAGCTGAGCACACAAAAATATAGCCGATTTACATGCCTTACATGTATCTTCAAGTCTAAATGCCAAATCTTAAATGATAAACAATGAGCTTAAATTCTTTCCACACTGACCAATGACTATAGAGGAATAACACCGTGTTTTTTTCTTATTTAGAACATAACGATTTTTTCTGTGGCTGACGACTACCTGTACAAGCTGTGCGACAAGTATCAACTAGAGTGAAGGATTCAAACAAGCCATTCTGAAAATTTCATAGAAGCGGCCGTAACAGTGGACCATATATCAGTTCTGCTAGGTAAAAACACTGAAAACGAAAGTGACAGAAACTGCTAAAAAGATAGAATCCACCCAAGTTCAACAAGAAAAAAAAATCCATCCGGCAGAAATCTTGCTCTGATCCACTTCACGTCTTTTCTTTCCCCCGCAATACGCGTCATAACCTGAACTAATTAAAAATACTTTTCAGGGCCCATTTATATGGTGTGAGTATCCGAGACAATCTTTCCCAAGCCGAGCTAACTTTTCACGTATTCTTTGAAGAATTCAACCAACCGTCTGCATCCTTTAATTTTTGGCTCCCTTGCAATTTCAATCGCACTCTCTCAATTGGATACTTCATGGATACGCGTCAAAGCTTTTATTGCTTGAAAATAAATTTGGTCTTGATTGTTTAGGTTCATCTTTCAACACTCTTAACTATCCTAAGCTAATTTGGTTTTATCAGCTGAGTTGACAATGTAAATTGGCCACAACAAAGAGCTTTCTGAAGCTGACGTTTCGCACGTCAGTCCGTCTCGCATCTTCTAATTAGGTACCCCCTCGGAAAGCATTATTTCATGGTTTTATTCCACTTTACCAGAAATTTAATTACGTTCATTTTAGTTCAGTGAGATGAAGAAAAAAGAAAAAACGAATTCATTAAATGGCTTTTAGTGACACTGTAAACCCTCAGCAGCGCTAAAACATAAATAAAGCACCGAAAACGACACGTCGACCCGAAATTGTTGCGCAGTAACTTACAAGCGTTGGAAGTAGAAGTGATATCTAACTTTGGGAGCAAATCAAGTATCACTTTGTAGATCATCACCTACGTTTTAACCTGATCGATAGAAGTATAAGATAAACGTCCTGCAACACAATTTCCCTCAAATTTCGCTGTGACTTTTGCCCTCCGGAAAATTAACTTTCAAATTAACAACAAGGTGATGCATATACATTAATGTTACAGGCATGGCAAAAGAACGTGAGAAACGTTTACTGCTGCATTACCAGACTTTGATGTCATTGACTTGGACGTGTTATAGATTTTGGCAATACGAGAGATACCCATATTAGCCTTATCAAGTAAAAATAGGAGATATTTACCTTTCTGCGGTGTCTTGTACTACAACTTCTGATCATGCCCGACTAGAGACTTCCGGCGCTATCGAGTGAAAAACAACGACAACAACTCCGTCAACAAAGATTCAAAAGTGCAGTACCACTCTGTCAAAACTACTAAAGAAAGATTCTTCATCTAATTTCTTAACTGAAAGAACGGAAAAAAGCAAATTCACTTATTTCTCTTCAGCTGAAGAGAACTGCGTGCGGGCCATTGAAGGACTGTCAGTACGAGGTTCAAGAAATGTGTGAGGTGCTTTTCTCGAAATAAATGGGCTTGATATTTTCTCTCAGTATGTCATAAACGACCAAAAACGAATGCTTTCAAAATGGAGAACAACAATAAAAACAACAATAATAATTGTACGTAAAAATAGTTTTGTACAGTTAGACGTCTACAGTAATCTCGAAGCATAGTTCGTCTTAATTGTAAATGTTTTCACTGCATTGACATATCCCCTTGAACCTCCAAGACGCGAAACAATTTCGTAAAAGTTCTTCCTACCTTTTCGCTCTTCACTTGCGTGATCTGAATAAACGGTAATTACAAAGGCAAACCACAGGCTTACTGTGGGGCTGAGTTCCTTTCAAACCGCGCGATCCAGTTCCGCGTCTCTTGAAGAAGAGCACTGTGCCGGACTCAGGGTTTAAGTCAGTTTACAACTTACGGTACTCAAATGAAGAATTTTGGTCTTATGCGACGGAAGACTCACTTGCGTGTGGTCGTAAAATTTCGTCGTAAAATTGAAGTCAAGTATACTTCACTAAAAGAAGGCTAACCTTAAACGGTCGGGCATTACGGTCAACAACACAACAATGGTTATTTTTCTCTTTAACGTCGAGGTTTAAAACGATAGCCAATGGGGCTTAAGATAATGAACAATACGTCTCACTGTTGCGTGAAATTAAATAGTGGGTTTATTGATTGTGCTTTCTTCCTCTGGTTTAATTTATGTAAAGTAAATGATGTATTCACAGCACGTATCGGTGTGGGAAAATTCTTAAGAGCTAGCCTCAAGAGGCTCAGCCAATTAACTGCCATTGAAAAATGGTGCGAGCAAGTGCTGACATGACAATGTAAAACTTGCAAGACGTTGAGCATGTTTATCCTGTTCTGGATGCTTTCGATGCATTGTCTACATAATCAGTTAAGGATCAGTGAGTGCCAAAGAATCAATACGTCAAAACAAGTTTGCCCCTTTCTTGAGGAAAATGCGCCATTAGAGTACCAGATTTATTCTGAATATACACTGAGAACAAACCGTTGTAGTAAGCTTAAATCGTCACCTTCGACGAAAAGTATGGAAATTGTGGATGAACTTGAAAATCAACGTTACAGTTTCTTTTCGAAGACACTCTATACTGTGTTCTTCACCTCAAGTAACAGAGTAAAAATAAGTTGAGTAACAACTCCAGTATGGTGTCAAAGCTTAACGAATAAAATCCGACTGAAGTGGTATTAGTTAGGATGGGCAAAAAGGTTAAGATTTAATTTCTTTGCAGTTTCAATATCTTGAAATAGATTGTGGCGAGTAAGGACATCATTATGACATCAACATTGCACGAAAGCCAAAAAAAGGAAACTTGGTAACTAGACGAAAAAGAGTCTGTTCAATGGGGAAATGTAAGGTCATCAGAAAATGAATAACAAAGTTTAGAGAAAGTTAGTTTTCGTTTCATAAAAGTAAACAGTTTTGGTGCCTTCAAATATACTTTAAGTGCAATATAATAACCAACAGTGGCCACTCACACGCATTTCAAGTGGGCCAGATTTCATTTCTAGTGCTCAATTTAATAACAATGTTTACCGTTTTTGCACGCTTAAAATTCTCATCATATTCTCTGAAGATGCCTATAACCAAGTAAATCTTACAAATATTGGGTGTTAGTTTTGTGTAGCAATATTTTAAGACCCATGGGTAGATAATGACCTCCACTTCGCTGATTTCAGGAAATCAAAGCTTTAAATCGCAGCTCTCAACGAATTAAGGAACAATGCAGGTAATTTCTCTCAATTGACATCTGAAGGATTACTCTCCCACTGGTAACTACAAACTGAGCACATTAACGTGAATGACAAAGGCTCGAGTGTTCCTTCTGGGAGGCAAAAAGCATGATTCAGCATTTCAAAAACTAGCGCCTAAACAAGGTCATCGCCCTTTTTCTGAAACTTCGCACAATATATGAACAGTTATTGACCATGTTCATGATAACGCTGTCTGCTAACATTCTACAGAGGCTCTTCCATGAAAACATCAATATCTCGCAGCATCTCTAAATAAGGAATTTTCTTCTGCCCCGCCTCTGCTACTGAGTAAGATACAGCATCTTTCAGAACTACACAGACCATAAAGAACGTTATTCTATCGAATCACTTCGATGGAAGTACTTGTGTTCAATGTCTGAGTTGTTAATGCGAAGTTATACCAGAGAGTGGCAAGGATGCAAAGAATTGATCGAAAGGTTTTTTCCCTTAAGGCGATCCCACACACGGGCCTTGCATGTGTATCCAAATGTTGGATACAGTTTACACTAGAGTGTCAAAGGTGGGAATGCCGTACAAATATTTTAGCTTCCAGAGGTTATTTTTAACCCAGTTACTACCAGAAGAAAGATTTTCACTCCCTCCCCACTCTTCGTATTTCATCGAAATTTCGAGACTGCTTGGAAGGCCCTTAAAGGCATTGCAGACGGGAAGCCGGGAGCCAACAAGAAACTTCAGAAAATAGTCCCTTCTTTTATATTGGTTAATCGAGGTTGCACGATTCACTCCAACGAATATGCTTTATATAGTCTCAGATGTAACAAAAATGATGATTGGATATTTGTTTTCGCGACACTATATTATTGTACAATGCCACCGGAACGTTTTTCAGTTTTATGTTATATGTTCCTCAATAAAACGTGATAGTTTGACTATTTAAGGCTTGCACTTTTCTTAAAAGTGACGTCTAAAGTAACTCTGTAATGATGGACACTTCCTTTCTCCATTTTTTCACGAGCACTATGTATCTTTCTTTAGGATATGTACTTAAGCTATTCTATATATATATATATATATATATATATATATATGTGTGTGTGTGTATGTATATATATATATATATTTACAGTTGGTTCGGGCTGCAAGGCAAAACATGCACGATGAAACAGAAGTATAACAATATACAGAAAAAAATTCAGGTTCCTGGAGTTTCAGAATGCCTGCAACAAGTAAACGCAGACATGTTCGTATCTTGGTTGATCACAGGTAATCGTACACACCCAGAACGCTCACGTACTCGTTTCCACGTTGCTTTGCAACATTTGAAGTCTTACTCAGACAGCTGCATACTATTGCGTTATTCATTGTGATTGTCAGTTACAAATCAACTTTCAGAACCATTTAGGGCAAAGTTGGACGGTCCTTGATGGTAGAGTTGTGGAGTATTATTTCAAGGTCCGATCTAAAAGTTAATCACCCCAAACAGAGTTGGCACCATCCTTAAGCTATTAAGTTGAGCTGTAAGTGACGCTCCGTAAGCTTTCACCGACCCAAGATCATCTTCTACTTTTTGCAATAAATTCTAAAATACAAGAAATATAATTGAGATTATTATATGTCAATTGTTGACAGACTTAATATAAATTTGTAGAAATATATTTTTCGCACTGGTTTAAGTTAAAGACTGCTAATAATTACCTTAAGCTCCTCCATGTCTTTGTTGAGTGTCATGTTCTCCTCCTGTGACATGAGGACCACTTTTCTAAGCTCTCTCAGTTCCAGTTCTCTGTCTGCAACGAATCACTTTCAATTACTTGAACAGACTCGAAGCAGAAGGAAAATTACGGGCGAAATAAAGATGAAAATACAAAAGTGGAGAGACAAAACAAGGCAAAAAGACAGGGAAGGAAATGCAAATGAAATAACAATGAAAAATGTAAAAAAGAGCGAATGAAACAATAAAATAAGCAAAGCAGAAGGAAAAAGAAATAAAAGAAAAAAAAAATGAAAAGCGTCTACATGTAGGGTGGGGCAATATATATTCGTGATGCTCATTAACAAATGAGCGAGTCAGCGACAAAAAATGAACCACTGAACGAGTGGAAAAAAATTGAATAAATAAATAAAACGTGCAGTGAGGGAGATGCACAAATTTCAATGAACAGGAGCAATGGGAGGAAACAGAGAAAATCAGAAACGGAAGGTAAACTATCTATTTTAATCTCCCCAACAAGCCCCTTTCTCTTCAAAGACTTCCTCTCTATTTAGTCACTTCCCCTCTTCCAAAATGCCACATTTACTATTGCAGTCACAGTTATCATTATTTTATGTAAGGTACTTTTATTATTTCATACACGTGATTGGTCTACTACATTCAACGTGACTGAATATGCCACAACATAAACTGAAGAATACTCGAATGAACCTCCCCTCATACCCGGCCTACAAAGATGTTTGTCCTCCTGAGTTCATATACATGTACTTACTTAAGTTTTGTTCCAAGAACTTTTCTGTAAACTGTGAGATAGACACCATTGATTCATCTGATATCAGTGATGTTCCTATGGTATCTGAGACAGTGTTACAAGGAGTCAGGTCAGGAGAGTCATTTGGAACTTTCTCTGTGCCGTTGGCATTTTGTTCAGCTTCACGTTCAAATTCGCCTGTAAGCATCAAAAGATGCTGTTTTCCAAATAAGTGTTCCTTCTTGTTATGTAAGGAGCTGAAGAACTGGTTGCAAACTTTGCAGTACAATTCATTGGAATCATCTTCCTAAAGAGGTAAAAGACACAGAACATTCAGAAACAACTTTATTTTGTGAAAAAGTGACTGTGTCCTCAAAAGTGGTTACTGTGAAGAGTGCTTTTCACCAGCCCAATTTTGATGTTTCAAATTCGGCCAAATACAAAAGACATCATTACTGGGCTCTAGGGAATAACTCCACAAACTCCCTACTTCTTATGCAAAGACCTACTCTTTTATGCTGAATTATAAAAACATAAATTTGGGCTATGGAGAATCATAAAACCAAAACAATGTAAGCCATCACAACAAATCAAAAGACAAGGAAATTTGGCAAGGAGTTGGATTATCACCTTAACTGCAGCTTTGCAAAATTTTCCCAAAGTGAAACTGTGACTGAAGTAAGCATGTAGGAGTGGAGTGAAGAGCAAATGAAGGTCAAATTTCCCACCCCTTTTTGCTCCTGTACTCCCAAACTGTTACTTGTGATTCCTTAACACACTTTAAAGATTAAAAAAAGCTATAAAAAGCTATCATATAGAGGGCTGTGGAAACTGAAACTGTAACCAAAACCTGACCATAAGGGAGAAAGTCAAGTTTCTACCATTAAAGCCCTCTGGGATTCCACAATTAAACATGCACCAAAATGTTGTAAAGGTCACTTACCACTTGGTCACTTAACAACAAGCTAGACGGCACTTCTTCAGGGGTATCTACTCCTGAAATATGTGTACAAAAAAAACATTATTAACATTTGAAAATCCAGAGCATAGCTTGTGAGTAGTACTGTACATAATTATGATATATTAACTTGCACAAGCCAGATTGCCATAATTAAGCAGCAGTCTCTGTCTAAGTCAGATTTACAATATTCTTCCTTAATGATCACACATGAACCTTTGAAACTGAAGTTTGTACCCCTTGAATGCAGTCCCAAACATCAGAACCCACAATTTTATAAATGTTATTTTTTAAAAAGAAAAATTGAAAACTACCACACTGACTTCACATTAAAGTTTTCAATGGTAAATGTATGCAAAGTAAACAAAATCCTCAAAGTGTCCACAGGTTTACAAACATTAACATGTACATTATCATAAACACTGTCTGAGACAGATCTGGCAGTTAACAAATAAATTAAGAACATGGCTTACCAACAATGGACTTGAGTTTCTTGGCACTTTGTCTTTTTATGAATGCCTGGTACTGTTCAGATTGTTGATAAATTTTAAGCTCTTCAATGTAACGTTTTTTATCTTCCTCAGCTTCATCCAAGTATTTCTGAACATTCCAAATAAATGAAACAAAAGCTTAAAACATAATGTTACCAAATATGAAAAGAAACAGATGAGCCCTAAGTTTCAGAAGTGAACAAATCTAACTAGGCAGCTCATGGTTTGAAATGTTTGTTTATGCCTAGTGCAACTTACTTTTTGAGAAGAATTTTGTATCCATGACATATATATTTCTGACAGATCATTGATTAATGAGGTTTGTATGTGAAGTATTTTTGTGACCATTTTTCTTGACACATATATGTGCTGAGCAGTGAAAGTTTGCTGTCAAGCTCAAGGAAACTTGTGCTTTACTTGAGAATACAAATGTACACGTACATGATTGTACATCTACATTAACAAGTACATTATTGGGTCAGACATGAAGGGGTTGAATCACTACAGTGCTCTGTCCATAGAGAAGGATAGAAAGAAGAGAAAAGTTTTGTAATCAGATGCACTGATAATAGGGGATTTAGTCATAAACATGCAAAATAAAACATGTGACCCTCCATATGATTTTAGGGACAAAGGTGATAGCACACTCACAACACGCTTCCACTTGAAAACAAAAGCTGGCTATTACATGCTTGTTGAGCATGCTAGAGCACCCTTAAATGAGTGCATGCTTTTGTTTCATATAACACACTACAAACAATAAAGAATGCTCTGTTGAACTATGAAGCGCGAGTGAGCGAACAAGCAAAGCATGTTAACCTTCAAATACAAAAGATAGCGTGTGAGCGGACACAGCACATTAGCATGTACCATAGTATGCAGCCAACATGTTAACTGATCGTAAAGCTAGAGTGATCATTACACAGTCAATGTACTCTCATTCTTGCAGTAAAACTACTAGCCAGGTCAATTAAACTAAAGCTTGTATCAGTGTTTTAAAATTATCAACTTCCTGATCAAAAAATTGCCATAACATATAGCCATAAATGGCCTAAACGTTCATGTAAAAGCATAATTATTCCATCAGATGGCCTGAGCAATTCAATGACCCTCTGTTTCTGAGAACACTAGGAAACTCAGGCAGATGATAGTAATGCACTTAGTCACATGTTCAGTCGTGTGCTCTAAATTAAATTCAATCAACACCATAAACAAATGACAAAAACCATCATAATCTTCAGAATTAGCACACATACCATAAAAATTTTGAATGAAAACACCATATGATAGATCTAAACTTAGCAGTAGAATGCTTCACTTTGATCGTGTTACTATAGGTACATAGAGAAGATATCCCTTTGTAATAACTTTGAAGCAACTACTTGCATTGTGTGAAGGAATGGTGTTGATGTTGTACCTATAACGTGGATGTTTGGGAACTATACAGTGATGAAATTCATTTGACACACTCATTTGTGTACCAATATTTAAGCTTACCAATCACAATTGAGTACAATTGAAAAACATTTTAATGAACAAAAGGTGGCTATTACATGCTTGTTGAGCATGCTAGAGCACCCTTAAATGAACGTCATCCTTTTGTTTCATATAACACACTACAAACAATAAAGAATGCTCTGTTGAACTATGAAGCATGAGTGAGCGAACAAGCAAAGCATGTTAACCTTCAAATACAAAAGGTAGCGTGTGAGCGGACAGAGCACATTAGCATGTACCATAGTATGCAGCCAACATGTTAACTGATCATAAAGCTAGAGTGATCATTACACAGTCAATGTACTTTCATTATTGCAGTAAAACTACTAGCCAGGTCAATTAAACCAAAGCTTGTATCAGTGTTTTATAATTATCAACTTCCTGATCAAAAAATCACCATAACATGTAGCCATAAATGGCCTAAACGTTCATGTAAAAGCATATTCCATCAGATGGCCTGTGCAATTTTAATGGGATGGTAAAAAAAACCAAAAGTGAGAAATTATGTCATTTTTCAATGTCTCTCTGAGAACACTAGGAAACTCAAGCAAATGATAGTAATGCACTTAGTCACATGCTCAGTCATGTGCTTTAAATTAAATTCAATCAACACCATAAACAAATGACAAAAACCATCATGATCTTTGGAACTAGCACACATACCATAAAAATTCTGAATGAAAACACCATATGATAGATCTAGACTTAGCAGTAGAGCGCTTCACTTTGATTGTGTTACTATAGGTACACGAAGAAGATATCCCTTTGTAATAACTTTGAAGTGACCGCTTGCATTGTGTGAAGGAATGGTGTTGATGTTGTACCCATAACGTGGATGTTTGAGAACTATACAGCGATGAAATTCATTTGACGCACTCATTTGTGTACCAATATTTAAGCTTACCCATCACAATTGAGTACAATTGAAAAACATTTTAATGAACAAAAAAGGTATTAAGCTTCATTTCATTTACTTTGGTGTGTTATCCTGTGTCAACTGGCATGCTAAGCATGACATGGATCATGCTTAACCAAAACAAATACCAAACGTGCTAACTTGGCCAAAACAAACATAGTGTGTCCTTCGTTGTTTAAAAATATTGTACGTGTATATTGAACACTCTAAGTGCCTTGTGTTGGCATGTTGCAAGCTTGTGGTCACCTTTACCCCTGAAATCATATGGAGGGTCACATATTGTACTGTTCAATATATGATGATAGTTGGAAAATACTGCACAAAACACATAGGACAGGTACTGGCAGCTTATATCCTTGTGTTGGTTTTATGGCTTTTGTTTCACATACAGTTGCCATAATGGTTGTGATAACATGTTTTTCTTTGATTTTTTTATCTACCAAATACATACCTGTTTCTCCTCTTGCAGAAGATTGCTCCACTCCAAACCAAGTATCTTTGTTATTTCTGAAAACTGTAGATGAGGATGTTGTTGTTTCACCTCAGCCCGTCGACTGTTGATAAACCTCACATACCTACACATCAATAACCAAAGCTAATTATTTTGAAAAGAACAAAATTCTCAGTAGAAAAGAAAAGAGCTGAACAGAAATAAAACTTTAAAATACTCAATTGGTGGGCAACATTTTTAATATGATTGTAATTGCAGTGCCAGGCTGTACAAATTTAAAGGTAAGTGATTTGGCAACATACTTTAAACGCGGCTCTTTGCAAAAATAAGTAATGATAATAGGGGTAACTGGATTCCTTTTTGTAATTTATTTTAATGTTTTATCTGAAAAATAAGACCAGATTACCACTAAGTAGGAGTATGACTAAATTAAAAAAGACTTTTTAATCCCAAGATTTTATGATGAAATCTTCCTTGCAATGGCTATGCTTTTCCTGTCAAAGTAATAAAGGGAACTAGGTAAAGATAATTAAGACCTAAACTGACAAGTTTGTCTCTTTTCTGCATCTGTTAGTTAGATTAAAATACAATGCACATTCATTTACATTACAATTAATCTACTGAAATTGTGTGATGAAGCTACATGCTGATAACTTCTCAGATTTAAAAGGTATAAGTGGTGTATTTAAACATGCATGGCTAGCATCTCAAAGCTACATACACATAACTTTGTAATTTGTTGGTTGATCTTTACATCTTAACAAACAGAAACTCAATTATAACCTTAAAGAATACATACCCAGTAATTGGGGCTTTTGGCTTATTTAAATCACCAAATCCCTTCTTCCTTTTTTTACCTTTAGGCCAACCACCTTTTCTTTTCTTGGTTGGAAAAAAGAACAGAAAAGAACAGTTAACATACAACTCAAGAAATATAATGGGCAGGTCTGTTTGCTAAAAAAACTGTGCACAAGGTCTTGAGTATGGCCTGAGGCACTTAAGACCACGGGCACAGTTTTTTTTCATACTAACAAACAAGGACTGGTAACAACATTAATTTAATTTTTTTCTGCTGGTTTGCTTTTTACTCCTTTGATGCAAATGGAATGGAAGAAAATTTTAGTCTTGTCCTTAAAATAGAAAGCTAGAATGGTTACGAGTGCAGGATAATAGCCCATCAGATTCTAGGATTTAAGATTCCACCTCACTGAGATGCTTCAGGAAAATATATACTTTGATTAGTTCTAATAAACATGCATGGAATATATATTTGATGCAATCACAAACAGAATATCGGTAACTTGGAAAAATATCCAATAAAAAACTAGTTGTATTTTAAAGCAATGTATACTGCATATTGCCAATTAACACTCTCCAAGGATAGTGTTAGTCAGGAAGTGAATTATGCATTTGAAAAGCTAATCAAGTTAATTCTATTTATGATTATGCAAGACAAAGCTTCTCTCACCTTAACCCCTGTGGGTGCAGTATTTGATGCTTCCTCTGCTAATACACTACCCTCTGGGAGAGAAGTGGAAGGTGGTAGCACATTTATGGTTAATTCATTAGGATCTGTGACATTTGATGAACTGGGAGTGACAGATGTAACATCATCTTCATTGTTTAAGTCAGTGTTTTGTTGAATTGAATCACCTTGCTCAGGCTGCTGGACAGCAAACAACTGGCTTTCAGGAACTGTCACAACTGCTACTTGATTGTTAAGCACACCACCTTGAACAAGAAGAATCATTACTGTGGTGCACTGTACCCTTTCAAGGAACAATGAATGGCTTACATTTTTTTGCCCACATAACAGCCAGGTTTGCCTAAACTGCACCTCTTTTCAAGCATGAACATTTCAAGTTTTTGACAGAACTCCCTGTGCTTTTAAACAAGAAGAGCACATGTATTGAAAGTGTTGTACCAACTTTTTAATATTTCAAACTGCATATCATCAGCAAAAGGCAACTTCACATTTCTGGTAAATCCTTTCATGTTCATCAACTTTCAATCATCAGAGTTCTAAGAGCAATGAGGCAAACCAGCTTACCAGAGTGTAAAATTGGTTCATTAGTAAAACAAACCAGTTTTTCTACACAAACTTGATTGTAATATTGATCGTTATATTGTTATATTTGCCATTCATGGTATCTTGAAAATAGCGGTATGTACAAGTACAGTGTTCATGTGCAAATTTAATACTAGATCAGTTGAAGTCTGGTGTTTACATTGTAGCAAGATATCCCAAGGTTGTAAATTTGTAGTTTTACTTCTGTCAACTGATGTTTTAAGTTTTAAAGAAAACCCCCTTTGTAGACATCTCTCTAATATGAACACCTCAGAGTTTCCTACTATATCCCATCTAAATTTGGGCACAACATTTTCTTTTAAATAAACCTCTATAATATGCACCAAATGTTCCTAACAAAGAGAATAGGCACTAGATCACAGCCCAAGGGAGCAAACTGTGAAAAGTCTATTACAAACGCTACAGTGATCAGGTGGTCATTGTTGGTGATTACAGTATGTGATAAAAATTCCTGTTTGTAATTACACAAACATGAACTATTCTCTATTTAAACCACCAAGCCTTACAAAGGAAATTACAGTTACTGCAGTTAACAGTAGCCAATCAAAACAAAAACTATAATAATTTATATTCAATGGAAAATTCAAAGTGTAATTGATTTGATGTCCATACAGTTAATACCAAGAACTTTTTCAAATAACAAATTAAAGAACAAACTTTTAGAATGCTGAAATGACTAAAATATATTAATTATTATTAATAGCTTTTAAAAATATTTTCATCTATTCAACATTTGCCTGTCTCACACTCTCTTGAAAGATGATTTTCAACATTGAAGTGCAGAATTAGTTTTATTGTTAAGTTCATTGTGGTGTTGCTGTTTGTTTCTTCTTCTGAGACACCTTCTCAGTAATGTATATCAATAAAGATGCATGTTTGTGTCTGTTTTTCAAGTAAAAGTAGACACTATAAACAGTCAATGCAGTTGTAAAAATTATGTCCTTGCCGTGAACCTTGTTAACTAGTCACCACTCTGGTATGGATAAATGTACATGTACATGTACTTCATTCTAGAAAGACACAACTGCTACAGTATTTAAAAATCAAAGAAAAAATTGTGCAAGGCAAGTTCTACACTTACCTGGACAAGTGAGAGCTCCACTTGAACTTACAGCAAATGTTGCCACTCCGTTGCCTGATATTGTAACACCCCTTGAGTAAACAAAATAAAGGGCACTAAATTAATTTATACCACAAGCAACTAACAAAGGCCACCTTTGTGTTTTTCTATTCAATAAACCACAACATGTACGTAACTTGGTACTTAATAATTATGTTATAATTGTTTAAAACACAAATCAGATGTATACAGTGTAAAAACCATGCTCAAGTAAGTTTTTTTCCTAAGAGGTCAACATGATATATAGTTTATAATCAAATATTAAATAACTTAAAGTAAGTTTCTAGAGAAATTTTGGTGATGCATCAGTGGAAGAGTATAACAGGGTAATATAGTGCTATCAACTGAGTTGAAAACATAAAGTGACCTTCATTTAGAGTTTAAAGGCTGGTGTTTCATGTGTTAGCTCTTCATCAGAGCAATTGGGGGGATTGTGGGTTGTGTGTGGGTTTATATACAGAAAATGGAGTCGGTGGTTTATGGTCATGAGGAAAAAAAGATTAAATTAGTTGAATGAAGAACATCCGTCGATGCCATGGGGTTAAGAATGCCAATTTTGGAAGATATCTTCCAAAAAAAAAAAAAAAAAACAGTTTAGCCTTTGCACTTTCACTTGTGCTTATAACCAATAATGTTCTTTTGAGAAAAAAGGTGCATAGTGCTTTTCATGTATGGCAAATGGTTTGCATTAAAAAGGAGAGCAAATCCTTAAATTTTTCTTCAGTTTTAATGTAACCCTTTACCACATAAAGAATTAAGATCCTGTTTATGATTTTGTTGGTTTGTTTGTTTTTTAACAGTGCAAGTGGTTAGGTTTGGAAGTGACCTATAGAACACATGTAAGGGTTACTATGTATCCAAATGAGTTCTCTCACACGAGCAAGTTAAAGCAGCCACTATCAGCAGCTCAGTACAGTACATTTTGTTAAGTTTTTCACCCAGTGTGTGCTACATGTATGATGGTTCACGTGTACCAAAAGACTAGTATGCACACTTGGGATGCGAGATAGCAATGATTATGAACGACCTCAGAAGAAAACAGATATTTATTGACTTAACCATACATTGTTCACGTCTGAAGTGATAGCAAGCATGGTATCTATCATTACTAATAAAAACTACACTGGCTTCATTACGTTTAGATATTTAGAGCTCTACTAGAGAATCAGTCTCTTAGAAAAATTATTTGTAAATAACTAAAGAAATCAGTAGAAAGGGGTTTCTTTGCCGTGAATCTTTTGTCTTGTTTAGATTCACAACCAATTATGATTATTCTCTGTAAACTGAGGACACGTACCTTGACATATCTGGGTAATTTTGCGTCACAACAACCTCGGCAAAACAATTCACTGACGATGCAGCGGTTTCAAAGCTTGTCTTGTCGCCCTCAGATTCTTGGTTTGAAGAAAACGTTGGCATAAAGCTCAGCTCTGACACAGGAGAATTCTCCATTTTAAAATGGGTCCGATGGGTCCGCGCTCACTATAGTCAGTGGTATGTGTACTTACGTTGTGTATGACTATTAAGACTGTCCGAAAAATAGCCTACCGTCAGACTCATATGCGAGTAGGGGGGCCATAAGCGCAACGAAACTTTATTTACTTACAAATCAGATCTAAAAAAAAAATCAAAAATAAAAAAGGCTACGAAAAGCTTTCGAAAAGAAAGCGCGACATTCGCCTTTTTTCTCCAAGCTATTTTCTTTTCGCTCCGTGTTTACTGATGCATAGAAGTCCAAAAATTTTGTCACCTTTGATTTTATCTTAATTAATCTTAATTATCACTAAAAACCTCTTACTGTCTCGTTTTATGAGTGATAAAGTTGGAGAGTGACGAGTTTCATCCAGCACGACCCTTTTTTTTTTCACTCTGTCGGTTTCAGAATTTCGGTTTTCTAAGACTTTTATTGATACTGTTAATTCACCCCAGAGAATTATCAGCAACCCCTTGGACTTTTGTTATGTCGTCGTGTTTAATTTGCGAGGTGGATTCGTTGTTCAATTATTTTTCTCTCATATTAACAGCTAGTTTACTCCTGTGGGACACACCTTTTGTTGATCATGGTGCAAATTGCTAACACCATTAATCTTGTTTTCTTAGAGACCGCTTCTATTGTTTGCACCTTTTTTGTCACTAAGTAGAAAGGCATAGTTTTATTTTGCGTCGGATAAACAATTGTCCTTGGAACTTCTGCCATGAGCACAAGTTTAATTGAATGATGCAGGAAAACAAACCGCCAAAGAAAACAATACAACGAGGGAAGTTTTCAGTGTCAAGGTCTTTCTCCCGTAAGAACGGTGGCCACCAATGCGAAACCTCGTCTCATGCGTCGAACTCATTACGTGTTCGATTTGCTCTGCCAGAGAAACATTCGGAGCAAGCGGATGAAACAACCAACAAAGCCATGATCGCTTTACCGAACCTTCCTTCCATATGTGAGTTTATAATGTTCTCAAACAACCGGCCAACGACGCAACCTGCAAAGCAGTTGTGGCCGCTCACAAAACTTCCACCCATGTATGGTGGCAACACGAGACAACGAAACACAGCTAATAATATGAGAGTCACAATTAACTCTGCCAATTATGGACTAACAGAGCATAAGAAAGCACTGGCAAACAAAGGACCTGTTACGTGCTCTAAAAAAGACATCCGCATGGAAATAAAGGGCAAATTGCCTGAAGACTACCGGAATCCCACGATCAAAGAGACCGAAAAAAGAATTTGGGATTGGTTAAGCGAATCAGTAGAACACCAACCGGCCTATATGCGGCGCGCATATACTATTAGAAAAACTATGGAATCGAACCAGTCGGGTGACACGCAACGTCAAACATTTCAACAAAAGTCGACCCTAGCACAAAAAAATTAATTTACACTCAGCTAGAAGTAAACTTATTAATGGCGCTTGAGTTTTTTTATGGTTTACTCACTAAGAAAATTTACTAACTTCTTCTTTTGTGTTTTCTATGTGGTTTGTTCATTGTTTTGTGGTTTATCTAAGTCTGGATGTTGTTTTACACGCAACGAAAAATGAAACTGTCATGAAATTTTCCTATTGTAAGTTATCATCAAATTTTCTTACAACTAGCACGACAGGTTTCATAATGAGGATATCTAAACACTTCTAGATACTAGTTCTGTACCAGTTCTGTGCTAGTCATAAATTCAAGTAAAGAATGTCACTCATAAAAAATAAGGTACACAAAGAGCTTATTCTTAGCGAATTTAAAAACTCAATTAACCAGTCAAGCAAACAACAAACTGCCTGTAAAACAAATTGTAAAGCTTATGGTCAGTGGTTAACGACGTTAAGGTGTATTGCCAGTCGAAGGCACTCATCGTCTGATCTGGTTTGTTTTCTTTAACTGATTTCCTTTTGAGACAATTAAGCCAATGGAGCGATCCTATCCCGGAAATATTCTTAGTTGAGGTAGTCTGGCGTAATGTGTCTCTCAAGTTGTAAGTAAACAAGTTAAAGGGAGTGACATAAAATTGAGGTGGACCAAAGAACAAAAGAAGTATTTGACTTTTTTTTAAAAAAAACAGTTTCAAAACTTAATGGAATGTTTTACCCGCGCACTAGTAGACACAATAGTTTATTGAAACCACAGAAAGCCGAGACTAGCTTGTGCCATATATAAATCTTGCCGATTTTTTAAAATGTTTTGCACTACCTGCATGTATGCTTGACTAGTTCTCACATGGGAAATTAGGTTGATGGAATTGTCCTTTATGTGAAAGTTAAGTGCAAAACGCTGAAATGTGATAACAACTTGCGTATGCTAATGATACCGAGGCCTTAAAGCCAGCATTTTGAAACAGTCCTCTTCGCGTCAAGGCATTGTCTATGCTTACAGAATCAGATGACATTACTTGTATTTCTTGAAGCTCCTACCAGATTTTTTTAACACAAGCACATTCATTCTGCTAAATAAAGACTGAACGCTAACAATATTATCACAGTGAAACTAATCGTACGTAAGAATTAAATCAAAGGTACACTTACGAACATGAAGATTGAATTGGTGACCTTTAGTATTTCTAAGCCAGGAATTGCCTCCCGACAGCTTGAAAGAAGAATTTAGAAGTAATTATATATCATGTTTTAATTTTCTCAATGATTTTGTTTATTGACATAATTTTATGATTCTTTGTTTCATTGTTAATTTGATTGTCAGAGTTATATGAAGACATAAACATGTGACAGCATTTCAACCAGGTACCTGAAATCTCCTTTCGTTAAAATTTCTAAAAAATTTTTTTGCCATGTGCTTTAGGAGAAAGAATAAAATATATAGTAACAAAATCCTGGTGTACGCGAGACAGAAGTACTTCCTCATGTTCATAACTATATTATGAGCACGAAACTCTTTTCAACATCAGCAGTAGCGTATATCCTGATTTTTGCTTCAAGTTTTGGCTCGATATTCGATGGTAAGTAGGGAAACGGGGAGCCTCCAATAGCTTATTGATTATGGTGATTATTTTCAGAACTATGAAATATAATATATTAAGATAACAAATTGTCACGCGATTCTGTTTCTTTTTTGTTTAGATGAAAACGAAAGTCAGGAAGCATCTACCGCAGATTTGCTTGAGCTGTACGATAGACAAATGCAAGGTTAGAGACAGACATATACAATTTTGTTAAGAACTACAAATAAGACATGTTGTCATGTCTGAAGACATAAATGCTAATCGAATTCTGGGCTGTAGATTTGTGCAGGCATTCGTTCTTATGTTAGCAATTTCATACGCCTGCACTCACTGAATGCCCCTACCCCCCGATCGTTATCAATCTGTCAAGCCGGCCGGTCAACCGTCTTGCATTTGTATCTGTTTGTATTTCAATCGCTCTGTGAATACATTTTTCCCGAGTCTGCAAAATATCCGTGACTGTGCGGTGGATAGCTTTACCCACCCGTCCTTTCGCAAAATCAGAGCCTAGCCTTTATATTTGCAGGTTAACAAAATCGAGCAATGATTCGTTAACTCACTCGCGCATACTTGCGTTTGTGAGTTGGCTTCAGCTTGCGTTCTTTTGTTAATGGCAGCGGTTGGGATGGCAAATAGTCGTAACTAATGGTTCATCTATTCCAACGACTCTCCCACCTATAGAAATTTTTAAGATTGATTCAATACTTTCGATATCATTAAAAGGACTTATTAAAATTGTTACAAGGTGAAAGTGAAAGTTTTAAGAGCATAATGGCCCGCGTGCGTGAACTTGAAAAAAACTTTGATCGACATCCGCTTGGCACTGTTGGCTTATGCTGTTGTTTATTTTCATTTCTGACAAACGCTGATGAGTGAAATAGAAGCATTTGGAGAGCTGAACCTTGGGAAAGATTACTTTGAAGGTGACATGCTACTAACAAAGCACCAAAGAGACAGCATCCAAAAGTATTGGCAAGACACGGTCGATAACACACCAGTGGAGAGGGATTTCCTGCAGAATGGTTTTCTACAACTTTGGCTAAACAATACGGTGCCATACACCATAGCACCAAAAATGCGTAAGGCAGCTTAATTAAATTGAATCCAAATATATAAACAATTCTATGACCAATTCAACTCTGTCCCATATGGTGAAAATGGTAAGAAATGATCAGTGACGGTCACAGTAATGGAATGTATTTTTTCACTGGACGGGAGGCCCACAGGAACATCGTGCCTGGAACTGAATCACGTAAGCTTGACTCTGGACTGAATCGAATTCCATAGAAAGAAACTCCCAATTCTACAGTTCCTTAAGTGCATATGCAAATGAGACGCACATGCCATGCGTTCACTAATATACATCGCTGTCTGTTATCTATTAAAACATGTCAGGTCATAAAGAAGGTCATAAACAAACTTTTGAAGAAGAAATTATCCCCAGAGCCATATGTTTTACAATCCAACATAATGACGAGCTGAGATTCAAAAAAATAACCTAAGCGGTCGTAAACTTTCCAAAATTATTAACTTCGAACGTCACAACTTTGAATCTTGCTCTGCAAAGCCTACCTGTAAAATAATGTAGTCTCGCACTCTTTTCTATCTCTTGGTGAATTCTTTGAACAGTATCCTAAAGAGCATTATTGAATCAATTTATGATTATTTACGACGAGTCGAAAAATAGCGCTGCTGATTGTGAGTGTGCTCTCCGCGTCGGTTCCCGCCTTGAATTGTGTGCGGCCCGCGTTGGTTCCAATTCCCGCCATTTAAGTTGAACTCACTTTGAGATTTCTGACATACTCCGGAAGCGCATGCGTCCGCGGCCGGCCAGGTTCCCAAGGATCGTTCCCAAGTTGTATGCAAAATGGCGGCTTCCGGTAATTTGGTGTTAATAACTGAGTTGAAAACGAAAATTCGCCACCATAAAGAGTTTAAAGGCTGACGTTTCGAGCGTTAGCCCTTCGTCAGAGCGATCGCTTTACGGTAGCCAATTTACGTTTTCAATTCAGTTGTTCACACTAAATTATTTGACGTTTAATATACTTTTTATTGCAGGCGAGGCGAGTCTCACAAACATTCGTGCAGCTATCAAGGAATGGCAAGACAAGCTTTGTATCGTTTTCAAGGAGCGGAGGTTCGAGGATGACTATGTGGAGTTTGCATATGAGGGAGGGTAGGTAATAACTCCAAAAAAAAAGAAAAAACGAAGGCAAGTAACGCTCGTGAATGAATAAATGCAGAGCTGGTTAAGAAGAATTTTTATGTTAAAGATTATGAATCGTGTTCACTTCGCAAACAGTACTTTTACGATTTTGTTCTTTGTTCCTAGCTCTTAAGTTTTTGCTCTTTATGTTTTCAATAGTTAAGATTTCAAGCCTAAGTCTCCTTAAAATTGTTAAATTAAAAGCGATTATGTGAAAAAGTTGTGCTGGTCAAACGAAACCATTTCTTATCATTCAAACTGCATTTTAGTATTCATGCGATATGGTGATTATATTTGTTTGTACGTTGTTTGTTTTGTACGTAAGGCTTTTACGTATTTTTTTTCTAGTTGCTCTTCAAGTATCGGCCGCATTGGAGGTCGTCAAGTCGTATCTGTGGGATCTGTTGGAACCGAATATGCAGACATGTCCTGCAGGTCTCCTACGCCTTACGGAAGCAACGTGACTATCACTTGTAGTAAAGGGAGCATAATGCACGAGATTGGGCATGCACTTGGCTTCTATCACGAACAAAATCGACCAGACCGTGATATGTACGTTACAATAGTTTGGGACAATGTGATGCCGGGTAAATTAGACTGATTTATTAAGTTTCATTTTTTTCTTTGTTGTGGAATGTAACCTCCTCTCATTAATTGATGAGTGAATAAGTGATAAGGAGAGATAGTCTAGCGATGTAAATGTCTTCGTCATATTTATCTTGACAGGATGTAGAGTCAATTTTAGGAAAGAGCGTTTTCTGACGATTTATGGGCAGGATGTCCCATACGATTACAATTCGGTGATGCACTATGGTTCTTTCTTTTTTGCCCGTGAGAGAGGTATGAGGACCTTACACGCAAAGGTTAAAGGTGTAAACATTGGACAAAGAGAAAGACTAAGCTCTTTGGATATTCAGAAAGGACGGTTGCTATATCAGTGTGATAGGGAAAGGGGTGAGCAGCGTATTGTGTTTATCGTTTTCATCGCTTAATTTGCGTAGAATGATTTTTTTAGTTTATATTTGCAAGTTTTTTAGATTTGCGTAGTGCGATGCAGGTCTAGAAAACTTGTGCCTTCCTTTGAATCAATGAGCAGAAAAACTTAAATCAATGCATGCAACTATGCTATTCGTGTTTTCCCGCGCTTCCTCATTAACCCATTGTGATATTTTCCTTTGCTTGGACTATCGGTTGTAATTACTTTGGTTTTGCTTCTATTACACCTAGTTGAAAACTGCTTATTTTATTAGAATAGCAAGCCGAGTTCAAGCTAATATAAGTGAGCTGGCTGGTGAGAAACCTTTTCGGCACGACACTTTGAGTCTGGGATAATGAAGAGGAAGGAGAATGAGGAAGATTTAGGAGAATAAGGGGTAGAGAAGGGAAGTAAAGAGAAGAGAAGAGGAGATGAGGGTGGGGCAGTCAGTGGGGAACGAAGTCGCATCATGGGAGGGCAATAAGCTGTCGAGAAAATTTTGTATCGCTTCTGTTTGGTGAAGGGAATAGTCTGTTTTATATTTTAAACCAACAAAAATGATCTCTTCAAGTACTTCAAAGAGTTCACTATATATTTCATTTGGAATAGGATAAGGACAGAGGATCCCGGCCCAGTTGCTCAAAGGGTGGATAACGCTGTTCAGCGGATAAGTGTAACCAAAACGTTTTGTGCTATCCAACGGATAGAGATTTATCCAGTTGGTAGCCTTATCCACCCTTCGATCAACCGGAGCTTGGTCTGTAAGGAGTGAGGATCTGGTCTGCGAGTTCATTAATGTCTCTTCATGACTGAACTGGTCTGGCCAGCGATAACTGACATCGATTGTCATTACTGTAGAGAAGATGAGACGACGAATATGAGACTTCTATGGAGAAGTATGCTTCAGAAACCATGGATCTTTATCGCCACCATTTGAAAGTATCCATGAAAATAAACTATCTACCGCAGTTGTAAGATTTTGAGGAGTTTCCTAACGTTTGAAAATTGTCTGCAAACATGCTGAAAATTCCACTAGTGATGGACACCGCCATTTTGAAAACAAGCCAGTAAAAACAGCTCAAAAACAGCTGCTGTCCTGTTTACCAAAAATAAAATATCGTTATTTTATTGAAGTGTAGCTCATACTTGCTCAAGTCGAACGTCACGAGATGGAAAAGATAGGTTGGAGACTTTGTTACGATTAAGGTAAATGGCCAGAGTGCGAAGCATATTCAAAACTGTATGGCGGCCTCAATAGTCGAACTTTTGGCAAATTTGAAGATAACTTTTCAAAGGTCAAAACACGGTCAATGTCATAAGTTCATATATACTGTTTAATGGTGGAGATCAAATTTTATGTGGTCACTGAAGAATACTTGTTTTTCAAGACAGCTGATACTCAGACGAGAATTAAGTAAACTTTGAACAGAACATCAGGGACTCAATTTTCTCACGTGTTGCCTTTCTAAACTCTCTTACAGGATCGACAGTGGTTGGAGTCAAGTAATGTGATGTAGAGTCCGGCCGGTCTTTGATAAAACGTGTAAAAGAAATCGAACAACCTGAATTTGGAGTCACTTCAGACATTGTGGAGCCTATTATGCATGCGGATTTAGGAGACAGGCTGATATATAGTTAACGCTTAAAATTAAAACTTCAGCCTCATTAATATCAAGTGTAATTAAAGAATGAAAGAAAATACTGTTTCGCCTCTTAATCGTTACCATTCGCCCATGAATCATTGCAAAGATAAAATTGAAATTTGAAAAAACATTTTTAAAATGTTTCTTATTTTAGAAAGTGAAATCTTGGTAATTTCAATTAATAAGCTAGAAAATCTTTAACCTCACCTATAAGATTAAAGAGAATGTACCACCTACCATTTGTAACTATGTTTAAAAAGGCTCCATTCGTGAGCACCCAGAAAAACTAAACCCACTAGCAAGTTATAAAGTTATCAGCCGGGGAGGAAATGAAATAAATCTTAAATCAATAGTGTTTGGGTTAAGGTACAACGGCGATTGCAACGAGAATGCGGTGAAACAAAACGTTTCATGTGCAGAACAATGGCTCAACACGTATGGTTTAAAACTTTACAAATTTCTAAGATGTTTCCGCAAATTACCATCGCAATTGACTATTTAGCGTATTCTCAGAGCGGAAATCTCATGCTAACGGTACGTGAAGAATCATGTAGTTATCTTAAGCTAAACGCTGCTCCAACTTGTAATGAAGAAGAGGGGACTACCACCATTCCATTCGTCCAATGTTTGAGACCATCTGCGAAGCTTCAACATAACTGTCACTTTATTTTTCAAATCGACATGCTGTTTAACGTCACTATTGAGACAGCTTTAAAACTTTCTTATATCTCAGCAAGTCGGTGCCAAATAATTCTATGACATAATATATCAGTATTGGGTATCATTAGCTTGAATTTGCCTCCTGACCTAAGACCTCTAGTTCAGCGAAATGCTTTTCCACTTTGATTTCATAACTTTAGGACATAAATAACTTGATAAAGCAATTACTTCACATGACTAGCATTGCCTATGTCGTGTGAGCATTTTTCATACCCTTTAAGACAAGACAATAAGAAAGCTCAATGCAAGCATTTTATGTTTAAATTAGACATTGTCTTTAAGGCCCTACAATGGGATACCAGTCGTAAGTGATCTCAAGCATGAACCAGTACCTGCTTAACAACATTGCTGGTGAACCAATCGCGTTGTTTGCTGTTTTACGCTCCATACATTCTCTTTTATTTTGTGGACCATCTTTCTAAAACGAAAATCTTAAAGGGAAAACTTCCCTTTCAGATATCCCCGGTGCAGGTGAAAGAAAATTGAATTTTTAGCAGGTAAGATGCCCTTTTGATCTTCATATTTTTTTATGAAATATATGTTGGTTCCAAATTAAATGGACTCGTAATTTCTACGAATTCGCTGAATGGCTGTGCTTCACCGTATTTCAACTGCAATTTTAACTGTTATATCACTACAGTCACACACTTTATGCTTGAAGTTATCATGTATGAGGCGAATTAACTGTCAGTGATCAATTACGCCTGAAAATGGCAATGATCTTATATTCGACATTCCTTGTGGCTCCATCTGTCAAGTAAAATCTTTCAACGATCATTTGAGGCAAATCAATGCCTATAGGGGATTACACAATAACGTTTTTTCAAGAGATACTCATTTTTTCCAATTTGAATTTTGTTTTCGAAATTCCGTAGGAAGTCGTTCCAAAATTCCATTCTTTTCATTGTGATTTGCCTGCTTAGTGGCCAAATGATACCTGCAGTTTTAACTCTGCCGAGCACCATTTGGTACCAGCGCGTTTGTTGTCTTTCCATTTTTACGCTTTTGAGAAGTACAATAAAAACACCGACTCGAGAAATAAACAGAACGAATCGAGTTCTGAAATACTCATTTTTTTTTCTTTTCAATGATTTGGTCAAACTCAGTGAGTTTGTATTGCACCGAAACCTGAGTTAGTAAACGCACAGTACTTTCTGAAATGGTTCAACGAGTATTTGTGGGAAATATAGAATGTGCTACTGTTAACTTCATCAATTTTTTCGGTTCCATCCTGAAGCCGCATAAAACCCCTTGCCCTCCCTCCCCCATTTTCTGTTTAATTATTTTCATTGACTCTCCAACTGTTCAATTGATGCAGTTCAGTTAAAAGAAAGTTCTCATGGGACAGGCCAACCAATCAGAACTGTTGAGAATTACTCAAATTCGAGCTGTCTGTCAATCGTGCAATTACTAATGTATCAACCAATTTTTTAAAATTTTTTTGGTCATTGTTTTGTGCTCTCAAGGAACAGGAGGGAAAGGATGAGAGTTTTAGGCCTTCCAGTTTTTGTTTTGTTAATGCAAAACATTTTCATATGCCGAGGTAAGAGTGTAAACATTGTATAGTTGTAGATTGTTTTAATCGTGTGGTTACTCCTCTTGCTCCAGCCACGAGCCGATTAATCCGGCTGAAACCGAGCAGGAATAAAGAAAATGAATTGAAGAATGAAAAACTATATATACTCTTAAGGAAGATAAATAAAGCCAGAATGGAGGACTTGAGAAGAATATTTAGTATCAGGAAGTAATACGAAAGCAATCATTTCCTTGCTCAATTTACCTAGTGTACAAGCCTTTAATTCTTCATTTTAAAGAAATTGCTTGATTGTAACTGCATTTATTAAAATATTCGTGACACAGTCCTTTCGGGGTGCATTTGTTTCTAAAATATTACCTTACGTTAAAGTAGTAATGCATTTGAGCTTTTTTTTCTCCCTCAGCCACTTTAAGTGAACCAGACAATTCTACAGATTTGGATCCATCCATAGACCCCGCGAATCTGAAAATGTATGACCAAGAAATGGAAGGTGAACGATAGCTGTTACTTGCTTTACCCTAATAGTAAAATAATGTTTGTACAATCGTAAAGATAACTGCATACCGAAAATCTTTGTCATTATCGCCATTTTTTGTTATGTCATCGACATAGCTATCCTCATCAGCAGCGTCATCATCGTCGCCATTAATATGATAGATGGTGACGCAAAAAATTGCTTAAATCCTTTAGTTTCTACTCTTTCTTCAGGGTGAACGAGCCAAAACTAACACAATATACATTTCCTGCTATGATTTTCTTAGCGATAAGTGTTTGTCCGGTGTACCATCTTGTAAGAAGCTTACACAGTGATATTACCTGACCAGCATGCCTGGCAAAAGACGAATAGTCCATAAACAGGTAGATGTGATACGACTACGGTAACATTTTCTTTAATGACACTTTTTCCAGTAACATTAGGAGAATTAAATCTTGGAATGGATTACTTTGAGGGAGACATAAAGCTAACCCAACAACTGAGAGACTACATAAAGGCCTCTCGGGGAAGAAACATTCTCCAAGCCAGAGCACTTATAAGAGATGAAAGAAAATTGTGGCCTAATGGTGTGGTGCCATATGCGCTTGCTAGTGATCTGAGTAAGTAAAATCAGCTACCTTAAAACAAGCAAAATCGTTTGTGCTCTAGGCCTTTGCAGATTTAGTAGAGAGGTCTCCTCTCCTAAATGTGGCCTCAGTTTTAAGCCCTTTGCCTCTTACAAATTTTTCATATAAACAAAAAATATTTCATTTTGTCAAGGCGCTTCAAATTGTTTTGCTTCTTGTTTGTTCCAAGCTCTCTTTTAACTTATAACGGGGTAAAAGTGTCAGAGTGCACCAAAGAGGGAGGCGAACAATCTCCCCTTAATCTTTCTAGCTTTTTTTGCGTCATTCTGTCAGTATTGTCGCCCTATTTTTCAAATCAACTGAACACCAGAAAGAGGTACGCGTCCGTATGCATCTCTCATAATTCACCTCCGTTATGTGATAGGGGGCGAAATCTGAGGATCTATTTTGGGCTCGTTATGTTTAACAAAATAGCAGAGGGTAAAGGTCTAAAATGGCATTTCATCGACTGAAAGTATACAATCAATGTCAGCCTCAATGATAATTAAGGGTGGAATAAACACAAAGACCATAAGAACGAAGCTATGGGCCTGCAAATTTAGGTTCGAAAAAGGAAAGAAGGTGGGCAAAACAGAAATCGTCCCGACACTCGAAGGGAGCAAGAGGTTTAGGTGACGGCTTATGAAATCATTTATGAAATTACTTGGGGATGTGAGTGCAATGCGCCACCATTAACCCCTAGATCTTAACCTTAATTGTAACTCAAGGTTACTGTGATGTTACATTATACTTCTCTTCTCTAATGAGCCTCCCGCCCAGAACTTTACGTTTGCTCTTCTTCCCCCCTCCCCCTCCCATACCGTATTGAAACCTCTAGAAATAAATATATGCCACCTTCTTTCGACCCCTTACCTGGCTGATGGTCGTGTTAACAACATTAAAAGTCACATTGATCGAAGAGAGAGCGGGATTAGAATCCTATATGCAGGCAAATATTGCGATTGATGTCTGTGATTTATTAAAATACTTGAGAGTGGATTTAATTTTAAGATTTGGGAACCAACACGATTCTAATGCTGACCATCATACAGGTACAGAGAGTCAAGGCTACATAAAATCAGCAATACAAGAGTGGGGTGACAACACGTGCCTCACGTTTAGGCCTAAAAACGACGCCGACCAGGATTACATAGAATTTGTCTACGAGGTAGGGTACGTACGAAGCTTATCCTGATGTAACTAAATCTATTAAGCCTGAATTTGGTATCGTAATCACATCTTTCCCATTCTCTTTTCATTAACAGCGTAAACGGAAAGTTGCGGTGATAAACTATCATATCTTAATGCAAAATTAATAAAACCCCATCGTTATTTTATTGTGACTGCAACACTTTATCCGCCTTTATTTCTGTCGAGTGCCCAAACAACCGCTACCCTCGAAGGCAACGACATTTACTTGGTTTCCGCCCTGGTCTGGTCACAAGTGTGTTTAACTTTAAAGAGCCAATTTGCAAGGAATTTGTTTCTTTTTTTTCATCTTTTCGCCCTCAGATGCTCCTCATATGTAGGACGTATTGGCGGCCAGCAGACGATTTCAGTCGGAAACGCAGATGGCTCCATTACTTGCAAACACGGTAACCTTGTTCACGAAATTGCTCATGCTCTGGGATTCTTTCACGAGCATAGCCGACCGGACCGTGATCAGTACGTTGAAATTAAGTGGGGAAATATTGAAATGGGTGAGTGTGGAAGAAATTTTAGACAGGTAACAGTTGCACTATAACCGCCTAGTCGAGTATACTAGGCCGGATTAGCACAGGTGTAACGATAATCTTGTCCCGATTGCTGGTTGCAGTGTAGGGGCCAAACACGGTAAACAATCCGAATCCTACTTCCATGGGCGTAAGCTCAACGGGTGTGAGCCATTAGTTACGTTTGTAAGCAGGATTTTGCCGTTAAGGGGCGTAAAACGATTTCAGTGTTTTTTCACTAGCATTCACGGAGATGCCAGGATTTTTCTCGGTATGAATATATAAATCTTGACAAAAGAGAGGGGTAGGGTAGGGGGTCGCATGCGTCCTCAAACCCCTACTAGCTCCCGTCTTTAGCTTACCGCGATTTTATTCAGAAGAATTTACTTCAGATCGAACTTTTGGAATTTTTTGGTTTTAACCTCCCTCCTCCCCATTTCCTGTCTTTTACATCAGTATGAGAAACACACTTACAAATTGCCGTGGTGTCGTAAAGTGTTGAAAGCTTCTCCCTCTTTTGACAGGTTATCAAAAGAACTTTGAAAAGGAAACTAAAGCTACTGTGAACTCTCGAGATGTGGAATACGACTATGGCTCAGTTATGCACTACGGTGAATTCTTCTTTACGAAGGGTAAAGGATTAAAAACTCTGGAACCAATACAAGACACGTCCGCAACCATTGGTCAGAGAGTCGGGCTCAGTGACCTGGATATAAAACAAGGAAATTTGCTGTATAGTTGCCCAGGTTTGGTCATGGTTACTCTGTTTGTAAAAATTGATGATGGTGTTCCAAGATATCGTTACACTAAATAACGTAATACAGCTTGGGGTCACAATCTTGCATAGAAAGCCTTAATTTCAATCCCTGGGTACCTCGAACCACAAGGTATAAAACTTATTACCCAGGTTCTACATGATTGACTGGTATGTAACTGTTCCGTAGAGGTCTGGGTTCGAGACTAACCGTTTTAAATTTTTTTCTGCAATCGCAGTCATTATATGAATTGTTTCGAGGAAATCGTATTACCATTTTACCAAGCGTACGGTTTCTGATTGAAACCAAAAAATGAAAACAGATAAAAAAGACTTTTCGACCGCACCTTCATACAATTACGAGTCAAAGATCGAATTTTGATGATGGTACTATTTTCATACTAGCCATCTTCAGAGCCAGTTATATAATGAAAGAAATAATATGAAGGAAATGATTAAATAATTATCCTGCAGGATTTTTAAGAATACCGGTAGTGCGCATATTTTTATAGTTCTGTGAGCAAATTTCGTTTGAGGTTGGTATTTGAATATTTTGGATGCAGGTTATAAAGATGACATAACAAATGGACATGGAACAAGCCAAGCCCCAGTGGACGAAGAATTGTGGGATAAACCACTCCGCGAACACGAAGTTAAAGTCCTTAGAAGTAAAGTGCACAAGAAAAACGCCGAGAAGAAAAGCAGTCATCTTCACGCAATCTTGAAAAAGAAGGCGATTCCTAAGAAATCAACCGCGCTAAAACAGACTTTTCTTACCAAAACGAAAGAAAGAACAGCCAAGCACTCCAAGCCTGATTCCAGATCAATGGTGTTGAAAGAAAACCAGATAAAACCTCAGTTACAGGAAGCGTACCACCAGGATGACGCGGATATTTTAGAAGGAGATGACAAAGAAGACGATGTGTCTTACTCACGAGGTAAGTGTATTATAACAACAAACTCTGCTCCTGAGGGAAAAGGTTTCACTCTTTATCTTGTATTTACAGGAACGTTATACATACATTGAATGAACAAACAAAGAATAATACACTTTTTCTTGTGGATATCGAATTTCTTTTCTCGTGTTCTACACGATATCTCACAAGTGAGAGCAGCGAACAAGAGAGATATCGATTATCACCGATTGACAGAGCGGTGCGAAAAGCGAGTGACGCGTCAAAACTGATCATCTTAATTTACACGTGTGTAGTTACGGCTTTTGTCAAAGCTGGGAATTCTAGGTTATATGATAAAATGTATTTTAGTTCGTCGATACTTTGAAATGTGGAAGTCTCTTCACTCATATGCTTTCTTGTAAGAGGTAACGAGGTCGACTCACTTTCTATGATCACTGTCATACACAATTTAAATACAAAAATAGAAGCAGCTGATGGCATCTCGAGTAGCCTTGATGTTTTCTATGTTTTTATATATTTGGTTCGATATTCCTGTATATTAATTCTTAAAAAAGCTTTGAATTGAATAGCGTAAGCAACAATCTGTTAAAATATTCAGTGGAAGAAACACCAAAACTCCACCTTTATTCCGCAGATGTTAGCTCGCCTGCGAGTGCCCCAGAAACACCCAACCAACTTGCCACTGATAGAGCAACGCTGGCTCAGGAAGAGGAAGACACAGTTCAGCAACAGGATACCGACGAAATAGGTACAGAAACTGCTTTCCCATCCCTTCCCTATTATTTTTCCAAGCTTCACCGTATACACTTCAGGTCGACCAAAGGTGCGAGAAGCTTATCGAGAAATCTGCCAAGCTATGTTATTGAATGCAAGTTCATCAGTTTTGAAAGGTTTTTGAATGATTAACCCTTTAAGTATTTCTCCGAAAGCAAATGCAATCTACTGACATAGAGTCTAACTTACAGTGTGAATGGTTCGTTGTATACTTTCAGTGAACTCTAGGAGGAAAATAAAAACTTCCTAACCCTTTCACTCCTTATATCTTATTTGCAATTCTCCTTACTCTCTGCCATGCAATTTTTATGATATTAGTTTAAAGAATTTGGTATTGGATGAACTAAGAATCTCCTGAGAATATTTTTCTTTATTTTCATAACCTGTCTGCTTAATATTCTGTCGATAATGTGAGGGGAAATGCTGTCTTGGCTACTCATGAGAGTCAAAGGTTAGAGAAGATGCAGGGGCCATTTCTGCTACACCAAACCAAACAATAGAAATATAAGCGTTGTCCGAGACATTCCATCGTTCCAATATTAAAATTTTGAAATGTTTTTGTGCCCTTAACCATTAATCTAATGTAATAACAACTTTTTCTTGCTGCTCAACAGGCGAGGAGAATTTAGGAAAAGACTACTTTGAAGGCGACATGATACTGACACCTGACCAAAATGATTTCCTGAGCAATATTAAGAAAGACGACAGCGTGCAACAAGGCTCCAAACGGGCTCTCATTAAGGACAAAATGTATCTCTGGCCGAACGCCAAAGTGTACTATAATTTTGACAAGGGAGTAGGTAAGGGAATGAAACGTTAACCTCATACAATAACATCTGTATGCATATTCTCCATACAGTTCTCTAAACATTTCCCAAGGTGTCGTTAGGGTGAATTTATTAAGAGTATCTTGGCTCTATCAGGCGATTGTTGTTTGGAACCTTAGAATTCCCACCTCTAGTATTAAACACAGCAGAGAAATTCAGTCTGTATCTTCGAACAGCGACGTCTGACGCCTAGTGATTTCGCTCCAACGTAGATAATCAATTTGTGACTCTGCATTTCTGGTTGTTGATCAAATACGACTCACCTCAAGAGTAAACGCATCTGGTTTAGGTATAAAATGTACAATAAGAAAGAAAGAAAGAACTCCTAATATATACAGTGGGTTTTTTATTTATCTTACTAAGATAGGATAGGAAGGAGACGAGCTCGTGCAGCTATGCGCCACTGGCAGAAACACACTTGCCTCAAGTTCAAACGAGTCAAGAAACCAGCCGACGACTTGGGATATATAAATTTCGTTTTTGAGGGAGGGTAAGTGTTGAAATCTCTTTCTCTTTTACTCAATTTTTCAACTCAGCTGATTTCAGGTTTGTAATTTAAGGTCTTTGATGATGACGAGTAGAGCGGTTTTCGATTGAGTTTCTCAAACCAAATCAAAGCACTGACAACGGCCAATCAGCAAGCCAACGAGAGCTCAAATTAAAACTTGAAAACTTGAAACGAGGGAAAAGTGGGTGACCAAATCGTGATTGGTTTAAGTTTTGCATCTGACTGGTCTAGAGTTTTCTCGACCAAACTCAGAGCAAAGTTTAGCAAAACTAGAACAAACTGGATAAGTACTGCAGCACCCAGATAAATTTTCCCTCTTGAATTTCCTGTATAAGCGTGAGTGAGACATTCTCAGCACGTTTACCTATCAATCTCACATTGATATAGTTCCTCATTCAGTACGAATGCTCGTCATAGCAGGCTTCTTGTACACTGACGGATTCTACGTTTTATGATTTTGCTAAAGATTGCCTTTTATCTTTTCGGGGATCTGTTATTTAATGGTTAATAAACAATAAAGGTTTTCCACCGAATTTGCTGTAGAAAGTTCTCCAGGATTGCGTTGGTTTTCCTCGACTTGGCTTTATGATTGTTTACAGAAATTATGGGTTCCTCTCTCTCTCCTCTCCCTTAATGACTGTATACCTTCCTCTCAAACACCCATTCAGCCAATTAGCATCAGATGATTCAAATGCAAACTCGCCTAGTAAATACTGAAACCCTGTTGTATTACATCAGTGGAGGGCTCAGGAACTAAAAAGACCCGTTTAGATATGTTCGCTAGTTTTTCACTCGCATTTCCTACGGTTCACGCAATTTGATTTTCATGGTCTCAACTCGTATTAGTCCCTTTCAATAACTTCATTTGTTCTTATTCAGTGATTGTTGTAATAGGGTCTTTTGTGGTTTTACGACACCCAATCGAAATGCAGTACATCTTATAGAGTTACAATTAATTCAAACGTGGAAATTTTGTATACATCGGCAAGTATTGTCTATACATGCCTGTTTTACTCACCTGTTCACTAGCTGTGCTTCCCGAGTTGGTCGCGGTGGAGACAAGGCCCAGAAGCTGACAATTGGAAGCAAAGCACTGCGGTGTAAAATAGGAAACATAATTCACGAACTGGGTCATGCTGTTGGCTTCTTTCATGAGCACAGTCGACCTGACAGGAATAAATATGTTCGTGTGCTCAAAAAGAACATCCTTCCAGGTAAAGAACATAAGTAACGTCGCTTAAGAGCCAGCGATAAGAGAATATTCATTGATTGTTGCGTTTGTGTCTCGCGCACTCTGAAGATTCTCTTTAGTTTGATCTTTGCGTTAGTGTCGCGCGCACTCTGAGGATTCTCTTCAGTTTGATTGTTGCGTTAATATGTCGTGCATTCTAAGGATTCTCTTTAGTTCGATTGTTGCGTCGATGTCTGGCGCACTCTAAGGATTCTCTTTAGTTTGATTGTTGCGTTAATGTGTCGTGCACTCTGAGGATTCTCTTTAGTTTGATTGTTGCGTTAGTGTCTCGCGCACTCTGAGGATTCTCTTTAGTTTGATTGTTGCGTTAGTGTCTCGCGCACTCTGAGGATTCTCTTTAGTTTGATTATTGCGTTAGTGTCTCGCGCACTCTGAGGATTCTCTTTAGTTTGATTGTTGCGTTAGTGTCTCGCGCACTCTGAGGATTCTCTTTAGTTTGATTGTTGCGTTAGTGTCTCGCGCACTCTGAGGATTCTCTTTAGTTTGATTGTTGCGTTAGTGTCTCGCGCACTCTGAGGATTCTCTTTAGTTTGATTGTTGCGTTAATGTGTCGTGCACTCTAAGGATTCTCTTTACTTTGATTGTTGCGTTAGTGTCTCGTGCACTCTGAGGATTCTCTTTACTTTGATTGTTGCGTTAGTGTCTCGCGCATTCTAAGGATTCTCTTTAGTTTGATTGTTGCGTCGATGTCTGGCGCACTCTAAGGATTCTCTTTAGTTTGATTGTTGCGTTAATGTGTCGTGCACTCTGAGGATTCTCTTTAGTTTGATTGTTGCGTTAGTGTCTCGCGCACTCTGAGGATTCTCTTTAGTTTGATTGTTGCGTTAGTGTCTCGTGCACTCTGAGGATTCTCTTTACTTTAATTGTTGCGTTAGTGTCTCGCGCATTCTAAGGATTCTCTTTAGTTTGATTGTTGCGTTAGTATTTCGCGCACTCTGAGGATTCTCTTTAGTTTGATTGTTGCGTTAGTGTCTCGCGCATTCTAAGGATTCTCTTTAGTTTGATTGTTGCGTCGATGTCTGGCGCTCTCTAAGGATTCTCTTTAGTTTGATTGTTGCGTTAGTGTCTGCGCACTCTGAGGATTCTCTTTAGTTTGATTGATGCGTTAGTGTCTCGCGCACTCTAAGGATTCTCTTTAGTTTGATTGTTGCGTCGATGTCTGGCGCACTCTAAGGATTCTCTTTAGTTTGATTGTTGCGTTAGTGTCTGAGCACTCTGAGGATTCTCTTTAGTTTGATTGTTGTGTTAGTGTCTGCGCACTCTGAGGATTCTCTTTGGTTTGATTGTTGCGTTAGTGTCTCGCGCACTCTGAGGATTCTCTTTAGTTTGATTGTTGCGTTAGTGTCTGCGCACTCTGAGGATTCTCTTTAGTTTGATTGTTGCGTTAATGTGTTGTGCACTGTGAGGATTCTCTTTAGTTTAATTGTTGCGTTAGTGTCTGCGCACTCTGAGGATTCTCTTTAGTTTGATTGTTGCGTTAGTGTCTGCGCACTCTGAAGATTCTCTTTAGTTTGATTGTTGCGTCGATGTCTGGCGCACTCTAAGGATTCTCTTTAGTTTGATTGTTGCGTTAATGTGTTGTGCACTCTGAGGATTCTCTTTAGTTTGATTGTTGCGTTAGTGTCTGCGCACTCTGAGGATTCTCTTTAGTTTGATTGTTGCGTTAGTGTCTCGTGCACTCTGAGGATTCTCTTTAGTTTGATTGTTGCGTTAGTGTCTGCGCACTCTGAGGATTCTCTTTAGTTTGATTGTTGCGTCGATGTCTGGCGCACTCTAAGGATTCTCTTTAGTTTGATTGTTGCGTTAATGTGTCGTGCACTCTGAGGATTCTCTTTAGTTTGATTGTTGCGTCGATGTCTGGCGCACTCTAAGGATTCTCTTTAGTTTGATTGTTGCGTTAATGTGTCGTGCACTCTGAGGATTCTCTTTAGTTTGATTGTTGCGTTAATGTGTCGTGCACTCTGAGGATTCTCTTTAGTTTGATTGTTGCGTTAGTGTCTCACTCATTCAAAGGATTCTCTTTAGTTTGATTGTTGCGTTAGTATATCGTGCACCCAGAAGATTCTCTTTAGTTTGATTGATGCGTTAATGTCTCGTGCACTTTAAGGATTCTCTTTAGTTTGATTGTTGCGTTAGTGTCTCGCGCATTCTAAGGATTTCTCTTTAGTTTGATTGTTGCGTCGATGTCTGGCGCTCCCTAAGGATTCTCTTTAGTTTGATTGTTGCGTTAATGTGTCGTGCACTCTGAGGATTCTCTTTAGTTTGATTGTCGCGTTAGTGTCTCGCGCACTCTAAGGATTCTCTTTAGTTTGATTGTTGCGTTAGTGTCTCGCACACTCTAAGGATTGTCTTTAGTTTGATTGTTGCATTAGTGTCTCTTGCATTCTAAGGATTCTTTTTAGTTTGGTTGTTGCGTTAATGTGTCGTGCACTCTAAGGATTCTCTTTAGTTTGATTGTTGCGTTAGTGTCTCACTCACTCAAAGGATTCTCTTTAGTTTGATTGTTGCGTTAGTATATCGTGCACCCAGAAGATTCTCTTTAGTTTGATTGATGCGTTAATGTCTCTTGCACTTTAAGGATTCTCTTCAGTTTGATTGTTTTGTTAATATCTTGTGCGCCCTGACGATTCTTTTTAGTTCTATTGCTTCGTTAGTGTCTTGTGAACTCTGAGAATCCTCTTTCGTCAGACTTCTTCGTTAGTTTTTGTGCTCTCTGAGAATTCTCTTTAGTTCAACTGTTTCTTTCGTATTTTGTGCACTTTGAGGATTCTCTTTTATCGATTATTTCGTTAGTACGTTGTGCACTCTGAGAATTCTCCCTTTGTTCGGTTGTTTTTTAATATCTCGCGCACTCTAAGTAGTCACTTTGATTTGATTGTTTCGTTGGTATCATATGCACTGTAGCGTTTCCTCTCAGCTCAATCTTTTCACAGTATCCGCTCACTTCAAGGATTTAGTCTGGTGCGTTTGTTTCGTTTGTGTCACGCTCACTCTGAGTAATCTCTTTAGCTCATTTTTTCGTTAGCGTCTTGCGCACTCTCAGGGTTCCATTTACAGTTCTATTGTTTTGTTTATAAGTCGCACACTCTCTTTAATTTAATTGCTTCGTTAGTAGTTGCACATTTTGAGGATGCTCTTTTTCCGATATTTTGGTTGGTATCTCGCGCACTCCGAGGATTCTCTCGAAGTTCAAATGTTTCGTTAGCATCTAGCCTACTCTGAGTATTCTATATATTTCGCTTGTTTCCTTACTGTATAGAGCACTTTGAAGATTTCCTTAAGTTTCATTCTTTCTTTAGAATCTCGCGCACCCTAAGTGATCATAAAGAGGTGATAGTTTCGTTAGTATCGTGCGTACTTCAAGTAATCTCTTTAGTTCAATTACATCGTTTTGTATGACACACTGTGGTTTTCATCAGTTCAAGTATCAATTTAGTAAGCACTAGCCCCTCGTCAGAGTGAAAGAAAACACCAAAGCCGAGCGAAAAACTCGGAAGGAACGAGATTGTATAAAGATGAGAACGATTGACGGAGGTTTGGACAGCATAAAGCGTGACGCTGCTTGTTCCATTTCGCGTAGGTTACGAAAGAAACTTCTACAGATTTGGAAAGAAGTGGATTGATTCAAAGGACGTGCCATACGATTACGGATCTATCATGCACTACAACAGAGCATTTTTCTCCCGTTTTCCTGTCATGCTCGATACTTTGATTCCTCTGCGGCATGTTGATATTGGTCAGCGAAGGGCTCTCAGTAAATTCGACATCCTGCAGGCTAACTTACTCTACCAATGTGATGGTGAGTGTTGTCTAGACTTTTTACTGCAGTATTTAGCCGGATTTACGAGGCGAAAATTCATTGTTCGTAAATATATTTTATTTTATCTTAGTAGATATAACTAAAGCAGCCAATAAATAGGTCCGCAATGTATATAGGGAGCTTGCAGACTGGCCCACAGTGGCAAATACAGTATGTGTACAATGGATAGGTGTGTCCTCTGGATTGTCTCATTTTTGACTACTGTGGCTTAGTCAACAAGCCTCCTATGGAACTGTCAGTCAGGTGATTCAGGTCTTACTTTATAATGATATGTTTGTGGTTATGTAGCCTATTTTCTTTTCGTTTGTGCTAGGGAGGAAAAAGTTAACTGACGAAGAGATAGAACAGCTCAAACAAGAAAGCAATGACCAAGTTAGCGGGTCGGAAGGTTTGTAAATGATTTTGCTCAGGAACTGAATTGGGATTGGATGAAACTGTGTGATCGTTCACCTTCCTTTTTTCCAGTCGCCTGCGCGGATGTTTACGATCGCGATTCTTGCTCTATGGTGAAGACCCGAGGTTATTGTCAGAAATTTCCGACAAGCATGAGGACAACGTGCGGGATCACGTGTAACTTGTGCGGTGAGTCGGTTTATAACACCATCATCAGTACCATATGTTTATCTCTCATCAGACAAGGCGCCATTACCTCCTTGTCAGCATACCTAAAATTTGTGAGCCTGCGAACTGACTCTCATGAGGGCAGCGGTACACGCGTCAATGTCTGCGAGATTCGAGTAGGCGATAGAGCAAACCTGCGAGAGGTTTTAGTAGGATGTGGCAAGAGGACTGGAAATAGAACCCTCGCGGACCTCCCGCCAGCTCACATCGCTTGCCTGCTCGAAAAGTGCAGGCTTTGCCGCTCGTGTCGCAGCGCCTATGAGCGTCTACTCGCATTTTGAAACTCTTATGAAAGGAATGATATCCCTGCCATCTGATTATTGAGAAGGGAAAATTTAAGGAGAAATAAATGGTAATCTACCGTAAGTGGTGTGCTGTGGATTTACTTTATAACGATAAGTTGTTCTATATGAAGATGATGAGAGATAAACATATGGTACTGATAAGGTAATTATCAACCACCCAGCTTTTCAAAAATATATGCTCTATCGATGTGAATGCCTTATTTTGTTTCTCTCAGGATATAATAGAATAATACCTGAAGGTCATGTTATAAATTTAAATCTTGTTAGTTAAAAACCAAAATGGATTGCAACGTAATCGAGATATGTTTTCTGCATAACGTGAAATGTTGTTCATTGATTTTTCTTGTGCAGCTTTCCTTTTTAATTTGAATATATCTTTGCCCTAGACAGGCAAAGTAGATATACTTGTAGCGGAGCTCGCAGAGCGTAGCCCCATAATTATACAAAATAGTAGTAACTCATCGAGCCGAAAAAATTTGGATGTACGACCGTACGACCGTACAAGGTGATACTTTTAACATGCGTGGTCAACTGTACCACGGGCACGCCAACGCCACTGCTTTGTTCAGTATTCCAGTGGTCAGTGCACTGGGCTCCGAGTCGGACGACCCGGGTTCTAGTCCTGGCCGGGGCAAGGCGTTGTGCCCTTGAGACGTGCGGGAAAAAAATGCGAGCTCCGCTTTTAGGCTTGGCTAAATCTATATATTAGATTTATTCAACTTGTAGGCAGTAATTACAAGAATTCCCAAAGAGGATTAGGGGCGAGAAAAAAGACCTCAGCCACACATGCGGTGTCGCGTAAAAGTTTGGTCACCAAATTGAAGATTTCTCCACCTAAGGAAGTGACAGGATCTAAAAGAATGGTCCCTGAGAGGAAACCTCAAACTACTTCAGATACTACTGAATTTTGAGTAAGGTACACTTTGTGTACACTTAGTGTTACATGGTGTAACTCTTAAAATGCCCGTTCATTCTCCAGACTTTAAAACTAATCTAAATCCATTCATAGAGTAAACGCAAAATGAAACTATAGTAAACAAAAAAATAACACGAGGGTGGTAAGAAATATGTAATTAAGTGAAATAGTTGGTAAATAAATAAACAAATAATTAAATAAATATGTAATTGAATAAGTAAATGTAAAGGAGTGCGCATGGTAGTGTCAAGATTAAGCTCCTTACTCATAACGAAAATACTAAAATGAAAGCAAACATTGCACTGAAAACAAAACGAAATTAAATTTCTGTTAAAAAAATTAGTCAAACAAAATGAGCTTTAGAGGGAATTGAATAGCATTAAGTGGATGAATAAGTAAATGAAGTAAAAAAATAAATACATTGGTAAAAGATATAATCTATAATAAATCAATGAACAAATATGGATAATGAAGATTATTTTACTCGTTGCCGGTTAAAAGGCTGTTGATAATAGTGGAACTTGTGTTAAAAATGTAATGCAGTACTGCGTGTATATCCATCACAACCCTATGAAGTATGCAATATTCCTATGTGTTTTAGTTGTTAGTGGTAACCAACCGTTGATGTGTTTCGTATATAGATAATTTCATCCATTTTATAGCCTCTTACCACAATACAAACAACTGTGCTACATAACAACTGATGTTCTTATTTGTTTTTTTAATAACTTTTATTTCTCGTTGTCGCCTCTATCGCTTTTCACTTAACTTGATTCTTTTTTCCCTAAGTGTTGTCTAATTAGCTAAACATGGGGTTCTTTCTTTCCTGCAGATCCTCTTCATGCGTTATATCAAAAGTTGATCTCACAAATTTTACACATTTAAACGCCACTTCTTTCTTCTTCTTTCAGGAATGAATGCCAAAAAAAAGGAGGCCGTCCACAGACATCACAACGACGCTTCGTCGGAAACAGCAAATTGAACGCTTTTCTAAGTCAACTAACACCTTAGCAGATGAATATATTTTTTCTGCTGTTGCTTGTTTTTATCATTCGGCTTAATTCTGCCAAAGCTCACAAGAATCAGAAATATTCTATATTTGCAGATTTATTACTGGACTTTAAACAGACTTCCTGTAGCGACATTTAACCAAGTTGTAATTGTTTCTAGTATAAATTCATATCGGTTTAATTTACGCACGTCCACGAGTTAAAAATGTTTTTACCTACTGCTTTACTATGAACTTGTAAATTGATGATGTAACTCAATAGACCTGGCTAAATGTCCTTATATACTGTAACACGAAACCATCGATCTTGTCTCTGAAAAGTGGTAAACGGTAAAAATGTACGCAGGAAATTTAGCTTTAAAAAGATTGTTGTGCAGGCATCACGACCTCTTCATATATGTTTCCCAGTAATACAGCCATGGCTTTGAGTTATTGCCTGAATTAAAACGACTATAGTAAATTATTCAACCATAAGAGATGTAAACAGTAGTAAAGTAGTAGAATAAAAGAGTACTTCGACACTTACCGATCTTTTATGAAATACGTGACACTGAATTCTAAGGATCGTAATGACTTGGGTCCTGTTTACGCGGAGGTGGAGGACCCTAGGTAGGTGAGATAACCCGCCTAGCCGTGGTCGAAAAATAAAATGCGTTTACATACAATCTTACTACCCCGGGGTGCTAGGGTGAGGTTTCTTGAGGTTGTTATTGCGCTTGCTATTAGGAAGTTTGAGCATAAGCGTCCCAAGCTCACGTCTCGAGAAAGACGAACGATTAATTCTCGGACACGTATGTGTTTATTCATGAAAGCGTCACGAGTTGTGTTACGCGCTGTTAGGTTACGCAAAGAACCGTTGTCTTAATACGTTATAAGGAATATAAAAATGGCTCGGTTTACTTTGGCGGGGCAATCGATTCTAAATTTTCGACGAACATTCCTCTTCCTTCTATGCCGGTGTCATTCCGCAGAACTAAGCTTGAAATGCAACATGAGAAAGAGCCCATGACGAAACATTCCTCTGCTTTTGAAGCCCTTTCATTTTTCTCCATGTATACATATTTATGCATGGCAACTTATCACCCTTAAAACATATTGCATCAAGCGTCTGGAGCTAATGAAAAGCAGCTTTTCAGTTTTTTTGGCCAAAAAATCCTCCCTAGACTTTTTATCCCAGAACGGATTAGTTCTCTTGAAATTGAGATTTCAGAACAGGCCAATATCAACATCGATAAGGGAAAAAAGATTTGCCAATAAAAACAATTGAATCTAGGTATGCAATTAGTATTTCCTGTCTATTTTCAGTCGCACTACAAATTCACGGTCTGTGAGGGAACGTTCTCGCGGTGAAATCTAAACTTCTGCGTGGAGCGGGTCATTAACCCTAGGAATGCCACTTGATGAGAACACCTTTTCATCTGTGACACGTTGCAATCATTTCCTTGCGAATTAAAGCTTGTACACGCTTGCTTGTTGCAGCAAATTTTCGCTCTAAAATCGTGCAGGACACAAGTTCAAGCCTGAAGCCACCAGTTGCGTTTAGCACGGTGGGTCACTGATTGCTGTTGTTAAAATTTGGATATATAAATTGCTTAATTAACTTTTTAAGTTACAGTATATTAGGTGATCTCTCTTGAGCTTGGTTAGTGCAAATGGATGATTGAATGACCAAATTGTAATAGAGCATAAGGAAAGCACCGTACATTAACAAGTTAAAGGAGAGTGATCTAGTAAACATTTACTCGAATATTTCAACCACAGAGTCAGTTTTTTTTTGTGTGTCTTTTTGTTGTTGTTTTTTTAATCACTCAGCAACCTCTAGCTGACAGGCTTGTCTCTTCTCCATACATGTTTGAACTGATGCGTAGATATTGCTGAACCTACATATCGATTTTTTCTGAGAACAAAAAGATCAGAGCCCAAGAAAAGCAAACGAAAAGTAACCATGTTTTACCTTTCCTCGATTTTGTTCACGCACAGTGCGTCTTGTGTTACTCGCTCACTCCGATTTTGGCCTATCCTTACAGTAACTGATGACGCAATGGAATCAATTTTGTGAGATCACCCCGATAATTACTTATTTTGTATTCATGCTGAAAGGGTATGATTGAAACCTCGATAAGGAAATTAGTTGTTACGTTTTAAAACGATTGCAACCAATTCTAATTCTTTTTTAAAAGTGTAAACCGTGCGGTGTTAAAAAGATAAAGCTAGAGTGTAATATTAACTGTGAACTTGCCAAAATTTCTTTTCAAGATGTTTACCGTAAGAGCCACGTCTTCAATTTAGACTCTCCAAAGAAGGTGTACAATTAACAGCTTATTGTTCTCTAAGGAATAGTTTGTTAAGACATCTTTCCATCGACCACGTGCTCTGAATAAAGGAGTGACGGCTTAGATATGCAAATAACAGGTACGCGAGAGCATATTGAACAAAAACAGAACGCCGCAATCAGTTCAATATTGCATAGCAAGTTTTGTTTATTACTCTGAAGTCTATTTTTCCAAACTGACGGAATATTTGAGATTATTTGCCTTATTGGCCGACGACAAACGCGAAACAGCATTTTCTAACAAACTGGGTACGTGTGACTGGCGAGTTCCCTAGCAGTCGTTGCAAGTTCAAGCACAACAAGGTGCCGAGTAAATATCTACACAGCAGTCAAACCGACAATAATTCTGCGATCTCCCCGGAACTTTACGGTACTTATGTCTTATATTAATGTATCTTGATCCGTTATTCTAAACTCTAAGCTCTCGGGATTTGGATGTACTCACACACCCCTGATAACAGTCGGTAAGTCGGTCGGTCGGTTTTTGGGATTTGGTCTCGATCGGTTTGTACCAGTGATCAACCAACCATGAAATCTTGTAACGACAATAATGATGCGATTTGGAATATCATATGCGTAGAATTTGTGGTCAACCTTGTACTTCCTAGGATCTTTTGAATAACAAGCGAAAACTTCTGAAAGCGATGATGTTTTTCTTCGCAGCCGTTGTTTGATTTCGTCACGCAACACGTTTGGGAGGGAATTTGCGTGACAAGACCAAACAACAACGGCTGCGATCACCCGCGACAGGTTTATAAAACCGTAAAATTGTAGGGCGAGTCGATCTTTTTGACTGGCTTTCGTAAGTAGTTGGCATCCTGTTGCGCGTCGCTTGAAATTCCAACCGCACGACCAGAACCGCTTACAATACTTACTGTGTGCATAATCTTTGTAGTAGCAAGCAACGCTCTCGGGACTTCACTCCAGCTCGTGGAGAGAGATTCGCTTTCCGACTGTACATGTTCGGAAAGGTTTGCGTGTCGACCATTGTCGAAGTTGGCTTATTAAAAAGAGAAACGTAACACGATCGCATTTGTCAAAGGTCAAACAAACAAAATTGTGTCGCGCCGATTTATTAAACTGGGAATAGAGTCAAATTTCACTTCTCTGCTCCCTATCATTTGTATAAAAGAAACGACCGTTTTTTCCCTAACTCCGTGCAGGCACATTTGTCCTTTATGATTAGAAAATGGATATCTTCTCAAGGACTTCCTTGAAGGCACATAACAATAAACGATCCTTGCACAACGTATCGCCTCTAGGCTGGTCCAATGAACTCGCAAGAGGAGCTCAAACCTGGGCAAATAAACTGGCCAAGGAAGGTAGTCTGGAACACGATCAACTAAAGGGGATTGGCGAAAATGTGTTCATGACCTCAAAGGGTTTCGATGCAGCAGCAGAAGAGGCCGTAAAAACCTGGTATTCAGAGGTAAGTGCTTCATAATAATTTAGTTTTGATACACAGTATATACTCATTCGATTGTGCCTAATGACTTTTTAATTTTTAATAGTTAAGGAAGTCACAATAAAGAAGAATTGAACTGAGCGAGACCAAGTATGAGTGTAGCCACAACCCTTGTTTTAGTAGCCTACGTGTAGCCGTACCCTCCCCTGCCAAGGTGAAACCGTTAAACCGTGCCTCCGTTACACCTTGCGGGGAGAGGGTACGGCTACACGTAGGCTATTGTTTTAGTTACGTCACGCAACATCCCCTCCCCAAAAAAGTGTTGGTAGGGAAGGGAGCTCATGCGCAGCTCAGTGCGCCACCAGACTAAACAACGATTGTGATAGACTAGAGTAAGATGTAGAGAGGGGAAGATTGGCACGAAACATTTATTTATTTATTTATGAAATTTAAAAAACGATCTCTGGCTAAAACTTTTAAAAATACGAGCTTTCGGCTTTAAAAGTTTTAGCCAGAGATCGTTTTTTAAATTTCATAAGATGTTTTATCCTGGCTGCGGCCCCTCTATCTTTTCATTTATTTATTTAGATGTTATATCGGCTGGTTCCATCAAGAAGTGGGGTTGAGGAGCTGCGGTACCTCGTATAACTGAGCTACAGTAGTGCGAAGATTGCTTTGTGACTTAGTAGTATTGAAATAATACAGTGGTGTCAATCTACTTTTAGGTGGAGCGCTATGATTTTAAAAGAGGTGGACATCAAGCCGGAACAGGTCATTTTACCCAAGTAATATGGAAGGATTCGAAGGAGCTGGGCATGGCAAGGGCTAAAAGTTCTGATGGAAGTGTATACGTGGTGGCAAGATACCGTCCTGCTGGAAATATGTTAAATTCCTTCAATGATAACGTCGTTCCAAAGGTGAGGCTGGCTAAAATTTACCCTCCAGTGATATGATATTGTGGTAAAACTGGTAGTGAGAATAGCTTAACTGTAAATTTTGAGTTAAAATAACGGGAATTAATTTGGTGATAAAAACTGAAGGCAGTCGAGCGCTTTCGCAGTGAAATAGAGGATATCCTTTGCTTACGTGTCATAAAGGCCCAAATTTTGAAGTATTGCTCATTTTTTTGGTTATTGTTTGACGCAGGTGTCAATGGAAGAGGAGCATCAAACGCAAGGTAAGTCCATTTTTATACATTTTATGGACTCGATCCCTTTATTTTAAAAGTAGTGTCAAAAATTCAAATCATTCTTTCCAGTGAAACCTTTTGTCTTTCACTTTACAGACCAGATATTTCCGCAAGAAATCGTGACCGATGTGCAAGATTCTACCTCAACAAAGCGTAAGAGAACTTCAATTATCTACAATTAGCTTACCGGTGGGAGGACTGATGCACGAAGAAGATCAATGAAAAACGAGGGTATCCTTAAGAACGATTGTACTTATCGGGCGGAGGGGTTAGAATGCGTGGTTTGGAATCGCTAAGGGTGCTCCAGTCCTAAATAGACTTCCCAATACTGAAAAAATGCAGATCCCTTGGGCTGCGTTGAGCTCACTAAGGAGCGCAGACGTTTTCAGATTGTTGCCGTATTTTTTGTCTTTTTGAACAAAAAGAATGGGTTTTCGCCTGATGAACATGGGACTGTCATATTAACGTGACTCCAAATTTGGTTTTTCTTTGCATACTAATTAATACTAATTAGAATTTTGTCGAGAATTTCTCCCCTCCCCTCCCCCTCCCCTCCCCCCCACTCCTCCACCGGCTTGCTGTGACTTTATTTGGGGCTATAATATAAAATCTTCTGAGCATTTTCCGAGGATATTTTTCATAGAATGACTCCCTTTACTTTTCATTCTGGACACAATTCTTTAGTTTCAGGTTCCTTCATTGATGCTGTGTTAAAAGCTCACAATGAACTACGACTCCACCACAACGTACCTTGTCTTAAATGGTCATCGGCGTTGTCAAAAGACGCGCAAGCTTGGGCCGAGAAGCTGTCACGAAACGACGAACTGCGTCACGCACGCAAAGAAGAGCGAAATTTCAAGGGTGAGAATATTTGCCGCATGTCTGACCACTATGATGTTGCTGATGCTGTCAGAATTTGGTATTCGGAGGTCAATAGTTACAAATATGACTCACCAGGGTTTAGCCATGATACTGGTCACTTCACCCAGATTGTTTGGCGTGAAACGTCCGAAGTCGGAGTTGGAACCTGTAAGAGTCGAGATGGAAGACTAACTTACATTGTAGCTAGGTATCATCCGGCGGGGAACGTGTTAAAAAGGTTCAATGAAAATGTACTACCGTCAAGTAGTTCAAGTATATAATTACTGAATGTACAAGGAGTATCCAATAATGTCAAAAAGTCAGACTACCAGGAATTACCGTGTGTGTTAAGAAAATAAACGACGGTATATGATAACTGAATGGTTCAATCATTGCGCAATTCATTTCAGTGGCTTTTCTGTGCTGTGAGATTTGATGCACTGGAGCAAAGACAAGTCAACGTGGTTAGCAGCGACCGCGCGCCTTCGTAAGGTTTTGTTCTTAAATCTTCGCCTCGTACAAATTTTGCTAATTTTCGTGCAGTTTTTTTTTAATTGACTCACTACTGCAATCAGGTGGCTCTGCCGCTTCATCGACCTCCCCGAAAAACCGCTAGGTAGGCAGGCTACCACCCAAGCTCACGATGTCCTTGGGAATCCTGTGCTTCCCGCGTTTTTCGCGCAAACTGAGAAACTGGGTACTAGTGGAATCGAATTGAACATGGCGACGACCTCGAAGTGTACGTGGAAGGAGGTTGAACTCCGTTGTTGGGATTCGTTGTCTCAGGGAATTGATAATGTTTGTGCCTGTTAAGCAAAACATATGTCATATCTTATATTAATGGCCTTTCTGGACACGAATCGCAAAAATGGCTGCCTAGCTTCGCGCTGGGAACAAATCCCTCTCGCACTGTTTCCAATTTAGCCAGGCGACAGCGTCACAATATATGATACAAAGATGCTATTAGAGGTGAGCTAAGTTACTCCAAAAAACATATGTATACACGTTGCTTACATTAATTTTTTTTAGATTCAAACAATTCTTACCAGGAGTAATCAAACATTAGTAAAGTGCGTTCGATCTTTATTGTATAAGTCATTTCGAGATTTTACGCAGTTCAAATGTATTTGCTGCATAAAGTGCATTTCGAGACTGGGGCCGTATTATGTCGCTTTTGGGCAGATTTATTTAGAGGGATCCTCTAGAGTGGTTTGTAAGTATATTTTAGCAATGGTTCTACACAAAAGTTTATGCATGGTTAGATGCAGATTAACCATAAACCTAGCTAAGCTTCAGCATTAGCAGTATTACATAGAAAATAATACATGGGCGCGCGTAGATATGGAATTTCTTTTCGAGTGTTCAACTCAATAGCTCACAAATGAATACAGCAAATGAAAGAAATGTTGAGTTGAAAACAAGAGGAGAAATTTCATATCTGCAAGCAACCATGTATTATTTTGTTTATCATATAAACACAATAGCCCTTTACTGACAAGAAAAGTCAACTCTATTGGTGAATAAAAGGATCTTCCTTGAATAAAAATCAGTGTTGGCACTGAGGTTTGAGATAAAAAAATGTGTTGAATCAGTACAAAAAACAAACAATGGGCACTCTATTCTTGCACTGTTACCTTCATCATCATGCATTTGTCTATCTTCGAATCCATCATTGCCATTTGCACACCAGTCAGCCCAGTGAATACAAATCCAGTGTACAGTTCTCTATTAGTCTGACCTGTGCTTGTCAGCTCTTCCATGCACAAGAGAGCTGTTTCCCATATTCTGTTTGATGTGGCTGCAGCGATGAAGACCTTATTACCCAGTACAAAACAGCCTGCCAGGAGGGAAGACTCTGCAAAGATCCAACAGACCCTCAGAAAAATCCTCGAGCTTATAGACAGTCTAATTGCCGTTTTTTGTAGCACTGGGGAGACTCATCCAGCTCAGTCACCAGAACCTTCCCACATCATTCTAAGCACAGCCCGGCAGTGATGGAAGTATATAAACCCTCTCCGGAAACAGATAAAGCTGTTGATGTAACACCATTCACAGTAAATCCCTTTGGTGTTCATGAAACCCTGACACTCTGGTCTAAGGCAATGTTGGCAAAGAACTTTGGCTGTTCAACTGGTATGGCATACGTTTGAGCTATCTGAGCTCCAAGGCTGCAATGTATGTGGAGTAGCAAACAAGAAGCCATTGGATCCCAAAGAAATAAATAAGAGTAATGAGCTTTTTTTCCAGTGTTTTCTGACACCCCCATCTGAACGTGAGCTACTTTGGCATGACTGTCAATAGGCCCTAGACACTTATCTGCGTTCACATATACTTGATCAGTGTAATATTTAGACAAGTGCATGATCTTTTTTTTACCTCGACAGCTTTAACCTAAACATACAATAAAGACATAACATTAAAGAACAAATAATGGAAGAGAAACAGTGACCTGGAGATAAGGTCTTTAATAAGTCACTCATTCAATAACTGGGTCGATTTGCACATTTAAGTTTTTTGTGACACAAAAATCTCATGCAAAGCTGAAGACTTTTAAACACTTAATGAATTATAGGAAACAATTAAATTTTTTAAACAAAAACTGAAAAATATTTTGGTGCCAAATAAAAGTACTGGTAAACAAGATGTAGGGTTACCAGTTGATATAGGCACCTCCTCGATTGAGTGGCATCTCTCTTATTGATTTCAAATTCTTAAGACAAAGATCTCAGGCTAGAATCAAGTTAATTATTCACATCTTAATAACTTTCAAAAACATTTTTTACGAATTACTGGTGGAATCGTGACAAGTCGTTTCAACATTTCATCAAAACGGCAGCCATTGCATCCTATAGATGTTGAGATATGCAAATGTTATCAAATTCTTTCAATTCATTGCCAGGTCAATTCCAAGAAATCAAAGAATCATTGCTTGTCATGATTCAGAATTTATTCACCATCAAGATGTGACTGGATTGGATTGGCAATCTATTACATGAATCACCAGCCATGATAAGTGAAATTTTTTTAAATTGATTCCTAGAATTTAACATTACCAATAAAGCTAAATAATGGTAACACTTTTCAAATATTTCAAATAGAAAATACAATGCATACTGTTTCCTTATCACTGTCATAGCATTTATCTAGACCTTAGAACTTCATCACACTTGTAACACTATACCTGTATTGATACTCAATCAAATACATCAAATCAAAATGTTCCAATCAATGAGATTACAGAGCTTGACAATATTCTTTAAAATCTAAAGTGAACTTTTGGTATAGTGAAAAACCTAATTCAGGGTAGTTTAAAACCTTTACCCTTTAACTCCCAGATCAAATTTGTAATCCTCCTTACCGTCAACCATACAATTCATATAATGTTAGTTCTGAGAATTTAGTATTGGATCAACTTATTATCCCCAAATTCATGTTTTTCTCATCACTTATCTGGTTGATATTGTATTGATATTGTAAGGAGAAATTCTGTCCTGGTCACTCATGGGAGTTAAAGGGTTAAATGTGTATTCATTTGATCATTTTCTAAAAGCTTATACATTGACATTACAAACTAAATCTAAAAAACAACTTTCCTCTCTAGGTCTTGTCAACTACAGCTATTTAAGAAGGTGAATCACATCATTTAAGTGACAAATTATCTCCTATATTTCATGGAACTCACAGCATACCAAAGTCTTAGTTGACTACATGTTGGAGGTGATTGTAAAAGAGTAAGTTTCAATTCATGCAGTTACAATTAAATTTAATCACATGAAACTGCTCAAAATTTAGACAAAAAAATTGATCAACTACAGGTTTACTGAATGATTAAATGACAAATTGTCCAATTGTACTGCAAAATAAATTTTGAAAAAATTTACATAACCAATTCATGACACACTTCAAATAGATTTTAGTAATCAAAATACACCTTTAGGTCACAACTACAGGATAAGGCCAAACTCTCCCCAAAGTGTTTTTAATGCTTCAAGTCAAAGTTTATTTTATGCCCACTTTAAATATCATTTACTCCTTTTAATTCCTCAGTTTTGCATCGTGCATTCTGTAGTAGGCTTAAAAAAATCACATAATCAGGGAAATGAGTGTGCACACATTCTGAGAACAGGGTATTGTTTTCAATTCAGGGACCAGGTAAAGAGGTGCAATGGTCTTTAGCTCTTGAACAAGCTTGGTGACCTACACTGGAAAGCTAAAAAATAATTATTCTTGCATGTATGAAACGTGTTACTTGAGGATTGTCAGTTATGACCTTGAAAGAAACAACTTGAGGAATGTTTTGAGTTGATGCCATTTAATAATTAGTAATAATGTAATTTGCTTGGTTTGATGACTTATTGGCTTTTGGTTGCATCAAGAAAATTTTGGAAGTTAAATTTGGTCTTCATCTGTTTAATCAGAAAGCCTTGTTCACTTCTAAAAAATTAACCTTATTTCTGTTTTTTCTTTTTCCTGTGTTACATGAAATGCCAGTGGAAAATGTATTTTGTAATGTTTCAGATTGATTAACAAGTGTGTTTTGTGTGTATGTATATAAGGAATTTATGCATGAATGCTCTGGTAATGATTAAGCTGTAGGAAGTCTTGTGGGATGCATTTTGCTATTTTAAGATATTGCAAGTTATTCAGCACCATTCAAAGGCATCTCTTACACCCACTTTTTTTCTTTCTGCATATGAACTTTGATGTGAACTGTAGGAGTATTTATCTTCTCAGTGTTATATTGTAACCATTAAATGCTCACCAACTTCAATAAATGAGATGCTTGCATCTGGAACTGTTTGTTCTGTTTACTTAAGATTTACTACAAAGTATTTAATATTCGTTTCAGGCTGATTAGAGCATAACATTTTTTAACAAACATTGCATTATTTCACAATTTCACACTTTTTTATTCTAATTTTTTTCTGCTTTTGTCCCTCACATTTTGCTTGTCTAAGACTGTAGTTCAGGCAGTGAAAAGCTCATAATTTTTTCAATTTTTTTTAGTCAGAGATTGTTCTTAAAATTTTTACCATGTCTTATACTGGCTGTGGTCCCTCAATATTTTCACATCTTTGAGATTTCTAGCAAGGAATCTAAATGTGTGTTCCATGAACAAACACACGAATTCCGTGTCCTACTGTGATACCCAGTTGTTACAATCAGGATTTATAATGGTAATGTAAACTGAGTGGAGTGCAATTTGATCTGGAATTAAATGTGTGATTTGAAATCACAGGTATGATTTCTCACCAAAATTGCACAATATGAAGTTCAGAACCACTTTACTATATCCATTTTGAAATTGCTCAGATTCAGGAGTTTTAAGTCTGTACAAATGTTTTGTTAATCCATAAGTGGGCTAGTCGGTAGGAAGTTGCAAAAGTTGTTTTTCATTTTCTTGCAAATTGATTGGTTTTTTTAAACAATCAATTGGTTGTTTTTTAGTAAACTTAGCCTCTCTTTTGACAGGGAAAAAGATGCAACTCAAAACAAGAAATGGTGCCATTTGTGAGGATATTGTACCAATGAGAGCTGTTCAGATTACAAGGATCACCAGTGATTTCAAAACGGATGTAGTATGAAGAAATAATAATATAAAAAAATACATGCTTTTTAACCTCTGAAGTCTGAAAGATAAAAACAGGGAATATTCTTGACTTGGAAACTTAGTTAATGTTGAACCTATTCCTTGACTGTCCTTGGTAAATATTCACATATTAAAAGATCATGCAAATCAGTAATTAAAACATTGTGCTAACTTCCATCTCATCTCCAACTTCATGCTTATGTCTCAACTTACTGAAAAGTGGTAGCTTCACAATTGATTGATCACTGACAATTTCAGTAGCTTGTCTAGGTGAAATCTTTTCATTAGCATAAAGGAAATTTTTATAGTACTGAGACTGCTTTAGTCAGAGAATGTAATTATGTCATTTCAGATATTGATAGGAATCAGACAGTTATTGTAATCACTGGCAGATAAGCTGCATTCAAAGATGCATGGCACCCCAAGTTTGGGCACCTCAAATTTTAGGAAAGAAGTTTTGAAAGAAATTGAATAAAAGTTCAAGAGTAGTCTTGAGAAAATTGCTGTATATTGGTTGTGCTATCAAAGTTAGACCTGCGGAAACTCACTAGCATTGAAAAGGGAGAATCCTTAGCTATAACTTTAGCTGTAATAGTATGGACATCATATCTACTGATTTGACTTATAGTTGATCTTTGGTATTGTTTAAAGAATTACCTTTCATTTAAACAACCATAACTCGTTTTGCCTCAGCGCAGTAGAAATAACTGCATTGTGTGCTTTGTTACCAAAGAGTTTAGGTGCAATTTTTATGTACTTACACTGGCTCCTTGTGGAGTAGCAAACTATTATCAAAGTTTATTGCTTATGCACAAGGGATTAAATTATCTTGTGCTTGCATATATTAGTCATCTATTGGTCCCTCCCATGCTCTCTAAAAGAAGTATCTTTTAGAATTTCAAAAGACTAACTTGAAAACCCAGGGTAAGAGGGCCTTGTCTGTTGCTGCACCAAGGCTATGGAATAATTTACCTCTAGATATTTTGACTATTCCATCAGTCAGTGTCTTCTATTAAATCACTTTTACAGTGTTGTGTGTGTGTGTGTAAAAACTCATATCTACTAGCACTGAGTATGGAAAGTTGACATAATTTATCATATGATTAATCAATCATTTAATTAATTACCAATCATCAAATCAATTTCACGTACTTGAATCTGTATCCCGTTTTATAAAATAAATGATAAATTATTTTGATTATGATTAAATGATTATGATTTTCCTTTAGACCGACTTTTTTTATGTATCTTAGCTGTAGTGGCTTTGCATTTTATGCAGTCAGGTACATTTGGTGCAGAGGATATTTATTACTGAGGAGATTGTATTAAAGGATGAGGGTGGTTGACCTGTGTTAAAAATTTTTAAGTACCATTACTGGTGTGGGCATCATGCCATCACATTTGAATTGCAATTTATGCATTTCATATTCTTTGGGCCTTTATCTCATTAGAGGTTGGTTGCCAACGTGAGCCAATCTATGCTCATTATTACATTTATTTTCCCAGGTGGAAGAATTCAGGGTTTTACTATTTTAAGTCCAAGTCATTTTTGGGTTGTTTTTTACTTAGGGTCACAAGTTTAGAATCTCTCTGGTACTTTGAGGCTTCATGTTTTTTGGATTTTTGATTTATATGGGTCTTAATTTTTTTTTCGGTTTGTGGGTATTTTTGAAGTTTAAGTTTTGGGGGCCCTTGCTTTTGTGGGTTTTGCATGTTTCCAGACCTAGTTGTCTGGGTCTTTATAGTTCTTGCTGAGCTGCAGGATTTTATGTATTGGATTTTATGCATTTCATGTCCTTTGGAACTTTATCAAAATAGCGTTGGGCTGCCAACTTGAGCCATTTGATGCTCATCATAACATGTATTTGAAAAAGTGTCTAGAGTATTGCTGATATCTTTCACTCCTCCCTTCCCCTCACAGTATCATTTTAGTACTAATTGAGAGGCTTGTAGATTCAGATAATATATTTACACATTAAATATTAATTTTTATTATATAGATACTAATGAAATACCAGAATTTTTCCTCTTACTAAAAAATCATATCTTCATCGCGGCAGTGAAGATACTATTTTTATCTTTCACGGGTGAGGACATTGGTGTCGCGATGGTTACTAACATGATTAGCCAATGACAAGAGAGCTTCCTGCTCAGGTGCGCGGCCAGTTCTTTTTAAATTTCACCACGCGGCCATGTAATATCCTCTGTTTACTATTTATGTATGTGGCTTATAGCTATTCTTATTGAGGGTGATGGTTGGTGTGTGCCTGTGTGCCTGTCCTCGCACATGGATAAACTGAGTCAAGATGTGAATTGGCACAAGGCCTGTCTTCTTGGAGCTCATGTAAGTCATTTAGTTTCTAATATAATGACAGACTGAGTGAAGGATCGACTGGCTGGCTGTTTGACCGACAGCTAGACTGACTGACTAACCGACTGACTGGCCAGCCGAGTGGCTGGCTGCCTCGCTAGTTTACTGACAAGCTTGCAGGCTGATTGGCTGGCTGCCTGACTGGCTGGCTGTTTGACAGGCAGGAGAATTGTCTATTCCGACATCGTTATGTCTTTTTCTAACGCTTTTCTACATGACGTTCTGATTCCATTTTGCCCAAAAAGAACATTCGTCCAGGTAAGGAACATAAGTAACGTAGCTTAAGAACCAGCGATAAGAGAATGTTCATTTCACACAACGCCTTTACGCTTATTGATTGTAGTATTTTGATTGTTTCTTATTCGTCTCGCGCACTCAAAGGATTCTCTTTAGTTCATTTTTTCGTTAGTGTCTCGCGCGCTCAAAGGATTCTCTTTAGTTCATTTTTTCGTTAGTGTCTCGCGCACTCTGAAGATCTCTTTAGTTTGACTGTTTCGTTTGTGTCTCGCGCACTCTAAGGATTCTCTTTTGTTCGAATATGTTGCAAGTATTTTGTACACTTTGCACTCTGAAATTTTTCCTTAGTTTGATTGTTTCGTTAGCATCTCGCACACTAAAAGGATTCTTTTTAGTTCGATTGTTGCGTTAGTGTCTTGTGCACTGTGCTAATGTCTTTCGTTGCTTATTGCTTTAGTGTTTTGCGCACTCAGGAGTTTGTTCAGCTCAATTGTTACGTTACTTCCACGGGCACTCTAAGTATTTTCTTTAGCTCCATTATTACGTTAGTGTCTCGCACACTCTGGGGATTCTCTTAACTTTATTCATAAATGGTAGCAGGACCGTATGGAGTCCAATTCGGTCTGTAATCATACGAGTGATTAACAAAATCGGACAAGCGCGAAGTGGGAGTCTGATTTGTTAATCACGAGTATGATTACAGACCGAATTGGACTCCACTCAGTCCTGTTACCAGTTAATCAAAACTATGACAAAATTTGAGAAAGAAACTAAACATCGGCTATACGTTTTCATTAAAAAAAAAAAATCAGTTAACTCGGCGAAATGCGAGACATTGGCGCGCGCGCATGACGCGTTCTGTCCACTTACACAGGCATGACGTGTGAACTGTCCCTTTAACTGTTCTATTACACTGTCCAATTGCAGGCATGACGCGTAAACTGTCCTATTACACTGTCCAATTACAAGCATGACGCGTAAACTGTCCTATTACACTGTCCAATCACAAGCATGACGCGTGTACTATCCTATTAGTACTCTTATCAAAACTATAACAAAATTCTCGAACGTGATTGGTTATCACCTGCCCGATTTGAGCACTAATAGGACAGTGTACGCGTCCTACTCTGAGGATTCTTTTTAGTTTGATTTTCGAGTTAGTATATGGCGCTCTCCGGGGATTCTCTTTGGTTTGATTGTTGCGTTAGTGTCTCGCGCACTCTGAAGATTCTCTTTAATTATTATATTGTTGCGTTAGTGTCTCGCGCACTCTAAGGATCCTCTTTAGTTTGATTGTTGTGTCAGTGTCCTGCGCACTTTGAAGATTCTCTTTAGTTTGATTTTCGAGTTATTATCTGGCGTTCTCCGAGGGTTCTATTTAGTTTGATTGTTGCGTTAGTGTCTTTCGCACTCTAGAGATTTTCTTTAGTTTAGTATTGTTGCGTTTGTGTCGTACCTCGAGAACCCAAAGGATTCTCTTTAGTTTGATTTTCGAGTTAGTATCTCGCACTCTCCGAGGATTCTCTTCAGTTTGATTGTTGCGTCAGTGTCTCGCGCAATCTGAGGATACTCTTTAGTGAGATTGTTGAGTTAATGAAAACTATAACAAAATTCTCGAACGTGATCGGTTATCACCAGCTCGATTTATAATGGCGCTCTCTGAGGGTTCTCTTTAGTTTCATTGTTGCGTTAGTGTCTCGCGCACTCTAAGGATTTTCTTTAGTTTAGTATTGTTGCGTTTGTGTCTCGAGCGCTCTAAGAATTTTCTTTGGTTTGATTGTTGCGTTAGTGTCTCGCACGCTCTAAGGATTCTCTTTATTTTGATTGTGGCCTTAGTATCTCGCAAACTCTGCGGATTCTCTTTAAGTTGATGGTTGCCTTAGAAACTTGCGCACTCTAAGGATTCTCTTTAGTTTGACCGTTGCGTTAGTGTCTCGCGCACTCTAAGGATTCTCTCTAGTTTGATTGTTGCGTAAGTATCTCGCGCACTCTAAGGATTCTCTTTGGTTTCACTGTTGCATCAGTATCTTGCGCACAGTAACGATTCTTTTTAGTTTAACTGTTGCGTTAGTATCTCGCACACTCGAAGGGTCCTCTTTAGTTTTATTGTTACGTTATTTTCTCGCGCATTCTAAGGATTCTCTTTAGTTTGATTGTTGCGTTAGAGTCTCACGCACTCTAAGGATTCTCTTTAGTTTGATTGTTGCGTTAGTGTCTCGCACACTCTAAAGATTCTCTTTAGTTTGACTGTTGTGTTTATCTTGTGCACACTAAGGATTCTCTTAAGTTTTATTGTTGCGTTAGTGTCTCGCCCACTCTAAGGATTCTCTTTAGTTTGATTGTTAAGTTTGTGTCTCGTGCACGCTAAGGATTCTCTTTAGTTTGATTGTTGCGTCAGTGTCTCGCACATTCTAAAGATTCTCTTTAGTTTGATTGTTGCGTTTGTGTCTCGTGAATGCTAAGGATTCACTTTAGTTTGACTGTTGCGCTAGTGTCTCGCGCACTCTAAGGATTCTCTTTACTTTGATTGTTGCGTTAGTATTTCTTGCACGCTAAGGATTCTCTTTAGTTTGACTGTTGCATTAGTGTCTCGCACCCACTAAGGATTCTCCTTAGTTTGACTGTTGCGGTAGTGCCTTACGCACTCTGATGATTCCTTTTTTCGTTTATTTTGTTAGGATATTGCGTACTTTAAGTAGTCTCTATCGTTCTAATGTTTTGTTAGTTTCTCGTGCGCGCTGAAGATTTCTTTTTGTTTAAGTGTTTCAATAATCTCTTGCACACTGTAAAGATGCTTTTCAAATTTATTGTTTCGTTAATATCTCGTGCACTCTTAGAATTCATTTTAGTTCTGCTGATTTGTTAGTATCTAGCGCACTGCGAGTGTTCTCTTAAGCTCGATTATTTCGTTTGTAAGTCCAGCACCCTGCCTAAATTTAAATTCCAATTGTTTCGTTAGTATCCTGCGTATTCGTTCGATTCTCTTTAGTTTATTTTTTCGTTAGTATCTAAAGTTTTCTGAAGTTCTGTAATTTTACTAGTGTTTTGCACACTCTGAGAATTGTGAACATTTAGTGTTACATGGTGTAACTCTTAAAATGCCCGTTGATTCTCCGGACTATAAAACTAATCTCAATCCATTCATGGAATAACAACAAAATGAAACCATAGTAAACAAAAAAAACTGTGAGGGTGGTAAGAAATATGTAATTAAGTGAAATAGTTGGTAAATAAATAAACAAATGATTAAATAAATATGTAATTGAATAAGTAAATGTAAAGGAGTGCGCATGATGGTGACAAGATTGAGCTCCCTACATAACGAAAGTACTTAAAATAAAAGCAAGCAATGCAAAACAATACGAAATTAAATTTCCGTTCGATAAAAAATTATTCAAATAAAACGAACCTTGGAGAGGATTGAATAGCATTAAGTGGAGAAATAAGTAAATGAAGTAACAAAATAAATACATTGGTAAAAGATATAATCTAGAATAAATCAATGAACAAATGTGGATAATGAAGATTATTTTACTCGTAGTTAAAAGCTGTAGATAATAGTGGAACTTGTGTTAAGAGTGTAATGCAGTACTACGTGTATACCCTCCATCACAACTCTATGAAGTATGTAATATTGCCACTTGTTTTAGTTGTTAGTGGTAACCGACCTTTGGTGTGTTTCGGCCGGATATAGATAGTTTCATCCATTTTATAGTCTCTTACCACAATACAAACAATTGTGCTACATGACAACTAATGTTCTTCTTCGTATCTTTAATATAAGAAACTTTTTTTTTTCTCGTTGTCGCCTCTACCCCTTTCCATTAGACTTGATTCCTTGTTCTCTCAGTATTGTCAAATTAGCTAAGGGAGGGGTCCTTTCTCTCCTGCAGATCCTCGTCTTGTTTTATATCAAAAGTTGAACTCGCACATCTCACACACTTAAACCCAGCTTTTTCCATTCAGGAATTAATGCCGAAAAAAGGAGGCCGTCCACAGACATTACATCGACCCTTCGTCAAAAACAACAAATTAAACGCTTTTCTAAGTCAACTGACACCTTAGCAGATGAATATTTTTTTCTGCTGTTGCCTGTTTTTATCATTCGGCTTAATTCTGCCAAATCTCACAAGAATCAGAAATATTCTATATTTACAGATTTACTACTGGACTTTAAACAGACTTCCTTTAGCGACATTTAATCAAGTTGTTATTGTTTCTAGTATAAATTCATATCGGTTTAATTTACGCACGTCCACGAGTTAAAAAGATTCTTACCTACTGCTTTACCATGAACTTGTACATTGATGATGTAACTTAACAGACCTGGCTAAATGTCCTCATATACCGTAACACGAAGCCATCGATGTTCCCTTTAAAAAGTCGTTAAAGTTGAAAATGTTCGCAGGAAATTTTGCTTTAAAAAGATTGCTGTGCAGGCATCACAACCTCTTCATATAAGTGTTTCCCAATAATACAGTCATTCCTTTGAGTTACTGCCTGAATTAAAAGACTATAGAAAATGACTCAACCATAATAGTCGTAACCAGCAATAAAGAAGTAGAATAAATGAGTACTTCGACACATACCGATAGATCTTTTATGAAATACGTGACACTGAATTCTACTGATCGTAATGACTTGAAAATACAGTTTGCGCATACAGTCTTGGTTCTCATTTTCATCCTTATAGAAGATTTTGTGGAGTGTTGACATGGGTTGAAGAAGGAAAGAAAATAAAGAAATTGGATATTGCAAGGAGAAGCTAGATATTGATTTGTTTTGGGAACAAAAAGATCAGAGCCCAAATAAGTGGAAACGAAAAGTGACCATGTTTACCTTTTTCTGATTTTGCTCACGCATAGCGGGGGTTTGTGTTACTCGCTCACTCCGATTTGGCCTATCCCTACAGTAACTGATGACCCGATAGAATTCCTTTTGTCAGATCATTCCGATAATAACTTAGTTTGTATTCATACTGAAAGGATATGACTGAAACCTTGATAAGGATTTTATTTGTTATCTTTAAAAACGATTGCAACTAGTTCTAATTCTTTTTTAAAAGTGTTAACAGTACGTGCGGTATCAAAAAGATAAAGCTGGAGTGTAATATTAACCGTGAACTTGCCAAAATTTCTGTTCAAGATGTTTACCGTAAGAGCCACGTCTTCAATTTAGACTCTCTTCAGAAGGTTTACAATAAACGACTTTTTGTTCTCTAAAGAATAGTCGGTAAAGTCAACTTTCTATCGACCACGTGCTCTGAATAAAGGAGTGACGGCTTAGATATGCAAATAACAGTTACGCGAGAGTATATTGAACAAAAACAGAACGCCTCAATCAGTTCAATATTGCAGAGCAAGTGTTTTTTATCATTCTGAAGTCTATTTTTTCCAAACAGACGGGATAGTTCAGATTATTTGCCTTATTGGCCGACGACAAATGCGAAACAGCATTTTCTAATCAAACTGGGTACGTGTGACTGGCAAGTTCCCTGGCAGTCGTCTGAACTTTGCTGAAACACTAAAACATGGAATGACCTACAACCACCTAAAACCACGTGTACAGCCACCTAAAACCACGTGTACAACCACCTAAAACCACGTGTACAACCACCTAAAACCACCTGAAACCACCTACAACTACCTACCATGGCCACTTAGAATTTTGTTTTTGTATTGTCAGGTATCAGAGAACTAATATAAAGATTAAGACAAGCCTAAAAGCGGAGCTCCAAATTTTCTGCTTGTTAACGTTTAAATTATTTCATAGAACTCATAGAGCCCACGTAATTTGGATGATGGCCGCTGACCGCTCAAGTATTTTCAGAATTACTAAAAACAAGCAGAAATTGTGCAGCTCCGGTTTTAAGCTTGGCTAAATCTATATATTGCTTAAAATATTCTACCGAAATGAGGAAGTTGCCATGGGATCGGGTGAAGGGTGCTGTTTGCCTATTCAGAGGTCCACAAAGTAAACAGCTGTGTCTACTCTTCGCTGACATGCGCTCTCGGAAATGGAATCAATATTGTTTGTATGGTTAGGGCCTTTTAGTCCTCTAATTGCACCGATAACCCTGGAATGGTTTGATTTGATTTTATCAGTAGACAGCAAATGCAACAAAGAAATAAAACTTTAAGTTTACAGCGTAGCAACGCATTCTTTAATTCATAGAACATAACAAAACATCTGAAAACCGTTAACAAGTAAATATCTTCATCAACCTAAATACCCCGAGCATGATTGGCATGGAACCGTTGCTTCATCCTAAGTTCCACTATATATGTACTCAATTGTTAACAACTTTTGGAAAATAGCAACAACTCTAGAGGGAAAATTTGGTGTTTTTCACATTTATTTCATTTCATGTCAAGATTACGACATTGTGTGGCTGCAAAAATTGAACAAAACTTACTAACACATCCTTGTAGTAATTCAATGTCTTTCTTAAACAAATACCGTAAACTCTTTTTTTCTCTAGCGAACCCCCGAATATGAAGAAGATAAAATTGATAATGCCACGTAGCTTGTCCCAATGTTAAGGGTATTAACATTGTATTTTCTCTTACAAAATGTTTAACTGAAACAGCTTAATGAAATGATTTGTAAATAACTTCTTACTGAAAAATGCTTGAGGTGCACACGCGAGTTACTTCTCCACATACAACCCCTTGGCCTCTAGTATTGCCCTTCCTCCTTCAGGTAGAAATGTAAGGGTGCGTGTGGGGACCGTTATAGCAGAAAAGGCGAATTTCTGGTCATATTCAGAGAGGCATTTGGTTAGAAAATGCAGGTAAAGATTACCGGTATATTTGACTATCTTTCCTGACTTATCAGTGCGTTCCCGCACTCTAACACTTTTGACGACAACCTTGTCCGCCTGATGAAAAGCTACCCTGCATTGCTCACAGCGTAGGACACTTTTGGGGCAAAGCTTTTCATCATCTCTGCTTACAAGCTCGTACTGATTTCCTGATATCCTGTCAGGGTCAAGGAAGTTCATTGCTTCAGTAGCTGCATTTGTACTTTTCTCTACCTATGAAATTAAATTGAACATGATGAGTAACAAACCTAAACCTCAGTCTGCGTGTGTATCTGTTTGTCTGTAGGAGAAAAAAATTACCCTTGTAGAAATCCCAGGGCAGATCTAATAACAATGCCTATTTTTTGGCTAGTGGATCCCAGGATTGTGAATTGCTCGCTATATAGTATGAGCTAAACTCTGGCATTCTTCACTTGTATGACCAACGTGACCCCCACCAAGTTTTGTGTTGGTCTTTCAGTTTGCACCATTAACCCAGTACATTTTAGTCCCAACATCCCCTCTCTAAGTCTGCTTGCCACATTTATAGATATAAACAAATGCAGTCAGAGTTCCTCTCACCTGCCACTTTGTCTTGTCATCACTCTTTGTGATTCGAATAGGGGTGACTGCTTGAGGTGTGTCATCACCAACTTCAACTCTGTCGGTGAAGATTTCTGGTTCTGGCAAGTGGACTCTCCTTCTTTTACTCTGTGGAGATGACTTAATTCCAGTAACCATGGGTTTCTTATACATGTCATATGACTTTGGTGTGAAGTTACGCAATGCTGATAGGTGTTGAGCTTGCCTTTCTAGGCTCCACCTGTTCCACTTCACTGGATCGACTTGAAACTGTTCGTACCCAAGAGAAAGCCTATACTTTCCCAAACCACAAACAGCCCTTTCTTCCTCAAGGTAGAATTCCGTTGTCCACTTCTCCAGCATTGATGTGACATTGGCGACCTCCTCTGGAATCTCATCTTCTCGAAGACGTTTTTTCTGAAGTCGGTGTTTGAGTTCTAAACCATTGGTGTAGAACCTACCAGTTATACCCAGATTCTGACGGGCAGATAGGACAAGACAAGTCTTGAATTGTTCCGACCTATGCTTTGTAAACCATCGGTGGAACCCCGGCACCAAGCTCTCCCAGACAGTCTCCAAACGTGCCAATTTAATTTGGAAGTCCTCTGGGTCATCTGCGTCTGCCAAGCCATTGTGTAGTAGGACATCATCCTGGGACCCATAGATGTCAGTCATGATTCTGTTCCTTGATCTTTCATTTGCGCCAAGGGATTTAAGTTTGAGGGCGTCACGTTCCTGACTATGCTGCGTACACCAAACATTGTCTGCATCCTTCAAGATGTCAGTCATACCACCAGCAATAGCTTTGTCAAGATCATGGCCAATCTTCTTTATTCCTAACAATTCTGGTTTAGCAATGGTGAGTTCACCAGCGAATCTTCGATAACTCTCTCGACTCTTCTTGAAATGCCAGAAGCTTGGACCTGGGAATTCAGGATGCTTGTTGCTCTGGTCGATTAAGGACTCGTTCGCGTATGTAGTATCTGTTAGCCATAGGCCATCGACCAACTCAAAATTGGTATCGATTCTCAGAATACTGTTTCCAAGAACGCAGAATCGATGTATGTCATTCAGCATGTTGGGAGACGAGTTGACTGAGATATATTGTTCTTTTGTAAAGGTAACACTGCTGTTGAGAGGCAGAGTATGCAAACTTGTTATCAGTGTTTCCGCTTCATTACGCTTCAGTGTTGTCTTGGTTGATGTGGCCTTCATATTCTTGTATTTTCTATTCTCAAACATCTTTAGGCCTGGTATTGTCTCGCTGACGGTGGTTGTCTTTTCCTTGATCAAGGTATTATTAACTGTATCTGTAGGCATACCCTCATTCAACAAGTTATCTATGGCTGTAGATGTGCAAGGGTCTTTGCGAAAATATGCCGATGAAGTCGGCTTTTTGGCGTTCCCATGGCGCGGAAGAAAGAATTCTTTACTTTCTCCTCTGGCCCATTTGTACAGAACAAGGTAAAAGGGTTTGAGTTCCTTGTCTGTTATGGCCTTGACGGTGGCAATTGTACGTGAAAACTCGGGATTGAACTTGCTGGTCTTGTAATACCTCGTCAGTTCATAAACTTCACTTTCAGGGATATACTCCTTTCTGTAGCCTTTAGAGGTTTTGACGTTTGCATAAAATGCTCCGTTCTCATTTTTGTGAACTGTGCGGGAACCTTCGCTATTGTACTGGAATAGTCTCTTGGCATTACCTTTTGATATATATGCACCATTATCTTCTGCTTCCACTGAGGATATGGGGATTTCCCTCATGTCTAGGGTGAAAAGTTTGTTTTCCCTTATGGCTGAAGGCTTCTCTTTTAAGTTCAGTTCTATGGGATTTTGAAGAAGGGTGTTAAGAATTGTTTCGTGATCAGTTTCCCTCAGCAATTGTTCTTCCCTGAAATGTAATAGGACATCATATAATGAGGGTCAATGAGCGGATGAGAATGAGCTGCTAGTGTAGCAGCTGGTCGACGTCCAGCCGTTGCCTGGCTACCCATACGGGACATTTCAGTTTTTTGTGTGCATGCGCGGTGGTGGGCATCCTCGAACGGTGCCACGAGGCCACCGAGTTGAAACCTCACTATCACGTTTAGTTTCTCGATTTTTTGGTCTTAGTGTTAAGCTAATGAGGTGAAATTTTTTGCGAGTTAACTCAAAGCCTCTGGATTAAAAGTTTTATATTGCAAATGGTTGGTCACCGTTCGCGGCAACATCTAGCTACCCAATCCGAGCCAAAAGTTTCGACGATTCTATAGCTTTCAAGACTTATTGAAAAAGAGTTTTTTACCAGTGATTTTCTTCCTTCGATTTTTTTTATTACCAGTACACTGAATTAAGATATTTCCATGTCGGCAACAAGTCTTTGAAGAACAACTTTGAGATTTCAGGGCAAATCTTTTACGATGTTGTAACAGATTTAGTGGTTTCTGCGAGAATAGAATTGTATCAGCGATGTCAGTGCCTAGTAAAGCAAAGGTTACCAACAGGTCATTTAAGACAATGAACTGGTTGTTTATGAAATAACCAAATAACCTACTATTTTATAAAACACGTGGGTACCTGACTTGACTGTCCCTCTGTGTAAAATTATTTTTCTCTGAATTTGTGGGTTCTTCTAACTAAATCAAGAAAAGTAAGAGTTGGCGTTAATAAAATGAACATTTAAATCGTAAACTCATGCACTGAAGTGGCCCCACCTCAAAAAACCCGTAAAATGTTAACCTTCTAGTTAGTGATCCTGGCATTTTTTGCTGATATATCAATTACTGGCTAAAAAGTGTAGCAGTCCATATACCCTGCAATATTTAAATGAAGATATACATACCTTAAGAGCTTTACTTGGAAGATATCCAACAAAGTCTAAAAGGAAAAGATAATAAGGTTAAAAAAATTGCTAAATTTCATAAACTTATGCGGACGTGCTAGTTTTCCTGCCATTACCCCACTGGAACTTTCTTAGATTCCCTGCTTAATCGCTAGAATTATGTGGAAATCAGAATTATTTGTCTCTTTTTTTCTATCAAATTAGAAGCCCAGTTTTTCCAATTAAGCAGCCCCCATTTGTTTTCCTTCTCATATCCTCTGCTGAATATCCAAGAAGCGGAAGTAACATTTGCCATAATTACTGACCAGCTTCATCTTCATCACAAGAAGGTATGGATATAGATACAATTGCTGAAAATCAAACTACATGTTCAGTAAAATTGGGAGAGGGGAATCAGAATAATTCAGCTAGGTTCAGAACATTGAGTGCGGGCACTAATAAGGTGTTTGACAAAAGCAAAATCAATTTATGAATATTTCAGTAAGCAATAGTGTAGTTCCAAGAAAAAGTCAACAGTCAGCGAACAACGCAACCCTCTACCCCACTCTCTAGGGGGGGAGTGGGGTCGTATCATTAAGATTTCAGAAAGCCACCTACTGCTCATTTACATCTGATAAAATAACAAAAGAATAATAAAAGAGCGCATATGTTACAAGCCTCGTTCTTTCAAGCACTGAATCAATTTTACGTAATTCCGCACCTAACTCAGCCCCCCCATCCCCATGCCTCCTCCTCTTACGATCATCTTTTTAGCATTCAGGATGTCCATAAACTTGGATACGAGAGCAAACGTCAGGAAGTTTAAAACTGGATGTCCTGACCAGGCAGTATAGTGAGATTAATTTTCTTAATTGTCCACTTGACTGAATATTCTTATTTTCTAGTAATTACTGATAGTAAGTGGAATGCTGCCGAGAGGTTAGTGCAAGTAACTGATGAAACGTTTTTTGGGAGAGCGTTGTATTCATGTCAGGTCCATGTTTCTGTTGATCACCTGTGTCGCAAATCTTCTGTTTGGAATCGGATTGCTTGTCCCGGGAAGCAAAGCACTTGCCGTTGCAATCATAAACTGTTGCGTTCGCAGTCCATCTATCTTCGAAAATTTTAGAGGGAACCAAACTAAACCAAACCCCTAACGCTCGAAACGTCAGCTTTTTTACCCTTTACGGTGGCTAATTTACGTTTTCAACCCAGTTGTTAACACTAAATTACCTGCTATAATCTCCCACCGACGCAGTACCACAGTTTCTTTAGAAACTTACCCCCTTAAACCAAACCCCTTGTTGAGTTACTTGTCGGGGTTAGATTACGTCTGCGATGCAGGCTACATTCAAAGGGTTATTAAATCACGAGTCTGTTTCTTTCTTTATGACAGGCTTCACTCGAGATTTACACGCGAAAGACTTCGCTTGTTGCTTCAAGGAATAAAAGTGACACAAAGTGCCGCGCGGTCGACAATAAAGAAGCACAAGCGAGTCAGAGCCAGTGCCAGGGAAAAACGATAAGAGCGTTCGTTTGGATTCAAATAGTGAATTGTTTAGTCTTGAAATGCTAAGAACAATTCATTTCGAAACTATGACAGGTTTTGGGAAAAAGAATTACGGGCGCGATATCTGTTATTCTTTAGGGGAAAAAGTCGCACCTTCGCGCTCGCTTATGGCAAACTTAAAAAATTACTGAGCGCATTATCATCAATTCGATGGCAACACCGACGAGTGCAAATTTACCTTACCCACTTCCACAGTGCAGCTTAATTGTTATTGACGACATGAATTCCGATGAGTTGCGAACTTTTCCGTTTAGCTTCGGCTAGATTCCCTCAGCGTTATCCAGGACAAAAGGACTATTGTGTAACGCTCATCGGAAAAGCTGATAGAAAAGTTGAGGCACAGGAATGGACCATTTCTTGATACGATTTTCAAATACCAGCTGAACTGTATATGACCATTGATTGTTTTGTAATTGTTAAACGATCCGAAAAGATAGAATGTGTTCATACGCTACCCAGGTAGATAAAAATCTCAGATTGCCAGGCATTTAGTCTTTGTGAAACTGTGGCCGTGAGTCGAGCAACAAAATATTTGAAATGTCAGGAATAAGGCGAATTCATATGAAGTACACCCAAACTTCCAGAAATGGTTAGCCGCTAAGCCACCTTCTTGCTTGGCGATTTCGAACAAACATGTAATATATGCAGGCAAAGTCGCCGCCATCGTAAGAGCCCTAATTCAACATTTGAAATTACTCTCTACACAAAACATCTTACCTTCGGGGTCCTCTTGAAATGAAGCCATCAGTGAGTCTACAGGGCCGCCTTGAGAGACCAGCCTGAACGAGGAAGGTTGCGATGTGATCGAGCGCTGATGTGTTCTCTCCAACGGGTACCAAAAACGCGGGTAGCTGCAAAAACATGGAATGACCCAAACCCACCAAAAACCAACTACAACCACCTAAAACCACCTGAACTAACTAAAACCACCTACAACCAGCTACGACCACCTACAACCACCTGAACCACCTAAAACCACCTGAAACCACCTGCAACCACCTACAACCACCTTTAGAATACCATTTTTAGCATTTTGAGGCATTTTTGTTACAATTTTGTTGACAATTGCAAATACACACAGGAAATGTTGTCTTGTTTCTAATTAAAAAAAGCTATAGAAAATTTTTTCGTATAGACTTTGGCGGGAAAATTTGGACCGATTTGCTCTGAATTTCTCTTTTGTAAATTCGGTCGAAGACAAGAACAAGCTGTCACGTTCTTTAGTAGGATAATTTGTAACAACGTATTTGCGTGGTTCAATGTCTTATCAGCTTTTGTTACGTCAAGAAAATTTAGGAAGTTAAATTTGGTCTTTAGCTGTCTAATCAGAAATCCTTGTTCACTTCTTAAAATCTTACTTGTGTCCTTTTCCTTTTCCTGTGCTACATGAAATGCCGGTGGAAAATCTATTTTGTGATGTTTTGCAATGTTTGTGTGTTCTATGTGGTTTTAATCCAAGGAATTTATCAATGAATTTATTTTCACTTTATTTCATCCATTTTTTAATTCGCTCAGATTCAAAAGTTTTAAGTCTGTACAAATGTTTTGTTAATCCATTAGTGAGCTAGTTTGTAGAAAGTTGCAAAAGTTGTTTTCATTTTCAGGAAAATTGATTGGTTTTTTTAAACTAACAATTGGTTGTCTTTTAATAAAGCTTCCTTTTTGGCTGGGAAAAAGATGCGACTCAAAACAAAAATGGTACCATTCTTGAATAAATTGCACCAATGACAGCCATTCAGATCACAAGGATCACCAGTGATTTCAAAATGAATTTAATATGAAAAATCATGATTATTATACACACTTTTTCACCTCTGAAGTCTGAAAGATAAAACGGCGGATATTCCTGACTTGGAAACTTAGTAAACGTTGAACCTTATTCCTTACCTTTCCAAAGTAAATATTCTTATATAAGAAGTAGTAAGGAAAATGATGGAAATTCTCCCTACATGACTATGAGGAGCCCTTTCCTCGAAAGTCCGAAAAAGCTTACGTGTTTCCGCGCAGTATCCGCAATTTACCGCGTTTTCGCGCATTGTTGTTCGTGAAACGTGCGCGTTTCCTCGTTAGGGAGGAGAGCTGGGGAAAAGACTGGTTCACTTTATCATGGCGGGACATGGCGGTAGATATTGTGAGAAGTCTGCAGGGAAATGGCAGCTTGCTTTGGCACAAGGCCCGGAACTAAAGAGCCCCTCAGCTTCTCGGCAAATTTCCTCTACTTACTGATATTTAAATATAAAATGGAAGGATGAGAGGCCGCAAAACAGATATGAAGACCATGTTGCCCAAGTGCATGCCAGATGTCAATTGACAGCAAAAGGTAGGTAAAGAAACTTAAAAAAAACTACAGTTTTTAAATTAATTTTATCAGTGTAATATTTGATATTATTGGCTTAGTTGGCTCAAGAGTGGTGAACTATTCCGATATTTTGTGAAGGAGTATTGCCGCAAATTTGAAAATTTAAATCTGGGTACCTCTGGACACGTGATGTTGTTGTTGTAATAGGAGCTCTTTTAGGC